AAGGGGGTATCCGTACACGACGATGCAGGTGTCCCCCGTCCTCGCCAATGCAGCCACGGGGTGCTGTCAGGTCATGTACAAACCTGATGGGGTCAGGGCGGCGGGCGGTGGTGCACAGTGGCCTCAGTGAACTGGGGAAAAATTCCCATTGCAAAATGTATACCCGCAAGTTTCCTGGTGAACGACGACGGGCAAAGCCAAGTATGGGACTTGGAAAGATAAGCTCGAGATATACCACAGAACATACAAATTCATTACAGAAATAAATGGCGTGGCACGAGGACGCTGGCGACCATCTCGACGGACGAACGTTTTTGCATGGCAACCCGCCCTCCATGTTTTTGCCATTTTTTGTTTTGATTTATGGTTTCGCATTAGAAAATCCCAGCTGGACCTCAAGTCCGCTCCCTATCAATGCCAAAAGCTCTGGTGTGAAATTCGTAATACCACGGGTTGGGTCTTTAGAGCGTTTGTCCAGGTAACGCTGGTTGATTGGCACAGAAACTGTAAAGTTGCGTTCATTGCGTTGGTGCGCGTCCACATTGACTGGAACGCACGAAAAGCTCATGAATAACCACCGGCTACGTTCGCTTGCTGGCCGGACTCGACTCTGGATCCTCGACAATGAGAGGGAAGGTTGCTGTGCTTGGATGGGCGAGGTTGTGGCATCCTCGACTTTGAGACTTGTGTTTGGTACGTGTGTTGTCCCCGCACACGCAAGGGCACGTGTTTACTATACATTCGACTTGCATCTACTTTGAGATATTTCGAATCAATCAGGAGCGGGCTTATTGGCAGGAAGCGGGGCGACGGAAAGTACGCCAACAATTCTTGTCGCCAAAGTGACTTTCAGAATTATTGACTTGTCTCGCGCCAAGGCATCCTTGCGCTGCTCCCGAACGAGTAGAAAAGGGTGTGTTGCCCGTTGGCGTTGGCACTCGTTGTCCAGGGTGGCGGTCACGCCAACGAGCTGTGATGTATTGGAGTTGTCTCATTTCAAGTGACATCAACCGAATTACCACTGTGGATCTACTGAAACTGTGTAATGCACTTTAACAACCTAGATTCTTCATGCTATAATCCAATACTGTCATCACGAATACACACCAATTCACACTTGTCTTCAAAGCTCCAACGCAGCAAGGAGGCGACCAAAAGAGGGACGTTCATCGGCTGCTTCATCCAGACACTCGAGCGCAAGAGTGACGAACTCGCTGATGCTCTGCTGCTCTGCTTCGTCGGCTAGTTGGAGGGTCGAGTCCAGCATCGCCATGAATTTCTGGTTTTTAACCGCCTTCCGCGTATCAGTTTTCAGCTTGGTGCCAGGCTTGACGGCATCTGAAAATAGATTTATTGTCAGCAGATGAAAGAGCAAGAACACCAAACGCGAACCATTTATCCAACCACACAGCCTACGAGCGAATACAGCCTACAAGCGAATACAGCCAAATACTGATTGAGGCACACACACGCACAATTGACAGTCACCCCACGCTGCAGTCACTCGTCAACCTGTATTCTGCGAGAGGGAGGACATCCGCAGTTAGAGCACAATTAAGTGGTTAACCGGGCTTTGCTTGAACTGGAATCGTGTCAATGATTGGCCGCTTCTGTCAGGTTTACGAGCGTGTAGCGTTGGATGTCGAGCTCCACTCGATGACAACTCGCATTTCGTTGAATAGCTACAAGACTCTTGACATGTTCTTGCAATTCTTACGAGTCTCCGTTTGTTTGTGATGCCGATCTGCCACGGAAACCGCGTTCATTTTCCGAACCGCGTTGGTCCAGACAATCAAGCGCAATCGAAGCGGGAAGCTGCTCAGACTGTGATTTTGCTGTCACTGTTACATGCAGGGCCATGCTAAACACCTCGTTACTCGCTGCTGGCTTTGCGAACGGACTGGAGCTCATGCCTGACGATTGGAGCAGTTCTCAATCCTGAGATGTCCTCCCGTCCACATGCTTCCCTCCCCATTTACGAAGATCAGCAAAGGTCCATGGTCAAACGGCGGACCAATGGTGAATGCAAACACCTCGAAGCAGCATCCGAAAACAAAAAGGCGGGAGAACAACTCTCAGACAACAACAGCGACATGTGGGATGATGAAGAATGTTGCATTAGGTTGCATTGGACGGTCAACGATGGATGGATGAATGGAAAGAGTTGAGGAAGGAAATGGGGGCAGAATCAAGGCGGGAGAACATGGTCACTTCGTATCGACCTATTTTCCTCCCTCTCGGGTAACACCGGGAGTTCGCATCGAGGGTGTTGAACACGACCGATAGCCCGTGTAGTTGTTCAAGCAATGCTGAAAAAGACTCGTTGATTCTCGTTGATTCCTTCAATGCGGATGAACGAGATTTGAGGGCGAAAGCAGATCAACGCCAATTTGCCAAATGGCATGCAACAAGTCGTGCTGGAACTTCGCGCGGTTTTTGAGCTCCATGGACTGCGTGAACTGGAAGGTTCATGGACTGCGTGAATGTTGGTCGTCATTCTACTGGTATCCGATGAGAGCTTGCGTCAAAGTAGAACCAGTTTTTTTTTTCCCTTTGGCATGTCGACGACCGATCCGGCAAAGCGCCCCCTTGGTTCCAGCGACGAAGGGTCATCGGAGGAAAATCCAAACAAGCGCGCTCGGTTGGAGGATCCAGCAGCAGCAGTAGCAGCAGCAGCAGCAACAGCGGCAGTGCCGGTCTTCGTTGCTCCCTGCACGACCACCTCGTTGCAAGCCGCATCGACCGCCGCTGCTCCACTCACTCTAACAACCTCACCAGCAACAGCAATGATGACAACGACTGAGTTGGCAGCTTCAGCACCGCCCAATAGTCATACCACAAGCTCTACCGAGACTGCTCCGGCAGTGGTAAAGCGTTTTTGTTGTTTGTTTGTTTGTTTGTTTGTTTGTGTTCGGTTTTTTTTTGTTTGTGTATTGCTCTCCCCCGCACTTGGTTGCTCTGGCCGGAGCTTCCACGGGCGGTCTTGGGCACGCACCTACTGTCTCCATAGACACTGTGGACGGTCAGCAGGCCGCATGTCAGGGGTTCTGGGTTGGCTTGGTTGTCATGTCTCGGCTCTTTCTACCGCCTTCCACCCACCGCACACATGCGCACAGGAACAGCAACGCACGAGTCGAAAAGGCTAATGGGATTCAAAATGTTTTGATTGTAGACCAATGACGCGGTACAACCTCAAGCTGGACCATCCACGAACCCTCAAGCATCATTGTCCACGCCAAATCTTGACGCTATTTTTGCCCAGCTTGACGGTGAGTTGAACGCGGTGAAAAGCGAGCATTTCTTTGGTGTAGCTCTCTGTTGGCTGCTTTCATAATCTGTGCGGGCGAGTGAGTGCCTGTTTCTGACGAACTGTGTGTTGGATTCTTTCTCAGCCGACGGGAAAGTGGCTTTTTGGCAGCTGCTGCATGCTCATGATCGGCAGCTGTTTGAGAAAGATCGGCAGCTGTTTGAGAAAGATCGGCAGCTGTTTGAGAAAGATCGGCAGCTGCTTGAGATCCAACGTGATCAATATCAGCAACTGCGTGATCAAGCTCAGCAGCTGCTTGAGATCGAACGTGCTAAAGTTCAGGAGCAGCAAGTAGATCGAGTTCGTTTTCGTAAGTGCATCCGCTGCTTCCCCTCCCCCTTCGTCGGTATGCAATCTTGGTTGAAACTCAGTGTGAACGGCACGATATTTGGTAGTGTCTGAGATCGGATCGAGCACCAACGCAACCTTCGTAGCGCGTTTTGTCACAAAGGATCCTAACCCCACGTTGCAGACCAACCTCAGTGACTTGCGACTGCCACCCCTGGACAGAAATGCACTTCATCAAAAGTTGGAGGACGTCAGGAACGATGCGAGCCGGACTGGTCACGAAACGGACATGCATTGGGCTGTTGCCAACTACTGCCAGGCCGTCTGCGAACAAGTTGGCGCGCAACTCAACTTTCACGCTAACAGTAGCACAAAATCTGCTGATGTAATCGCGACCACTTGGGCAGTTGATCGCGTTTCTCCCCGTGCGTCTCGTGCTGCCTCCGCTGGTTCTCGAGTGGACGTTCTCCTGTATGACAGCTGTTTGTTTGTCGAAGTCAAGAAGGTTTTGGCCGATGTTCAACATGCTCGTTTGCAAGTCGCCAGCTATGTGGCTCGCTCTCTGTTCAGAACAGGCGTGCCGGTGACATCCTGGCCAGACTTTCTTTACGGCCTCACTTGGTGCGAAGGCGACACGGTCTCTGTCACTCGAGTCGATTTAAAGCAGAATGGCAAGCTCATTGCGCCCAAGGTTACGTTTGCCGAAACACTAGATCCAGCACGAGCAGTTCTTTTTGTGGTGTGGCAATCCATCCTCGCGCACCACGCCGCTGCAAAAACCAATGCACCATCAAACAGCGATGACCCGAATTCTTGGACATGCAACTTTGGTTGTACTAACCCACGCGCCGGAAATCCTGGCGCCGCAGCTCCAGGCCAGCCAGACAATGCAGCCGGCGGTGGCGCGCCCGCTGGTGCTGGTGGAGGGAATGTCGTCACGACCAATTCCCTTGTTCTCAATTTGGTAATGTCTCGTCTGGTTTGGATGTATCATCCGCATCATGTGCATCTTGTGCAACTCTTTTGTCTTCACTTTCCGCTTTTGGCTCTTGTTCTTCGACCTTGTGCAGACGACCGGCCCGCAACCTCTGCTCGATGCCCAGGTCTTTCATCGCGATTTCATGTTCACCGGCAAGCTCCGCCTGAACTCGAGCGAGGAATTCACCAACGTGGTGGTCAAGGTTGCAGCCGCAAATCGCAACCCGCTCACAGAACAGCTGGCGCGAGAGGGCATGGCGCTAGCCCTCCTCAACCGTGACCGAAAAGAAGCTGCTGCTCATGGCATTCCCGAGCTGCTATCGTTCTGCACTGTCAATCTCGACGGAACCCCTGGCCTGGCGTTGGTCACGGGCCTCATTTCTGGTCACAGTGTGGACTGGATGCAGCATCAACCGTATGCGGCAAACTTTGCGTCTCAGGTCTGCGACACGCTTCGCTGGATTCATGCGCAAGGTGTGGTGCACGGCGACATTCATCGTGGAAACCTGCTCGTCACCGAGACGCAATTGCCCAGCTCAATTCCTCTGCAGCAAGAGACTCCGACCTCGACCCTCGTGCCTCCCAAATCCCCACATCTCTCGATTGCGTTGGTCGATTTTGGGCTTTCTTGCTTCCTTCCAGCTGTGACGCGCGAGCATGTGCAGGCAGCACTCTTGGCAGCGCCTGTGACGGTCGCAGCTGCTCAGGAGCTCCAAACGTGGTTCGGACATGTCGAAGACAACTCGTGGAGCCAGTGGCCAAGCCACTTTTACCACATTGCGCGCAGTGACAGAGTCGCCACTCCGCAAGCCGACTTTCTCAGTCTAGGCTTGCTTGCTGTGTCGCTAGAAATCGGTGGCACAAAAGTCCTGCAGCAGCGGGTCCATCTGGACGACTCTGACGACGCTGCGGCTCGTACTCTGCGTTGCCTCCTGCGCAATCAACGTCACCTTCAGTCACTCCTTGAGAAACCCACGGCAACTTTGACTGAGGTTCAGAAGATTGTTGCGCTTGCAGACGACGACGTGCCAACTCCTCCGGCTCTGGTGTAACCCCTCTCTCCTTGTGTTTTGTTCAACGTGTATTGTTTCAATTACCTACTCAAAATAGTGTCTCATCCACATTCAAACGGCCCATCTATCCGCATGCTGGAAGGCGATCTGGCATTCAGTTCTGAGTGTTGGCGGTGAGACTGAGTATTGTAGTAGGGAGACCTTCTCACCAATGTGAGCAAGCCCACTTGGCTCTCCATCCACTCTCCCTCACCACCACTCAGCATTAACACCATGCTGTTGTTGTTGTTGCTTTCCAGTGCTTGTATCGCGCTGCAATTCACTCACCTTGCTGAACCTTGCTGGCCTTTTGCATTGGACTGCTGTTTCGCTTCGTTGACCATTCAAACTCTTTTTTTTTTTGTGGTTCACTTAGGGCATCCATCCAGCCTTCGTGTGAAACGCACACTTGTATAAACTCGAGATTTTTTCGAAACCTGGAAACAAGGACCAAATCAGAAAATCAAGTTGAAAATGCAGTCTTAATACGATTATTGTTCGTGGGCCGTTTTTTTTTTTTTTTTTTGATAAAACATTTTCTTTGGATTTTTCTTTTGAACGTTTATTTCGTCGTTTGTTTGTCGCGTTTGGTTGCTCGGAGAGGGCGCGGGGGGGGGGGGGGCCCACCGATCCTTTTGCCTCCCTCAGAATGATCGTTGTCTCTTCAGTGGGACGTGGAAGACAGAGGGGCAGGGGAAAGCGGCGTTGTTCAACAAACCAGGTTCAACGGAAAAGCGAAAAGAAAAAAAAGGAAAAAAAAAAGACAAAAAAAAAAAAAAAAAAGCAGGAAACGCTGAATGTGAACAACACATGTTCCTCGATTGTTGACGCAGCCCGAGACACACAGGCGCTGGGGCTTCCAGGCGGGTGTGAAGCTCGCATTGCACCGACACTGGTTCCGTTATGGCGGGCGGTTGACGGGCAAGCGCGCTCTGTACGCTCGCGACGGAACGAAAAGCGATCGTCAGCCAAAAAAAAAAAAAAAAAAAAAATCCGGAATACAGCAGCGGGCTTTACCTCGGGGTCTGCTTGTCGCGATTTCCTTGGAGCTGCGGCGATTCGTGCTGCGAGGCTGTTGTCACGTCCATGTCAGACTCTTGTTCCCCCAAAGGCTGCGAGGACGAGGCCAGCAAAGCTCAGCTCTTGTCCTTCTTCAACAGAAAAAAAAAAGTCCATTGTGTTGTGGCTTTTTTTTTTTTTTTTTTTTTTTTTTTTTTTTGCGCTTCTTGATTGAAAGCTGCACTTTTGAGTCTGAGTCGTCGCTCGGTTTGTGCCTTTCGCGCCACGACGCGTACTCGCGAATGAGGGTGCTCAGTGATGTCCCATGTGTGGATCGCCTCGAATCGCAGGCGCACACTGAGCAGACGGAGGACGCAAGATTGAAAGATTTTTGCGTTCGTGGTTGGTTTTTTTTTTGTGCCCATCTCGCTCTGCTTCCGCTCTTGGGCTGGCCTTCCACATCGCCTTCCATCGACACGCATCTTCTACTTAAAAAGCTACCCCGCCTCATCTTGGCCTTTAGGCACCATCTTCCGCTTTACAACCGAGCGAGTTTTGGCATATCTCATTGCACTGATTTTTTTTTTTTTTTTTTTTTTTGCGCTTGCCTTCTCTGCTCTCGCTTGCTTCCTTGCTTAGATCTCAATCTCAGGCGCCCAGACTCTTGCCAGCACGCAACCATGGGCAACGTTCTTAAGAAGCTATTCGGCAACAAGGAGATGCGCATCCTGATGCTTGGTCTTGACGCAGCAGGGAAAACCAGTACGTTTCATTTCAAATTTTTTTTCTCGTTCTTTTGCCGTATCTCTGTGATGGGATGAGTCGGTGGAGGGGGTTTATGCACCGATGTTGTTGTTGGGATTGGGGGGTTATTTGCAAGCATACCCACTTCCAACTCGAAGGTGAACGGCAGTGGCAGCTGCTCCCATTGTCAAAAAAAAAAAGACGGAAAAAAAAGGGCTCAAACCGCTGCGTTCAGCTGACATACTTGGAAAAGAATTCGCCTTCAAAAACTGTAAAAATTGTGAACAATATCCCGATTCTCGTCTGCCACCAACGCGAGCGACATGCCATCCTACCAGTCCAGTGGGGGGGGGGGCGGCGGTGGGCTTCTTGTAGCTGTCATTTTACGGCACTGTCGTTCGACTGCTGACCGAAAATTCTTGCTTACCTTCCCTCTTCCCTCTTGCAGCTATTCTCTACAAGCTCAAGCTCGGTCAATCTGTCACAACGATCCCCACTGTGGGCTTTAACGTGGAGACGGTCCAGTACAAGAACGTCAAGTTCAATGTGTGGGACGTTGGTGGCCAGGACAAGATCCGACCCCTTTGGCGCCACTACTATACCGGCACTCAAGGTCTTATCTTTGTTGTCGACAGCGCTGACAGGGATCGCATCGACGAAGCACGACAGGAGCTGCACCGCATTGTCAACGATCGTGAGATGCGCGATGCAATCATTTTGATTTTTGCCAACAAGCAAGATCTGCCACACGGTATGTCGTGTACTTTCGTGTCTGTCATCCCCAGTTCGCTCTGTTTTTTCTCGGTCTTGTTGTTTGTTCTTGTGATGCATTCTGATTTTTTGTTTCGTTTTGTTTGTTGCTCACTTGCAAATCTCGTCGCCTTGCAACCAACAGCAATGAAGCCGCAAGAAATCACCGAAAAGCTTGGCCTGCAACGCGTTCGCGACCGAAACTGGTATGTGCAGCCAAGCTGCGCAACGTCCGGCGACGGCCTTTACGACGGCCTGACTTGGTTGACCTCCAACTTCAAGGCTTAAAAGACCCACGCCAGTTTTTCCCCAAAACTCGACGAGAAAAGACAAACGGAACCGAAACAAAAGAGTGGCAAAAATGAGCGGAGCAAACCACTCTTTCGTCCAAAACACTTAAACATATCCGAGGGCGATGGCTTTTCACTGCTCCCCTTCCTTTTGTTTTGGCGAAGCGATGGTTGTCTCTGTGTTGGTCTTGTAGGAATGGTTGTGTGCATGTACATGTGGTGTCTGGTAGTGATTTTTTTAAACTCTGTGATTTGAGATTGCAATGTGTTGTGTTGTCTGCTTTGTGTGTTTTTTTGTTTGTGTTGTGCTTTTGTCTTGTTTGACACCAAGCGATTTTTTTCCCCCCTCTCGCCTTGTCGCTCTTGCCCAACATGTGTAGATTGGATGTTAACGAGTGCGTTCCAATCAATGCTGGTGGATCCAGCGTTCGATCGCATCTGAGCGAATCTCTTTACAAAAGTCTTTTCGTTTTTGAATCGTCACACGAGCACCGCGAACAAGCACCAACAAAACAAACACAAACCCTGATCGGGGGGAGGGGGAGGGGGAGCTGCCAGCGTCGAACGACTATTGTCTGGCTGGAACTGCACTAACCAAACGGTTTTCGAGCGGCTCAACCACCGACTGAAGCATGCTGCCTCCAGTGAGCATGTGTGTAGTGGCAATAATATAGTCGCGGCCTACAATTGTGTTTCAAACCAGGAAAGTCAACAAACAGCCAAATGAGATGCCGCTCGAGTTCAAAGCACACTTCACACAACGTTCAAAGCAACAACACATTTCCCACTCCCCCTCGCCCCCAGCTCACCTTCTTGTTGCTTGGCAAGGAAGCGGATGGCAGCAACCTCGGCATACGAGCAGCCACCAACAAAGAACACGAGCGTGACCTTGCCCGCTCCACCGGCAGCAGACGCGGCGTTGGCGCCGTCCGCCGACCGGGCGTTTGCGCGACGAGGCTGAACGCCTGGCGGAAGCATTTGCAGCTCTTCAAAGGTCGGGCCAGGCAGCAGCCGCAGCACCTCTTCCATCCCGCGCCAGCCTGATCGCGCAAATGCTTCAACCAGTCGCACAGAGATGGGGGCGTAGCCCGAGAAGGTGTAGCTGATGTCGTTGGGCGTAATCTGGTTGACGTCTTCGACGACCAGGCGCAGGGCTTTGCGCAACGAAGGATAGGAGCTCTTGCCGTCACTTTTGCGGAGCAAACCAGTCTTCTCCAGGTTGGCCAACGTCACCAGCTGTTCCATGCCGTACGTGTGCAAAATCTCGCGACGATAGTAGTCGAGCACTTTGGGCTTGAATCCACCGTTGGTGAGTGATTGCAAGGCAATCAGGCGCAGTACAAGAGACAAATCGGCCTTCTTGCCAATCAAGTCCTCAATGTAATCGCTGGTCTTGTCTGTATCTACACTGCACAAAAAGGCTTGCTCCGTCTCGAGGGTCTTCAAGAACGCCGCGTCTCGTGTGCGCTTCATGATTTGTTCTGCAATATTGGTGTGAATGCGCAACTGGGGAATGTTATCAGATACAAAAGAACGGAAGCACATAAACGAGCCAAAGTAAGTCAGATCTCCAGCAACCGCCTCCCAAAGTACGCCTCTGAAAGTCAACTCGAGGCCTTACCGATTGATGCTCTGCTTGGATGGTGGGCAGCTTCCCGATAAAGTCCTTAATCTGGCCCACAGTCTTGGCGTCGTGTCGCTCGTCGTACTGTTGGCTGATGGATTTGGCGCGCGAGGAAAGCAAAGGGCCGACGGCGGCAAAGTTCAAATCGCGAATCTCTGAAAAGATGCGATCCGAGCTATTCAGCGGGACCTTGGTCTTTTTGCCGTCCTTGTTCCCCGTAATGTCGGCGTTCAGCGTCACGAACGAATGCTCAATCGAGAAAGACTCGTCCAGAAGGCCTTCGTAGGTCAGCTGAGTACACAATGGTGTGACCAAGTCAATGGTGCGGTCAATCAGCAGGATGGTGTCAATCTCGGGGGAGACCGAGAGCTCGGGAGCGCTCGACGCCGAGGCGCTCGTTGCCAGCTCGCGCCGGAGACGCAGCATCATCTCGGCGACGTGCTTTGCATGGGGTCCCTTGCCAACAATCTGTGGGATGATGCCGTAGACGGTTTGCAGCTTCATGATGGACCGAGCAACGTAAAACAGGGATGTTGGATCGCCGTCGAGGTTGCACTCGCGGAATGAGTTTTCCATCTCCAGCGACAGCAAGTCCGAGTCATACGGCAAGATATCGAGCTAAAGGGCGAGAAAACACATTCACGCAGAGTCAGAAGAGAGGGTGAGTTCATTTTTGCAACAACAACAACAACAACAACAACAACAACAACAACAACAACAACAACAACAACAACAACAACAACAACAACAACAACAACAGGAGGCCCTCAGATGAGAACTGAGCTGTACCTGATATTCTCCCAGAACCAGATCGCCAAGGACTCCCTCGGTCTCGAGAATACGTTCGCACATCAATGTTTTACGCGGGGCAAAGAAGACGTGGTAATCTTTGCGCTGCCCATCGTTGTGGTGTTGCCTGTTTTGCAGTGTGTGAGAAACATTGAGTGCAGAGACAACGGATCAGTCGAGCAACAACGATCGCACTACCTGACGACCGACGCGATACGTTCCATGAGCAATGCCTTGGGGCGCGTGATAAAGATGACGTTACTAATCTCAGTGTCGATGCGACCCGAGGTGAGCAGGAAGAGTTTCTCAACGCCATGTTCCTGGTTGTTGCAGAGCAGAGTCGAGATGAGTTTGTTTCACAGTGACTGTCTCGCGCGCGCGCGCTCTCTCTCTCCCAACCGCTGTGCTCTCTTGCGTTTACCTTGAGCAGCGAGTACTCGGCAATGAGACCAAGCGGACCGACCAGTTGTTCGTCCATGATGAGCACCTGATTTTTCCCCGCGCCAGATTCACAAGCCCCGCCCCGCCCCGCGCGCCCGTTCACCGCACCAATCACATACAGGTACACACACACACATAACAACGCGAACAAAAAAGCCAAAAGTACCAAACCCAGAGTCAGAAGCAAAGTGAGCAACACAAACACAAGCAGAGATCTCGTCATTCTGGTTCCCCCGGCTTCTGCCCTCCCGTTCCACCTGCAAGCAAGCAAGCAAGCAAGCAAAGCAGGCAGGGAGCAACAAAACAAGATGGGAGCTGCTCAGAACAGCCACGCGCACCTTCTTGCCCGGGGGCGTCGAGTCAATGCAGTCGAGCAGATCGCGTCGGCAAAAGTCGCGGAGAACGTTCAGATTGAGCGCCCCATTGCTGAGGTATGCCGTCGAAGTGGACATTGCAGAAAATGGATGGTTCAATAAACAAGAAAGAAAATCAGAGACTGAATCAAGACAAAAGTGAATGTGAAGAGGGAAGGAAGGAAGGAAGGAAGGAAGGAAGGAAATGGGAGACGGATGATTGCAAAATCCAAATCGACCAACAATCACAATGGTTCTTTAGTGACTTCGGTGATGATAATGGGGTTGCATCGCTTCAATGTTGTGCTCGAGAATGAGACACATTTACATTTTATTTACATTTTGGCTTTATCCAACTTACTCACTCTTTGTTGTTTCCATATTCTGATTCTCTGAAACACAATGCTCCGACTCGACCGCAAGAAGGTCAGCCTTTTCGCCATTTGTCTCGCTCTTTCTCGGAATCTGCATGTTGTGCTTTGTGCTTTGTGCTTTGTGATGTGTGTGTGTGTGTGTGGCAGTGAACAGTCTCACTGGTCGGGGATTGAGAGAGCGCGCGAGAGAGAGCGCGCATACTTTTTCATGTTCATACATTCTGCGGTTTGATGGCCTTTGGTCTCGTGCAATGCTCACTGCGCTGAGAGCGGGTCCACACGACACAGCGTCACACAATACACAGACACACACAAACACACACACTTGCACGCCAACACACACTCAAAACCAAGCTAACATACAACAAAACAAAAAGCAGCCTCAAAACAGACACTTCAAATAAAGAAAGAAAGAAAGAAAAAAAACATAAAAACCAATACATTGGTCTCGCTCAGGCTGATGTGAGCGTGCTACGACTTTGAGACACCAACAACAGGGGTGAGTGGAGGGAGGCCAACACAAGGCAAGCAAGGAAGACGGCAAGGCTGACAATGAGAGCGAGCGAGCGAGCGAGCGGGGAGAGAAACAGCAACTCGAACTCGACAGCCCAACCGCACTGTCTTTCATCATCACTATGGGGTGTCGCTCGCTGACCTGGCTCAAAACAAAAAATCCCTCCTGCAGACATTCCGCCCCAAGAAGAAGTTCGACAAGGGCTCGCTGCGCTACGACCTGTACAAGAAGGCCAAGGCATCGCTCGGCACGGGCGAATCGCTCAAGGTTGCAGTCCAGCTGCCCCCCACAGAGAATCTCAACGAGTGGCTCGCCGTCCATGGTACTGCTTCTTCTCTAGTGAATGATGCGGCACATGCATTGTGTCGAGACGGGGAAGGGCGGGGGCGGGGGCGGGGGGAAAAGCCCTCATCCCCGACCAAATGCTCGTCAAACAGTTCTTCCACCACACTCACTCACTCACTCGTTTGACTCTGCGTGTCGTCATTGATGGTGGGTACTGGTGCTGTTTTGAACACTTGCTTAGTCGTCGACTTTTTCAACCGCGTCAATCTGATCTACGGCACCATTGGCGATCAATGCGACTGCCCAACCATGAGCGCTGGACGACAGTAAGCCAGCCCACACAGTCCAGTTTATCGTCTGCGTTGTTGGTTCCTCGGTGTCCTACCATCCTGGACCATCTTGTTTATTGCAGGTATGAATACAGCTGGGCCGATGGCAAGGACTACAAGACTCCGACATCGCTTCCTGCCGCTCAATACGTGGCGCTCTTGATGGAGTGGATTGAGCAGCAGATCAACGACGAGGCCATCTTCCCATCGAAGATTGGTATGTTCTCACATGCAGGATGTTCAGGTTTCCTTGTGTGCGTGCGTGCAGCTTTTTTTTTTTTTTTTGGTGGCCCTGACTCTTTCATCGCTGCTTGGTTGCTGCAGATACACCCTTCCCAAAGACCTTCCAACAAGTCTGCAAGAACATTTTCAAGCGCCTCTTCCGCGTATTTGCACACGTCTACTACCACCATTTCGAGACTGTGCAAGCGATTGGCGCCGAGGCACACGTCAACACCTGCTTTAAGCACTTTTACTACTTTGTCAAGGAGTTTTCGCTGATTGAGCCCAAGGAGCTCGAGCCGCTTGTATGTCCAGCAGCATGAGAACTAAATCATGTCACCGTTTGATCTTGGGGCTCGACTCACCGTTTTCTGCTTGATCCTTGGTGATCTCCCACACACAGAAACAATTGGCAGACTCGATTTGCTAAACAAAAGTACAGTTGTCATGGCGCAGGCGGGGTCAAGCGACCTCGCCAAAGCCAGGGGGGCTTTGTTGCTAATTGCTAGTGGGCGCCTTTCTGCTTGAATAATTGTTCTGTTGCCGCGTTGTTGTTTGCTTGGTGTGTTGATTCTGTTGAGCAATTGGGCAAAAAACAAATACAGCTTTTGCCGATCATCCTCCGTCTTCTACCCCCCCCAACCTCGCGCTCTTCAAACCCTCGCAACGTGGCAACATCAGCTGCCTGTCCTTGCTATTTAAAGTTGACAGCAGAACGGCTGATTGAATTTTTGCTTTTTTAAAAAAAAACCGCGTCGCCGTCGAGTGATTTTGAACCAATCCTGCCATTTCCTGCTTGCATCCAATTTAAACTCACTGTGCTACACAAAAGCTCACTCGTTTGTCCTCGCCGCTGTTTCTCCATTCAAAACTTGAACAGTATTTTCTTTTTTGTACTGTTTCTGCTTGGATTGGCGTCGGCGCGCGATCTCTCAGCTCTCGGTTCGTTTTCGAGTGGCAGGTGAGAAAAAGACGGCGGTTTTTGTTCGAATTCTGAAACTTGAGCCAAAAAGTCCAGTGGAGAAACTAATCTTCCGCACCCGGAAGCAAAAGCCAGCCATTCTAGTGCGGATGTTTCAGACGACAGGGCTTTTTGAAGCTGGAGGTGAAGCAGCGAGGGGAGCTCAGAGGTGCGGGGGGGGTGTGTGTGCAAATAGGGCGAGTTGTGCCATGTTGGTGCCCACCTTCAGCGCAGGTCGCCCCAGGCTCCGTACCCGACGTCGCGCAACCGCCCGTCGTTGAGTGTCCATCTGCAAAAACCCCATTCTACTGCTCTATTTGCTCTACTCATGATTATCAGAATTATTCTGCATTGATGCATAGGAGGGGAGGCGGGGGGGGGGGCACTCGCACATTTTGCCAACCAACGTTCGCTCCCACGGATTTTGGATTTTGATGGTTGAGCGGAAAGTCATTCAGAAAGCCGGAGAAACAATTCCAGCTTCAGTCCAGATTTTTTCCGGCTTCCTTCGCCCCCATCCTTTGTCACTTTTTTGTATTCCTTGCAACTGACTCAGACTCGACCCTCGTGTGCTGTACCCTTTCCCAGTCCAAGGTCAGCGTTCTCCAATCAATTCCTTGCACAATTCGCTGGTCCAGTTCCGAGCGTCGGGAAACTCGCTCTGCCGACATCTTTTCATCGATCGCTGTTGTGGTGGCGTTCTTTTTTTTTTAGTCCACTTTGAAACGAAAAAGGGGGAGAAATTCAGACCACTGGAAACGCACGTCAATGACCTCGACGGTTGTCATGTCGCCGCAGCACCACTCGTCCGCCCTTGTCTTTGCGCCAGAGCAGCCATCTCTCCCATTCGTCACCAGCGAGGCGTCCATTCACACACAGCAGGATTCGCGTCCATCCACTACTACTACTACTACAAAGAAGCAGAGCTCGTTCCGTTTCCATGCATTCAGATTTGGAAGCAGCCAGTCTTCTTCTTCATCCTCGTCCCCCGCGTCTGTGCTTCCGCTGGCGTCGCGATCTGCCAGCGTCCCGGACGTTCACGCAAAGGCAGTCTCCGTGTGTGCCGCTTCGACCGACGCACAAGGGGCAAGTGACATGTCGCGCGTCCGCAGCGCCCTCGCGGCAGCGCTCGAGCGGGATCGCCAGGCGTTGATTCTCGCCGAGGAGGCTGCGTCATCAGTCGCGCCACCATCACCGCTGCCGCCGCTGCCGTCCTCGTCACTGGTCGCTGGTGCGAGTCCTGCACTGGCGACACCATGTACGCCGCCCTCATCGGGGAATATGTCGACAGGCCCGTTGAGCGACGCCCAGGCGAGCGGGGCGCAGACCAACGCTGCCAGCGCCTCCACGAACGCTGCTAGCCCCACCAACGCTCCGAGCAGCGCCGAAGACGAGCTGCGTATTGGGCTCTATGATCTGAGCGAAGACGTGATTGCCCAGGGCGCCCAAGGCGTGGTTGTGCGCGCAACGCATCGTGTGACGGGAATCAGTGTCGCCATCAAGTGCCTGCCAAAGCATTCGGGCATGCAGGCGTACAAGGAGGCAGTGCAAGAGCGAAGCATCCTTCAAGGGCTGAGCAAGCCAGAAGTTGCTCATCCAAACATTGTGCGACTGCTCGAAACAATGGAGGATGACAACTTTCTCTACATGGTGCTCGAATTGTGCACTGGCGGCACTCTCGCCGATTGGATTCGAGACCACCCACCGCCTGCCAGTGCAACCTCATCGTCATCATCATCATCATCATCATCATCCTCCGCTTCCTCGGATTCGCTTCAACAGCGCCGACAGGAGCGTGTGCGTCGATGCGAGGCCATTCGCCTGTTTTGCCAGCTAGCGAGTGCTTTGGCTCACTGCCATTCTCTCAACATCTACCACAGGGACGTCAAGCCTTCCAATGTGCTCCTCACGGCCTCCGGAGACGTGCGCCTGTCAGACTTTGGCATGAGTGTCCAGGCCTGGCCGGGCGCGCGCATTTCACGCGACTTTCCTGGCTCACCTTCTTATGCCGCTCCAGAGCTGTTTCGCGGCGAACCCTATCTCGCTCATCTCGTCGATGTGTGGTCCCTGGGCGTTGTGTGGTATGAACTCATCACCGGCGTCCGTCCGTTCGATCGTGCCACACCCAGCGAGCACCGCCAAGCCGTGTTTGCCGGCTCATCAGGGCTTTCGCTCATGTGCAACCACCTGCATACCTCAGGCCGAGCACAGGCGCCGGCTCTTGACGCTTCAGAGTCGCCTGTATCTCCTACTGTTGTCGCCACGCCGGACTTGGAGTCCTCCTCCAGGACTATCTGCTGGCGGTTTGGCGCTGTCAACATGGGCCGAGCGATCCGACTCATGCTTGATCCGGAGCCATCCAAGCGCCCCTCTCTTCGCCCGCTTGGCCGTATTATTGCTGCCCTCGAGGCCTCGCTTGCGCGCATCTCGTATCAACGGCCCGTGATGATGCTCAGCAATGCCACTCCTTTCGCATCGACCGACGGACGCGCAGATTCGATGCCGCGTTTGCGTATCAGCCAACTGCTCGACGCCTGCACCAAGCACTTTAACATGTCTCTCGACCAATTGGCACAGCGGTGGTACGACGATCCTTTGGGTCCAGTTGCCGGCGTTATGAACTCCCTGTTGTGCCAGCTGAGCGATTACCGACGCACCGTTACCGAGGCCCTTGCACGCCATCTGCAGCATCGGTCCGAGGATGATGATGCATCATTGCACACCCCATCGCAGACTGCAGCGCCCGTCCTTCGCATGAACGAAAAGCTCCTTCTCGCCAAAGACATGGACTCGTCCGCAATACCCCATACCCCAGAGCAGGTTCGCCAGCTTCGCTCGCTCTTCCACTCCTTTGCACCTCACTCACATTAAATTAACCGGTTTTGTTTTTTGCAATTTCTTTGTTCATTAAAATCCTGTTCAAATCATACAACGCAATGCTCGCATCAAGCGAAAGTTTTGGCAAAAGAGAGAAAGAGAAAGACAGCGAGAGAGAGAGAGAGCGGAACGCCACCAGAGCATACACACAGCAAAATTCACAAAAAGGAAAGACAAAACAAACCGCGAAAAAAAAAAATCAATCAAGGCAAAACAAAACAAGACCGAGGCAGAAAAAAAAACCAAACAGCTTTCCCCCCCCCTTCAAAAACAACAGAAACTAGTCAGAAAGTAGTAGTAGTAGTAGTAGTAGTAGTGGTAGTAGTAGTGGTAGTAGTAGTCGTCGTCACACGTTCCGTCAGTCGGCTGCCTTTTCCTCAGATTCGGCAATCGGTTCCGACTCCTTGGGCTCGGCCTTTGCCGGCTTGGGCTCGCTGAAAGAAACTTGACGAGTGTTTGGCGGTTTGGCAGGCGCATCAGCCGCCGGTGGGGCAAGAGCAGAAGCAGCTGGCGCTGGAGCGGCGGCAGCAGCAGTAGTGTCCAGCGCAACGGACGCGGGCTTGTAGCCCGACTTGGCGCGCTCGAACAGGATGTACGTGTAGTCGCGAATCAAGTGCGCAATTTGGTAGGCCTGAGAAAAACAAAAACACAAGGGGACAAATGTCATGGTTGAGTGAACGAAGCAAATCCAAAAGAGTGGAGCCAGAGCCAGAGACAAACAAAACCACAACCATCAATAACGTACTTCGGGCGTGCTAAACACGTATTTCGTGCCACGCGTCAAGCTCTCGACAACAATCATGAGGTTGCGGACGGAGGGACTGTAGTTGATCACACTGTCGAACGAATGCGAAATGATTGGAGTCTGTCACACGGAAAACCAAGATAGAAGAAAGCCCCCCAAATGAGAATGATCAACTCGCTTGTGATTCCTTTCACTCAAGAGAGAACAAAAAAAAAAGAAAAAAAAAAGAAAAAAAAAGCAAAACCCGTACCTTCTCGCCTGGCTTGAGAATGTGCAGACCCCACTCGTTGATGGCAAGCCACATGGTTTGCGGCAAATCAGACGAGTACATTTGCTGTCAAATCGTAACCCCTCACTTGGTTAGGAACGTCCGAACAACAAGAATACCCCCCCTTAAAAAACAACAACAACTCCGCCAATTTACGCACCATCACATCATAGATGCGAGAGCCATAGAGAGACCACTCCTTGACAATATCAAGGAAGAGGGTGTTGCAGCGGTCCTCGTTGTAACCCTTGAGTTTCTCGTGACGGGCTGCAATGAGATCGGCGAGGGACAAGTTTTCCTTCATCCAATCGGGCAAATACCGCTCAATAATGTTGCTAAAAGAAGGAGAGATTTCGGTGAGTCATCCGGACGAGACAGCGTTCCCTTCCTCTCCGAACAAACCACTCTCCCAACAAAATCAAATAAATCTCCAAGCGCAACTTACTCGTAAAGTCCCTTGCCCATGTTCAACTGAGAGTGGTCGCCAATGAGGACCTGCGCGCGCAGTGCGGCGAGCTGGATGCCTTCTTCGAACGTGATGGGATGGCGGTCGTGGGCGACAGCGTCGACAGCTTGGAAGAAGACAAGGTTGCGTTCCACCTTGTTGGCCTCCGGCAGGAACGGGCCAAGATAGATGCGACGCTTGAAGACAAGCTTGAGCGTTTGCGGTTCCTTTGCATTGTTGGAGAACTTTTCCCACTTGAAGAGCGCGTCGGCAACGTTGTCGTTGGGGAGCATGTAACGCTCAAGATTGCCGTAGCACTCAAAGAGGGCGAACGTCTTGTTCGACTTGTCCAGACCAATGCGGTCCTTGACCATGTCCACGACCTCGGCTGCGGAGGAGGCCGAGTCGAACATCAGGGCACGGAACTGCCCGTCCAGGAAGTGGAAGCGTGTTTGAATCAGCTTGCGATTCGTGACAAACATAATCTCGGTGGACGACGGAGCATACGCGCGGCGAGTCTTGGTCAGCGTGCGCGCGAGCTGCTTGCGAGCGTACTGGGCATACTTGCCATACTCGGTGTTGCCGTACTCGGAGTGCAGCTTCAGATGAGCACGAACAAACTCCAGCACAACGTCGACGCGAGGCGCGACGACGCTGCAGGCAAGCGTTAGGATGCGCCAGGCTTGCAAGTGGGACTTGGAGTGCGGCTGGGGGTTGTTGGTGGTCTGCTTGAGCAGTTGCAGGTACATTTCGCAGCAAATGCCCTGGTTTTCCAGGGCGCGCGTCATCATCAACTGAAGCAGTGCCGTCGAGTCGTTCGAGTCGAATGCCAGGCCGCCAGAGGTGGCGAGGCCTTGGTAGATGAGAATGGAGTTGAACAGCTTGAAGGCAACATCGCCATCCTCGCCGTCGGTCGGCACGAGATTGGTCATGGCCTGCAGGAGGGGCGTCTTCTGGAAGGCCCACCAGCCCTTGTCCTTGATGTTGTCGGCGTTCACCATGTTGTTGTACGTGACCTTGGCAGCGCTGCTGCGAAGCGCGGTCTTGTTCTTGCTGTCGCCGGCGTTCACGATGGCAGCCGCAACCTCCTTCTCGATTTTGTCCAAGCGGTCGAGCGAAGTGCTGCCACTCTTGCGCGAGAAAATGCCGCCCACCTTGGAGCCGAGCGTGCCCTTGCTGTAGTCCTTTTCCTTTTTAGCAGACACGGTGCCCGTCTTGGACGCGTCCGCCGGCAGTTTCGGATCGACAGCCTCCTTGAAGGTAATGACACCGCTGGTCTCCAACTTGGCTTGCGCATCGCGGAGCTCGAGGCGTGCCTTGAGAATCTCGGCTTGGGTCGCGACAGTTTCGTTCGCCTTGGCCTCCTTTTGCACAAACGAGCGGTGCGACGGCGAGTACGAGCCAATCAGAAGCGCAATATCCTCTCGTTGCTTGGACAGGAAGCTGTACTGATTTTGCTCGGCGACACCATCACTGGCTTCCTTCAGCGTCAGCGAAACAACGCAAGTCTCATTGTCAATCTCGAGCGCCTGAATCTTGTCGTAGTCCAGCGTCATAAAGACCGCCTTGGAATTCAGGTTGAAGAACTTGAGACCATCGAGACCGACCAGCAGACCAATGCGCGTCGGGTGTGACCAGAATCCATTGTAGGTGACGTGATAGAAGGTGGTGCCGAACATGGGATGCTTCATCACAATCTTGAGGTACTCGTGGAGGGCTTGCAGTTGCGTGAGGTTTTCGCCATGGATCTGGTGCGCCTTGCTGGCCTCGGTCGACCATTCGTCCCGGGTGCGCTTGTACTCGAGACCGTTGTTGTCCAGAAGGAACTTTGAGAAGAACAGCTCGGGGAAGGCGAAGCGCGTCTTGGCCTGGGCAGCGTCAAAGTTGCCGTACAGAGCCTGGGCCTCGAGGCCTGCAAGTCGGAGGGCGTCTTCCAGCAGGTAGGGCAGTTCGTCGCGCGTGACGGCTTGAACCATCTGCGCAAACAGCAGACGTGCCTCAACGTCGTTCGGCGGCGGTTCCTTGTAGATCAGCGTGCGGCGACGGATGACCAAGCGAGCGTCGCTGCAACCGACGACGGGAATCAGGGCCGCAGTGGGGCTGGGCGCGGGCTCGGCTGCTTCTTTGGCCTTGGCTTTCGCGCCCTTCTTTGGCTTGGGCTCGACAAAGCTGGCCGATTTGAGCAGAGGCTTCTTGCTGTCGACCAGGATGGCCGGCTCAACAACGGGCACCGGCACTGCTGGAACGCGCAGGTTGTTGTAGGTGTTGGTAAACACGGCCGTCTTGCGCTTTTCGCCAATCAGGTCTTCGGTTTCCTTGGGCTCCGACTTGCGCTTCTTGTCACGCACAGTGCCTTTTGCATTGTTCTTGGACTTGGCAGCTTCAGCAGCAGCATTGGCTGCAGAGATCTGAGCATCCTCAGCAGAAATGATGCCACCCGCACTGTCGTACGCCAGGCCAGTGATGGCAATCGAGGGCGCAGCGACAGAAATAGCACCTCCCACACCGCTCGGGTTGGGATCCGAAATGGACGTGCGCTTGGCCGTTTCCCACTCGGCAAGAATGTCGCCAAAGTACTCGACACCACGAACCACGCGCGGCTCGCGGTCGGGAATGGACTCGAACAGGGCAAAGCCTTCGGCAGCGTCCAGGCCGATGCGAACGCACGCTATTTCGAGCGCCTCACCCACCGTAGCCACGAGCTTGACGGGGATGATGTGAATGGAGCCGTCCACGCACGTAAAGGTGCAGTTGATGGCCTGCTGGGTGCGGATGTGATCGCACTCCAGCGAAGACGGGGCAAACTTGCGAACACCGTTGAGCTTGACCGCCTTGACTGACTTGGAGACGTACGCGGCAAGCTTGCCGCTGTCCTTGTTCTTGAACTTGGAGGCATGCTGATCAACATGTGCCACAAAGTCGCGGTACAGCGAGTTGGACGGGGCCACAGCAGACGCCGTAAACGCCATCAGCGTGTAGGCACGGTCAACCTGGTCTTGGTTTTCATTCTGGTTGGAGAGCTGCACCAGCTGGAAGAAGAGCTCATCGCGGATTTCCGGCTTTTCGATGGCCTTCTGGATCATGGCACGCACGAGCGGGTACTCGTCCTTCTTGCTCGCGCCATTCTTGACATAGCGGTAGACCTCCTTGTACATGGCGACGGCAAAGGCAATGCTTTGCTGGTCCTCCATCTTGACGAACGAGGTGGAGACGGTCTGCACGTTTTGGAAGGTGCACATCTCCTCGGCCGTCATCGAGCCGACCTTGGAGGTGGACAGGGAGGCGAAATGCGCCTTGCGCATCTTGTCATGCATGTTGATGTGTTTGAAGGCGTACGACATGAGCGAAGCGTCCGCAGGAGCGGTGTCGACGTTCATGTTGTGCTCGGTCAGGCGCTTGGTCAGGCGACGATCGCGGCGTTCCTTGTCGGCCTTCTTGCGGGCAGGATCTTTGACAGCGTCGACCAGCAGGCTGCTGAGCGCGGCCAGATCGCTGGTGGCGTTGCCCTTCTTGGAAGGCTTGCCCTTGATGGACTTGGCACGAGCACGGCGAGTGTTGCGACGCTGGCGTTTGCCAGCCTTCTTCTTTTTGGTCTTGGCATCGTCGTCCGAGTGATCGGCAAGCTCGTCGTCATCGTCATCGTCGTCATCATCGTCGTCGTCATCGTCATCCGAGCTGCTGGAGGAGGAGGAAGATTCAGCCGCTTCAGCTTCTTCTTCCTCGTCTTCTTCCTCGTCCTCTTCGGCGTCCTCGTCGTCTTCGGCATCGCCTTTGCCCTTTTTGGAAGACTTGTCAGCTCGCTTCTTGCGCTTCTCCTCCAGACGCTTTCGCTTGGCCTCAGCCTCGGCAGCCTTGCGCTCGCGGGCCTCCTTCTTTTCTCGCTCGCGCTTTTGCTTTTTGAGCGCACGCAGCAAATCGCGTGCAAACCAGCCACGCACGTACTTTTGCAGCACAATCGCAGAGGCAATCTTCTTTTTAAAGTTGTGACGCTCGAGGTACTGGCGGAAGCGCGACTGGAAGACAATCGCTGCCCGACGGAGCGTTTGGTACTCGTTGTACTGGTACCAACCGCGCCAAATCTTTTGCACGGTCACGGCCATGCGCGCGAGCAGCCTACGGCGCAGGTCCTCCAGCGGATCAAAGACGCGCTGGCGGAAGAAGAGCTTGGTTTTGCCGACCTGCCATTCGGTGGTGGGCAGGCGGAGCAGCTCCATAATGGCCCGGCAAGCAGCTTGCTCATCGTCACCCATGGCGAGCTCGCGGGGAGCGAGACAGCGGTACTTTTGCAAAAAGTCGTGCGCCTTAATCTTGACGGGGAAGCCAATCTTGCGAATGCGGATGATGTCGAGCATGCCAGAGTAACGGAGCTGCGTCAGCACCATCTGGCCGTCGAAAATGTTGGGCTTCTTGACCGAGTTTGGCTTGATGCATCGCACGTACCACGGCATCGTCGTGCTCAACACTGCCACCAGGCTGTTGAGCTGGTCCTTGAACACGGAGCTGACGGTCGCAATGCCCTTGGCCTTGCCGCGTTCCTCCTCGACCTTCTTTTCGCTCACGCCAATGTTGCCAGCGCCTTCCGCCATGTCCTTGTACTTGCAGAGCTCCTTGACGAGGTCGTCGCCAGAGCGGCTCATGGCGTCAAAGAGAATGTCCTGCTGAATGTCCTTGTTCTTCTCCAAAAAGTTGGTCACCGTGTAAAAGACATCACCGGCAAAGTGGGTGACACCAAAGCGCAGCTTGACGAGGCGCTTGTCGGTGGGCTTGGTGTAGCCGGGAATCTTTTCAAGAGCCGCGTGCTGCTTCTCGAGGTACGTTTCGTCGCTGCCCTTGGGGAACTTGCACTCGTCGTCCAGGTACTTGAGAATGGCGTTCGGCGGCTTGTCAATGAGGTCGAGGACGGACTGGTTGTCCGTCCAGTTGATGTGCGCAAACTCGATGCCTTCCTCCTGGTACTCTTGCTGCTCCAGCGAGAAGCAGTAGTTGTTGAAGAACTTGTGCAGTTTCTCGTTGGTGTAGTTGATGCACAACTGCTCGAACGAGTTGATTTCAAAGTTTTCAAAGCCGAAAATATCCAGGACACCGACAAACTTTTTCGACTTTGAGCCAGGGTTGGTGCACGCGTTAATGTGGTGGATGAGCAGCGTGAACAGACGAGAGTACAGCGCCTTGGCCATGGCGCCACGGTTGTCGTGCGCCTGGGACAAGCGGAGCGGAATGTCGGTGACGGTGCCGCGGACTGCAAGTTGGCGGAAGGAGAGGGCCTTCTTCATGGAGGCCTCGTCCACCTTGAGGAGATGGCTCAAGCGCGCGATGAGTTCGTTGTCCTTGGACGTGAAGGTGATGGTCTCGCCGTCCAAATCGGCAAACTCGAGCTGGCCCATCCAGAGGATGGACGACAGAATGTTAAAGACGGCGTCCTGCTGCTGCGGGTTGATGTTGAGCACCGTCATGGCCAGTCGCAGGTGGTCAAAGTCCTTCTTGTCGTCCATGCCGGGAATGTCAATGCAGCCGCTCTTGTTGAGGTAGTTGTACTTGCTCGGATCCTCCACATGGTACTTTTCGCGAATCTCCTTGTTGGCCTTGGCGCCCGCGCACAACTGGTAAAACACGTGGTAGTTGCGCTCGTCGGTCGCCTGGTTGATGACGCGCGACTGCTCCAGCAGGTAGTCCTGAATGATGCAGCCCGTGATGTTGATTTCGCGATCAAAGCAGACTTGCGTAAACTTGCCAAAGCGCGACGAGTTGTTGTTGCGCACGGTCTTTGCGTTACCTGCCAAACAAAACAAACAAACAAACAAAGAAATGGTGCAATCATCCCACAAAGAGCCCCCCCCCCAAAGAGAGTGAGAAGACAAGCAAATGAAATTGTGTGGAAATCGAGTTGTTGTTGTTGTTGTTGTGCTTTCCCCAAGCGATTTTTTTTTGTAGTGTTACCAAATGCTTCGAGGATGGTGTTGGCCTCCATGATCTGCTGCTCAATCCACTTGGGGTTGGAAGTGACGGCGGTCAGGTACTGAAGGATCAGCTTTGTGTTTTCGGTCTGTCATCATCATCATCAAACGAAATTTTTGTGAGTGTGATTGAAAATAAAATATACCAATTAACAAAAAAAAAATCATAAAATCAAATCAAAATCAAAAATAAAATAAGATGGGAATGTGCAAAGCGTGGATTTCCGCATCCGAAAAGAGAGAGAGAGAGGGAGAGGGAGAGGGAGAGCGGCACAGAATGCAACGAAACGAAACCAGAAGGATAGGGAAGGGACGACAGAGCGCACCGGAAACGAGGAGGGAGCGACGCAAAAAAACCCACAAACGAAAAAAAAAAAAAAAAAAAAGAAAAAAAAACCAAAAAAAAACCATCACTGTGCGGTTTGTTGATTTTTGGTAAGTTTGGGAGTCACACGCCCCTCTTCCATTTGACGATGGGGCTGCTTGCACGCACTGCAAAGCAGGTGCGCATGCGAGTGCAAGAGCAGTGGTTCGTGCAGTGGAAGGCGAGGCGGGCGAAGAGCGTCGCTGAGTGGAGCGTTTGTGAGAATGGCTTCCCAACCCGTCGCCTTTGTCGAGATCTCCAATCGAAAAACGGTGGGGAACCAAAGGGGAAACAGCCACCACCATCGACGTGCCCACTGCCACCATCCAACGAAGCGAGACAACACACACAGCCGCAAAGGGGCCCCCCACATGGAATGAAGGAATGGGGGACGAGGGAGGCGCGGTGGAAGAGCGGTCATTCAGGCTGTCAAAAAAAAAAAATTCGACCAAAATAAAAAAAAAAATCGACAAAAAAAATAAAAAAAATAATCGCATTTCTGCGACTCGCCATCTTGTGGTTGCCAGTCTGCGGGCGAGCGTGCGACGGAGGAAAGCAGGCAGCTAACACGACTTGCACTCTCACTCAAAGCACCAGTGAAGAGAGAGACCCGACTCGAATGAATAAAAAAACCCCAACTCTTCCGCTTTTTTTTTTTTTTTGTGTGTTTGTGTTGTTATTGTTGCTGCTGTTGTTGTTGTCGTCGTCATGTTGTTACCTTGCCGGCGCCAGACTCGCCAGAGATGATGACGGACTGGTTCTGGTTTGAGTTGCGAATGTTGTCGTAGGTGGCTTCTGCGGTGGCGTAGATGTGGGGCGGGAGGGCGCCCATGCGCTGCGAAGTGTACTCGCGAACGCGGTCTTGCTCGTAAATCCCAGGAATGCTCTTGAACGGATTCACGGCGACCAGGATGGTGCCCGTGTACGTGTAGATCTGGTCCCGCTTGAACCGCACATCCAGGTTCACCTTGATGCCTTCTTCGTCAATGTCGTCGACCATGGTCATGTCTTCGACACCGTCCTCGACTTTGAACTTTTTGATGCCAGACTTCAAAAAGTCATTGTCGTCTGCCATCGCTTCGTTCAGATTTGAATTGATTTGAAAAGGAATGAGCTGCGATGTGGCGAGGCTGCACTTGTGGAAAATAGGGAGATACATGTACATTGTCGGGATTTCACACACGAGCTGAGGATGGATGGATGAGTAGGGATGGCCGAAACGAACAGCTCGAATGTCAAAAGTCGAAAAATCCAACAAAATCCCAAAAAATTCAAAATTGAACAAAATCCAAAAAATCATTCGCCCAAATCTCCATTTTTGTTGGAAAGAAAAAAAAGGGCATGTACGATTCGCTTCCAATCGCATGTCCTCATGACTCAAGCGACAAAATCACACGCACAAACACACACCAATTTCAGAGGTGGCGTGTTTTTTTGTGTCGAGTGTCGTGAATGATTTTTTCAGTCCACTTTGTCGCTGTTTCGTTTCATTTTTATATTCTTTCATCTTTTTTCGTGTTGAGGTTTTTTTTTTTTGATCGTTCGTTCGTTGTGGAGTCGCAAAGATCATGAACGGCATCATCGTCCTATGCCACTTTTGCGAGCTCCACGGCCCCAGCGTGCTGTTCTGCACTCAGGTAATCCGAAACCCCCCTTCAGAAATAACTCGATTCACAATCGCCGCTTTTTGACACAATGGTCTCCACAACAGCCACAAACCTGGCACACACACACTCTCGCGCGCGCACTTTCCCCACGATTGCATCGTACATGGGATGCCCTGGTGTTTGTGTGTGCATCAAAGTGTGTGCATCGAAGTGTGTGACTTTGATCGTCAGCAAATTTTCGCGCCGCCTCACATGCTCTCTCACCCTCCCTGCCCCCCTCCTGACTTTCTCGATGACCGAAAGCAAGAGGACTTGGAAAGACGATCCATCATGTGCTCACCCTCCTTTTGATCTCGCGCGCGCGTGTGTGTGCCTATGTGCCTGCGTGTGGCCGTCCGTTTGTTCAGGCCTTCCATAGCAATCACGATCCGCTCGAGGCATTCACCACCACGAGCGGCGCTGGAGGAGCAGCAGTGTCGCAGAGCCACGCTGGTGGTGCAAATGGCACAGGACTGAACAATGGCAAGGATCTGGACACGGCGAGCTACTACGATAGCGAGTTTGGCGGCCGCGGTGGCTATCTCCCGCCACTGAGCGAGTCGTCGCGGGACATGAGCCGCACTGCGTCCCACTCGACCACCACAACAACCTCCAACGCATCGTCATTGGACGTGCCATCATCGATTTCTTCTTCTTCTTCTTCTGCCGTTGCCGCGGCAGCAACCGCCGCTGCTGGTGGCATGCACACGCCCAGCCCCAATCGACGACGTATCGGCCATCTCGCTGCTGCCAGCCCTGGCTCGCCAGCAGCCAGCAACTCGACCTGCTCGTCCTGCCGCTCTCTTCCGGACGACATGCCCGGGTTTATCACAAACGATCACACCACTCGGATTAGCTACATTTCCAGTCAGTACCCGGATCATCCTTCGCTCTACAGTCATGTGCGTCAAGCCTGTGTTCGCAGGCAAGTGCATCCTCGTCTATTACTGTGTGCTTTCCTGCCAACGGGCGTTTGCTTTCTCAGCAGAATCCAAGGACAACAGGAGCACTTGGCATGGGGGGCCCTCGAGCATTTGACGTTTTTTCTCTTCTCCCTGGCTCACAATCTGTGTTTTTGCCTTGTTTTTGCTCTGCTTTGATTCTACGCCAGTCTAAGTTGCGAGGTTTGCCCTGGCCGGGAAGGCGCTGTTATCTTTGGAGACGACAAGTCTGGCTATGTGTTTAGTTATACCTTTTTTGTGCGAGATGCACAGGCGCGCGGCTTTCAACGGTGGTACAGCATCATTTCGTTGATGACCGATCGCATTTATCTTGTTAATTCGTGGCACTTTCTCGTGTCCTCTTCACGAGAGCTAATCTCAGACCTCCAAAAGCGTGCCAATCATCGGTAAGATGTTTCGCATTTTGGAGCGTGTGACAATTTTGCGAGTGCCCAGTCGGCGAATTGCTGACCTGTTTTGATATTTTGATACGGTGGGCTTGTTTGGTGCGCAGATTCGAGGCGGATCAGGCCAAGAAAACCGCCGAAGCTCGCTTTGCCAGCCCCGGAGTTGGCTCTGGATTTGGGTGAGCGCGCGTTCTCGCCCAGAATGCGTGATCAGGAGGTTTCCCCAGCCAGCTCATTTTTCCTTTTTTTTGCATGCCATCATCAGTATGACTCCAGACCAGTTTCGAAGACGACGTGGTGGCCACCAGGCTCTTCGCTCCTTGCAAGACTTGAGCGGCGACGAGAGGCTCTTTTCAACCGTTCACACCGCGTTTGCGTGGACATTGAAGGCCTGTGGCGAACGAATGTTTGAACGTCAAATAGAAGGGCCGCCATTGGTAACTGCCGCCTGCCACTTGTGGTTGTTCCACAAACGAACGCGCATCCTCAGCACTTTGTTGAACAAACCATTTCTGTATTGGTCCCTCATTCGATTGTCTCACGACACTCGCAGATTGCTTCAGGTCATCCGGCGGACCTTACCAACCAATATGAGATGATTGACCGTGCGGGCACATTACGCTTTGCGACACTTTCCGAGCTCATCCAAGTGATAGGTACAGACCAAATCAGCATGCCGTGATTCTCAGAATTGATGCCGAGCTGCTCACCCTCTCTCTCTCTCGTCCTCCATCCACAGGCATCGAGGTCTTTACTCTGTTGTTATTTAATGTGGTAATTGGCAACCAACTTGTCGTTCGTGGACCCGACCCGACAATGGTGGCATCGTGTTTGCGACTCGTACAGGTATGTGTCGGTTATGCTTTTCGTCCAAAAGAGTTTCTGATGCACAACGCAACCTTCTTCGTTCCTTGGAACTTATTCGTCGGTTGCATGACAGGACTTGATTCCTATCGGGTGTTGCAATGTCGACTATCGCTCCACGGTCTACAAGGACAGCTGGCAGTGCAATCTCCTCGGCCTGACTGCGACTGCTGAAGTACCGCCTCATGTGGACACACACTCGTATGTTCTACTGGACATGACGTGTGAAGAGCGACCTCCCGTCACCACTGAAGTGGCTGACGGACATCAACATGCAAACGGAGCCACACGTCCTGTGACTGCGAGTTTTAGCGACCAAAGCAATGGCAGTCACAGCGTCGACATGGCGACCGCCGAATTTCAGCTGCTTTCTCACGGGAGATCCTCCCCTCCAAACTTTTTGAGCGATAGTCAAGCCAGTATGCGCGGAATGCATAGTGTCGCCGACAGTCTCGCCACGTCGCAAATGCACGAACCAAATGGCGCAAACCCGCCCGGCTCGACGGAGGAGACGCTCCTGCGAGCTGCCCGTGCTAAAATTTCGTCCGTCCCATCGGTGCACGTGAGCGACATGTCCAGCAACAGCACCCACCCCACCAGTCAAGGCTCTGCGTATTTGCCACCACCACCAGCCATCCCTTCCTCCGCTTCGGCAGAGACCGCCGAGCACGCACGTCGTCTCTCGACCGATTCTTTCTCCATTTTGCGCTTTGCGGCGTATGCCTTTTCCGTGACGGCATCCAATCAGTCCGAGGCCGAGACGGGCAACTCGTTCACCAAAAAAGTACTGGCCATCCTCCTTGGCACAATGTACACTGACGCTGTCAAGCACGAGTTTGTGGTGACTCTCAAGGAAGAGTGGATGCAGTGAGTGCTACTTTTGCGAAGTGTTTTGTTCGCCAAAGCGGTTTCCGTCCCGCCCATTTGCCTGTCGTTTTTGAATGTTGCATGTTTCGCGCCTCACTGCTTGATACTGACCAATCCCATTCCGTTGCTCGTACCTTTCGTCCACAACCAACAGCAAAGCCAAACTCTTCTTCAAGTTCTCGAAAGAAAACGCGCGCAAAGACGGCTACAATCAGCGGTTGAACCGTCTACTCAAAGCCCTCGACATCAAGGATGATGATTTGCCAGTTCTGCGATTTTGGACTACCGGATTGAGCAAGAAGCATCGCACCAAGCTGCTCCTGGCCACGCAATAACGTTCTATTGATTGAAAGCATTTTTTAAAACCCAAAATATCATGGTCACCTTCCAATTCAGTTGTCCAAACCAATCAATGACAAAACAATAAATCCAAAAAAGCAGAGCAAAGCATCAAATAGAAAAAACCCCAACACGAGCAAAAACAAACAGAAAACAGAAAACAAAAACAAACAAACAAACAAACAAACAAACAAAAAACAAAAACACAAAATAAACAACAGCACCCTGCCTCTAGTTGCCCTTTCTCATTGAATCCTTTTGCTGCTGGTGGTGGTACTGCTGAGCGCAGTGGCAGAAGGGCTGAGCCGCTTCCTTGTTGCCCAACTGACCGACGTAGAGCTCGCACACGAGCGAGCAAACCCGTCCATCGACATTGCCGTAGGGTACGGCCATCAAGAGGTCGGTGTAAGCATCCACGGCTTCCTGCTGGTGTCCAGCAAGTAGCAGCGCATCTGCGTATTGCAGCAGCGCCACAGGATCGCGCGGGTTGCGATCATGCACCATCTTTGCGTGGTACGCGCTTCGGAACGCAAGCACAACGTCTGGCGTGCGGTCCGTCACCGTCGGCATGTCCGGGCTCAGACCCGTATACTCCCGCAACGATTGCTGAATGTACTCATCGAGATAGTAGTCATCAGTCACAGGTGCGGTCTGATCGTGCTCGGAGCGGCGGGCGTCTCGTTCCTCAGCTTGCCAGTCGTAATAGTCGGCTAGCAAGCGGTGTGCCTCGACAAAGACGCCAGGGAGGATCCTGACGGCCGATTCCAAAAGCTGGACGACGAGCAAATCCTTTTCTGGCTCGGCCAGGGTCTGGGCAAGCGCAAGCGCTTCAGACAGTTGATGAAGCGCAACCAGCTCCCAGTCAATCTGTTCTGACGAGCTTTCAGAGAGCATCCGCGCGTGTCGAAGAAGGACGTCTGCGCGCTTGTACTGCTTCCGTAGCAACAAATCCTTTGCCAGAATGGTGAGATACCGGCAGTAGCGACGAGGTCCAGAGTTGTCCTCCGAGACAGGGTCGGCTTGGAAGACATTCGACACCAATGCAGGAATGAGTTCCTCGACAGTAGCTGCGGGCCACAGGGTGCGATTCAAGACAAGCTCCCGGTTGAGTGAGACCGGCAAACGTGGGAAGCTGCTCTCGTCTTCGGGGTCTTCCGGCGAGGCCAACGCGACAAGCTTCAAATCCGACTGCAACAATCGCCTTTGAGCATCCACCTGTGCCAACGCCTGGACGACACTGGAGAGCTGCAACGTAGGCGGGGTGGGGCTTTCGGCCTGGGTCGCCGCATCGGGAGCGTTCGCGCCAGCCTGCTGCTCCATGCGCCGTTGCCATTCCTTGGAAGAGGCTGCTTGCAGTTTGGCGTTGCGGGCCTGAGCGGCTTGCTCGGCCAGATCGACGCCTTGCAGAAGTGCACTCAGATCAAAATCTGCACACGAACCGCTCCAAGGCGCGCCGTGGATGCACTCGACGCCCATGAACGCCATGTTGAGCACGGTGAAGGGGACTGGCTCGACCGCCGCCTCGTGTGTCGGTGCTTGCTCAGCCTGTTCTCGCTCGTCTGCCATGCTGTCAAGGAACGACTCGCGCAGCTCACGCCGCAGCTGGATGCGTTCCGTTTCGGACAGATCGGAAAACCCAGGAGCGGCTTCCATGGACTCGATGAGTTGGAGCATTTGGTTTTCGTGGTCGCGCTGCTTTTTGACATGGCGATTGCTGTCACAGCTGCCTCCCTGAGGCGTCGTCGCAAATCGGCTGATGGGTGGCAATCGCCCATGCAGCAGCGCCCCGTCAATCACAACGAGGCGGTTTTCGAGACCAGGAACCACCCAGCCACTCACTGGACCAGTGGAACCGCTCTGCGCATCGAATGCTTGAGCCATCGTTTGGTTGACGATCAAGCTTGCACTCACCGAGTCCCGGCGGCCAAACAGCGCCAGCTGCGCGGTGAACAATGGGTGCGCCGTCTGTTCGCGGGAAAATTGCCATTCCTAGATCCCAATTGAAGATGAAAGCAACAAAAGGCGCGGCACATGATGCAGTTAGGCAGAAAAAAAACAAACAAAAAAAAAACAAGGAAAGAGGTATTGACAATTCGCAACAACAAACCCTTCCTTCCTTGCCGCGAATCACTTCCCCCTGTCCTCACGGACAACTTTTCATACCTGATCATAGTGCCAATGAAGCGGGGCAAAGGAGTGGTTGAAGGCGGCCGAGCTTGTTTGAGGTTGTCGCGACACCCACCACTCGACGCCGGCAATGCGTTGTGCGAGGCTCTTGGACGTTGCCGCTGCCGATGAAGAGGGATCGACTACATTGGCACCGGATACAAGTGTGTGAACAATGTAATGAATAGCTTGCTCGACTTGGTTGCGCGGCTGCTGCTCGAGAGGGGAAGGATACCAGAACGAAGGCACGTTGTCGCGCGTGGGCGGATTGACGGCCGTCCAGTACGAGCTTTCTTGGCGGAACAAGTAGGCCAAGTGCATCAGCAGATTCAAGGGGAGCACATTATCAAAGGCCTGTACAGGCTTGGCGAGCGTGTAGGGACTGGGTTGTGTCGCCACCGCGGACGTTGTGCTGGCGGAAGCAGACCCGTCGGACTCGGAACGTCGCAATGCAGACACTTTTGAAAAGACTCCGGGACTTTCGCGGAGCCCAGGATTGGTCAGCGTTGAGCGGTAGTCCTCGTGTGGATAGACTTGTAGCACAGAGAACGACAAGCCCAATGGAGTCTCAGGTTTGCCCGCGGCAACTCGGCGGGCGTTTTCAGCGCGAGCTTTGCGTGTTGCAGCGTCGCCCTTTTGTTGAAAGTATTGCCTCGGATCGAGGCGGTCGAGGTTGAAGTGCTTCTCTGTCACCGACAGCACGTCCGTCCACATGAGCCGGCTGGTGGTATTCAGAACGTCAAAGGAGAGGGGCAGCTGAGGATCCGAGACGAGTCCGTATTGTTCCAGGGCTTTGGAGGCATACCCCAGGCTCACGAGCGTCTCAATGTAGATTTGTCGGATTTCGCGCTCTTCGACATCGTCTTCGAAGCGGTAGTCGTGGCGGAGCTGCCCGTTGTGCTTGGATAGCCGTGGGCGACGTGGCGACTCGTTCGAATCGCCGGCCTGGCTTCCTTCCATGAGAACGGCCCTGTCCTGGGCAATCTTGACTTTGGCGTCAAGATGGAGCTGGCGATGGGTGGCCAACTCTTCCAGCGCGCACTCTGCATAGTTACGTGCAGCTGGAAACTGGGCAAGCTGCGCTCCAATCAGGCGCGTTAAAAGAACACACTCATCGGCACGCAAGGTGCGGGCCGGTAAGCTTGACGGAGCGTTGCTGTCATCCTCTAAAGCATCAGCTTCACCAGCCGCGACATAGGCATCCACAGCAAGGACATGCAGTCCAGCCTTGCTTAGCGTATCGCCGAGATGCAGAAGAGACACCTTGTCACGGACGGTTGCTGGCAGCGCGCTGACATAGTGGCTCAGGTGTTCGGCACCTTTGCCGGCAAATTGCTCAAAGGTCGCAGCGTCGTGCGCAAAGTATCCGGCAAGCAGCTCATGCAGCCACGGGAAGTGGCCATGTCCTATTTCACGCAGCGCAGCATCAAGCTCGAGCAACAGCAGGCGGCGCAAGTGTACGGGCGAGAATTGCAACAGTTCTTCCACATTCGTTGCAATGGTCAACAGCGCTTGAGCTGTGCTGTTGCCTTCAGGCGCAACATCCACCGCCGCGGCCGCAATCTGTTTTGCGCTCGATAGCTGTGCATCCGAAATGTGATGGTGTGCTGCTTCCACTAATTCGTCAAACGAGGCGCTCCCATCGAGATTGACGGGTTTTGGAGGAAGACGCGGCTGCGGCGGACTGGCATTGCTCTTTGCGCGCGACTGCGCGCCAGTATTCTGCGCCGTCACTTTTGGCTTGTGCTGGCCAGGATGCTTGGTGATGGAATCTTCTGTCGCATCATGATCATCATCATTGTCGTCTTCAACCGAGACATCCGAGGAGGTTGGGTTTTGCAGTCCATCGCGGTGAGGTTGCCGCGACCGAGCAAACGACGACGCTTTGTCTGTCGATGCCATTCTCTGTGCCCTGGCGTCATCCTGTACGCCACGACCGCGAAGGCGACCGTGCGCACCGAACGCAAACGTCGATCGCGAGTCTCGGTGCTGCTTGGACTCGGCCTCCCAGTCCAGCGTGAACGTGCCATCGTCGTTGTCGTCAGCCTTGTCCGTATTGGCATTCGCAGCACGGCCATCGTCATGGCGATGGAATGGCCTGCTCTTGGCTGCTGGTGTGTCATCCAGACTTGGCTTGAGCAGCGCATCTGACGTGTCGGCTCGCTCTGCGTTCGCCTGCATGGCTACGACGGCCGCACACACGGCAAGCGCGATCAGCAACCATGGTGCTGCTACTGCAGCCATCCTCCAACGGCCGGTGGCGCGTTGCACAAGCTGCTTCTTGCGGTCGCGCATATTCGGCCTTCAGTCAGTCAGCAATTTGGTTTTGGTTTCAATGCAAGCGCACACCAACAAAAAAAAAAAAAAACGGACTGATGGCTGTTGCCTGCTTTCTTTCCATCCAATACAGCACATTTGAGCACAACGCGAGGTTGTTCATCTCCATGGAAAGCCAGAGTCTGAGTGACCGAGCTCTCGCACGCTGGATGTTGTTGCTTTGTCGTTGTGTTGCTGTAGTTTTGACGATATGTTTTTCTGTGTTATTTTGCGTGTCGTCCAGTCTTTGTTCAGTATCACTTTTAACTTTGTACCAGTGGTTCGCGGTGAGTGGGCGTTTGTTGCCATCCCATGATCAGCAGCACGTAGTCGTGTGGACCTCTGTGTCGCGGCGAATCACGCTGCCACTGCCATTATTGCTCTTCACGAAGAACGGGGCATCACGAGCATGTCACGAAGGATGGCGGTTGGTTTTTGGGCGGTTGGGTTGAACGGGGAGGAACAAGGGGAAGCCGCAAAACCCAGCGTCACAGCAGATCTGGTGTTCCCTCCTCCCCTTCGTCTCGCGAGTCAGGAATGGAATCCCCACTTGAGGATACACCACCTGAGGCCCCTGTTCTTGCGTCTTGGTGTCTGCCAGGCCGAATCCCGCACGAGACTTGAGGAGAGGGGCTCAAAAATAGCGGTTTGTTGTTGGTTCTGGTTGTTTTTTGCGGGAGAGACGCTTAACGAGACAGAGAGAGAGAGAGAGAGAGAGAGAGAGAGAGAGAGAGACTGTTGAAGATGCAGACAGCCTGTTCTACCCTTCAAACAAAACCAATCGCGACAGAGGCAGCGATCGCGATCTCGCATATTGGTCGATTTGGGCTGCTTCTGAGCGAGATCGTCGTTTGGACTGTAAAAATGCAATGCAGACAAAGCGCGCATTGCGGCCGCTGTTGCCCCCTCCCTTCGTCTCGATTTTGTTGCTCGTCGTTATATCATTGAGACGCGAGATGCACTATCTTGATTGTCTTCTCGCTGATGTCAAATGGCACGACGACGAGAACTGGTTTGTTTTTTTGGTGACGACACGAGCGCCACAAAAAAAAAAAAAAAAAAAAAAAAAAAAAAAAAAAAAAAAAAGTCAAACCGCGATTGTTGGTTTTTTTTTTGGTTTTTTTTTCCATTTTTCTATTTCTTGCGCCGTTCAGCTGCCTCATCTCGAGACAGAACTTCCCCCCAAAGCATAATGCAAACCACACACAATGGCGAAATGGACGAGTTTATGTTGTTGATGTTTTACTTCCCTGTTCATGTTCCACTGTGTGTTCAACTCCACTCTTTTTTTTTCTTTGCTTTTGTAATGGCGGTTTTTTTGTGTTATGGCTTTTTTTTTTTTTTTTGAACCTGACAACCAACACAAACGCATACAAACGCATACACGCATTTGTGAATGACGGGGGAGGCGTGGTTGGATGGACTGCTGCTTGCTTCCCAGCACTAAACGCGTCTCTTGGGCGGTGCGCGCGCGCGTGTGTGTGGGTCTGGGACGTGCTGGTGTCCAGGGAGACGGGAAAACGCCGCTGTGGAGGTTTTTTTTTTTTTTTTTTTTTTGGGATTTGGATCTCCATCCAATTCAGATCGCTCCACCCGCCCACTCAACCAGGCTTTTCCCCCAAAGCGGTCCTCGGCGTTTTGTCGCGTCATCTACGCCGTTCCTTGCTTTTGCTGTTGCCCCCACCTTGCATTTTCGAATTCGCCACGACGACTACTGGCTTGTTGTAGTCCATGCGGCTTACAGCGTCGGCTCTGAGACCAAATTCGCCAACCCAACTGTTGGACCTTCCTCTTGTCTGTTCTGTCGCGTCGTCCTTCTCTCCTTGCCTGGTCTTTCGTTTCTCCTACTATCCTACGCTGTGGTTGTGTGTGTGTGTGTGTGAGGTCCTATGGGTCGCCTTCCTCTTCTCCTCAACAACTAACCTACCATTTTCGGGGCCAATTGCCTTAAAGAACAAGTTCTTCCACCACGAACACGCGCGTGTCTCACTGCTTGTTGTTGACGCTATTGTCTTCCACAGGTCTGAATAGGAACGAGAAGCATCCCTCTCGTACTACAAGCATACACACACACTGAAGCAAGGAACACAAAGTGCCTCCACGTTGCGTTGGGAAAAAGGGTTCCAATTTCCGACAAACAGTCTTTTTTTTTTTTTTTTTTTTTTTTCATTTTTGAATTATTTCCTTTTTTTTTTTTTGACGCTCTTTTCTCGTCGACTTTGCGAGAAGTCCGTTGACAACAACAACAGCAACAACAACAACAACAACAACACACACACACCTCCCATCTGGTGGTCTCGAGCGCGGTGAGAAAATGGGCGCGGGCCAGTCTGCCGAAGGAGGCGCTGCCGCTGCGACCGAACCGCACGGCATCAAGCGCACTCGCTCAAGCCGCAAGGACAAGAAGCCCAGCGGCAAGTCGCCCGAGAGCGAAAGCGAAGTCATGCCCGGCTCGCTCAACGGCACCCTGCGCGGCGAAGACCCCGAGCTCATGGCCTTCATGTACGGCGACGCCGACTTTGACCCAATGTCCGACTCGTTCGTTGCGGCCAAGCCTGCTCCTGCCCCGGAAGCGGAGGCTCCCAAGAACAGTAGCAACAATAACAACAACAACAACAACAAGAACAACAATCCACCCAAAGCTGCCGGAGGAGCTTCCGCTGCTGGGGGCAATCTGTGGGGCGCGCCGAGCCAGGCGAGCTTGGCCAAATGGGTGGACGACGACGAGAGTCTGTCGTCCTCCACGGGCTCGCCAGTGGCTGCTCGTGCGGGCAATAACAACCTCAAGCTGCCTGCACAACCGTCCGAGTTCCGTGGCAGCGCGAATTGGGGAGCAGTCGGGTTCACCGCGATTGGCGAGACAGACTACAAACCGTCCTTCAACGACGAACCGCGTCCTCAGCCGTCACGGTCTGGCACCCTCCGTGGCTCTATTCGCGCCATGAAGGACTCCAAGGGCGCCGCTCGACTCACCGCCTTGTTTGCAAACACTCCCCGCGCCTCCATGATGTCGCCCACCAAGCCGGAAGAGGCCAACAACGCTGTCGCCGCCAGAAAGGCCCTCTCGCGCTTGTCCATGGCCGGAGGCAGCATTGAGGACCTGAGTGGCGACATGACTGTGAGCACCAACGATGGCCAACGAAGACCCGTCCAGCCCGGCGAGCTTGCAGACTTGGTCGGCAACGAGTTTGACTTTTTGGCCTCGGCAGAATCGACCACCAGCATGACATCGGTGGGCAGCCCTTCCCTCGCCGGCGGCTCGCGCGCACCCACCAAGAGCTTTAGCTCGCTTGATGACGGTCTGGAAGTCGACGCGTCCTTGGAAGCCGCGCTCGTTCGCCAGCTCGAGCAGCAAGAGCGCGAGCTGGCCGAATTGAAGCGCCGACACTCGAAAATGCTTCTTGACGCGCAACCAGCCATGTCAGCGAACGACAACCTGTACGAAGTGCTTGGCAAGTCGGACGCTGGCGCCGCCACGACCAAGACTCACATCGAGACCGTGGAGAAGAACGGTGATCTGTATGCTCTGATCCAGCGCCCTGCTGGCAGCAAAGCTGCAGGGGCTCCCATCACAGCGGCAGAGGCAAACTCTGCGAATTTGCAGTTTGAGGGCATTTATGAGGCACCACCAGCGCCCTCTGGCCCGCCGCCGCCACCACCACCACCACCGCCGCCGCCGCCGCCACCGCCGCCGATGCCCCCGGTGCTTGCTGCTCCTGCTACCACGCCACAGAAAAGCTCAGAGGAGAGCGATACCATCATTGGCTTCACTCCCGCGGCTCCTACAGAAGCGCCATTCTCCTTGCCCGACAACCTGCCCTCGCCAACCTCGGCTACTCCCTCGGTTAACGCTTCTCGTCGCCCTTCTGCGACAGGCATCGTCCCCATGAGCTTCGGGCCAGATGCAGGCAAGTCTAAAAGCATGCAAGATTTGTCGTTGGACGAGCTTGTTGCTGGCGTTCTTGCCGAGCTTGATACGCGCGAGGATGCTCCTCCCATTACTGCAGCAGCAGCAGCAGCAACAACAGCAGCAGTGACCGCCGGCGTTGCACAGGCTGGCCCACCACCACCGCCGCCGCCGCCGCCGCCACCACCACCGCCGCCGGCTCCAGTTTCTGCCGAATCTGCTCCTCTGGCGCCCTCCGGCGCTCCGCCGCCGCCACCACCGCCTCCGCCTCCACCGCCGCCACCGGCTCCAGTTTCTGCCGAATCTGCTCCTCCGGCGCCCTCCGGCGCTCCGCCGCCGCCACCACCGCCGCCACCACCGCCACCGCAGCCGCCATCGGCACCAGTGGCAGTTCTTCCTGTCGTGGCTCCGACCGGCGCCGTTCCGGCTCCTCCTGCGTTCATTCCACCACCGCCGCCAGCGCCGCCAGCGTCCGTGGGCGCTCCGCCACCTCCGCCGCCTGGCCCGCCACCACCGGCGCCCGTTGCAGCACCGCCGCCCGCACCTCCATCATTGCCCGTTGCGCCTGTGGCGCCGACTCCTCCGCCAGCCCCAGCCGGCCCGAAAGAGCCCGCGTTGCTTGTTGTTGAGGTGGACGACACTTTGCCCAAGCGCCGCAAGAAGCCCCAGTTCGCTGCGCCTCCAGTACCCACCAACGAGATGCCAGCCAGCACCTTTTCAGAGAATTTTGTGATGCCCGACAAGCCGCCAACGCTCTCGCGTGGTTCTGGGCAGACTGCCGCTCGTGGAATCAACATTCCGACTCCCGCCGCAGCCCCAAAGGCACCTGCGCCGACAAAGTCACCTCCTTCTCGAAACGGTACCTTGCACGTTCGCGAGCGCACGAGCTCGTCGGCGTCCCAGGCTTCTCCTCGCAACGTTCCTGCTCAAAGTATTGCCGTCATGATGACGCCAGCCGTCCCAGCCCCGCAGCCAGCTGTTCTGAAAAGCGTTTCTCGCGGGCCTTCGCCACCCGTCTCACCCACCGGCCCGTCATCTCCAAACCCACCGCGTCCGTCACAGCAGGCCCCGAAGCCACCTTCTGCTCCACCCGCCCCTATTGCCAACCAGCCCTTGTACCAGAATGTCGCTGCTGCACAGCCCGCGCGTCAGACCATTCCTCCGCAACCCTTGTACGAAAACGCTGCGGCCGCGATGGCGCCTAAAGCGCCTCCCGCACCACCCGTCGCTCCGAAAGCAAATCCCGCGCCTACGCAAATCCCTCGGCCTGCGGGACACGCGCCAGCACCGCCTCCGCTCAATCTCTCTCAAATCTCCAACATGAAAGGCCAGACGCAGCAGCCACCAGTACAATCCCCGAGCCCGCGTGGTGCGCCCGCAGCGCCTCGCAAGTCTACCCCTCAGCCAGCCACTCCGTCCACGTTTGATGACATTGAGAACTTGCTCAACAGTCTGTCAAAGTAAATGCTGGGACTTTTTTGATTGTCTGGGTTGTGGGCATTTTGTGAATTCGCTTTTTTTTTTTTTTTGCTTTTATGATGTTTGTCTCTGTTGTCTCTGTTGTGTATGCTCCAAAAGAAAAGAAAAAAAAAAACAAATCTCTGATCAACTACCAAAAATTATCGCACTGGACCTTCTCGGGTTTGAGTTTAACCTCCTTTGAGCGTCGTCACAAACACAAGAGCAGAGACAAACACAAGAAGAACGGAGGGAGCTAACACACGTATATTCTCGCAAAAATTTTCAATTCATACAGTACTTGGGCAAAAATCAACCTCGCCTGGAACGTTTCACAGCACACCGAAAGCTGCGGCCAACCCTTGCTTGAACATCCAAGAGCGGAGAACACGACCGGGGAAGCGATCAGACTCGGCAGCGGGGCTGCTGGTCACTGCGTTCAGCGCGAGCTCAGCCATCGCTGGCGAGGCCTTGAACAGATCGAGACGCTGCTGGATCGTGGAGGAATCGCGGATGGAATGAAGCGCAAGCACCATGTTGCGCAGCGCCGACGCGTGCGCTGCCAGCGGCGGTGGAGATGTCAGTGCCGACGACTGCGATGAACACACGCCAGTCTTGTTGCAGTTCAGCGGGCTAAACGCCACTTGGAGCCCCTCCACCGCGAGTTCGTCGCCGTACAAAAGCACAATGTTCTGGCACATCCACAGAGTCCCACCAATAATCACCCTGGATTCGGGGCAGGTTTTCACAACATCGTCGATGGAGGCCTGGATTTCGACGTAGTCGTGGATTTGCACATCGTACAAATCTTGCATGGACTGCAGGCAGATTTCGCACTCGGACGCCGTGGGAAGCGGCTCGGCCGGCTTGTCCACGGGCAGAACACCAAGGTTGGACGACATCTTGGCGTAGAACTGATCGACTGCGGCAGCATTCTCGAGGGAGGCGTCGTCGTCGTCGTCGTCGTCGTCGGTATTGGCTCCACCACGCATGGCTGTCAGAGCAAAGGCATCGAGAACAAGACCGTCGTACTCGGTGGGGAAACCGCAGCCGTTGTAGTCGACCGCGCCAGTGGGGAAGCCGACGTGCACTTCGGCCATGGCCAGGCCAGAGCCATCGGCGTGAGCGTACATGGCCACGGAGGGAGAGCTGCCTTGGTCGAAGGCGGCGTGCGTGATGGAGGCGTGGCAGGCCGAAATGAGTGCCTGACCGGGGTTGGAGGCCGTGGCCGAGGCAACCTGCGCGACAAACGCGCTGTAGCGACCATAGTTGGCCGCGAGCACGCCCGAGTACGACTCTTGCACGACGTCGCACAATTGCGGGTAGGCGCGCTTGTTGTGCCAGTCGCAGTTGGTGCAGAAGCCGTCCTGGTGCACTTCGAGGAGCATGGCAGTCCCATTGACAAACTGCATCGCAACGGAGGGCGCCGTGCCGACATCCAGCTGGGGAGCTGCACCCAACGGGGCGGAGGAGAGGCCATGGCACTGCAAGGAGGTGGCGCCGGGCAGCGGCAAGCAGATTTGGACTGTCATTTTGACCAGGTTGATGCAGATGGGTGCGCCATGGATTGTGTTCTTGTCGGTGGAGAATGTGGCAAAGCCGGCATAGGCATCGGTGGTGGTGCAGGGGTAGACGAGGTAGGGCAGCACCTGCTCGGCTGCGGCAACGCTCGCCTTGGTGATGGTGAGCGCGGCGGACGAAACGCAAGTCGGAGTGCCCAGCGCAACTGGAGCAGAGGGCGAGGCGAGGGAAATCTCCCAGAGAGCCAAGTACGCAGGGCACGGGCCGGACGACAGCGGGGCCGACGGCACAAACGTGTGCAAGATGGTGATGGAGGTCTGCGACGCGTTCAAGACTGTGACATCGAGAGAGGCCTTCAAGGGCACGTACGGCGAGAAGCTGCCGTTGCCGAGAAGCGCGAGCGAGCCGAGGTCGGCCGAGCTGTACACATAGACGACATAGTTGCCGACAGCGTCAAGAACAATCGCAACAGGCTGCTGGGATGGACCAGAGGCTTGGGCCGAGATGCCAGCGGCTGCGATGGGCGTCGAAAGCGCAGTTGCGCCGGCAAGGCCGAGCACGGGCGCGGGAGCAACGGCACCAAAGACAGTCGTCGATCGCGTCACCTGGTAGCGGTGCACCAGTCCCGTGTCAGCCGTACCCACCGAAAAGACGGCCACGAGGTCGGGCACGTTCGCGTTGCTGGCAAGGGGTGCCGTCAGCAAGCGGGAGGCGGAAATGCTGGGCTGGGCGGCCAAGTGGGCATTCCACGCCTTTCCGCTTCGTGAAGCAGCAAAGACCTGGTACGGTGGGCAGTCACAATAGGGAGAATGAAACAAGTCAGCAGTGAGATTGGAAGTGCCCAGGCTTGAGCCCAAACGACACGACGCCAAAAAAAAGAAAAAAAAAGAAAAAAAAAAGAAAAAAAAAAGCGCTTTGTACCTCGTAATGCAGAGGGTCAGAGTTGATGGCGATGCGGAAGGTTGCATCATGCTCAACACCGCACGACACATAGGCATCCAACACCTTGAAGATGGAAGGTTGGTCTGTGCAGATAAAAAACAACAAGGCGAGTGAATTCTTGTTCCCAATGCTCAACACAATCGAAAAGTGGCCCCCCAAACCCTCACCAGTTGGTTCCCAGTACACCCAGGGCCAGGTCGAGTTGATAAATTTGCCAAACTTGGTGGGGCAGAGCGAATCAACATTCTTGTTGACGGGGTCGAAAGGGATGGGATTGGCTTCACAGTTGAGAACGGCATACTGTTGGCAGTTGACATCCGTGTTGTAGCACGAGGCCTGGTTGGTAATGTCAGCCGCGCTTGGACAGTACGTGGCGGCCAGACCGCCATAGCCTTCAGTGAGCAGCTTCATGTTGAGCTGGTTGGTGGTGATGGTGCGCGAGAGATTTGCGATAAACTCGTTGCGCAGACTGTCGACGACGGCCGGATTGACAAAGGGGTAGTTGTCGCTGTCAAACTTCCAGTCCGTGTACAGCGTGATGGTGCGATCGGGCTGCGTCAGGAGCGGGCGGATGGCCGGGTCGTTCAGAAAGTCCACCACGTCGTACGACGAAAAGTACGGGTAGAGCCGCGACGGCGGATCGTGCACGAGCAGCAGGCATCCACGCGGATCCAAGCCGCGCGAGACCACCGACTGCTGGGTTGCGCAGACGTGCGGCGGCGTGTGATGCCCGTCAATCTTGAACATGTCTGTGCCCTTGCGGATGAGCTGCGGCCATTCGCGCACGTCGTTGGCCGAGTGCACTTGGAAGGTGATGGATGCGCCCAGCGGCGACACGTCGACATTCTGCGCGTCCGTCGTCGTCGTAGTAGTAGTAATAGGAGTAGCACTGCTGCTCTGCGCCAACGCGCCACCTGCGGGTAGAGTTCAAATCAGGGAGGGTTGAGTTTAAAATTTGCGCACTTCCTCGGTTTTATGGAGCGAGCGAGCGAGCGTTAGAGGCACTCACGCACACACACACACACACACACACTCACACACACACACAGACATGGATTGCTGTGGAGCAATGGTCAGGAGTGACAGAGTGCGCTGAACGACCATTGCAAATTGGAACTCCGCCACTCCGCGTGATCGTCTCTTCTAAAAGTCCAGCTTTTGCACTGGCCAAACCCCCCCCCCCCCCGTCTCCTTCCCTCAACACACACACAGCAAGGACTTTTATCGGCACACAGTAACTGAAGCGAGCGAGCGGGCAGGCGAAACGGGGTGGGTGGGTTACCGAGGACGAGGAGGAGGAGCAGTCCTGCCGTCGGCCAATTCAGTCCTGCAGCACCCATTTTAAAAGCTTGCACAATGGGAGCGGAAGAAGAAAGAAAGAAAGAAAGAAAGAAAGAAAGAATGAATGAATAAAAGAAAGAAAGCAAAAAGAGCAATAGTGAAATGACTGAAAAACAAAACCTCAAAATCCATCCTTCAATGCAGATTGAAACAAAGACTTTGATAGTAGTCTGAAACAGCTCGGCATTGTGCAGTCATCCACTCCTATTTTCTTGGATTCCCCCCCCCCTTCCAAAAGCAATGACCAAGTTGGCTTACCCCGAAGTGCGTCGCGACGAGACCGTTGTCGATGACTATCACGGCACCAGCATTGCCGACCCTTACCGGTACCCTCCTCCGACCCTCCCCCCCTTTTCACCGTTCTGAGTTGCATGCATGCCTTACCGATCATCATCAGCATCATCAGCATCCAGATGCACGGAGCAATCCCATCCGCTTACCACTGGCTTGTTGTTTTTGGTTTTTGTTTGGTGTTGTGCAGCTGGCTCGAAGACCCCGACGCGCCCGAGACGCAGGCGTTTGTTGACGCGCAAAACACGCTGACCCGTTCCGTGCTGGATCAGTGCACCGTCCGCGAGCCGTTCGAGAAGCGGTGAGTGATGATGATTGTTCTGGATTCTTTGTTTTGCGTTTTTTCCTCCTTGTTCCCTCCTGCTCGTTTGCGATGGGCCTTGGCGATTTGGCGCGTTCTCCCAGTCGAAGGGCACGCCTTTAGGAAGAAGGCGCGGTGATTCGCAACAGGAGCGCGGTGGTTGATGGGGTGAGGGGTGGGTGAGGATTGCAGAGTGGCGAGGTCATCACTTTCCAGCTGTCCAGCTTGCACTCAGTTCAGTTTTCCTGATGCTCGCAGAATGACCGAGATCTTTGACTATCCCAAGCATGGCACACCGTTCCAGCGTGGCTCGCGCTACTTTTACTTTTACAACACGGGCTTGCAGCCGCAAAGGTACGATGTTCGATTCTTGCAGTTTGTTCCATTACGGCTGCTCATTTTGACCTCGCCGTTGATTGGTTGGATAGCGTCTTGTACTACCAAAACTCGATCGATGGCGAACGCCAGGTGCTGCTCGACCCAAACACGCTGAGCGCGGACGGTACGCTCTCGTTCGGTGCTTACGGCATCTCGGAAGACGGCGAGTTGTTGGCCTACGGCTTGAGCCAAAGCGGCTCGGACTGGCAAACCGTGTACATCAAGCGGGTTGCGACCGGTGAAGCGCTGACCGACAAGCTGAGTTGGGTCAAGTTTTCCGGCATTTCGTGGACGCACGACCACCGTGGTTTCTTTTACAGCGTAAGTGTTTTTCACATGTGGTATTTTTTTTTGTGTCTGTGTCTGTGTCTGTGACTGTGTCTGTGTCTGATCTCGATCAATCATTCACCTCGGTCTGTGCCAGCGCTACCCCGAACCCGCCAAGAATGCCGACGGCACGGAAACAGACATCAACCTGCACCACAAGCTGTACTACCATGTCGTGGGCACCCCGCAGGAAGAGGACAAGCTGTGCTATGAGACCCCCGACAATCCCAAGTGGATGATTGGCGGCGAAGTGAGCGAGGACGGCGCCTATGTGCTCGTCACCATCAGCGAGGGCTGCGATCCCGTCAACCGGCTGTACTATGCCGACCTGTCTGGATCGAAGGGCACCTTTACCGGCTCTCTCGATGTCGTCAAGCTGATTGACAACTTTGATGCGCTGTACAGCTACGTGACGAATGCCGGGCGCATCTTTTACTTTCGCACCAACCTGAACGCGCCAAAGTACACGACCATCGCCATCGACTTTGACCATCCCGAGCAGCCGAGCTGGAAGACAATCATCCCAGAGCATGACAAGGATGTGCTCGAGTGGGCATCGTGCGTCAACGAAAACCGCCTCGTTGTCTGCAGCCTCCACGACGTCAAGACTGTGCTTCGCTTGCACGACCTGTCGACCGGGCGTCTGTTGGCTGATTTCCCGTTGGACATTGGCACCGTTGGCGGCTTTTCGGGTCGCCGACAGGACACGGCCATCTTTTACCAGTTCAACGGTTTCCTCTCCCCCGGCACCATCTTCCATTGCCCCGTGAATGGCGAGACGCTTGTTCCGCGTGTCTTTTACCAGACCGTTGTGAATGGTGAGGCCTCCTCTCCTTCTCTTGCTTATATTGTGCGTTTTTTGTTGGACGCCCAACAAAACAAACTTATTTTCTTTGGCTGTGTGAGCAGGCATCGACCCTTCTGCGCTGCAAACCGAACAGGTCTTCTATCCCAGCAAGGATGGCACCAAGATTCCCATGTTCATCGTGTCCAAGAAGAGCCTGAAGCGCGACGGCAACAACCCGACCCTGCTCTACGGTTATGGCGGCTTTGACATTTCCATCAAGCCGTCGTACAGCGTGTCGCGTCTCATTTTCATGCAGCACCTGGACGGCATTCTCGCGATTGCAAACATTCGCGGCGGCGGGTACAGAGATTTTTGAACTCGTTTCAGTTGGGGGTTCTTTTCGTTGGCTTGTTTGATCCGGTGCCTCACCTCGTTGAATTTCCTTTTCCCCCTTTGCTTGATTTGATTGTTGTTGCCAACTTCAATACCCCCCCCCGGCTTGTTAGCGAGTACGGCGAGACGTGGCACAAGGCTGGCTCGCTTGGAAGCAAGCAAAACTGCTTTGATGACTTCCAGTCGGCTGCCCAGTACCTGATCGACAACAAGTACAGTCGCCCAGAGCGCATCGCCATCAACGGCGGGTCGAATGGCGGCTTGCTTGTGGGTGCATGCATCAACCAGCGCCCCGATCTGTTCGGGGTCGCGATTGCGCAAGTGGGCGTGATGGACATGCTGCGCTTCCACAAGTTTACGATCGGGCACGCGTGGACGACCGACTATGGCTGCTCGGACAAGGCGGATCAGTTCCCATGGCTCATCAAGTACTCGCCGTTGCACAACACGGCCAAGAGCGACAAGCCCTACCCGGCAGTCATGCTCTTCACGGGCGATCACGACGACCGTGTTGTCCCGTTGCACTCTCTCAAGCTGATTGCCACGCTGCAGCACACTGTTGCGCACCGGCCGAACCAAGTCCAGCCAATTCTGATTCGTGTCGAGACCAAGGCCGGCCACGGAGCTGGCAAGCCGACCAAAAAAGTGGTACGTATGGGCAAGGTCTGCGTGTGTTTTGTGTGACGATGCGTTGCCCGTTGTACCGGCTTGGATTGCCGCGTTTGCCATCATCGGTGGCAATCGAGAAAAGCTGGCCAATCGATTTTCTTACACTCTGAGCCCGCCCCCCTTTGTGTGATGATTCAATGGACAGATTGAGGAGATCTCTGACATGTACGCGTTTATTGCGCACATCATGGGTCTCACATGGCATTGATCCGTCCATGCCACAATGCAATGCTTGGCGATCTGTTTCCAATAAATTGGCCTTTGTTGTTGATTTTGGTTCCTTTCCTTTTTTTTTTTTTGGTTGTTTCGGATCTTGTCATTTGGTGGGGTTTCCTTGCTTGATTGTTTTGTTGCCAAATCGACATGTAAGGCATTGTGCTGATATGGAAGAAGAAGCAGAAAAAAAAAAAAAAAAAAAAAAGAACGAAAAAAAAAAAACCAATTGCTGAATTGAATTTGATTTACAGTTTTTTGTGACTTCACCGCTTTTGGACGCACATCATCTTGCTCACTCCTTTGTTCAATCTTACAAAATGGTATAATCCGATGCACAACCATCTCACACAATGGATTCACGCGGGGGCAACGGATCTGGGCGATCGGATGAGGCCCTTTGCGCGGGCGCAGATGCGGGGAAACGGATGAAACGGGAAGAGCGGATGGGGTGCGTGGTAGGCTGGACACTGCATGTCTGCCTTTTTCTTTTCTTTCTTTTTTGCCGGGCCTTTGCTTCGCGCTCCTTCTACGACTGCAACAAACGGCGCTGTTCAAGCCAGCTCTCTGCCTTGATAGCACCAAGTACGCAGTGCACTTGTAGCGACCCGATCGGCCGAACAGCAGTTTAGTATCTGACACATGGGGGTGTTTTGTGTTTTGTGTTTTTTTTTTTCCTTTTTTCCTTTTTTTTCTTTCTTTCCGTTCCGTTCTCCATTTCCTTTGCGTTTGTGCGTTTTGGCCTTTTGCACGCTTGCTTCTTTGCGGGGCACGAAGCAGACCTTGTCCAGTGGAACGCACAATCGTGCCGCTGCGATGTGAGCTCGATCGCGCTTTTCTTGTTCCATCTTTTCCATTAAAAAAATGTCGAAAAAAAGAAAAAACGAGCTGCTTTTTTTTTGCTCCCACGTGTAACGATATTTGTGCATTCTGTGGGGTTTCTTTTGCTGTTTGGGCTATGGGCTTGTGCTCTACTACAGCAACCACTCTGTAGCGTCAGCCGACCTTGTGGTGACTGGCAGAAGTGCGTCAAGACCCCCCTCTTTTTGCATTCGCTTTTTTGTTGTTTAAGTGGTGGCCACATTTTCCCGTTTTTTTCTTTTCCTTCGTTTTTTCTTTCCTTTTCGCCCTTTCTCCTTCGTCCCTTCCCCTTTTTTAACTTTTGTGCATTTCCCCCGTCCACAACACGCCTAAAGACTTTCACTCTTCTGAGCTGCTCGCCGTTGCCGTTATTGCGCCGCGTCTTTTGCCGTTTTTTTTTGGCATCGACATTTTTTCCTCCACGTTGCTCTTTTCGACCATTTCATTGCGCAATTTTTTTTTGTGTTTTTTCCTCCTTTTCGTTTTCTTTTGGCGACTCACCTTTTCCCCGCTTTTCCCCTTTGCTCCACCCATTACACAGGTCAACTTCACTATCGACCAGATTCGCGCCCAGATGGACCGCAAGACCAACATCCGCAACATGTCGGTCATTGCTCACGTCGATCACGGCAAGTCCACCCTTACCGATTCGCTCATCTCCAAGGCCGGTATCATCGCCGATAACCGTGCCGGTGACATGCGTTTCATGGACACCCGCCCCGACGAACAGGAGCGTTGCATCACCATCAAGTCGACTGCCATCTCCCTGTACTACGAGCTTGCCGCCCACGACATGTCCTTCATTACCCAGAAGGTCGACGGCAACGGTTTCCTCATCAACCTGATTGACTCCCCCGGACACGTCGATTTCTCGTCTGAGGTCACTGCCGCCCTCCGTGTCACCGACGGTGCCCTCGTCGTCGTCGATTGCGTCTCTGGCGTCTGCGTCCAGACCGAGACTGTGCTTCGTCAGGCTATTGCCGAGCGCATCAAGCCCGTCCTCATGATGAACAAGATGGATCGTGCTCTTCTCGAGCTCCAGCTTGACAAGGAGGAGCTCTACCAGACCTTTGCCCGCATTGTCGAGTCTGTCAACGTCATCATCTCCACCTACGGTGAGGATGGCGGCCCGATGGGTGAGATCCAGGTCAACCCCTCGCGCGGCACTGTCTGCTTTGGCTCTGGCCTCCACGGCTGGGGCTTCTCGCTCAAGCAGTTTGCCGAGATGTACGCCGAGAAGTTCAAGATCCCCACCGACAAGATGATGAAGCGTCTTTGGGGTGAGGAGTTCTACTCGCCTGCCGAGAAGAAGTGGAACCAGTCTGGCGGCTCTGGCTATGTCCGTGGCTTTGTCCAGTTCATCCTCGACCCGATCTACAAGCTGTTCGACGCCGTCCTCAAGAACAAGACCGACGTCCTCAACAAGATGATTGAGGCTCTCCAGATCAAGCTCCAGCCCGAGGAGCGTGAGCAGGAGGGCAAGCCCCTGCTCAAGACCCTCATGCGCAAGTGGCTCCCCGCTGGCGATGCTCTTCTTCAGATGATCACCATCCACCTCCCTTCGCCCGTCACCGCCCAGGCTTACCGCTGCGAGCTCCTCTATGAGGGCCCCATGGACGATGAGGCTGCCATGGCCATCAAGGCCTGCGACTCGAAGGGTCCCCTCGTCATGTACGTCTCCAAGATGGTCCCCACCTCGGACAAGGGCCGCTTCTACGCTTTCGGCCGTGTCTTCGCCGGCACCGTCTCCACTGGTCTTAAGTGCCGCATTATGGGCCCCAACTACGTGCCCGGCAAGAAGGACGATCTCTACCTCAAGCCAATCCAGCGCACCGTTCTCATGATGGGACGCTACGTCGAGGCCATCGAAGACGTCCCCGCCGGCAACATTGTCGGTCTTGTCGGTGTCGACACGTACCTCATCAAGACTGGTACCATCTCCACCTTCGACGAGTGCCACAACATGCGCGTCATGAAGTACTCTGTCTCGCCCGTCGTCCGCGTCGCCGTCGAGGCCAAGAACCCCGCCGATCTCCCCAAGCTCGTCGAGGGTCTTAAGCGTCTTGCCAAGTCCGATCCCCTCGTCCAATGCACGATCGAGGAGTCTGGCGAGCACATTATTGCCGGTGCTGGTGAGCTCCACCTCGAAATCTGCTTGAAGGATCTCGAGGAGGATCACGCTCAGATCCCGATCAAGAAGTCCGACCCCGTCGTCTCGTACCGCGAGACTGTCGAAGTCGAGTCTGACCGCATCTGCTTGTCCAAGTCGCCCAACAAGCACAACCGTCTCTACATGAAGGCCGTCCCCTTCGAGGAGGGTCTTGCTGCCTCTGTCGATTCCGGCGAGGTCAACGCCAAGGACGATCCCAAGAACCGTGCCAAGATTCTTGCCGAGAAGTACAACTGGGACGTTACCGACGCCCGCAAGATTTGGTGCTTCGGCCCCGAGGGCTCTGGCCCCAACATTCTTGTTGATGCCACCAAGGGCACCCAGTACATGAACGAAATCAAGGATTCGTGCGTTGCTGGTTTCCAGTGGGCCTCCAAGGAGGGTGTCCTCTGCGACGAATGGATGCGTGGCATTCGCTTCAACGTCCTCGACGTTACCCTGCACGCTGATGCCATCCACCGTGGTGGCGGTCAGATCATCCCCACCGCCCGCCGCTGCGTCTACGCCTGCGTCCTCACTGGTGAGCCCCGTCTCCTCGAGCCCATCTACCTCGTCGAGATCCAGTGCCCCGAGTCTGCCCAGGGTGGTATCTACTCTGTGCTCAACCGTCGCCGTGGTCACGTCTTCGCCGAAGACCGCGTTGCCGGCACCCCCATGTACATGGTCAAGGCTTACCTCCCCGTCAACGAGTCGTTCGGCTTCACTGCCGATCTTCGCTCGAACACCGGTGGCCAGGCTTTCCCCCAGTGCGTCTTCTCCCACTGGGCCATCCTCCCCGGCAACCCCCTCATTGCTGGCACCAAGCCCAACGAAATCATCCTCTCCACCCGCAAGCGCAAGGGTCTCAAGGAGGTTGTTCCCGATCTCGAGGAGTACTTTGACCGTCTCTAAGCGACTTGTTTTTATTCAGGCTTTGCGCACCCCCCAATCCTTGTGATTTTTGGAGTACACTTGGTCTGCATCATGTCTTGGTTGCTTTGATATTTTTTTTTTTTACTCTTATCTTGAATCTGGATTTTCGGAGAAGTACCACTTGTGTTCTCCTTTTTGTTGTGTCGTTGTGTTTATGCGTTGCCCATTCTGGCTTCAATACACTGATGAAAAAATCTAAAAACACAAACCAACATTAAAAAATCAACATTCAAAACTCAGTCTTGCCGCTTATTGTTGATTCCCCTTATTACTGATGATGATGATGCAGGGGAAGAAGAAACGAGAAGAAATGCGAAGGGATGATGGCAAAAATACTCGTATAGCCGAAAAAAAAAAAACAACAACAAAACAAAACAACAAAAAAACAACAAAACAAAACAACAAAAAAACAACAAAACAAAACAACAAAAAAACAACAAAACAAAACAACAACAAAACGACAAAACTCTCATGCATTAACTCTGAACGTAAAACGACAAACCTTAACAGGAACGCAACAACATCAACCAACAACATCAACACAATAGTTACACGTGAACAGAAGTAAACTCTGACACGGGCTGGGTGCTCATCTCTGTTTCTGCTGATTTGCTCATCGAAACCTCCGTGCTCATCTCGATCTCTGACGTAGCTGGCTGGGTGGCCTTGGGTATCGAGGAGATTTGCAGCCGTTGCTGGCTGGCAGTTCGTTTCTTGTACGACAGAGGGCCGTATTTGCCGGCAAAGAGCAGCTGCTTGTAGGCCTTGGCCGTGCGGTCATTCCAGCAGTACGCAAGGAAGATGAAAAATCCTTGCAAGGAGCAGCAGATGATGAAAATCACCCAGGCAGCAGTGTTGTCCACGACGAGGGCAAAGTAGGCAAAAATCCAGGTTGCTCCCAAAAGCGTGAGCATGGTGAGGTAGACGCGGAACTGAACAGCAGTCGAGTCCTTCTTGAGTGTCTTGTCGTTGCGGATGGAGTGAATGCGCACAAAGACCCGCACAAAGATGGCCAGGTTGACGGTGACGACCAGGAGGACTGGAACAATGAACGAGCCAATCAACGCACCCGTGTTGTCAATCCAGCACGAGTCCCTGCCGTAGCCAAACGCATCGGTGCGCTCGTCGGCAATAATGAAGGAAACGACGGCCAGGAGTGGCACGCCCCAGCTGACGAGCAGGTGCCACTTGAAGTGGTGGTCCAGCTCGCGTTGCAACAGCACCACGTTATAGTACAAGTAAACGCCAAGAGACAGCATCCAGGCAAAGCCTGCAAGCAAAAAGTAGTGCAGGATGACGGCGATCGCCTTGCAGCTGTCCGTGCCAACCTCAGCGCTCGGCGAGGAGATGAGCAGGATGTGGGTAGCAATGAGAGCCACACACAATTGCATCACCAGCTTGGTAGGGCCGACGCGGAGGTGTGGGAAGAGCGCAAACGTCACAAACGTCGCGAGGGATCCCAAGATTGACAGCGCACATCCCGCGTAGGCTGCGTACGTCACTGCATCCGAATTGGCCGCTTCCGACGACGCACCGCCAAACAGCACGGCAAAGTTTGTCAGATGCGTGCACGCGCAAGTGACATTGCGACCGACCACGCGGACAAGCGTGCAGCCGTTTGTTTCCCAGAGGTTTGTGGTAAAGTTCCAGTAAGCACACACCGGCGAGCCAACCAGATCGTCCGAGTTGACGTTCAGCTGGATGCTAAACTCGACGGGGTCTGGGAGATGGTTAACCTCGCGAGCAGTAATGGAGAACGAGACGATGCTGGAGGCATTTTTGCCGCTAAACCCGCTCAATGCCGGATCGGGGAAGACAGGGTTGGTGTACACAATGAACGACTGGCCTTTGCAGCCTTCCGCATCGCTCGGAAGCACCGAGGACATGGACGCTGGGATGTTGATTCGGGCATTTCCGCTGGGAGTCGCAAACTCAAAGCCAACATCGGTCGAGTTCACTTGCCGGGCAATGAACGAGGACGAAGCAAGGGTATAGTTGAACATGGTGCCTGTGCAGCCTCGGGCCAAGCCCTCGCGCTGACCCAACGCTCCGTAAAACGTGTCGACAGCTTTCGGGATTTCGGTTGGTTCAATGAGGCGCTGCAGCACACCAAGGGCGCGCGTTCCAACAAGAGAGTCGCACGCCCAAGCAACATCGACAATGGCCACACCGTCGGGGACGCGGTTGTTGTCCGTCGCGAACGTCAGCACGGATGTCAAGCCGGCAAGGAAGATCTCACCCGCAGCGTCTGCCGCCGCTCCAGTGACGACGCCGTTATTGATGGCAGCGGCAATGTGCCGCCAAGAGCGTACGTAGCGATTTGCAGTCGAGTCCGAGAAGGTAATGTTGGACAGCGCGTTCAAATCAGCGGTGGTGGTGCACGGCGTGTACATGACTGTTGTCGGGGTCGGGAAGGAGCCCGGAAGGTTGGCATCGCACACTTGTGCATTGTTCTGAATGGAAACGCTGGCACCCGCTGCGAGTTGCGCGACGGCGCTCAGGTCGTCCAGTGTGACGAGAGCCGGGTTGTCCTGGATGTCAATCAAAAACCCTTCCGACCACTCCGAGCCGGTAAACGCGCCGACCTCATGGACAATGGCCAAGTCTTGCAACCGGGAGTTATTCCGGACAATCAACGAGCCATGGAGGACGGCGGGAGCCGGTCCTGTCGTCGACAGCAGCCGATCATTGTTCGTGATGATCAGGTCGCCCCCAATGTCCACCAGTTGCGAGAGCACATTCAAACTCGGCAGCAAGAGCTCGATGTCGGTGATCAGCAGGCTTCCTGTGACTGTGCTGAGAGCATGCATCGAGTATGCATTTTGGAATGTGTCGACCGACAAGGTGAGATCACCGACAACCGTCTTGCAGTTGATCAGCTCGATGGGCGCAAGGACGGGGCTGCTGAGAACACACTCGCACAATGGGCTCGAATCATCAAGATCGAAGGTGTAGGTGTTGGGCGCCGCCACCACATTGATGTTGGTTGGCCACGAGTCGCACAGATACGGGTTGGAGCCGACATAGACGTTGCCGGCGATAACGTTTTGCAGCGCCGCAAATCCTGCAAGCGACCGCAGCTCAGTGTTGCCCTGGATGTACAAGGCATTGCCCACATAGTAATAGGTTTGGCTTGCTGCAGAGCCGACAGTGATCAAGGCGGGGAAATTGGCGTTGGTGAGGTTGGTGCTTGCGAGTTTGAGAAAGCCGGCATGCGCCAGCTGAGCAAAGTCGATAGAGTTTGCCTGTACACCCGAGAGGATGAGCGAGATGGTGGCGATTTCCAAGGATGGGAACTCGACCGTATCTGCTGAAAAAGTGTACAGGGAGAGTTGGTCGACTGCTTGCAGATTAGGGAAGGCGTCGACCGCCGCAAGGTTGGGCAGGGCCGAAAGCGCAATCGTCGCGGCCTGCGTCAGCGAGACAAAGGCATCGGTCATGGTGTGCAGAGCGTCGATTCCGGAGATGACGAGCGTGTTTCCGACTTGGGTCAGTTGCGAAAAGCCCGCGATGGTGGCAATGGGCGTCTGCGGCACATTGGCCCAATTGAAATTGAGGTCGCCTCCAATCTCTCTCAGGGCAGGGAACGGGCCCGCCGTCATGGGGGACAAGGACCCGGGAATGTTGAAGCGCAGCGATCCGCCCACCGATTCGAGTGCCGGCAAACCCAGATCCAGGCACGGCGTACTGACGCAGCCATACTCGGTCAACGTGACCGTTCCCGAGACGGTCGTCAGGTTGGTCATCAGGTGGAGCTGGCCAAAGTTGAAAAAGGTGACATCTCCCACGACCGTCGTGAGCGACGCGAGGTCGGACGCAACTGCGGCCGCATGAATGATCAGGTTTCCAGTGTGGACGGTGCATCCCAGCACGCTATCCGTTGGGATGTTGAGCGTGCCCATGCAAGGATCTGAATTTGTGTTGCAAGTTGGCAAACAAAAACAACATGGTCTGTCAGCGACATGCAGACACTATCGGATGGCGGCAAGGAGGCGCTGGTTTTTTTTGGTCTTTTCTGCATCTTCTTCTTTGTCTTCTGGGACGTCTGTTTAGAACAAAAACGCCTGCTTTTCTACTCTGCAGCTCTTCTGCTCGTCTGTGTTGCTCCGAGTCCGGCGATTTTGTTTGCTCCCATGTATGGTACCATGCATGGAATGAGGTTTGGTGCTTTTTTAAAATCACCGCTCTTTTTTTTTTTTTTTTTTTTGGATGATTCAACCTGCTAACTTTTCACAGTCCGTCGTCTCTTCCCTTCCCATTCATTGAGCCGGGGCGGCCGGGTCGCCCATTTTTCTCGTCTTGTAACCTTGCTTCGAAGAATAGGCCCGACTGCCATCACCGCCGCTTCTTCAGCCCCCCCCCTCCAAAAGCGGCGCGGAGGTAGAGAGATTAAAAATGCGCAGCAACAGCAAGAAAGCCACCAACTCAACTTACCAGCGAATGCGGGCTGCACCGCAACGTCCCCGAGTAGCAACAGTAGCGCCGCTAGCAGAGCAACGACGCGCTGCGTAGAAATGCGCGGCATGAGAGCAAAATATAGCTGGAACCGGACACGAGAAGCGGAGACGAGATGATCAAAACAAACCAAAAAAAAAAAAAAAAAAAAAAAAAGAAAAAAAAAGAAAAAAAAAGAAAAGAAGGTTGACAACTGAGAAAGCAAGACTGAGGGTCGATCGAGATCATCATTTCACCAATGATGACCAACGAAAAGAAGAAACGAGAAAGAAAGCGTAGGACGAAAGGGAGCAAGAAAGGGAGCGAGATTGCAAGAGCTGCCGCGTTGGGCCACCCGAATACAGCTGCGTGTCTCGAATGCCAGTCGTAGCCTCACCCACAGCACAGCACGGAACAGCGGATGTACGTGCGGGTCGCTTGCTTTTTGTCATCTTGACACGGCTTTCGCAGGGGAGGAAGAAGGAGCGAGGACAATTCCAATTTATCTTGTCTGAACTGCGGGCGAATGGGTGCATTCGAAACTCAGCCATTAGAAACAGCGGCACCCAGATGACTCACTTGGCCTAGCACGCAGCTGGCAAACCGTCGCTGAGACAAAGTCGACTGCGCAAGTGGCTTCAATACAAATGATGACACAGAGCATCCAAGTGCAGATACGCAACCTCCTCAACCCACCCACGGCGTGGACGAACAGCTGATCGGGCGGGATTGGATGGGCGCAGGTCGCCTAATTTCTCCTTGCACGTTCGGCTCAACCAAATCCAGTTCAATAATTTGTATATTGCATGCACTGCACATTTTGAAACAATCCCAAAATAAATCCGAGAGTGCTGAGAGCTCAATCCCAGACGCTCGAGTCGCGCGTGGAGGGTAATTGCGGAGAAGAGTTGATATTGCCCTCCCAGGATGCAACATCTTCCAATCCACTTGCCCTTGCAGAGTTCCCAAAGGCCACTCTTGATCGCGACGACCGGCTGCTGTACAGCGACGCATCAGTAACGCTGTCCGTCGAAATGCGATTGCCGTTTGAAACAAGGCTGGTTCGTGGGCTGTCCGAGTCGAGGAAGCGACCAGGATCGACATAGCCTGCATGCTCGTACTCGCCCGACAGGTTGAATGGCCGTGGCTTTGCCTCCTCGGCGAGCAGTGGTTCGGTATCCGCGCCAGTGTACGTGCTGGCCTTGGCGACAAAGGTTCGTGTGTTGCGGTCTGTTCGCAAGAGGTAAATGCCCAGCAAGAGTGGGATGACGATGCCACTGGCCATCACAAGCAAAGCTGCGTTGCTTTGCGAGTCTGTGGTGGCCGAGTAAATGCTGTTGAATAGAACGGGGCTGACGACGGTGAAAATGGCCTCGATCGACGCGATCGCAGCAAACACGGCGCCCTGCTGGTCCACACGAACATTCATCGAAAACAGCCCTCGCATCACGGGGACTGCGATGTAGCCAATAGCGTCGACGAGCGAGACTAGCGAGGGATTGGATGGATCAAAGGAAGACAACAACAACAACAACAACAACAAGTGCAAGAGTAAGGACAAGCTTGAGTTTGATGCTTTCAGACAGAGACACGTCGTCTGTCGAACATAGCGCAAGCAAGAAAAAAGAAAACACAACCAGAACCGCGTCTTTTGAAACTTACTCATGAAAAACATGGTAGTGTTGACCGCAAACGCATACAGCAAAAAGGCAAGCATCATGCAAATAAGACACACGAGAGCGATTCGTGCCTCTGTGACGTACTTGCGGCACCTCAAGAGCAAGAAGGGGAGGAGAATCGCAATTGCGAGACCTTTGATCAGCCAATTCACAGCCATGAACAAGCCGTTGGTCGATTGACCCCAGTCGAACTCTAATTTGGTGTACAACACCATGACGCTCGCAAAACCAACCACGCTGTTGAACATCATGGCAAAAGAGGCGCCAAGCGCAGGGAGAATCCTAAGCAGAAGGTGCAAACAGCGAAAGGGAGGCCAAGAAATAAAAAAACAAACAAACAAACAAACAAACAAACAAACAAACAAACAAACAAACAAACAAACAAACAAACAAACAAACAAACAAACAAACAAACAAACAAACAAACAAACAAACAACCAACAACAACACGAGTGAGCGCACGAGTAGCGAGGGACACACACAACAGAGAAAAGACACAAAACACAAAAAATGAACCATACCAACGATCGCCGTAGCTGTTCGCAGAAAGCAGAATGGACAGGGCGCCAAAAATATTGGCGCGTCGCCATTGAATCGCGCTCACCCGACGCTCTGGGGTGAGCGACTCTGGGATGATGACAATCCAGATCACCACCGGGACCAAGAGACCACCAAAGACGAACAGCGGCACATTCATGTCATAGGCCGAGCTCAGATACCCTCCAAGAAGCGGGCCGATGGTGCCACCGAGGAACAAGGAAGACTCGAGCATGCCAATTTCAGAGGAGCGCTTGGCAGGGTTGGAGCAGTCGGCCGAGTACGCAAAAGTGGCCATCAGGAAGGCAGAAGGACCTCCCATGAGGCCGTAGATGGCTTGTGGGATGAAGAGATATGGATAGGAAGCATCGAGGTAGTGGGTGAGACTCAGGCCGCAGGCTTGCAGCATGGCGCCAGCAAGCGGGATGAGCATGGCCGGCCGACGCCCAATACGGTCAGAGATGGCACCAAGGGTGCCTGTGGTCAAGACAGACATGACACCCACGACGATGGCGAGATACATGGAGACGGTCGCTGCTCGCGATTCAATTGTCGAGTCGCGACATCGCTTGTCGTCCGGGTCGACGATAGGAAATGGCGGCGTCATGTTCCGACCAATTTCAGTGTAGTAGCTGTTGCACTCTAGCAGGATGACTCGCTCTTGCAGCAGCGGCACAACCATGAGCGTGTAACCCATCAGCAGGAACATGCAGGGAACGACGAGCTTGCTGCTCGGCTGCTGGGGAACGCACCAAGCCAGCCACCCACTCTCCGACATTCCTGGACAGGGTGCGCAAGTTGGTGGACGAGCTCAAAAGGCGGACTGAAGACGAGTGGAAGGAGGAGGAGGAGGCCGCCCGATGCGCAGTTCAAAGCGTTTTGTTTTGGTTTTGAGAGAGTCCGATGAAGTCCCAAGCGGTGTGCAGGTCTGCTATCTGTGTTACACGGCAAGAGAAAAAGAGAGAGAGAGAGACGAGATTCTGGAATGGTGAGTTGTCGGCAGTGCTCCCCCTCTTCTCATCCACATTTAAGGGCACGGAATGGAGCGAGCCGATTCTTGCTCATACGCCCCTCCTCCTCTCACTCTCTCGCCCTGTTGGCCTTTCCCCCCCTCGACGCTCATCCTCAGTTTGCATCTTGTGAATTCACTCTGCTTTCCCCTACACTCGGTCAGCCCGTCGATGCGTCACCTTCGCTCATGTTCAACACTGCTTGTTCGGTGTCTCGGGTTGTTGGTCTGGTGACACGGGGAAAAAACACAACGAACAGCCGAGCCGAGGTCCAGACGCTCCAGACCACTCACTCCACTCACTCCAAGGGACCAGTGAAAAGCAACGACAACGAGTACAGTGTGGTGCGCAGGGCAGTTGGTGAGAGCAGCAAGTGGCTTACAAAAACAAAAACTTCGATTTAAGGAAAAAAAGTGGAAGAAGAATGAACTGAGCGAGTGAGTGCCACCCACACAAACATTCAAAATTGAGTTCAACATTGTAAGATTTGAAGGAAAGAAAAATACAACAACCAGAAGAGAGATAGCGAGAGATGGAGATGGAGATAGGGAAAGGGAGGGAGAGATGAAACCTCAGAGCTCGATTTCTGTGCAACACATCCGATTGCGCTGCAATTTTGCAATTTGGCATTGAATTATTCAGTCTGGATTGGCTTTTGGTTTTTTGTCAAATTCAGTCCCCCCCCTCCCCTGTTGACTTTGATCCAAATCTGAACATGTCGTCGCCCGATCGTGCTGCGCGCCTTGAGGAGAAGGAGGAGCTGCAGTTCCTGAACTCCAAGCTCGAGCTCTACATTCACCGGTGCGCTCTCCTCCTCCTCCATTGCTTCATTCGCTGTAGATTGAAGCAACACGGTTGAATTTTGGTGTCGATCTCGTCAAGTCCATGGCGATTGTCAGAGGGACTGAGTGAAAGAACGACAAGGGAAAAAAAAAAAAAAAAATCAATGAAACGCGCAGTTTGCCCTCCGTTGTGCGTTGGCTGACTGATGGAGGGAAAAGCGCTGGATCCAACACCCTGACCTGACTTTGCAACCATCACCCACGACCCACGATCACCATCACGGTCCGGAACGCGAGCTCCTCCCAAGCGTCGAAACAAAGCATCACGATATCACTATCAAAATTCGCTTTTTTTTTTTTTTTTTTTTTTTTTGTGTTGCGGTTCTGTTCGCCTCATCCATCCACCCATGCATGCACAACAGCGATGATTATCCTGCACCCATTCACTCACACTTTGCTCATCGTGTGAATCAAATCACGGCACAACAAACCAGACGTCAGGAGCTGCAAACCCTGGTCAAGACGCTCGAGTCGGAGTTGGAACGCGAGCGCAATGACGCTCAGCAGCGACTCGAGATTGCTCATCGCCAGTACGAGGCGACGCTGACCGAGACGCGCCACGCACTCGACAAGGCTGCCAGCGAGGCGTCGCATGCCAGCTCGAGCCTCGTACAGGTGAACGCAGAGCTCGCCGCGACCAAGGAGCGCGCCCGCACCGAATCCAGCGCGGCAGACGCGTTGCGTTCCCGCTACGAAGCGCTCCAGCTCGCCAAGCACGAGCTGGACGGCCGTCTTGCCGTCAGCGAGATTGCCATCAAGGAGCTCAAGGACAACCTCAAGCATGCCGACTCTGATCGCAAGCACGCAGAGAAGGAGAGCGACGCGCTGCGCAAGTCAAGCGAGAAGGAGGCCCAGGCGCGCATTGCCGCCGAGAACGCACTCGCGCGCTTCAAGCAGGACGCCCAGGCCAGCGCCAAGACCGGCGCAGACCTCAATGCCTACCACTCGGAAGAAATGCGCCGTCTCCGCTCAGACCTGTCGTCGCTCGAGCGCAAACTGCGTGCCGAGCACGACCAAGAGCTGGCCGAGGCACTCTCAGAGCACCGTCGCCAGACTGAGGCCGAAAGCGCCCAGTACCGGGCCGAGGTTCAGGCGCTGTACGAGTCTCGCCTGGAAGCCGCGCGTGAGCAGGCCGTCAAGGACGCCTCCGTCGTGGCTGGGCTGCAGCAGGCCCTGAGCGCTGCGCAAGCCGCGCAAGACCGCGCCCGCGCCGAGGTGACGGCTCTGTCTCAGCGCAGCGAAACCTTGTCCACACGCGTGCGCACGCTCGAGCACGAGCTGATCATCGAGCGCGACACGGTCGTTGAGGTGCAACGTTTGCGCGAGGAGGCGACGCGGCTGATGCAAGAGGCGATTGCCGCCAAAGACAGCGAGGTGCGCACGCTCACAGAGACCAACGTCGCGCTTGACAAGGAAATTGCAATGTACCGAACCCTTCTCGAGGTCGAAGAGAAGCGTCTTGGCGAAGACTTTACCCCGACCCGTCGTGGTGGTCGCGATCGCGCCGCTTCCACGTCGGTTGTTGCGAGCGGAGCGACCAAGCGCACGTTCTCGGAAACCGCCGAGGAAACCAATACCACCCCTGTTCGTTCCAAGCGTCGTCGTGAGGAAGACCCTTCGCCTTCTCGATCGGCCTCCTCGTCATCTGCCACCTTTTTCGCGGGCGCCCCGCGCTCGGTCGTCAACGCCGCCACGCGTGCCCTGTTCACATCGTCTGCAAGCTCGTCGTCAGATGCGTCCTCTTCGTCGACTGGCACGACGCTTTGGACATCCGAGCCCGTCACGGAAGCTGGCCTGGTCGTGTTCGAGCCGGTGAATCTGGTCGAGCACAACAAGCTTGTCCTCCGCAGCACCAACCCCGAGGAGGAAGTGTCCCTCCATGGCTGGAAGGTGCGCACCACCTCCGAGACCACGGGCTCTGCGACCTACGAAATCCCTGCAGGCATTGCCTTGTCTGCGGAGCATCCTACCGTGACCATCTGGACGGGTGTATCTGCCACACGCGGCAAGAGGAAGTCACGCTCGGAGCTTCTCTGGAAGCAGGACATCAACTACGCCTCGAACGGCGCGTGCATCCAGCTGCTTGACAACGAAGACAATGAGATTGCGCGCCTCGAGGTCCGCGAGCAAAAGGAAGACGAGCTGTTTGAGCGACAGAGCGATCCTCGTGTTGGCTGCAGCATCATGTAGGAGGATGTTATGCGTGTAGTGTGTCAGTGGGGTTGTTTTTCTTTTGTTTTGTGTTGTTTCGGCAGTGGAGCAAATTATTTGAGCATGGGTTGTCTGGTTTGATTTGAGAACCTTTGAGAATGGAATAAAGCAAGTTTAGTGGAACAAAAACAAAAAAAAAAAAACGCAACGTGTGTTTCAATACATGTACAATCGTGGAAGTATAATACAAAGGCAAAATCAAGAAACCAGAAAAAAAAAAACAAAAAAACAAAACAAACACTTTACAAAAAAAAAAAAAAAAAAAAAACCAAATCAATCGGTAAAAATACAAAAAATCCGCCCATACTTTATGCAAACCCAAACCCTTCAGAGCCTTCTGCAATCGCCAGAGATAGCTTATCTTGGAGTTCTTCAAAGGAGAGGTAGTGCGGCAAATCCAAGGTATTGGCGCTGTTTGGAAGAGAGAGAGAGAGAGAGAGAGAGAGAGAGAGAGAGACGCCGACAAAGTCAGGGGACGGAACGATTCGAAGCAGCGAGCAAAGAAACAAAAAATCATACCATGTGTGTGCACAAGGGAGGCGGCGCGTCGTTGCTCGGTAGCTAATGGTGATAGACGGGCGATAGTTGACAAACCCGCCAAGTGGAACTTGCGAGGATCCCGTGATGAATTGCAACAGCCGAGCACGCTGCTCCTGAGAAAAGTTGCGAACCACCATCCAAAACCATTGAATGGGCTGTTGCAAGTAACCCCCCCCCCCCAAAAAAAATGCAAAACATGGAAAAGAAATCGAAATGAGACCACAGTTACAAAACGACGACCTTTCAGACACAGAGCGCTCGTCAGCCCCTCCTCTCCAACCTGCACCAACCGCATTCCCCCCGTACCTCAGAGGTGATCGAGTAGCCAATGTACGCGGTATGACGGCGAAAGTCATCAACATCCACCGAAGGCAAGCCGCAGAAGAGAAGCTCCATCTCGCGGTCGGAAAAAATGCACACCAAGTCTTCGTCAATAACGGAGCGGAAGCCCTTGGCGAAGGCCTCGAGCTGATGATGAACGCGGCGGACGAGACGGTACTCGGACAGCAGCTGAAGATAGTCACCCTTGTTTGCCTCCGTCACGCGCAAACGGCTGCCGTTGGGCTTGAATTCAACAATCTTGCGGACGCGACCCTGGTTGTCGTACTCTTCCTCCGCAAAGAACAGCTCAAGCCCGCTCGTCTCGTCCAGCGCATCCATGTTGTTTGTTTGTACGTAAAAGATCTTGGTACGGAAGAAGGCTGGGTCATCCACCTCAAAGTCCGCAACCGAGCACGACAGCCCAAGCAAGTAGCGGCGCATGGACTGGGAGAGACGTACGTTGACAAACAGCGGAGAGCCACGAGCGCAAGTGTCGTACACAACCTTCCCAAGCACGGTGCCGGCAAAGCGGTAGAGCGACAGTCGGTCTCTGGAGTGCGCGTTGAGCTTGCTTGCCACAGGATGGACGCACGACGACGAGCTGTCGAGTTTGGCAAAGAGACCCGTCTGCTCTCCGAACAGCTGTGCGCAGAGCACCGTGAAAAATTCGCGCCGCAGTCCTCCGTGATCGATGCCCTGCTCGTTCTCAAACTGCACGTGATTGAGCAGCCTGAGTTGCACATCGCTCAAGCCGCCAATGGTGGCTTGTGCCGAACGCAGCAAGTTGAGTCGATCCACGATAATTCGGGTTTGCACTTGTCGCGCGTCTTCCGGATGTTGGTTTCGGAGCTCCTCTGAAAAATAGACCTGTTTGTCCGCGAAATTGTTGCTTACACAACCTAGCCACAAAGGGAGAATATACGAGGAATGAGGACGTGATTGAGCACGAGAAAGAGATGAGGGGGGGGCGGGGAAAGGAAATAAGAAAAAAAAACAACAAAACTTTTGGCCCTCACCTGTTCGATTGGCTGCTAGTCGCATCAGCAGCGCATAGAGAATGTTGCGTTGCGCACACGTGACCTCGATGCGGCGGGCGCCGATGATAAACTTTTGAGAGTCCGCACGAGACAACGCCACCTGGGAAGAAAGGACAGCAAAAACAGAAGTTTGAGGAGTGAGAGAAAACTACCTCTCTGCACCGGCACGCAGGCGCTACGAGGAGAAGCGCAGTACCTGGAGATTCGGTGCAATACGGCCAGTGTATTGCCGCCGAGCAATGACACGAAGAATGTAGGCTGCAAATAGAATGGTCTGTCCAAACAATCAAGGAAGTGTGTGTGAGCGAGCGTGTGAGTGTGTGAGTGTGTGAGTGTGTTTTTCCCCCTCCTCCATTGAGCAGGTTTTCAGAGCAATGTTGCCGTGTTTTGCGCAAAACAAAGGCAAAAGGCCTCCAAAACGTACATCGGGCGTAACCTTAATCCAAATGTCCATCGTGGTCGAGCCTGGAAGTCGCATTTGACCCTCAAACCAGGTTTCGGTGTGGCTCAAACACTTGTCGACCGTCCGCGTGTCTTCAGCTACAAAGGTGCAAACAAAAGCAAAAAAAAGCAGTGACGCACGATTCAAACAGGTAAGTAACCACGGTGACACAAACTTGCAGCGTCCTGCAGAGACCAGCGCACTTACTGGAGAGGAACAGAACGTCGAAAGGACCATCCCCGACGACAGCGCCGTCGTACATTACAACGCACGACTTGAGTCCGCATGCGCTCATGGCAGCTGGCACCGCTTGAGGTACAAGAACCGGGTGGGCCATTTCCGCGCCAACCACAGACACACTGGCCGCAGCAGACCCAGCTGGAGATCCCGCTGACGTTGAGCTACCCGATAAATGGCTGTTGCTGTTGCTGTTGTTGTTGTTATTGTTGTTGTTGTATGGCAGCGCTTTGACGAACGCGACAGGCCCATTCGCAACAGCCAACGATGACGCTGGCGAGTTGAACGAGGAAAATACGGCAGATGAGCCAGAAGAAGGAGGATTCGACAGGCTGGATGCGCCATGGGACGCTGGAATGTAGCCAACGTTGTGAGTGGTGCCAGAATTGCTGCCGTCCACAGCGGCGGCGGTGCTTGATCCACCAGCGGACGCCAAAGCACCGGTCGTCAAGCCACCAACAATCGAGTTGGTTCCGACAGTCGGGATTGCGGGTACAGACCCTTGCCCAGCATTGGTGGGTCCATCGGAGGTTGGGCCACTGCCGCCAAAGGAGGGGAAGAAGGAAGGGGACGAAAACCTCGACATTAGAGACGCTGGGGGCGAGAGCAGAGGAGGGGCGGCGGGGGCCGCCACGGCAAAGTTCCGCGTCGCTCGTGAAAGCCGCGCAGCCAGTGGCACGTGCACCAACGAAAGCACGCCATTCCCGCAGTCAGTCACGTCTGCATCGACGGGCTCGCCATCGATGAGCAAGACAAACTTGTCGACGCGCGACACGCAGCCGGTTCGCGGGGATCCAAAGCGGTCACGCGTGGTCAGAGTCAGTCGGAGTTCGCCTGCCTCGTCTCCCCGAACAGGAAGCTTGCGCTGGATGCAGTCACCGGAAATATCGCACTTGGACGGGTCAATGTCGCCTGGCGTAATGTGCACCGTGTAGTGTTCCATCGCAATCGGGAAGCCGTCAAAGGTGATGCGGACTTTGAAGGTGCCAGGTCGCGAGGCGGTGTAAACAATGTTGGCGACAATCATGGGGACGGTTTTTGAAGGATTGGCTGATTGCTTGATAAAAGTTGTCAAAGTGGAGGTCGAGGACTTGATAAATTGCGACGCTGTCGATGCGGTAAGGTCTGCGACGGCGGCGGCAGCGGCAACCTGCGAGGACGGGTCGATGCCTTGCTCGACAGCAAACGCCGTGATTGGCGCGGAAGCTGCCGGTACTACCGGAGCTGCTGGTGCGGTTGTTGTGTGGGATGAGACAGAGGTAGTTCTCGAACCGCCACGCCGCCGAGCATCAGACGCGTGGGATACTCGAGAAGAAGAAAAAGAAGAAGCAGAAGCAGAAGACAAGGGCGATGTGGCGCTCGACGTCGATGTTGTGGAGGACGAGCGATGTCTGGTGCTGGAGGGGGAGGCGGTCGCCGGAGCCATTGCGGCATCCTGATCAAGTTCAACAACGGTGATGGAAGGCACGACGAGACAAGGCCCGGACATGGTCACTTTGAGATTGTCCAACACCTCTTTGGAAGTGAGAGACGCAAAGACGAACGGCTTGAAGACGACTTGGAAGGTGATTTCAGAGCCAGCTGCACCTGCTTCACGCTTGATACCCCGACCGCGAACTTCGGCTCGGCGAGCAATAAAGCGATCTTGATTGACGGGCGAGGACTTGGCCTTTGTCGACGAGTAAATCAGCGCAGCGATGGCAGCAAGAATCATCCAGGAAAAGGTCGAGAAGAACGAGGCAGCAGGTCGGCCAAACATGGGGTTGGACGACGACATGCTCGGGGCACTCGCAGGTGCAGGCGCGGAACCAGCCGGACGGCCCGAAGTGAGCGACGAAAGGAAATTGAAGGACGAGAACAAGACTAATGCCGCTCCCTGCATCAAGAAGGATCCACCCCAAACGAGTAGTAGGACAACCACTAGCACAAATACCGCCGAAATGGAAGCGAGGAATAAGAGGAAGCGAAGAAACACGCGACTCCAATCGACCACCCGTTGCAACCACGGCCGATGCGCGAACGGAGACGCCAGTTCGCGAGACTGGCGGTCTGTCTGCGATGCCGATGCAAACGAGGAGGTGGACGACGACCGCGACAACGACGGAGAGGAAGCTGGTCCGTTGCGGCCGGGCAGCAGATGAGATGCGCCCAGAACATTTCTCGCATGCGCGGTCGAGTAGATTCGGGACGATGTGCCCGAAACGGACGAGTGCACGGAATGCGACGAGATGGACGAGTGCGTAGAATGGGTCGAGCCGGTCGAGTGAGTCGACAGCGTCGAGTGCGAGCGGCGAAGCTGGTGCGGCGAACGGGCGGCTGATGACGAGCTCGGCATTTCCAGCGGTTCAAGCAAGGCCGTTGCCTCCGGAGTGGAAGGGGAAATTCCGACCGGCAATGCACCACCGGAGGACGCTTGCTGGGTGCGCTCAAACGATGAGCCAGCGGAAAGAACATGCTGCGAATCCAGCTCGGACTGGCTTGATTGGCCATGCAACCGTGCAGACCCATGGTGTCGGCGAGCGGCCAGCCAGGCTTGCAGCGACGCCGAAGCTGCACGGCGCGAAAACGTTGGCATGGAGAAGGAAAAGAAGGACGAGTTGGTATCTGAAGAAGAAGAAGAAGAGGAGGCTGGACCTGACACTGCGCTCGAATGGCTACTGGCGGCAGTAGTGGCGTCATGATCACCGCTATGACTTGAAGCATGGTGCTCTGCACGACGACGCTTGTACACGCCTTTCAGATTCAGATATGAGAATCGCTCGCGCGCGAAAGGCGACATGTTGGTCATGTTGGTAGCGTCTTGCGATTGCGGCGGGGGTGGCGACAGAGGAGGAGCCGCCGACGACGCCGCCGACGCCGACGACGACGACCACGTTTGCAACGAGAACGACGTGGGCAGTGTCAGTCGGCTGCGGAGTCGCTGGTAGCTGCTGGTTCGCCTGCTGGGCTGGGACGACGGCGAGAAGCCCGGCGAGGATGCCGCTGACGACGACGCCGACGACGCCGACGGTGTGCTTGAGCGGTGTCGAGACATTGACATGCCAAACGCAGAATGTGGCCTCGAGGGTGCAGCAGTCGCAGGAGCCGGAGCCGGTGGTGATGCGGCAGAATCGAGCGCGGACAAACCATTCGCGCTCGTGGATGCGCGCAGTAACACGGACGGAGGCGAGTGCGGCGCCGAGGCAGGGTGTGCCCGAGCAACGTGAGCCGCAGAGGCTGACTGGGCACCTGCCTGGTGGGGCGCCAGGGTCATGGGCGACAGCGGGAGTGGCGGCGCGGCGAGTCCGCTCGGGCCAGAGGACGCGTTGCCTCCGCTGCTCCCCGAGCGAAAGAAGGTGAACAGCTTGCGCTTGCCTGCCGAGTCCTCCATCGCGTTGTTTGGCCCGCTATGCGCATGGAGTTCGGCATGCGGCGAGACGGGTCCTGGGGCGCTGTCATTGAATTCCGACGCGGCTGCTGCAGCGGGCAGTGGGGCGATGACTGCCCGCTCCCTTGGGCCGGAGTGGTCAGCATGCTGAAGCTGTTGTTGTTGTTGTTGCTGCAGCTGCTGCTGGTGCTGTTGTTGCACCATAGGACGTAGACCCGAGGCAGCACGGCTCAGAGCCGGTCGCTCGTGGTCGCGTCGGTCAAAGTCTGTTTCCATTGAACGATGACTGCAACGCCCCGTTCGTTCATGAGCAAACACAACGCGACGAGCGTATCCGTAATAAGCAAGAAAAATTCAGGTCCAGGCGGAGGATGGCAAAGAGCAAGGGGGAAGCAAAAGAAAGAAAAAAAAGGAAAAAAAGGAAAAAAAAAAGAAAAAAAAAGGACGCCGTATCCGAGGCGGGGATCGAACCCGCGATCTGCCGCTTAGGAGGCGGCCGCGATACCACTTCGCTACACGGACAAATGAACATCAGTTCGGGTGGGGCAATCGCGAGTCGATCTGATTATTCACGCTCCGCTTTTTTCTTGGATTTTTTCTTTCTTGCCCTCAGTTTTCGAGACACTCTCTGCCAAAGGCAATGGCTGGATCCAAAAATACGCCCATTCGCAAGCAAAAGCAGCTTGCTCGACTGGTACGCTTGGTGACGGTTTATTCGAAACCACACCACACTTTGTCGACATCAATACACCTCGCCAAGAATCAACACAACCAACGCAGACCAACCCGTAAACGGATGCGAACCCTTGCCCTTGCCCAGATTCTCGGGCACGACGTCGTACTGCTCCCAGATGTAGCCCGTGCGATGGTACTCGGACAGCATGTTCCCAATAATGTTGCTGCGCAACTCGCTGTAGATTTGGCCCGCGTTTTGCGCAACCGCCGCCGACGAAGACTCGGACTGCGCAATGCGATGCAGCGCCCCGAGAGCCAGATAGTTCATGTTAATCCACACAGGGCCGCGCCAGTACGGACCGTCGTGCTCGGTGTTGTGCTTGAGGTAAAAGCGGCTGTCCTTGGACAAGGAGCGCAACCCAAACGACGTCCAAAGGCGATCCGGGTCGCGCATGCTGCGCAGCATGGCAGGCACAACCTCGTCGTCCGAATTGATCGCGCCCAGCAGAAGAGGAAAGAGCGACACATAGCCAAGTTGAGGAACCAGCTGCAGCGTCGGCCTGGCATTCGGGCTGGAAAGCACTCGCTTTTGTTGCGGTCGCTGAGCCACGAGATTGGTCCCTTCGCGGACGTGAGGAGGCGTGTACCAGACCAGTTTGACCTGCTCGGTATGATTGCCGTAATCGCAGAACATTCCCGCCTCGCCATTCCAATGCAAACGCTTCAGCTGCTGCGCATCGAGCAACTCTGCCAGCCGTTGGTAGTCCTTGGACGTGGAGAAACCGTGCGGGAGGATGATGTCTGGCGAGAGCTCTTGCTCGTAAATGAGGGCAATCTTGTGCATGAGGCGTGCTGCGAGAGACATCCACCCAAAGAGATCGACGTGGCGCTCGTCGTCTGACGGATGGGAGGCTCTTGGAAAATCATCCAATCCCGAAGTGAGAGTCTGTGCATGCAAAGCATAAAAGTGCACACGACAATAGTGAGGAGAGAGAGAGAGTACCCGCTTGCATGGAAAAATCATAAAATCAATCCAAATCCAAAACAAAAATCTCAAACAAACACACACGCACACACAACCACAAAATGCAAACCACTCTGACCTTCGGATTCAACTCTCGATCAGTCGTCGCATCTCGTCCGCGCCAACGGTAGGATCCGGCAACAGGACCGGACTGAGTTCGATTAAACCAGGCAAACCAGGTCTGGAGTCGGGGGTAGAGGCGAACGAGAAAAGCGCGTTGCTTGGCGGCTTCGTCCTGGCTGACCTGCACCGTGCGCAGCATGCGATCAAGGGCAATCAAGAAGGTGGGTGGATTGGCATGCGTCGCGCGTTGAACGACAAACTGCGCCGGAACGCGGCTTTCGGCTTCGGCACCCAAAATCACTTCGCGTGGAATCCAGCCATCCTGGTTCATCAAATCAAACCAGTGCGCCAAGATATCGCGCGTGAGGTCTGGATTCCACTTCAAGACGAGCAGCTCGTGAAAGCCCTCGTCCCAGACAAAGCCTCGCGGAAAGAACGAGCGCGAGGGAACCGCCGTGAACAAAGCCATGGGCCGTGAGGGCACGATGGGGTCGCCTTCAATCCCAGTCGTGACTCTGACGGAACGCAGACCCGAATGATGCAAAAGAGGCAAAAGGTGAGCAAGGTGCTGACAGAGCGATGACAGGGAGCTGTAAAAGCGACAATGACAACCAAAAAAAAAAAAAAAACCCAACCCCAAAAAAACACCTTCCTTACTTTGCGCGCCCGTAAAAGTATCCAATGCCTCCAAGCAGATTGCTCAAAGCGGCCTTCGCAAACGCAGTGGTTGTCTTGTTAAAGTTGCTGGCGGTGTGGAAGCGATCCTCAAAGTCCCTGTCAAACTGAGCCTCGCGCTGCGCCAGCACCGATGTCAAGGTTGCTGCGTCAGCGAAGGAGGACGGGGCGGCGCTGGTGGGCGTCGTCAAATAAAAGGCAAGATCGGCCACCACGGGAACTTCCGCAGAGAGCTGAATCAGCACCAGATTGGCGTCGCGCGTGGCGGGACTCTTGTTGGGCAAGGCCAGGACACGGGCGCTGCGAATTTGCTCACGCAACAGGTGGCGCAGTTGATCCGTCACATTGTGGACGTGCGGTGTGGCCACCGCCGTCCAGTGCAACTCGGCCTGCTCGGACGCGCGCACATTGAGCTGCAAGCGGAACGTGCCGACAGAGGGAGTCGAGCCCTGGATGGTGATGGAGCTGTCGGTCGTTTCGTCGGGGAGGACTTGGAGGGCGTAGTCGCCAGAGCCCAGGTGCGCGTGTCCATCGGCGTCGGATGTGTCAATGAGCGCGTAAAAGAACAGGGACACAAAGTTCTGCTCGGGTTGCCCGTCGGCGCCATGCTGCTGCTTTGAGCGCGCGGAAGGTTTGACCGACACGCGGGCCGCCCAGTCGCCGCCGTCCACAAATTCCGGGTGTGCATTCTCGGGTGCCTTGTACTCGGGATGCAATGGCCGCGAGAGGTCCTTTGCAAACTCGGTCGTCAGCGACAGTCCGACATCCAACAGCTCCTGCCTGCCGTAGGTCGTGCCGTCGTGCTTTGTCCAGCCATACCGCCGCAGATGGTCTGCTTCCTCGCATGTATGGCGAATCGCTCCGATGGGGTCTGGCATGCGGTGATCGAGCCACATGAGCCCAGTCAGCAACGGCAGCGTTCGCGCTCTCGGCTTCATGCCAAAGTACACGTTCGGCCTGTACGAGCCCCAGTACAGCCTGCGCTGGTGCTCTCCAGCAAACAACGAGAGATCCGTCGTGCGTGGGGCGTGTGCGGGCGTCACCAGCGCCGTCATCGCTTCGCTGCTGCCCGAGCGGAAGGAGCCAGGCGGGCCACGCGAGATGAGCCAAATCGCGGCGAACGCAGCCAGGATGGACATGATGCTTGAAGGTACGAGGCGTCTGGCCGCTGCAACATACACAGCGCAAGCAAACGATGACAAATGGGGGTTTACACACAGCGATGAGGACGAGGGAGCACAAACCACAAAATAAAACCAAAAAGGTTGCTGAGCGGTATACCAATCTGAGCGGATCCGTCGCCAAGTTGGGCGGCGCGCGCGACGGGAACCGCACTGCCACCGGCGCCGCGTCGTTGCTTCATTGAAGTTCGAAGGGTGGCGGCGAAATTGGGGGTCCAATGTGGGGGTGGTGGTGGTGGTTTGTGTGGGTTGGGCGTTTGCTGGCGCTGAAAATGTAAGACTGATCTGATCTGAGGGGCTGCGCAAGACTGAATCGGGGTTCATGGTTTGCTGTACCCCCCCCCCCGTCCCCGCCCTTTGAATGCACGTTGAAACTGATGCCCAAACCCCACTGCTTACCAATCAACCGATCTTGAGTTTCTGAGGAAAATGGATGGAAACTCGGCGGAAAGTCGTTTGCAAACACAGCACAACCTCACAACGATGGACAGGAGAAAACTACTACTGTGTGAGTTTCGAGATTTGCCAAACGTGGGAGGGTCAGGGTCAGGGTCAGGGTAAGGGGTTGCTAGTCTTTTACTTTGGATTTTCACATTGCAGCCTGCAACTTGCTCGCTTCTCTGCCTTTGAGCACCAGATTTTTCTTCACACCCGCTGCTGTTGCTGCTGCTGCTGTTGCTGCTGCTGCTGCTGTTCTCGCTCTCGCTGCGTTCTGAATCTCCATCGGCATGAACGGTCTGGTCTGTGCTGCGGGTCCCGGCGGCCAGTGGAGCGAGACGACTAAAGCGCTTGAAACGCTCATCGAGCTCTGCAAGTGCTCTGCCTGGTCAGTTGCTCGTAGGAGGATGGCTGCTTTGGTACTCTGCTGAAGCGGCAGTCGAGTTAGCGCTCGCTCGTGCTGGCTTCAGCACGCGTTGCGTCGGCGGAAGTGTCGATTCAACTACTCCGTTTTTCCCGCCAAAAATCTCACTTTTTCTTCACGCTGACTTTTGGCTCACTTTCTGGCCCCACAGCAACCAAATCATGAAGAATGTGCATTCAACATTCACATGCGAGCACTTTTTCTGCGAGTAAGCCTTTTTTGTTTTGTTTCGTGGCGGGGGGGGGGTTGTGTTGGTTTGTGAGTTTTCGATTTTTGCTTGTATTCACCTCATCGTTTGCTCCTTGGGGACTCTCACGTTGCTCAGAGCATGCATCAAAGACGAAATCAACGATCATTCCAAGTGCCCAGAAGTAAGGCTCGTTGCTGGGGAAAATCTTCACTCGAAAACAACAACAACAACAATCACAAAAACTCATTTGTCCACTCCTCTTACAGTGCCAAAGCCCCGCATGGATCAAGGACATCCGCGCCAACCCTCAAATTCAAGGAATCGTGTCGTGCTGCGAATCCCTTGTTTCGATCTTTCGAAAGCGCGTGCCGACGTTGCCAGATCTGACACGGGCGCTGTCGTCAATGCATGTCGCAGACAATGGCCAACAGCAGCTGCCCACACTTTTGCCTACACCAGCCGCCAGTGATTACCAACACGAGCAGGCGGACATTGAAACCCAAATGTCCGAGCCCGAGGCAGAGTCGCCGCCGCACGACACACGAGCCAATGCTCGTGCTGCACCCATCTTGCCAGCTGCCATGTCGCTCCGTCGACAAAACGCACCAATGATTATCTTTGACGAGACGACTCGCACAACCGACTCGGACGCGTCGTCTGAAACTCCTCGCCGCTCGGCTGCTGCCAGCAGGTTGGCGGGAGCAACCAACCAGTCGACGACTCCTGCCTCCTCGAAACGTCTATTTTCCAATCTGACCAACCAAGCGGAAGCCCAAACGACGAGCACCGCAAAGGGGAAGGATTCTGCAAAAGACGCAACGTTGCACACCTCCAAGAGAGGCCGGCTCGATTCGGACAGCGATGTGAGCAGCTCCAACTCGCGACCAGCAAGTCCCGCGCCTCGTCACAGCAGTACGGAGGGCTGGAGCTGTGCATCGTGTACACTGTCTAATGCCGCCACTGCTGACGCCTGCACTCTTTGCGCTGCGCCGCGTCGAGCGAGCACGGCGCGTGCCAAATCGGCAGTTGCCAACCGACAAAGCAGGCTCTTGCAAGGAGCCATCTCCACTGCTCGTGGTGGCGGTCATGCTGGTGCCACACACGAGCGCCCTTTGGCTACCAAGCCTGCAGCGGGCGCTTCTGCTGCCGCAACGTCCCGTCCCGAGCGAGCCAGAGCTTCGTCAACCAGGCCAACCGCGCCAGCGGCACCTGTCGCGAGCCAGACCGCAACACCCACATCCCAGGTGTTCACTTCACCGTCGCTTGGACGAAAGACAAAGCGCAATCCCAAGGGCGAAACCTCTCTGCATGTGGCTGCAAAGAAGGGCGCCATGGATCGGCTGGCCGAGTTGCTTGAAGCCGGAGAGAATCTGGACGACACGGACAACGCCGGCTGGACGCCTCTGGTAAGGCGTGTGCTGCAGAATCTTGTTCTGGGCAGTCGCCGTCTCTCTTTTTTTTTGTTTTGTTTTGCAACAGTGATCTCACAGCTTCTCCCCCTCCCTTCCTCAACTCAGCATGAAGCATGTACTCACGGGCATGTTGAAGCGGTGCGCATGCTGCTGCAATACGGTGCCAATGTCAACTTTCCCGGATTCGAGAAACTCACGCCTCTGCATGAAGTGCTGAACAGCGGAGACGTCAATCTCGAGCTGGTTCGCGTTCTGCTCGAGTAAGTGGCCGCTTTTCGTCGTTGGTTTTTCAACGGGTCTCTCCGTTATTTGAAACAAACAAAACAACACGCGTCCTCATGCTGTTTGCTCTTTGATTCAGACATGGTGCCAATCCGGATGCCGTTGATATGCGAAGCCAGACACCTCGACAATTAGCTGCAGGAAACGAAGAAATTCTTGCTCTGCTCAAGTATGCGCTTGGTTTTTTTCTTCTTGTTCTTCATCTTCTTCGAAACATGCATTGTGCCGTGACTTGACTCTTACTTTTTATGTTTGTACTTTGATGCTGCTGATACAGTACCAAGCTGACACCAGCTGCACCCAAACAGCGAAGAGTCCCAGCCGCCGCTGCCGCCAACACCAACAGCTCGAGCATGCTCGCAACTGCGCGTGCCAACCCGGGCCCGTTTGTCGTGTTGTCGACTGGCTTGCAAAAGGAGCAGCGCTCCGCTTTGGAGAAGCTTGTGACGCGGCTGGGTGGCAAGGTTGTGACGACGTTCGATGCGACTGTCACACACGTTGTCACCGAGTCGGACGCAAACCGCGTCTGCCCACGCACGCTCAAGTATGTGTGCGCAGTCTTGGCCGGGTTGTGGATTGTGTCGTTTGACTGGATTACCGAGTGCTCGCGACGTGGAGCGTGGGTTGCGGAAGAGGCGTTTGAAATTCAAGGTGCTGCGCACGGTGCTGGCGCGCCAACCAAAGGCCGGCTCAATCGTGAGGCTGGTCGACCTCGCCTGTTTGAGGGATGCACGGTATATCTTGTCGGGGAGTTCAAGCCGCCGGCACTTTCGGTCTCTGACTTGGAGCTGCTTGTTCGGATTGGCGGTGGCCAGGTCAGTGGGAATTGTTTTGGCGCGCTGTTGTTGGGGCTTTTGAACATTCTACGCTCGCGTGCTCACGTGTTCAAAACTTTTTGAACGGGTGATGGAAATGTTCAGGCCAAGAAGCAGGCGACTGCTCCATCCACTCGCGACCACCCGGCGCAGCGTCATGTGCATGCCGCGGCTGGAGCTGATGTGTACGACCGTTTTGTCATTACCGAAAAGCCGACATCCAAAGATGGCGTGCATCGACAGGTGTGCTTTGGCTCTGTGCCGTGGCTGCTCGATTGTGTGACTCGGTTTGAATTGTTTGAGCCCGTCCCCGTCTAGTAGAACACTTGCGAGACTTTCTTGTTTGTTGAGAGATTGTTAATACAAAACATGGCGAAATTTTCGTTCAACCAAACGCGTCGTTGTCATGTTGTTGGAATGACGCGGAAATTGTTTGTAATATGAATGCAATACTTTACTTTCTAGCCGTGATACAAGAGTAACATCGAAACACCACAAATCACCGCAAACAGGCGGCAAACACCATCTCGCGATGCATTTTGTTTTTCTATCTACAAGCTGAGGACTTCTGACAGCATTCGCCGTGGGTGGACAAAGCAGTCATGTGGGTTTTCAATAAACGTCTTGCGGGTGCCGTCAACGTCCTCGCTGCGCGACTGCAATCCATAAAACTGGCAGAGCGCGTGAGCAAGCAAGCGAGCGTGGCTGCTTTCCAGTGCCCATACGAGTACCGGCGATGGCGACACGGCGAACGAGTCGCGGAGTTCCCGTTCCATGTGATCAAGAGCACCCTGATGATGATGATGTGGCCAACAAGGTGGAGAGAAAGAGCATCACGCACAGGTGAGTGTTGAGCGAACAAGACGGAAAAAAAAATCACAGAGCAGATCGAAACTTCAACCATGTGTTCTCATCCTCACCTTGGGCACATTCGTCTTGTGCAGCATCTCACGAACTCGACGATCGATGCGATTGAAGCACTTGACGGGGTCCGATGTGGGCGGAATGGTCGAGTTGGTGGCCTTGGAAGAGTGATCCGACAATTGAGCAGGGCGGAGTGCTCGCAACTGCGCCTCTTCGGGTTGGGCAACAAAGTCGAGCCAGTGCTGCAATCGCTGCTCGTCTTGCAAGAGCCATTCAAACTGCGTCGGAGTCGGCGCGTCCAAGTACTTGAGGTCTACAGCGTCCACTCGTCCTTGCAGCAGGAATTGTGCTGAGCAGCAACAAAAACAACGAGGCATTGATGAGCACAAAAAATCAAGCAAGAAGCCAATTTCTTTAGAATGTGATTGGCGATGATCCAACCCTTCCTCCTCTCTTTCTCTCAGAAATCCAGAAATCCATCTCAAGACCAAAGAAACAACGAAACTCCCGCCTTTTTTTTTTTTTTTTTTTTTCTGCTGTTTTTTTTTTTTTTTTTTTTCCCGCCTTCTGTCGGGTTCTCTGAAAAAATTGCTGTTGCCCGCCCCTTTCTCCCTCTCCCTCGCTGTCAGCACAGCAACAACACAAGCGACTCACCATTCTCGTAGCGCTGGCCGCGTCGGCTGATGGTGCGCCCGGGACGGTACTTGCCGTCGGGAAGCAGCGGACGGGTCGACATGATGCTGGGCGCCTTGTAGCTGTGCACGCCCGTCCCAGCGGATGTGCCGTTGCTGCTCATTGCCGAAAGCAGCGAGAAGAGCGACGACGCAGCTGTGGACGACGCGACCGACGACGGCGAGTGCGGAGGCTCGCTCATCAGGTCGGCGCCAGGAGGAGCAGGAGACTGTGACGCAATCAGCTGCTGATTGAGCAATGCCTGCTCGACCGACAACGCCATGGCCGCGGGCGATGATGCGTTGCCCTTGCGCGCCTTGGACGACGACGACGACGACGCCGCCGCCTTCTTGCTGCTGGATTGCTTGGGGGCGAGCTCGACGGGGACGCGTGCTGGGGACGTGGTGGCGTCAAGCGCCGACAGCGTCTGCAACGACAGCTGCAATGGCGCACCAGCACCAGCACCAGCACCAGCTCGCGTGGCCGTGTTGTTGCTGCGTGGTTGGACAGTCTCAGAGTGGACCATCACAAACGAGTCCGACGTCTCGGACGTTGGGGTAACCGTGCCACTCGACGCCATAGAAATTGAATGCAGCGCTGAAACGAAGGTCTGAGAGGGTTGGTCTGAGAGAGATGGTAAATGAAAAGGAGTGAACTGCTGAATGAGAATGTGAATGTAGAATTGAGTGTGGAAACGTGCGTGAGTGCGCCGCGCGCCATCGTTCGAACACTTTGAGAAACGCCGTCGGACGACCGAAACGCTCGCTCACTTGCTCAGCAGCCCACACCCACCTGCCCCCAACCACAACCGCGTCACACTTTCTGGTTGGAACACAATGATTGTCCAACTCGAATCCAAATCCAACGTCCGATCCAAATTCACTCGTCCTCGTCCTTTTGTTCGTCTCAGTGTCTCACAACTGCCATGACCGACGCAGCCTCCCCAGTCCCGCCACCACCCCGCCGCATCTGCGTGTATTGCGGTGCAAGCGCTGTTGCTGACAAGTACAACGTGGCCGCGCGCGAGCTCGGTCGCCTGATTGCCAAGTCGGGCCACACACTCGTGTATGGTGGCGGCTCGTACGGCACGATGGGCGCCCTCGCAGACGGCACGCTCGAGGCCGGCGGTCAGGTGCGTACTATCGCCAGCAAAAAGCAGCTCAGACAGCCTCATCTTCACAATTGTCTGCACATGTCCAAAATGGTCCAACGAGATGCATCAAAGACCACGCTTCTTTACAGCATTCATCGCGTCGCATCGCATCGCATCGCTTCGCATCACTCACATCGTCGAGCATGTCAAAATTCTTGGTCACAAAAACTCTCTGTCATCTCAGGTGCTTGGAATCATGCCGCGCTTCATGGAGCAGCTCGAGTGGTGCCATCGCAATCTGCAAGAGCTGCGCCTCGTCACATCGCTCCACGAGCGCAAGTTCCAGATGCTCCAAGAGAGCGACGGCGTCGTTGCGCTCCCAGGCGGTGCCGGCACGTTCGAGGAACTCATGGAGGCACTGAGCTGGAAGAAGCTCGGGATTATCGACTCGCCCATCGTCTTGTTCAACTTGGACGGCTTTTACGACCCGCTGATTGCCATGCTCGACCGTGCAGCGCAAGAGAACTTTTTGGCTGTCGCCCCAGAGCGTCCGCTGTGGCGTGTTGCAACCACCGTGCCTGAAATCCTCGAGATTATTCATTCAGAGCAAGCGGTCGGCATGAAAGTCCATCCCAACAACGTACCTGTCGCGCCACAATGACCTAATAAACAAAACGCAAACCCTGCACGAGATCACTTGCCCCAAAAACTGCTTGCGTTTGGCATCGTATCGAAAGTGCTGAGCGAGCTCCTCTCCTAGAGCTGTCAATCCCGCCATCCAACCCCAAACACCATCACCAAAAGCACTTTCACTTCTCTCTGTTCCATCCACGCTCGGATTTTACATGCTCTGGATCTGTCCCCCTTTCTTGTCCGCTTCGGGGCCACTGATCCAGTCCTCCTCTCGCTCTGATCCCAATCCTTTTTTTTTTTTTTTTTTTTCGCATCATTTCGCATGGCGGCGTCTGCTGGATCATCATCGGCACAATCCCAACCGCAGGCGACTGCCTCGACCACGACCACCAGCGGCCCCAGCGGCCCCAGCGGCCCCAGCGTCCTGTTCAACCAAGTGGTGCTGCTGAATCTGGATGACGACAGCAAGCAGGACGCCTGGCCGCACGCTGCCCAGCCAATCTCATTCTCGCCAGTCTCCGTCCAGAGCGCGAGCTTTTTCACACTCCGATTGACCCTGCTTGCCGCCCAAGCCCCGCTCGCCACAGAGACCGTCTCCAAGCAGGCCACAACGTCACGGGCTCTGCCGGCGCCGCGCGTTGTTCGGCTGCAGATCGTGCACGGCGATGGTACGCTCGCACATGTTTTTTTTGGGGAACATGTTTGTGTGGACGACCTGCTTCGGTCGTGCCAGCGCTCTTTTGCTGGACTGACTTGGCGTAGATTCAGTGTTTCCTGGTGGTCGATGGATCGGGCGGGAAGAGGGGCGAAAAAAAAAAAACAAAAAAAAAACAAAGGCGTCTCATGTACTCAGTCACCCGCTTGACCCCCTCTACAACACAGGAACGATCTTGGACTCGATCATGTCGCCATACACTCAGAGATGCAAGCTGTCAGCTCGATCCTGCGTTCTGGGCCTCGCAGAGCGCGCTGTCTCGGTGCGCTTTGCCACCGTGGCCGACTATGCTCAGTTTGACGAGTACTTGCTCGAGCACCTCGCTACTGCCCGCGACTCAGACTGTGCCGTGGCTCCCGTCAATCCAGCAACAGCAACTGCAGCAACTGCAGCAACTGCAGTGACTTCTGCCTCGGAGAATGCCCCTTCTCTGAATGGCACCGAAGCCGCCTTGTCCGAGTTTGCGATGCGAACCGATCGCACGTCCTCGTCGCAGTACTTTCACTACTATGGCCAGCTTTTGCAGCAGCAAAACATGCTCCAGGACCTCGTGCGCACGGGCACCTACCAACGCGCCATGCTCGAGAACGCTGCCGACTTTGAGGACAAGGTTGTTTTGGATGTTGGTGCAGGCACGGGCGTGCTGTCCTTCTTTGCCATCCAAGCCGGCGCTCGCAAGGTCTACGCGATCGAAGCATCCGCCATGGCCGACAACACCCGGTTGCTGGTTGAGCGAAACGGCCTGGCTGGGCGCATCATTGTCATCAACGCCAAAGCTGAGGAGGTCGAGCTGCCCGAGCAGGTCGACTTGATCATCTCGGAGCCGATGGGCACGCTGCTGGTCAACGAGCGCATGCTTGAAACCTACATTTACGCTCGCAAGTGGTTGCGGCACAATCCGGATTTGCCTGCTGGCCAAAGTGGCGACGGGCTTGCAGGCGACGCCAAGTCGTTGCCAATGTCCACCTCAACCCACACTCTCAACGACGGCGACGGCGACGACGCCAACGATGACGCCACTGCAGCCAATGCTGATACTCAAGCCCCCGCAGCCTCCTCGACGCACCCATCGGCCATGTTCCCGTCGATGGCCTATCTCTATTGCGCCCCGTTCGTCGACGAATACCTCTACATGGAGCAATTTTCCAAGACGACCTTCTGGTACCAACCAAGCTTTTACGGCATCAACGTCAGCGACTTGCACGAGCGCGCCTTGCAAGAGGTGTTTTCGCAACCCATCGTCGACGCCATCGATCCAGCCCTCATCAACGCCAAGCCAGTGTGCAAAATCTTCAACTTTGGCTCGGTCGCAACGGAGGAGCTGGTCAACTTTGAAATCCCCTTCTCGTTCAAGTACGAGACGGCATCCATGGTGCACGGCCTCGCTTTCTGGTTTGACGTCTCGTTCAACGGCTCGCAAAGCGTCGTTTGGCTGTCCACCTCGCCCGTGGCGCCTTTGACCCACTGGTACCAGTTCAGGTGCCTGATGCCGCGACCCGTACTGCTTGCGCGCGGCCAAACCCTCGTCGGCCGTGCCATTATGCGGGGCAACAGCCGCCAGAGTTACGATCTGGAGGTCGAAATGTCCATTCTCGAAATGCCCAACGTCGTGTTGCGCAACCGCGTGAATGTCAAGGAGCCACTCTACCGTTACACCGGGTCTCCTGTAGCTGCAACGACACAGGCTGCTGTTGCCGCCAGCACCGCTGCAGCAGAAGCGACTGCCGCTGCTGCTGCTGCTGCTGCTGCCGCTGGAAATGCGAGCTCGCACCCGCCTGCCTCCATTGTCGGTGACGACGGTCGTTTTATGGACTTGTCTGAAGATGACGATGTGCCGGCAGCAGCGGCAGCGCCATAAGGAATGTGTTTTGTGTGTGTGTGTGTGTGTTTTGTTGGCTCTCTTTTTTGGCTTAGGGAATTGGTTGCAAAAGAAGATGGTTTATATTTGCACACTTTTGCTGTTGTCATTTTGCTCCTTCTTTCTTTTTCATCCGATTGAGATTTGCTCAGTCGTCTTTGATTCACGCTCTGAGCAAATGCGTCGACCAGCGTCTGCTGCATTGGCGAGATTGGTCGCTCCGACGCAGCAGCTGCTTTTGTCGTCCCACTGTGCAAGTGTCGTCGCTGCATCACTCTCATCATCACAATACAGCCTGCGAAGCAGACAGACCGACGAGCTGCTGCTCCGGCATCGGCGGTGGATGCATCATGACAGCTCCTCCACCACCCAGGCGAGCACGTCTGGCCACGTCCCAGAGCCACCAAGTCAGGCCACAAGCACCCAGCACAATCATCAAACTCGCAAAGCCACCTCCTCGGCAGACGAGGAGGCAGGAGCAGGCCAGGCAGCCGCCTTCTCGCTTTCAACAATGCTGGCCGAGCGACGTGCGCAGTCGGCCGCCGTCGAGCAGGAACTGAGCACGGCAACGACGGCGAGCTCTGGATATGTACAGCCAACGATGATTGCTGCACATCCAAGAAAACGCGCCGCCGCCGCCACCGCCGCCGCCGCTCCAAGTCCGACCAGCATGCAGCCAGCTCAGTCCCAAGCAGCTCAGACTGCTGATAGTGATGGCAAATCTCCGTCGCAGCAGCAATCACGGGGGCTGACCCTCCGGAACGTCTTGGTCGTCATGAAGCTGTCTCGCTTGGAGTATGAGCGACAGTCGCATGGGAATGTTTCGGACGCTGAGCTTGCAGCGCTGCTGCGGAAGCGCGGCTCGGATTACGACGGGCTCTTGTTCCGCCATCGACTGCATATTGCCAGCATTGAGCGTCTGACGTCCTTGCTGGCTGCTCGCGGTGTGCGATACACACTCGTGTCTGCGGACGAAGTACGACCATCCTTGTTCCGGCCGGTTTCGTCGTGGCTCTCAACCTCGCTCAGCCACTCAAAGGAGGCGCAAGGCGCGCCATCCACTTTCGCAGCCACCCCTAGCCAAGTGTTTGATGCAGTGTTCTCGGCGGGTGGGGACGCCACCTTCCTTCGCGCGGCCGCGCATGTCACCGATCAAACGCCAGTGATTGGATTGAACACGGATCCTGAGCGGTCCCGTGGGTTTCTCTGTCTCAAGGTCCACGATCCCGTCGACGTGCTCGACAGGCTGGCAGAGGGGAACTTTTCGTATCTACGGCGGCAGCGGATTCGCGTGCGGTTGAGCGGCGAACTTTCCACGATGGCGGTCGCATTCCAGCGACATCGACACTCGTATTCGCTGAGTTTCAGCGGGAGCAAGGCAGACTCGCCCGCGAACTTGACCTTTGAGACCAACCCGTCTCCGTATTTGTCAGGATGGACGACAGGAAACGTGAGCTCCGCAACGCAATCGCTGTTCGCTTCTGATACGGCAGTTGCTGCCGCCGCGTCTACCACAGCGACCACGGCTACCGCGGCTACGTCTGTGGATGTCACGACCTCACACGCCGAGATTGGCCCAGCAGCTCCGCCCGACGTGACGGAAGAAGACGACGAGCACGTCGAGCACACGCTCGCCTCCAAAGAACAAATTCTATCAACCACTTCACCCAGTGGCAAGCCAAGCACCAAAGAGCACACCCACGGCAATGCACATGCGGCCAAGAGCAACGCCTTGCCGAGCAACAACCGCGCGGCCGACGCCGGCGTCTTGACCTCTGACTCGGGCTCGGATATGCAGAGTCTCAACCAGCACTGTGTTACGCTTAGATATCGCGCGCTCAACGAAGTCATCATTGCCGAGGCAGACGTGTCGAACGCTGCCTATTACGAACTCTCCGTCGACGGCAGTCCCGGCGAAAAGCAGAAGAGCTCTGGGCTAATCGTGTCTACCGGCACAGGCTCGACGTCCTGGCTGTACAATGTGTGCCGCATGAATGCGAGCGACGTGACTCGCATTCTTGAGCTTGCACACTGTCCGCAGGGTCGCGATCCCGTGCACATTGCCGAGCAGTTCAATTCCGCCTTGGTGTTTGACCCTGCCGACCCCCGACTCAAGTTTGCCGTGCGCGAGCCTATTGACAATGGCATCTTCAACGTGACACATCCACGCGGGTTTGCCAACACGCTGTCCGTGCGATCGCGCAGCATTGATGCTCGCCTGATTCTTGACAGCGCCGTGTCCATCCCGTTCACTGACGGTGCCGTTGCGACCGTCGAGATGCACGACGAAGATGCGCTTCTGACTGTTGTTATGGACCGTTGACTGGATACTGCGTTTGCATGCCTGCGTTGTTCAAGTTATTTAAATCGACAGTGGGGTTTTGGCGGTTTTTGGTTTTGGTACTTGTGGATCAAGCAGCACTGAATCCAGGGTTGTTGGCAATTTTTTTTCATGTTTGTCTGAATTTTCTCTTTTTTTTTTGTTCATTTCTCAGTTTGAGTTGATCTCAGTCGCTCAGTCGTCGTTTCCTTTGCCAAATGCTGAGCTTTTACACATTTGCATTGCCGGCCGCCGAGTCCACCTCCGACGAGGAGGCCTATTCGCTGCTCAACCAAGTGAACCCGGTCATCCAGAACAACCGCCAGCCTCCCACCATGCTCCGTGGTTCCAAGCTCAAGCGTGAGTTTTCGCATCGAAAAGCCGAGATCCCAGCAATCACAATCAGAACCCAAAAAAAAAAAAAAAAAAAAAAAAAAAAAAAAAAGGCGCCAAAAAAATGAAATCTTTTGCTTTGCGTGTGCAGCGCGCCGTTTCGTTCTCGAATACGTCACATATCGTCTCGTGCACTTTTGCTTGCTTGGTGCAAAAAAAGCCACGAACGGGCGACCTTTTTGATCGATCTCCGTCCCAATGCTCACCGTTTGATTTTTGATTTTTAATTTTTTTTTTTTGATTTGTTTTTGTTATTGAACCACACAGATGGAAAGCGCGTTTTCGGGATGTACGACCTGGCGCCATTCCCGGACGACGGATACAGCTGGACGCAGCAGGAAGCCATGCGCGACGTCAAGATCAACGGCCAGCTGGCCATGAAGGTGTTTGAAACGAGCCACGGCGTCGACGACGCTGCACCGCACATTGAAGTGACGCGAAAGCGCTTTGCACTGCTGCCACCTGGCGGGCTGACGATGGAGATGCTGCAGCTGCCGTTGCTGCAGCTCGTGCACTACACGTACGTCTCGAAGGGCGGGGTTGATGCCGCGGCGATGCAGCGCTTGCAGGCCGTTCAGCAGCAGCAGCAGCTCTTGCAGCTCCAACAGCTCCAGCACCAAAAGGGCAGCGCGGCGCCACTCCCTGGCGCTGCTGGTGTGCAAATCCAGCAGCTCGGCTTAATTTATAACACGCTCAAGCAGGAAATTGCCAAGCAGCAAGCGGCGGGCAACACGCCCGATCCAGAGCTCCTCAGGCGTTTGGCAATGCTCGAGGCGCAGCTGACCCGCCACCAGCAACAGCAGCAGCAGCAGCAACAGCAGCAGCAACAGCAGCAGCAACAGCAACAGCAACAGCAACAACAGCAGCAGCAACAACAGCAGTCACAAACACCTGCACAACCATCACAACCGCAACAGCAGCGTGCGCAACAACCGTCTGCTGCAATGCAGCTTCAGCTACACCAGCAACAATTACAGTTGTTGCAGCAACAGCAGCAGCAGCAACAGCAACAGCAACAGCAACAACAACAGCAACAGCAACAACAGCAACTCTTGCAGCAGCAGCAGCAGCTCATTCAACAAAAAGCGGCCATGCAGCGCGCCCAGCAAGCGCAAGCATCTCCCCAGCCACAAGCTGCTGCGCAGGCGCAACAACAGCAGCAGCAAGCGTTGCTCCAACAGGCGCGCAACCAAGCACAACTCCAGCAGCAGCTGCAATTACAGCAGCAGCTGCAACAAGGACTCCCGCCACAACAGCAGGAGCAATTGCTGAAGCACTTGCAATTGCAGCAGCAGCAACAGCAGCTCCAGCAACAACAGCAACAACAGCAACAACAACAACAACAACAGCAACAACAGCAACAACAGCAAAAGGCAGCAGCAAGCCACTCGTCTCCAGCTCAACGGACTCCGGCGCAAGCGGCAACATCGCACTCGCAAGCTGGCCGATCTAGCGCAGCCAGTGGTCAGCCAGCCCCGGATCCGCGGTTGGTCGCTCAGCAACAACTCTTGCTCCGCGCTCCAGCATTGAACTTGCCCGAGCGGCCCACGCCACCGACGCGACCCCCAATGCCGCAAACCAAATTCACTCAGGAGCGATGGGACAGCGTCAGGAAGCAGCATCCCGAGGCCACTCCCCTCCAGCTGGAGGAGATTATTGCGAAAGAGTGGGCAGAACTTAGTGCAGAGGCTCGTAGTGTGCGAGAGCACGAGTGGGATCGCGCATTGGCTCAATACGATCTTGGCGTGGCCGAGCACGAAAACTCGGTTGCGTTTAAGAAATGGGCCACAGCCATGAAGGACGCCGAGCACCAAATCATCCAATGGAAGCGCTCCGTCCAGCTCCAGCTGCAGCAACAGGCAGCGCAACAGGCGGCAGGGCGCCCCACGCAAGTGGCTCCCGCCGTGGTTGTCGACGAGGAATCCGAGCCGTACTCGATTCGCCAGGTTGCCGCTTCGCGATACTACCGCAACCACGAACTGATGGCTGAAATTGTGGACACCATTCCGATGGACGAGTCTGAGGGTACGCGGATTGAGCGTTGGAATTGGGAGTGGGTGTTTTTTTTTTTTGACTGACTTCTGTTTTGTTCTTTTCTCCTCTTCCCTCCTTTTGCCCGCAACTAGCCTCGTCGTTTTTAGCTTCCGGAGTTTCCCAGCACCAGTCCTTGTTTGATGAGGAGTGCCAGCAAATGGAGGAAGATGCGCAGGCCATGGAGTCGCGGGCAGCTGCCAGGTTGCAGCGGCAAGCGGATGATTCCGAAAATTTTCTGGCTTCGTTGCGCGAGATACGGCACGCTGGTTCCCTCGAGGTATGTTCTCGATGCTGTGCGCTGTTTGTCATCACCAGCATTCACGAGTCTCTCACATCCATGATTTTTTTTCATCTCTGACAACACACAGGATCTGAACAGCATCTACCATAAACAAGCCACCGGCGATCTCCCCGCACCGCACGTCTGTGGGACGTGGCGTATGGTTCAGCTTGCCGACAACCCTGTTGAGCGCGATCACACTGCGGCATTGGTCGCAGGCTGCAGCAGCAAGCCCCATCTTGCCTTGTAGAGTGTGGCTTTTCGTTTGTGTCGATGTCGCTTTTCATGCTGCAACCTTCGTTTTGATAAATTGATTCTTAGCGTGTCTTTGGCTCTATTCATCTTGTGGTGGGTGAAAAACTCAAAATTGTCGGGAAAATCGTGTGCAGTCGTTTTTTTTTTTTTTTTTTTTCTTAGCTTCGGAAAGCAGAAGAAAAACATGGCTTCGGCGGCTGTTCGTGTGGCCACATCTGCAGCAGCGCGGCGACCAACCAAGGCGCTGATGACAGTGGTAAGACGTGCGAAACACTGCCCACTATGACCACGAGCTGTCCTTTCGACCGATAAGGGCTGGACACACGGTCACGAACAAGTTGAAAACGGTGACCGACCGCGCGGAACAAAAAAAAAAAAAGAAAAAAAAAAAGTCGCCGGGTTGTCGTGTTCCACGTCTCTATCGATTAGACTCGGTGCTGAGCTCGATTGGTGGCCAGGAGTTGGGTGGGTCTGTTGTGGATTTGGGTGTAAGGCGTTGTGCTTGTACAGCCCCAGCGCAGGCGGTGAGCAGCACACGAGCCACCGCTTTTCGCACTCAAACAGAGCCAAGAAGCGATCATGACCGTTTCCCCCCCCCCCTCGCTCAACTAACAAACCAACACGTCACGACGCTTGTTCTTTTGCTTGTGACTCTAACAGACAGCTGCAGCAGCGGCACAATTGAAAGTGTTGCTGGCCGAGCAGCCCGGCTCGTATGGCATGCGCATTGGCGTCAAGAAGCGCGGATGCAGCGGCCTTTCCTATACACTCGATTTTGCAGACAAGAAGTTGCCTCTGGATGAGGAGGTCAAGGCCGAAGGTACGTTAGGACCCATTGAGATTTGAGATGCATCGCTCGTGCTTCTCCTCCTCCTCCTCCTCCTCCTCCAACTCACACAAGTACACTCGATTCCAGGATTGAACGTACTCATCGACTCCAAGGCGCTCTTCTCGCTGATCGGGACGGAAATGGATTATGTATCCGACCGGTTGCGGTCTGAGTTTGTGTTTACCAATCCGAACGTCAAGTCCATGTGCGGGTGCGGCGAGTCCTTCAACGTGGTTGATACCGCTGCCGATAGCAACAGTGGGTACATTCCAACGCTTGCAAACACACCCAGTCCTGCTGCTGGACAAGTTGGCGCTGTCAAGGCACCTGTGTCCTCCTCCTCCTCCTCCTCGTCTTCGTCTTCGTCCGGTGCTGCAGTGTCTGCAACTCCAGCTGCCGCCAGCAACGGCAGTGTCAACACTGCAGTTCCAAACCGCTCCATCCATTCTCTAGCCAGACAACCACAGGCTTCCAAGCTCTTGTCCCCGTTGATTGCGCTCGCCACGAGTTTGCGGAGGTGACATGAGCGTTTTGTGTTTTGCGCGGCCAGTTTCTCAAAATTGTTTGAAGGAGATGTGTATTAATATCAGTGAAGAAAGAAGGTTTTGGTTGTGATTGTCGTTTCAGCAACAACAACAACAACAACTGATGGGGGGGGGGGTTGAGGCAAACGCACTCAATACCATTTCAATGTTCAGCGCCAAAGAAGGTACGGGTGGTCTCACACTTGGGATTGGTGCACTTTGGGACAACCGCATGCCAAGCTGCTTGCTGCAGGCCTTGCCGGTGGCTTCTGCTTGCTGGAGATGCTCGTGCACAATTGTAGCCATGGCTTTGATGAATAGGGGGTGGTTCGTTGAGGGATTCCGAGCGTTCGATTTGTTCGATTCCAACCTGCACAGATCCAAGTGAAGCAGAGAGCACACGGGTTAGAGGGGGCTCCAGTTGCAGAAAGAAGCAGAAGAACCAGAAAAGAGGAAAAAACAGACAAACAAACAAACAAACAAACAAACAAACAAACAAACAAACAAACAAACAAACAAACAAACAAACAAACAAACAAACAAACAAACAAACAAACAAACAAACAAACAAACAAACAAACAAACAAACAAACAAACAAACAAACAAACAAACAAACAAACAAACAAACAAACAAAAAACCCCGACGGCGGCGCGCCTCACCTCCTTTGCGAGAACGTCCGCATATTCATGATCCAACTCAAACAAGGTCTCGATGTGATCGGAAGTGAAGGCAATCGGAACCAAGAGGAGATTCTTGCGGCCATTGGCCGCAAAGCCGCGGATTGCCTCGTCGGTACGAGGGCCGAGCCAGTTCTGGGGACCAACCTTGCTCTGCCACACAAGTTGGAACTGGTGGGAGTGGCCCAGTTCTTGCATGACGGCATGAACAGTGGCGGCCACTTGTGGAGGGTAAGCATCGCCACGATTCACCACAGTCATTGGCAACGAGTGTGCGGAGAAGACCAAGACCACCTCCTTTCGCTTGGCTTCGGGGAAGCGCAGCAAGGCCTGGCGAATGTTGTGCACGACAGCCTAATGAGCAAGCACGGGGGAGGGCGGGGGGGGGAGTGGGAAGCTGTGAGTGTTGCCATTTCAGCAGATTTCTGATCGCTCAAAAACAAAAACAAAACAAAAAACAACCACACAAGCAAAACAGCTTCTTACTTGGACAAACAGGGGATGCGTCGGCCAATGGTCAATCACAGACCATTGCATGTCTTTCAAGGGCGACGCCGAGCCGGCAGCAGAGATTTGGCGAGCGAGCTCGTTCAAGCTACTTCCCGTGGTCGAGCACGAGTACTGTGGATACTGGGTGAAGGCCACCGCTCTTGTCACACCATCTGCGGCCATCTGCGCCAACGCGTCGTCCGTGAGGGGTCGCGCATACCGGAAGGCAATGTAAGGCTTGTGCGGTGCTGAATGGAGCCATCGGAACACACAGGAAAGGGCGCAACAACCGAAAAAAAAACAAACACTCAGCCACGCATACCATCAAATCATCCGAACAAAGAGCCAATACGGTTGCTTGTCTCTGACGCTTGCTTACCGGTGCTGGGAGAGATCTCGTCGAGCATCTTGGCCATGGCCTGCCCTTGCTTTTCAGTCCACGAACGAATGGGCGACCCCCCGCCAATCTTGGCGTACTGCTGTTGGATGGTAGGTGTCCGTCGTCGTGCAATAAACCGTGCAGAATAGCTCTGCAGCGGCAGTGGAATAATGTCTCGGTCGGAGAACAGCCTGGCGATCGGATGGAACCATCAAAGGGGTCAGAGAATGCTCAAAGATGATACGGTGTCGATCTGCAAAACCATGACAAATTCAACAAACCTCAAGAGAAAGTCGTGGACGTCTGCCTGTGTTGCGGGGCCGCCAAGATTCATCAGAACGATTGCAGTGGGCGGTTTGGTTGATCTGCAAAGAAAAAACAATGTTTCATCAAAGTGAATCGAGAGCAAACAACAATAGCTTGCTTGCTAGCTGCCCAGCCCAAGCACGATGCAGTACAGCACATCGCACATCGCACAACGAAGCAGAAGCAAGAAGCGGGGGTTGAGAAAACTCCACTTCAGAGAGCGATCGCGCGCGAGGCGGTTGGGCACATCTGACCACGGACTTGACCCACGGGTAGACTTACACAGGAGTGACACGCAATCCATCAGTGGGAGCGGGAATGGCAGTGGCAGTGGTGGCCGATGGAGCAGGCGCAGAGTGCGAGGATCGTGAAACAGCAATCGCGCCGCTTTGGTGCTGCAGCAGCAACGGCTGTAGCGGCGACGATCGCGCGAGCTGCTGGGCAGCGCCCGAGAGTCCTGATTGCAACAAGCAACAACAGAGAAAGAGGCGCATGTTCGCCGTCAGTGTTTCAGCATTCACCGGCAGCAAAACAGGGGAAACAGACGGCCTCAAAGTACCAAATCGCAGGCGCGACAGCATTGTTCAGACACAAAACGAGACTGAGCAAAGCAGCAAACGAGAGTGTATGAATTTGCTTGATGTGCTCAGAGCGATGAGCCATTTCTTCAGTACTGGTTGTTTCCGAGTTTGTGATCTCAACCTTGATGGTGGAAAATCAATCACTCTTTTTTTTTTCTTTTCTTTTTGTTCATTTTTTTGCTCACTGTTTGTATGTCACTGACACTAGCTTTTGATACCCCCAAATTTTTCAGTAGTTCTCTACATTTTTTTTTTTTTTTTTTTTTTTGGGTGGGGTGCGATTTGTCGTTCGCGCCTCCAGTCCCAAAGTCCAATTCGATCAACAGCACTTGCCCCCCCCCCTCTTGCTCATTGCTCTGCTCACTCTGAGCGTGGCAGCGGGCTGGCAGAACAGCGACCTGCATTGACCGCTTTGCTGGTTGATCTCTCTTTCCCGTTCTTTTTCGTACGCTTCCGCCGTTCGCTCGTTCTTGCGGCAGGAGGGGCGCCTTTTGAAGCAAGGGCAGTCTCAGTCTTCCTCTTGTCGCTTTGGTCTTGCTGTTGCAGACGACACAAACACGCCCCTCAAAACAACGTTCAGCACGAAACCGAAACCATCACAAAAAAACAACAAAAACAAAACAAACAAGGAAAAAAAAAAAAAAAAAAAAAGCAATTCATCGCTCAATGCGTCGCTCAATGCATCGCTCACATTTTGTATCTGCATGTTGAATTTGTCATTGTGCACTTTGACAGATAAAACAAAACTTTATCACCCGTTCCTCGAAACAATGTCGCGTTGGGTCGCTGTGGAGAACAACGAGAAGTATGGCGTCGGTACGTTTGATCTTCACATACTGCTCGTTGTTGCCACATCCGATCATGGCCGCATCATCGTCTCACTCGCTGATGCTTGTTTTTGTTCGTTGTCGTGATTTTTTTTGCAGCCATCTACAACTTCCAGGCGAATGGCCCTGCGCAGCTCTCGCTGGACGTCGGCCAGCCGGTGCAAATCTTCGAAAAGTGCGGCGCTTGGTACCGCGGCAGCTTTTACGGGTGCGAGCTGGGCGAGAAGTGCATCTTCCCGACGTCGTACATCCAGATCAAGGAGTGCGTCGTTGAGGTCGAGGACAACGGCTTTGGCGACGTCCAGTCCGTCATTGCGAAGGAGGATCCGCTCGCTCGCGAGGCTGCCGATGTTCTCCGCGTGTGGGGTACCCATCTCCCCACTCTCTTCTTGGTATGAGCCCGTCGGTTTGGAGCTTTGTTGTGTCGCATTCTGTTTGCACCACCTGAACCAATCACTCATTTTTTCTGGTTTGGTTCTTTTTTTTTTTTTTCCTGTTTTTTGTCCCCCTGTTTGTTCTTGTGAATTTGCTCGCTCGCCCTCCCCCCCCCTCTTCAGCAAAGGCAAACGGAAAACTTCTTTGCCCTCAAAAAGGCCATGCTCGACCTGCTGATTGCTCGCCGCCAGCTGCAATCGGGCACCCTGCCCCAGGACCAAATCCGCGATATTCGCCTCAAGATGGGCCAGAAGATTGACTCTGGCAACCGTCGCCTCAACCTCGATCTGGTGCCGCGCTCGGCGACTGGCGAGGCTGTCGAGGCCGGAGACGACAAGACGAGTGTGGTCGAACTGTACCGCATGCATCGCCGCACGATGGAGTCGCTGGTCAACCAGAACGACATTCCGTGGACGTACGCTCTGCCAACCCGCGGAGGCGGTCTTGCTTTTGGAGGCAACTTTGGTGGCCACGACGTGGGTGCCCCGCCCGGCTCGCCGCTTGCGTCCGGCTCGAGCTCAACCAGCATGCCGCTCTCTGGCGCATCCAGTCCGTTCGGCACCCTGACGCCTACGGGCACCCTTGCCAACATGGGCTCTCCGATCAAGGATCCGGTGAGCTCCTTGTCCATGGGCGGTGGGTCGCCCGCCATCCCTGGCTCGCCTCTGGCGACTTCGCAGTCGCTGGCGGCAGGCAACTCGACCTCCCTCCTCCTTCCCCCGCGCCGCACCGCCACCGTCCATCACCTGTTGTTTGAGCTCAAGAACTTTGTCTGCCCCGTCCTCGAGGAGACGGAGGTGTTCTTCTCGCTGTACAATGCCACGACCGGCTCCTTCCTGACCGAGGACTACTTTACGCGCCTGAACAAGTCTGGCATGCCCAACGACATCAACCTGATCAACAACATGAAGACGCTCTTCATGGACCTGAGCAACAAGGACTTGGACTCGACCGTCTACCTGGTGTGCCGCGTCCTGCGTGTCGGCAAGATGCTCGTCGACGACAAGGACTCCAAGAAGGGCAACCCGCTCAAGGTGCGTCGTCCGTACGGTGGCGCCGTCCTCGACATTACCGACATTCTCAATCGCCGCACCGCGGACGACGAGGACAAGGAGCACACGCTCATGGTCTACCAGTGCGCGGACAATGACTTTTCCAACCTGCACGACATGCTCATCCGTCGCTCGGGCAAGTTTGAGCTTATTCCCCGCGCGAAGGGCATCTATGTCACCATGAAGCTTCTCTCCGGTGAGATTGAGCAAGTGAAAAAGGACCAGGCCATCGCTTCCCGCGACTCTAGCCAGTTCACCAAGAAGCTGGGCTTCCCCGACGTCATCTACCCAGGTGATTTGCGCAACGATCTCTACGTGACGCTGGTGCACGGCGACTTCCAGCAGGGCCGCAAGTCTGCCCCCAAGAACGTCGAGGTGGCCATCAGCGTCCACCTGGACGGCGGCGAGATTCTTCGCAACTGCATTGCCGCTGGGTCGGGCGATCCGCTGATCAATGACGAGTTCCAGTCGGTTGTCTTTTACCACACCAACACGCCTCGCTGGAGCGAGACCATCCGTCTGCACGTGCCAATCGACCAGTTCAAGCGCGCCCACCTCAAGTTCTACTTCCGCCACATGTCGTCTGGCGAAACGAAGGATCGCAGCGAAAAGACGTTCGGCTTCTCGTGGCTGCCCTTGGTCTCGCTGGACCACACCACCATTGCCGATGGCCCGCATGTGCTGGACATTTACAAGCACGAAAAGCGGCACGACGACGCCCGCATCTACCTCAAGGAGGATTCGCACACCAACAGCACCCCGAGCGCTCCCAGCAACTCTGCCGACCCGAACGCGCTCGCCAAGTCTCCCAAGGAAACCTTCACCATCCGCACGCTCCTGTGCTCCACCAAGCTGACGCAGAACTCGGCTCTGCTCGCGCTGCTCAAGTGGCGTGACAACGAACCCGAGATTCTCAACACGCTCAAGCGCATCACGTTCGTTGGCGGTGACGAAATTGTCAAGTTCCTCCAGGACATTTTCGACGCCCTGTTTGCCATTCTGGACAAGAGCCCCGAAAAGTACGGCCCGCTGGTCTTTGACGCGCTCGTCTTTATCATTGGCATCCTCGCCGACAAAAAGTACTCCAACTTCCATTCTGTGCTCGACGTCTACATCCAAAACCACTTTAGCGCAGCCATGGCCCACGTCACGCTGCTCAACTGTCTGGCGTCGATTCTGAAACGCGCCGACGATCCGCAGACAGGCCAGCAGCTCCGTGCGACAATGAAGGCGCTCGAGTACTTTTTGCGCTTCCTCATCCAGTCGCGTTTGCTGTACTCGCGTGCGCACCACCAAAAGGGCGACAAGGAGTTTTTGCAAGAGCTGCGCCAGGTGATTGAGTACTTCAACCCGCTGATGAGCAAGAAGGCTCCCGAGTCCATCATTGGCACGCAGACAACCGTTCTGCAATACTTCCCGGCCGTCATCAAGGAGCTCATGACCGTGTACAAAATGCCCGAGCTTGCGCCGATGGTGGCTGGATTTATCGAGAGCATTCCCATGGACAAGGCCAAGTCCAAGCTCATTGTGCACAAGCTGCAGTTCATGAGTCAGCTGGTGCAAGGCGCCTTGTTCCAGTCGGCCGAAGGCCGCTTCTTGCTGCTGCCCACCGTCCTGAAGCATGTCAAGCTTCATCTGGAGAACCGCGAGGACTTGCCCATCTGCGTCGAACTCGTCTGCGCCGTGCTCTCAACCACCGGCCACCACAAGCTGCCGGAAGACATTGACGCTGCCATGTCGCTTTTGCGTCCGATTCTGAATGCCTGCTCTCGCACGCCTCCCAATGAGGCTGGCGCGGGCGAGATTGTCGCCTGTCTCCTGTCCATTCTGCACATGATGCCGGCCGAGCAGTTTGAGAGCTATCACGACACGATGGATGAAGTCGAGCTTGCCGACTTTTTGAACGAAATGTTTGCCTGCTTCCTCGTGTTTACGACGGCCAACATTTACCCGCGCGACTGGGCTGTCATGGGTTTGCTGCAAAACTACGTCATCCTCAAGGCCATCGAGTTGCTGGCAGCCCGTGCGCTTGAAAACCACTTCCTTGTGGGCAACAAGTTCAAGCGCCAGCTCTGGAACGACTTTTTGCGTCTCAACCTGACCTTTATCACGCAGGACGTGCTCCAGCTCGAAAAGCTGCCCGAGACGCGCCGCAGCAAGATTCTGATCAAATACAGCGATATGCGCGTGCAGTCGGCCGTGGTCATGAAGGAGCTGTGGGACAAGCTCGGCCCGCTCAAAATCCAGTTTGTTCCTGCGTTGGTCGGTCCCCTGCTGGAGACGACCCTCATCCCGGTGCCCGAGCTGCGTGAAATTTCCCTGTTTATGCTGGCCGACATGGCGAAGGTTGAGTATGCCGCCCGCGGCGTCATTCGTCAGACCGAAAGCGAGACGATCGACCGTCTGGACGAGCTCGTTGGCGAGGGCAAGGGCGATGTCTCGTACATTGGCGACATTACCAACATGCTCACGCTGCACCTGACCAAGCCGAACGCTGGCGATCCAGACACTGGGCGGCCCCCATTCAAGCCGGACGCAAAGCTGGCCGAGTACGGCGCGCAGTTTGCCTCCACCATCCAGAGCCTGCTGGAACTTTTGCTGCGCTATCGCACGCTGGGCAATCACGACGAAAACCGCGACGAACGCGCGTCCGTCATGCACGACCTGCTCTTGTTCTTTGAAGGCATTCATCGCGAGGACAACTACTATCGCTACGTCGACCGCTTGCGTGACCTGCATGTGCAAAACAACAACTTTACCGAAGCAGGCTTTGCCCTCGGTCTATATGGAAACCACCTGCAGTGGAGCGACGTCAAGCTGCCCGCGCAGGGCAACGGCAAGTATCCTGCCCAGACAATGCGCGAGCGCAAGGCGGCCGTCTACAATGAAATCATTGGCTACTTTGACAAGGGCAAGGACTGGGAGGTTGCCATTCAACACTGCAAGATTCTGGCGGTGCAGCTGGAGACGGAGCTCTTTGACTACACCAAGATGAGTGAGATTCTGCAGCGCGAAGCTCGTTTCTTCAACCAGATTGTGTCTCAGCCGCGCTACCATTCCGAGTACTTCCGCGTCGGCTACTACGGCAAGGGTTTCCCCGTTGCGATTCGGGTAAGTTTGAAGTTGGTTTTTTGGGGAGGCAATGAGAGAGGATTGTGAGCTGGTTGGAGTGTTTTTTTTGTTTTTGTTTGTTTGTTTGTTTGTTTGTTTGTTTGTTTGTTTGTTTGTTTGTTTGTTTGTTTGTTTGTTTGTTTGTTTGTTTGTTTGTTTGTTTGTTTGTTTGTTTGTTTGTTTGTTTGTTTGTTTGTTTGTTTGTTTGTTTGTTTGTTTGTTTGTTTGTTTGTTTGTTTGTTTGTTTGTTTGTTTGTTCGTTTGTTTGTTTGTTTGTTTGTTTGTTTGTTTGTTTGTTTGTTTGTTTGTTTTTTTCTGACTGGTTTGTTTTTGTGACGATCTGCTCAACAACTCTAGAACCGCGAGTTTGTGTATCGCGGTGACGAGCTGGAACGCATTGCTGCGTTCGTGGAACGCATTCAGGCGCAGTATCCTGAAGCACAGATGGTCAAGAACAATGCTCCGGTGGACGAGAAGACTCAGAACGACGAGGGCCAGCACATTCAAATTGTCAAGGTCGATCCTACCCCGCCGCCCAAGGACTTCAAGGGTCGCAAAGTTGCAGAGGGTATCGAGAGGTACTATGCTCTCAACGATGTGAACACGTTCACGTTCGCACGGCCCTTCCGCAAGGGTGCCAAGAGTGGCAATGAATTTGCTGTACGTTGTTGTCGTCGTCGTCGTGTTTGATTGATATAATTTGGTACTTTCGTGACCGGGGGGAGAAAACCACACATAAACCTCACTTGGTCTGCGCCGGATCTTGACAGGATTTGTGGACGGAAAAGACAACGCTTGTCCTGGCCGCGTCTCTGCCGAACGTTCTGCGCCGTTCCCAAGTCATCGAATCAAAGCGGGTATGTTGCGGCTCCTCGATTGTTTGGATTGAGGTGAACTGCGGGGTTTTTGCTGTATCTCACAGTTTTTTTGTTTGTTTGTTTTGTTTGTTGCTGTGCCCACAACGATTAGAGCGAGATCTCGCCCATCGAAAATGCGCTGGATGCAATGTCGAGCAAGAACAAGGAGCTCATCGCAATGGTTGAAAAGTACGAGGCCGGCCAGGGTGGCAACGTCAGCCCGTTCACGATGGCGCTCAACGGCATCATCGATGCCGCCGTCAACGGCGGTACCGAAATGTACAAGAAGGCCTTCTTTGTCAAGAGCTACATTGCCAGCTATCCCGAGCACGCCGAGTTTGTGCGCCAGCTCAAAATCTCCCTGGATGAGCAGATGGACATTGTGCAGCGAGGCTTGACGCTGCATGCCCGCATTGTGTCGGAGGAGATGCGTGCGCTGCATTCCAAGATGGAGACCTTCTTCACCGATCTCAAAAAGAAGCATGCCATGCCCTTCGACGAAACCGAGTCCGGTGTTGCGACTCCGTCCGTCAGCAGCCCGTCAGTGTCTGCAGTCTCCAGTGCCCCCGCATCGCCGCCAGAGCAGCGCAAGGCCACGTTGGTTCGCACCGAGTCGAGCACCCGTACTCACGCCGTGACACCGATCTCGGCCGCCGATGCCGATGTCGCTGATCATCCCGCAGCTCGCCTGCCCGAAATCCCCGTCAAGCCCCTGCGTCCTGCGCGCTCTGTGGATGTGCCCGACGCCGCCACGCCGCCGCTGCCTCACCGTCCCGTGCTTCGCTCTGTTTCAGACACCTCTTCCTCGGCTGGTCCCGAGAGCCCCGATCGCCCAGCGAAGCCTGCAAAGCCGCTTCCTGGCGCTCGCTCTGTGCTCCCTCCTCCCCTTCCTCGTTAACGTTCGATGGGGGTTTGCAAAATTGGTGTTTGCTCGTGTAATTTCTTTGTTATTCTTTTGCTGCTGCTGTACCAGCAAAACAAAATTGAGCAACTCAAACCAAAATCATGGAGGTCGACAATAATACCATCACTGTGCCATGCAGCATAAGCTATTCAGTGTTTTGACTGTAATTGACAAGTGGATGCTAAAATGGAAATGACAGAAATCGAAAAACAAAACAAAACCAAACAACAGACAGACGTCATCGCGTGTCCTTCCCGTAGAGTTGTGGAAAGAAGAGCTCATCAATGTAAAAGTCCCCTTGGTCTGTACTGGATGCCTTGGTTTCTTGTTGGCGTGCCGAATTCATTTGCGTGATGGATGGAACGATTGTTTCGGCAAAATCGTCCTCCCAGTGCACGCTCTGTGATCGATTCGGGCTCGCGGCTGGCGAGCTGGAAGTCAGGGCGCTGCCTAGCTGACTGGCTGCGCGATCTGTCGTGGAGTTGGCCGACGTGGATGTGGCATTGCTTTTCGCGTGTGCCAACATTTCTTTCTGGAAGTGTTGCGGGTTGGTGTGTCCGCCGCTGAACTGCCGTTCGAGGTCTTCAAAGGGATGCGGATGCGACTCGGTTTCGGTCCGACCGGGCCCTAACGCTGCCTGCTGGAGCTGCCGCACAAGCCAGGAGGGAATGTCCGTCGAGCCGTCAGATTGCGACTGCGGTTGGTAGAACGATTCTGTCGGGGCAGGGTACATTTTCTCCAAAGCTGCAGGATCCACAGAGCTGGGTCGGACTTGGTGTGTGCGGCGTTGGGCAACAGCAGCCGACGCGCTGTTGATGGTCGGCGTTGTGCTTTCGTTTTCTGCAAGATTGTGCAAGTGTGTTGGGTGGTCCACGCTCAATGTTGCCAAGGCGGGTGGCGTTGCTGAAGAGGCGGTCATCGACGGTTTTCGTCGACCACCGCGGCGCATAAACTGAGCGGTTTGGAAGCCCGTGGCGTAAACGGACAGACCGCCACCCGCAACCAAATTGGAGCATCGATGAGGTAGAAAATGGGCCAAGCCGCCAGCCGCGATGGCTGCTGGTGGCGGCATATACTCTGCAAGCATGTTAGGAAGGAGGGCAATGGTTGGGAAGTGCTCTGAGACGTCATGGAGAGCAGCGGCCAGCGCAGGGTAGCCCTATCAGAGCAGAGAAAACAGCAGCAGCAGCAGCAAACAAAGCAATCACACAACCCCAGGCAAAGGGAAAGAGGGGTCAGCTTTCAAGAATTGCCGTCCATTCAACAATAAGCTCGTTGCTTTGCGTGATCTTTACATTAACAAAGTTGCCAGGAACGAGCAGAGCGGCATGAATATCTGTGCATCGCCAAAAACGGTCAGACAAAAGTCAAGGATTTCACAAAATCAACAATCAAAAATTCCTAGTCCATGCACCAAACGCTGGAACAGTGCATCATACAATACCTTCATCACACGCCGAGTACAATCGGTCAATGAGACTGGCTTCGCTGTTTGAGTGGAAGAAGCTCAGGCTGCCGCTCGCTGCTGCAGCAGGCCATGCCTTGCCACCACCGTCCGCACCAGCAGCAGCAGCCATCATCGCAGTAGCAGCTGTAGTAGCAGAGTGCTGGCTGAGAGCAGCAGCTGCTTGCAAGAGCTCGGCATGAGCACGGCGCGCTTCAGCCTCGCACTGCTCGACCGACAGCAACGATTGCTGGTGCCTTGACTTGGAGGGCGAAGCGAAGGCGAAGCGGCGACCTGGCCATGATACAACAAAGTCAACGAGTGAGAGTTGAATGCATTGGATGATAATGATTCGAGGTGAAGTCAGGGTGAAGCAAGGGTGAAGCAAGGGTGAAACTCTGATCAAAGCCAAACCTGCGCCGTGTAAGACGAGCACTCGCAAGGAACTGAACGAACTGAGCGCCATCAAAAACAAGGAGATGGGGAAAAAAATGACTGAATGAATGAATGAAGAATAATAATAATAGGCGCATTCAGTGCAAACTCAGACAAGCCGTTCACAGGAAGCTGAGCAAATTTTAGGAAATCCGCAACAAGTGCTCGGAAGTTTACCGCACATTCAGAACACAGATGCAGCACCATCGGAACAACACATCGCGCGCTCCATACTACACACATACGGCATCATGAACGTTTATTGCGACGCACATCTCACCAGTCTGGTGCATAGCCGCACGACGAACACAATTTGGCCTTGTCTGCTCCGCTATGGGTCTTCTCGCGATCTGGGCAGTCCCGCTGCCGTGCAAGGACTTGCAACGGCAGATTGGTGTGTGTTGCATCACAGTATGGTGGTGATTTCGTGTACTTGCAGGCACAGAGCTGGAAGACAGCCTGTTGGCGCTCGGGGACTGTCCACCTCAGCGGCTTGAAATCGGTGCCAGCATGAGCACCTGCAACCATCGCAGTATCAACGTTGTGAGTGAGTGACACCCTATTCGCGCTGATTCCAGGATGATCCAACAGCAGCAGCAATGTTGATCCGAAAAACCTGATCAGCACACGCAGAGTGCTTCAAAGTCCAACTCACCATCGCACCAAGGCTGTTTCTTGCTCAATCCGCATGTACACCAGAGCTTCTTCTCGCCTGGCACCAATCCACGAATATTACACGGGCAGTACTACCAAGCACCATTTGGTTGACAGATGGAAGTGAGATTGCAAAACAACGCGTTGTTTCAAGCCAAGTGATCAGCAAATCAGCTAACCATCGCCGGTCGCGGGAAGAGCTCGGTCGCTCCTGCTGCGGCTGCTGCTTGATCAATGCTGTCGACTGCGTCCTTGTCGAGCTCTGCCTGCCCGCGCTGCTGCTCGCTGTCTATGTCCTTGTCCTTGTCCGTGATTGAGTGACTCGTCTTGTCCTTGTCCTCCTTGACCGTGTCCTTGCCGTCCGCGCTGGAGCTGCCCGTCTTGTCAGTGATGCTGAGCGTGGCAGCAACAGCATCGACGAGACTGCTGCCGTCCTCCGATGGCTGTGCTGGCTGCGACATGCTGCGTGGACGTTGATCGTGTTCCAGATTGTCGGCGTTTCAGTTGGTGCAGCACGAGGACTGAGCACTTTAACAGAAACACAACACAACGAGCAACAGTCAATCTAAATCAGCCATCATCATTCTCATCGTCATCCATCATTGGGATTCGACAATGAGGGGGGATGAACAAGGAGGACGATGCGGCCGGCCGTGTGAGAATGGATCATCACTCGGCAGTTTGTTCTACGAGCTCAACTCTCATGTCAATCCGTTTCTTCCTGATTGTTAAAACATTGCTAGATCTATCTACCAGTCTTCGTTTGTTTCTCTCTTTTTCTTTGGTTCTGATGCAGCGCTGCGCAAGTCAAGCGGCTGGACGGCTGTCGGTGCTGCGATCAAGCCTCGTCTGCCCATGCTCCATCTCATCGCTACCATCATCATCATCATCATCGTCGTCGTCGTCATTGTCCTTCCCATCGTCGAGCTCTGTGATGACTGCCCCGATTCAGGCTGCCTCTCCAATGCGCATGCGGTCACTGTCAAGCGTGACTGCCGCCACTCCTCCAATCCCGAGCACCTCACTGCCTGCCCATGATGCAAACATCAACTCCAGTACAACCTCACTCCCTGCTTCTGCTTCTGCTTCTGCTTCTACTTCAGCTTCTGCTTCTGGTGGGCGGAATCACAGCGCTGCTTTGATGCTGCAGCCGGGCGCTCCGCTCGAATCCAAATTGCTCGCTGCCCTCGATGCACGTCGCGCAGTGCAGTCGTGCAGAACGCTGACCATTGCCACAGACGATGGCACAGCATCGGGCGTACCGCTGGCTGATTTCTCATCGAACGACTACCTCGGTCTGGCGCGAGACCAAACCTTGCAGGCGCGGTTACTGCAACCGCCGACGACGTCGACGATGGATGAACATGCACTTCGAGATCGCGCAGTGGGCTCGACCGGATCGCGGCTCTTGACTGGCAATAATGGCTTGTACGAGTGTGTGGAGCGCCTGGTGCGTGATTTTCACGGCGGAGCGGCCGGTCTGATTTTCAACTCTGGCTACGATGCCAATCTGGGAATATTCGGGAGCCTGCCACAACGCGGCGATGTCATCTTTGTCGATGAGCTCATTCACGCCTCGGTGCACGAAGGGCTGAAGCTCTCGCGCGGATCCAAGGTGACCTTCCGACACAACGATCTGGCCGACCTTGAGCGCAAGCTCGAGCAGGCAGCCCGCCAGTCCGCAGGCTTGCGAGAGCCGTCAACCGGCGGCAGTAACAGAAGCAGTGGAACAGCAGAATCATCTGAAGGCCCAACAGCTCCGGCAGCGGGCCGGACAAGGTCCTTTTTGATTGCGGTCGAGTCGGTTTACTCGATGGACGGTGACTGCGCCCCGTTGGTGGAGCTCGCGCAGTTAGCCGAGCGCTGGAATGCGGCGCTCATTGTCGACGAGGCGCATGGGACGGGAGTGATGGGCGACCGCGGGCAAGGGCTCGTTGGCGCGCTGGGCGTGGAGAATCGCGTTTTTGCGCGCGTGCACACGTTCGGCAAGGCACTCGGTGCTCACGGTGCCATCGTTATTAGCTCGCCAGTCGTCCGCGAGTATCTCGTCAACTATGCGCGCTCGCTGGTGTACACGACATCGCTTCCGCCGCACTCGTTGCTGTCGATCGCGCATGCCTACCGCCGTCTCGAAGAGGTCGGCTCGGAGCGGAGGGCCAAGGTGCTCGATCTCATTCAGCACTTTCGGACGCGGATTCAAACATGCTCGAATGCACGCATTGCGCGAGCTCTCCTCCCGTCCGACACTCCCATCCAAGGGCTCGTTGTGCCCGGCAATGCACAAGTTGTTGCGCTCGCCCGCCATTTGCGAAAGCGGGGTATGAACGCGTTGCCAATTCGCTCGCCGACCGTACCCACCGGCGCTGAGCGGCTTCGAATCATTGTGCACGCCCACAACACGGTGCAGCAAATCGACGGACTCGTGGCGGCCATTGAAGAGTACTTTGCGTCAGAAGATTCTTCGACCGATTCTCCAGTGGTAAAGGCCGTTCCTGCGCCAGCTGTCGTGTCGTCCCTGTAGCCGGAATCTAATCGATTGAAATTCGTGTTGGTTTTTTTTTTTTTTTTTTTTTTTCCGAAGCTGATTTTGCGGGCTTTCTGTGGCGGTTTTGATTCCAGGGCGGAATGAAGATATCCTCGGAAAAACTGCAGTTGTTTGTATTATTAAAAGTCGCTTGATCGAGAGTGCAAAAACCACAAAAGCTAAGAGAATGAGCGATTCACGCGCTGAATCGAGTCGACACGCGTGGATTTCGGTCATATCGAAAACAAAAAAATGCAACAAGGAGGATTTGAAAACCACGCAGCTTCACTCTGTGGCGAAAAGTCTGAGATTGCTCGCTCACGCCAAATCCGGCATCTTTTTTTTTTTTGAGCTGTTTTTCGTTGCTGTTGTGCGATCAATGCAGATCAGAGCTCGCTAATGTTTCAAAGCCAATTGTTTTCTTGTTGTTGTTGTTGTTGTTGTCTGATGTTACACTCCTAGTGTTGCCATTCACTCGTCCTTTTTTTTTTTTTTACTTTCCCCCAATCCCAATGTCTGTCAAGCTCGAACAAGTCGCCGCGACGCTCGGCCGTCTTCGTGACGTTTTCCACTCTGGGCACACGCTGTCCTACGAGTACCGCCTCACGGTTTGTCGCTCTCCTCCCTTCTTCTTCATCATCATCTTCTTCTTCTCTTCTTCCACTTCAACTTCACTCTGTGCTTTTGAATTTGAGACTCGGCGCGAGCAGAAAAAAAAAAAAAAAAAAAAGACGGGAAGATTTTTGTATTTTTCCGATCCGACGGCTCAATAAAATTTGCGCCTTCCATGTCTCCATTACAGCACTGTGACTACTACTACGACGACGACGACGATGAATACTATTACTGCTGATGCTGATGCTGGTGAACGCCGCATTGCACACATTTGGCTGTTGAGAGTGCGGCAAACGCGACGCGTCTTATCGGCTCATTGCTGCTCTCTTCACCCGACCCGTTCCCTCAACCACTCACTCTCTCTCTCTCTCATCCTCCGCTCTTTCCTCCCTCAATGAGTAGTGTTTGTTCGTTCGTTCGTTCGTCCGCTTTGCTGCTGCAGTCAAAGCCAAACACTCGCAAAAACAAAAAGTCCGAACTCACTCACTCACCTTCACTCACCCTCTCTCTACACCACACAAACAAACAGCAACTCAAGGCCATCGAGCGCATGTTTGTCGAAAACCAAGAGGCCATCGTCGGCGCCGTGCAGAAGGACTTGGGCAAGAAGCACCCGTTCGAGGCGCACTGCACAGAGTACGCACTCGTTCTAGCCGACGTCCGCCACACAATGAACAAGCTCAAGAAGTGGATGAAGCCGCAGTCCGTGTACTCGCCCGTCGCCATTCAGCCGGTGAGCTCGTACGTGTCCAAGGAGCCGCTCGGCGTCTGCCTCATCATGAGTCCCTGGAACTACCCCGTCAACCTCGCCATCGTCCCGCTGATTGGCGCCATTGCCGCCGGTAACACGGCGCTGCTCAAGCTCTCCCGCCACTCTGCCAACGTCGCCACGACGCTGGGCGAGCTGTGCATCAAGTACCTCGACTCGCAGGCCGTCGCGATCGAGTACGAGGGCGGCGCCAGCATGATCACCGAGCTTATCAAGCACAAGTGGGACCACGTCTTCTTCACTGGCTCCGTATCGGTTGGCCGCATCGTCTACGAAGCGGCTGCCAAGCACCTGACGCCCGTGGTGCTCGAGCTGGGCGGCAAGAACCCCGTCTTTATCGATCGCAAAGTGCACATCCCCACCGTTGCGCGTCGTCTTGCCTGGGGCAAGTTCTTCAACGCCGGTCAGACGTGCGTCGGTGTCGACCACGTGTACGTGCACAAGGACATTGAGCAGGAGCTCATCGCCGAGCTCAAGAAGGCCGTGACCCAATTCTACGGCGAAAACCCGCAGACGAGCTCGTCGTTCGCGCGCATCATTAGCAACCACCACGTCAAGCGCCTCGCAAAGACCTTTGCTGATGGCGAGGTTGTCATTGGCGGCCAGGTCGACGAGAAGGATGCCTACATTGCGCCGACTGTCATCCGCAACGTGCGCGCCGACTCTGAGCTGCTTTCGGACGAGATCTTTGGCCCCATCATGCCCATTATTGCGGTCGACGACCTGATTGCCACGGCCAGCGAGCAGCGCCACAAGCCCAGCCCCCTGGCGACCTATGTCTTCTCGGACGACGACGAGGTTGTTGCCTCCATCCAGGCCAAGACTCGCTCGGGCGCCTTCCTCGTCAACGAGTGCCTGATCCACTTTACCAACTCCAACCTGCCCTTCGGCGGCGTCGGCGAGTCTGGCATCGGCAAGTACCACGGTGCCATCACCTTTGACATTTTCTCGAACGCTCGCGCTGTCGTCGCCCGCTCGACCAACAAGATTCTCGACGTGCCGCTCCGCTACCCTCCGTACGAGTCTGAAAAGTTCATGGACAAGATCAAGTTCCCCATTGCCTCTGCCTTCATGTCGGGTGACTGGTAAAAAACAAATCAAAAACAGGCACATCACATTGGTGATGATTGCGTTTCTTTTGTATTCCTCCCCCCCCCGTCTCTCGATTTGTGATTTGAAAATTCTCCTTGTTTTTTTGTTATTGCATCCATCGATCGTGTGCTGATGAGCTCATCTCCGGCTCTTGTAGCAGCGATCTCGATTGTGTTTATGAATTGATTGCTTCAATATGACGACTGTATACTTTTGAATACGTGGTTTGACCCAATCGTGCACTTCTAACTTGATGTGGACTGTACACACAATCGGCTGGACCCTCGAAGAGGGTCAGGTTACGCAGCGAGGTAATGGAAAGAAGAGTTGCGATTCTCGTCTTCAATCAAAATTACTGTGTAAGAGTATGCTTGACCCGAAGGGTCCAGACCCGTACCCTACGAGAGCCGATATCAACTTGATTGAAAGATACAGCGCATCGAGGGCTAGAGTATCGGAGATCTGTCCTTTACAACTTGTGCTTGTATTTAGGTTTTGCTGACAGCCACGAAGCATGATCTCGTCCAACTTTTTACAACAGATCGATGTTAACGCACAGGGCAAATTGCTGAGCTGCGTCAACCTCAGCTGGCCGTGTTTCGAGCACACGGCCATCCACGCCAAGGTATGTCTGGCGCGGAAACGTCGGGTAAATGTCACTGGGCACCACAAAATAGAGCACCGCGGGACCCGCTTGTTGCGACATGCGAGAGATTGCCAGCCGCAAGCCTTCCGATTGGACTGGGTGCGATCGGCTGGCAGTCATCTGCAGAATGACATTCGGAGAAAGAATGGCGTCGACAGCTGCCAAATTGCGAATGGTCGGACTGTAGTAGCGGTCGGGGATGCTGAGATCAATCTCAGTCAGCTGACGGAAATTGATGCAAGTGAGCCGCGGCAACTGCAACTCGTCACCGACGCCTGTTTCAAGATGACGTCTAGGGAATGTGCCACCTGTCTGAAGACAATTGGACGCGTACTCCTCAAAAAGCTGCCTACGCAGCAATGCGTGCTCTGGGCTGTCCTCCGCAGCGCTGAGAAAGCGCTTAAGTCGATCTTTCTCCGCGTTCCGGAACTTTCGAAAAACTCGCTCGCTGACCCATTTGGAGGCAAACCTCAGGCAGTAACGCGAATAGGGTAGAATACGCCTGCCGGACACATCAACAAGCCGGTTGGGATCAAGGGGCAGCACCTCGATATGGAGCACACGATGCAAGATGCTGTTCTCACTTGCCAGGTTTTCGACGTCAGTGTAGATGACCTTCTGAAAGACGCATCCAGCAATGGCGTCCTGGAGATCTTGAACATCGCCAGCCTCTAATGGCAGTACCTCGCGCGCGATGCCACCCCAGCACAAAAACGCACTTCTGGCGGCCTGCAAGTATGCGTCGGCATCCTGTGGAACCATGCTTGTTGCAGACCGTTGCAAGTAAGCCTCGATCTCGAGTTCTGACCACACCGGCATCAACAGCAAGCGACCGTGCGCCTTTTGAAGGTCCCTGTAAATTGGGCGGAACGGGACTGTGACGAGCAGAACTTTAGCGGTGCCGTAGCCACTTGGGGAGTGGGCATCTGTAATGAGCCAGACTGGTCCGTCGAGGAGAATGTCCATCGAGACCCGACAAGCAGACCCATCGGCACGCAAAAGATAGCGCGTCGTCTCCGGGAAGTTTCCCGCAGCCGGCTCATAGAAAAGCGGCAACGAAACATTGTTTTCCCTGTTCTGCCGAAAGATGCGGTACAAAAAGTACGCCGAGAAGGCTGTCTTGCCGATTCCAGGGTTGCCAGTGACAATCCATCGCTTCCAACGCGCGTTTTCTGCGTCGGTGATCACGTCGAAGAGTCCTTCGTAGCTCTCGCGAACCATGAGGACTGAACCAAAATTAGGATCGCCCAGCCAGAACACGTTTGCAGGAAGAACTAGGAACAGTACGCTGACACTCTCAAGTTCGAGTCGCTGCTCGTTCACCTCGCCACGATGAAGCGCGCGCCAAAATCTGGCAAGCTCGTCGTCCACTACCAACCCGGGGTCACAATGTGAGCAAGCAGCGCTGCTCTCAGTCTCGAAACCTCCAAACAGAGAGAACAATACTCACACGGAAGCTCGCCTTGAAGGTGGATTCTAAGCTGCCGATTTTCTTCTGCAAGTGTTTGAAGTTGGATCCTAAGCCGCCGATTTTCTTCTTGAAGAGCTACAAGTGCTTGATGATCTGTCATTCGGACGGACAACAACCACGCGCAAACACATTGATAGTGAGGCTCCATGTGCAAGACCAAGAACTGGACAAGGCTGACATACCTGGTCGAGCAATTGCCGTGGCAAGCAAAAGTTGAGCTTTGGTGGCCGTCATAGTGTTGATCATTGTACGCACACTCTGCGCAGAACTCGCATAAAGCTGTGCCTCTGCGATATTTCCTGCGTCGTGTGCAGTCGCTTCAAGGCGCTCGTAGTGGCGCAGACGGTCTTGGCTGTCCGCCAGTGTTGTGTTCAATCCGGCGATCTCGGCCTCCAGCCTTTCTCGCCCGACCGCGGCCGGCGGCAGTTGCTCCAAGCGAGGGTGCTGGACTTCGCTCGGAGAACGGTCTGCAGCTGTGGGCGAGAGCGGTCGCCGAACAGAAAACTCTTGGCGGTCTTGGCTGTACGACATTCGACAAGAAAGGAAAACAACCAAAACCGAAGACTGTTCATCCTAGTTCGGGCTTTGCATTTTGAACAAGCCACGCACTGTTTTCTCAGCACGGAAACCTTTCACGAGATACAAACAACGCAGGAGAATTGGGCGTTGCGTGACAAACTACGCATCAAAAGTTGCCAAGTGACGTGAACGAGCTCAAACCCCTTTCACCCATCCCCGCTCACTTTTAGACCCATTCCCGACCTCCTTCTTCTGCATTGCCCTTGTTCTAGTATGTCCGAATTAATCTTTAGTCTCAATAGGAACCGTTGCAGGACCTCTTCAACATCAACACCAAGTTCCAAGGCTTCAAAAAATAAGTGAAATTACGACGGCCTATTGAGACTAAAAATTCATGAGAGCACACTGGAGCAAGGAGGAGGTTGGGAAAAGGTCTAAAAGTGCTTGATCGCGGGACTTTTGGAAGCTTGAACTCGAAGCTTGTCCAGAACCGCAGCCCCATGCTGCAAAAGCTGCGGAGAGATGAAACTGAGCAGCTGGTTGACAGTGTTGGTTCGATTCTGCTTGGGAATGATGAGTTGTTCGGACTTGCTCGGCAGCCGAACGAGCGAAGCACCAACCTCCCCACTGGCCTCGAACTCGACAATCGCTCCAATGCTTGGCCAATGCATCGCAATGCCTCCATCTTCGTGATAGATGTCCGGGTGGCACTCTGGTTTCGAGTACAAGCTCTGAAGATCGTCGTAGCTGTAAAAACCAACGACAAACGACCAAGCATCCACCTGCACAGTGTCTGAGACGTGCGGTGCGCAATGATCCATCTCAGTTGTGATGCGGTCTGGAGCATGGTTGAAATGAGACCTTTTCCAATTGGGAATTGAAGCCTCTAGGTTGAGCTGGTTTTCTTCTGCAGTTCGCTCGTCGGCTTGACAAGCGGAGACCTTTTCTTGTTCGGGCGGGCGTTCGGCAAGCTTCCAGGCCGACATCAGCTCGTTAATGGTTTGGACAACGAGATCACGGTCCCTGCGACTCAAGTAGCGGGAGGTTGGGGCTTTCAAAAGCCCGATGCTGACTATAGGCATTCAAACGACCAAAAAAAGAAAAGAAAAAGGTTTCTCGGTGAGTGTCTCCAAAGCTCGGTGAGTATGCGTCCATCGCTGCGCTCAGTGCATCGCTCACAAATCGCTTGCTCGCGGAGTTTGTCGGCGCCAGACATGGAAGTTGATGGAAAAAGCGAAGAGACGTCAATAATCAAAAAAGAAAACTAGATAAAGAGTGTGGCTCTACCCCGACAATCCCTGCACACACAACGGGCGTCCCACCTTCGAGGGTCAAGCCGATTGTGTGTGTCCGGATCATCTTCACACTGCTTTTGCACTGATTTTGGCACCCCCCCTGGTAAAAAAAGGATTGTTGAATTTGTTTGAAGATTGTGTGATCAGTCTACAGTGCAGTCAGGCTAGAGCACTCTTTCCTATTTCAAGCTTGTACAGTATTGTGCAATGAGTAGTGTGCGCAGTCTCTTATTATTTGATTGTATCACTTGTTAAGAATGGCGGACGACGACAACGACGAAATTGTACAGCAATCGCGCTTCCGGGTTCTGCCTGCTTGACCGCCCCCTCTGACACTGACATTTGTGTTTTGGGTCGAATGGTGAACGGGTGGCTCTTGTGTGTTTGCTACAGTTCGAGGACGCCGAGGACAACGCCGGCATCATCAGCGACGCAGACCGCGTTGACGACGAGGCGCAGCCGGCAATGGAAGAGAGTCCAAACTCAATTGCCATCAATCCAAGCGCGAACGACCTCAACGACCTCAACGCGTTCCAGGCCGAGACGGCCGAGTCCCAGACCACCCTCATGCTTGAAGCAGCGGGCGTCGAAGGTCAGTGCGTCTCTCACTCTGCGCCATGTCTCTCTCTCTCTGGTGAAGCTGAACCAGGTCAAAATTGGATTTTGATTCCTACTTTTTATTTTTTTTTTTTTTTTTTTTTTGTTTTTTGCAAGTTCCGCTGCTTTTGGTAGCAGCGAGTTGGACGGGTCGAAATCGTCTTTCATAGGAGCACAGGTGGTGGAGGGCACAGAGCGAGAGAGAGAGAGAGAGAGCGAAGGCTAGTCACCGCAATTCTCGGATTCAACTCACTGACCGCAAATGTGACCAAATGCAGCTCACTGTACACATGCATGGGACGGTGTGATTGGCATCAACAAACGGCAGGATTCCTTGAAAAGTACAAAAAGACACGCAAACAGCGCCGCTCCGAGCTTCCGATGGCAGACATCAAGGTCAGCCCGAGCTTCTGGTCGGTCATGAAGAACTCGATCGGCAAGGATCTCAGCAAGATCGCCATGCCAATCGACTTTAACGAGCCACTGTCCCTGCTCCAGCGTCTTGTCGAGGACTTTGAGTACGCCAGCATGCTCGATCGGGCATCGGCCAGCGACAATCCCTTCGAGCGGCTTGCATTCGTTGCCGCCTTTTCGCTGACGGCCTACGCTACATCCGAAGGCCGGTAAGGCCGACGCGCTGTTGCTGTCGTGGTTTGTTGTGTGGGCGGGGGGGGGGGTTGGGCACAACACGGCGAGCGATGGCTTTTGGTAAGGACTTGATCTTTGCCTTGTTTTTGTTTTGGTTCGTTATTCTCTCGACAGCACCGGAAAGCCGTTCAACCCCTTGCTTGGAGAAACGTACGAGTGTGTGCGCGAGGACCGAGGCCGCGGCTGGCGTTACCTGTCCGAGCAAGTCAGCCATCACCCGCCGATTAGCGCGTGCCACTGCGACGCCCCAGAGTGGGAGTGCTGGCAAGAATACCGCCTCGGCTCCAAGTTCCGCGGCCAGTACCTCAAGGTCAACCCCGAAGGCCCTGTGCATCTCAAGCTCAAGATGCACGGCGAGCATTATTCCTGGACCAAGCCCGTGACAACAATCCACAACATGATTGTCGGCAAGCTTTGGATTGATCATGTACGTGTGGCGCTGTGTGTGTGTGTGTGTGTGTGTGTGTGTGTGTGTGTGTGTGTGTGTGTGTGTGTGTGTGTGTGTGTGTGTGTGTGTGTGTGTGTGTGTGTGTGTGTGTGTGTGTGTGTGTGTGTGTGTGTGTGTGTGTGTGTGTGTTTGGACCGTGGAACTTGGAAAGGGGGTGTGGATCTGGTGTTTTATTGTGCGTTCGCTGTGATTTTATTTTGTAGGAAGGTGAAATTACCGTGCGCAATCACCTCACAGGCGATCGCGCTGTCCTGACCATCCAGCCGTGGCATGTGGTTGGCAAGGACTTTAAGAACGTGCGTGGCGGTGTTTTCGACCATCGCGGCAACAAGGTCATGACCATCTCTGGCACTTGGGATGGCTCTCTGGTTGCTTCGGTACGACAGAGTTTGTTGGGTTGTTTTGGCTTTGTCTGCCAGTTCACTCACTCGCGCGCATTTTCGGGCTCGCAACATCTCTCCCCCCCCCAACCCCCTTCCTACGTTTGAACAGCCGGTGGATCAACCAAAGCGCACCATCGAGCTGTGGAAAGTTGTGCCTCGCCGCTCCAACAGCATCCGAAGCTACTTTGGCTTTACCGATTTTTCCATGCAGCTCAACGAGCTTGAGCCTGGACTGTGCCCCACGGACTCGCGTTTGCGTCCTGATCAGCGTCTGATGGAAGTGGGCGATCTGGCGAATGGAACCCAGGTGAGTTGTTGCTTGTGCATTATCTGGCGTCATTCTGGTTTTTGCTTTGTGGTGTCTTTCAAAAGTGTCACGCTGTGCAGTGTGTCACCAGGACATCCATTCGACTCAACGCTGACTTTGTGAAAAACAAAACAGGAGAAGCTGCGCCTGGAAGAGAAGCAACGTGCCGCGCGGAGACAGCGAGAGGTGGCACAGCAGCCGTGGATTCCCAAGTGGTTTACGCGCCGAGCAGACCGCGATACGAAGGAAGTTCTCTGGGTATACCGAGGCGGCTATTGGGATGCCAAGCAGAGTGGACAATTTGGCGCGACGCCCAACATTTTTTGAAAATTGCCCCGGCTGTCTGTTGTTTGAGATCCTTTCGTATGTTTGAGTTTGTGTGTGTGGTATGTATGTATGTGTGTGTGCGTGCTGTGTGTCACTTGAATACTTGTGCACGTTGCTCCGGGCTTTGAGCTTCGTAGTGATTCATTCTTCATTTTTGCTGAAGTTCCATCTTTTCAACATGGTTTCTGAAGAGCATCTCGTTCCCGCCAAGCTCCCGCTCGTCAAGCTCGAAGTCGAGCAAGCATTCAACTGCCTGTCCAAGCAGGAGAAGCTCTACGCCCACCATCTGTCGCGTGGTAAAACGCAACAGCGATGGTGTGACTGATGACTGAAACGAACTGAACTGAACTGAACTGAACTCGACCTCTGTCTGCCTTGTTGTTCTGCAGCGTGCTGGGCGGGAGGCAAGATCTGTCTGCACCAGATGAACCACGACGCCGCTCGCATCTTTGAACTCTTCATCACGCTGTTCTCCGCCAAGGTACGACGACTGATGACTGCGATCGATGCAATGCGCATGAAACGGCTTGGCTTGTCGCCTCCCTTCCCCACTTGCGTCGATCACTTTGACCGGAATCGTCGTCTCATCCACATGTTGCTCATGCTCGAATTCGAATTCGTTGTTGTTGATTGCTTGAACGGCAGACGGTCGAGCAAGTCAAGTCGGCTGCCGCTCTCAGCGACGAAGATTGGCTCAACTTTATCAACTACCCGGCGCTGTTCTTTGGCAACTTTGGCAACTACTTGTCATTCGGTGACTCCAAGTTTGTGGTGAGTGAGGGAGAACGGGAGAAGCCATGTCGTTTGATCCAATGGGACGAAATGCCTGACCATGTTCGGTGGCCTTGCAGCCCCGTTTGGACAAGGACAAGTTCAAGCACGCCGTTCTGGCAGTCGCCAGCAACGATGCCGACGCGACCCTGCGCTCCAAGCTGACCACGTTGCTCGGCCAGACGCTCGAAGCGATTTACAGCTGCGAAACGAACGAGCGCGGTCTTGCTGTCGATGGCAAGGGCGTCTCGGGCTACTACTCGGCTGGCATTACGACAGACCAGATCAATCTGGTGCAAGAGTTCTGCCAGCAGACTGGACTTTCGGTGCTCAACACGCGGTTGTTTGTGACAAGCGAGAAGCCGCTTGCGCTCGAGCTGCGGCTTGCTTCGGTCGAGCCCCGCGAGCCCAAGACGCACGAGTTCAAAGGCGCCTCCATCACTGTGACCTACGGTGACCACAGCGCCATCCTCAAGGAGGTTGTTGCTCATCTGCAACAGGCCCTGAAGCACGCTGCCAACGACCACCAGCGCGTGATGATCGCCAAGTACATTGAGACGTTCACGTACGTGTGTGACTATATGTGCCTCGTGTTTGTGTGTGCTGCGAGGGGCGGTATGGCGCATATTACTGTTGTGGTGTGGAGGCAACGTGCGAAGCAAACTGGAATTTTTTTTTTTGTTTTGCTACGTTTGCAGGACGGGTGACATTGAGGCGTTCAAGGATTCTCAGCGCGCGTGGATTAAGGATGTCGGGCCAGTCGTCGAGCTCAACATGGGCTTTGTCGAAACGTATCGGTAAGTCGTCGCTCGGGGAGAAACAAGAGCGTCCACCTTTGTGTGTTCTGAAGGTGGTCATGTCTTCTTCCCTCCCCCCCCGCCTCCGCAGCGATCCGATTGGCGTTCGTGCCGAGTATGACGGCTTTGTTGCTATGGTCAACAAGGAAACGAGCAAGAAGTTTGCCACCCTGGTTCAGGAGGTTTGTGCTTTTTTTGTTTGTTTGTTTGTTTGTTTGTTTTGGTTTTGGTTTGGTTTGGTTTGGTTTGGGGTTTTTGTACTCGTTCGGCTCCTTTCTCGTGATTTCTCACTGTTGTTTTCTTCTTGGCTGACTAATAGGCCGAGGCGTTTTTGGCGCTGCTGCCGTGGGGCAAGGACCTCGAGAAGGATCGGTTCATGCGACCCGATTTTACCGCGCTGGAAGTGCTCGGCTACGCTGGCAATGGCATTCCTGCAGGAATTAACATTCCCAACTTTGACGACATTCGCCAGACGGAAGGTATGCGAGATTGGTACCGGCGAAATCCGTGCATGGTGGCCGTTTCGTCTCACACGTCTCACACGTCTCACACGTCTCACCCTCTGTCCCCTTTGCCTGCAGGTTTCAAGAACGTCAGCATGTCCAACGTGCTTTCGGCCAATCTCGCCCCGGACGGTGAGCCCATTTCGTTCATCGCGGCAGATGAGCAGGACATGTTCCAGGACTTGGTTTCCCATGCGTTCGAGGTGCAAGTCGGTCTGCACGAGCTGCTGGGGCATGGCAGCGGCAAGCTGCTCATGAAGGGGGCCGACGGCAAGTTCAACTTTGACGTCGACAAGGTCAAGCTCCCTGCCTTCACGTGCTGGGAGGCCGGAGTGCCCAAGAACGGCGGCAACTGTGCCGTCACCAAGTTCTACGGCCCTGGTGACACCTATGACTCCAAGTTCCCCGTCTTTGGCTCGTCCTTTGAAGAATGCCGCGCTGAGGCTGTTGGTCTCGTGCTCTGTGTCAACCCGACCGTGCTCTCGATCTTTGGCTATCCTGGTGCAACAGCCGACGCTGTCCATGACATTTCGTGTCAGTGCCCGTGCTGCAGTGTTTGGCTTTGATTGCTAAAAGTGTGCTGACTGGTGGTTGCCCATTGTCCCTTGTGCGAGGCGAGAACAGACATCAACTGGCTGAGCATGGCTCGCGCTGGCATCCGTGCGCTCGAGTTCTGGACGCCCGAGAACAATCAGTGGCGCCAGGCGCACATGCAGGCGCGCTTTGCCTTGATGCGTGCCATGGTGAATGCTGGCGAAGGTTTGCTGACCATCGACGAGTCCAAGCTCGCCGAGCACCAAATCACCATCAAGCTCGACCGATCCAAGATTCTGTCTGTCGGTCTGCCTGCGATTCGCAACTTTTTGCTGCGCATCATGATCTATCGTGCCACGGCCGACTATGAAGCTGGAAAGGCCATGTACAGCGGTAAGATTATTTATTGAAGGAAAATGTCTTTTTGCCGCTCGCTCGCGTCTTTATGAAAGGATTGCTCACTTTTTTTTCTGTTTTCTTTTCTTATTGAATCGATACCAGACATTACCTCTGTGACCGAGCCCTTCCTGCGTCTGCGTGAAGCTGTGCTCAAGAACAAGAAGCCGCGCAAGGTAGGTTGGATTTGAACAAACTCGAGCCGCGTTCCCCCACTTGTGGCTCACCTCAAACAAACTGAATCAAAACAAAACCCAGGACTTTGTTCAAGCTCAGACCACATGCGAAGGCGATGATGTCAAGCTGAACGTCTTCCCGGCCACTCCCGAGGGCATGGTTGAATCATTCGTGCTGCGTTTCCGTCAGTAGGCGCAGACTTTGCCTGAAGTGTTTCGCGTGGAGGGTTTCTTTGTTTGTGCTGCGTGTATTGAGCATTACAGAGCGATCGACAAGGTCAATTTTTTTTTTCCTGATTGTTGTTCTGAATTTTTATTTTTTTTTTTTTTTTCTTCCGTCGTCTTCGATCTCTTCTTCCAAGCTCAGTGTACTTTGACAGATCTTCGCTCTACAACGACTACAAGTCCCCACCACGCGGCTCTGGTGTTCATTCTTTGTTTTGTTTTTTTTTTTCCTTATTGCTTCTTTCGTCTGATTTTTTTATTGTTTTTATTCTTTTTTTTTTCTTTTTTTTTTTTCTTTTTTTTTTCTTTCCCAAAAAATCCAAACAACAAAACGCATCGCGGCTGAATCCCAATGAACGACAGCCAACACGCAGTTGGTGAGCGTGTTGAGCTCGGGTGGCCGCTGCGCTTTGTGGATTACGTGACGATTTGCGGCCTCGACAGCCAGCTCATCGCGGTCAGCATCCCGGAGCTCGAGCAGGAGGAGCGAGCCGCGGCCAATGCTGCTGCAGCCGCCGAGACGGACGCCCTGGCCAAGGTCGGCGACCCGGACCCGCTGACCGACCCTGCGGCCGCCGAGCAGCTTTCAGAGACGAGTCCCGGCCTCTCTGCTGGGGCCGCTGCCGTCCCTGGCCTTGGAAGTGGGGCAGCAGGGGCAGGGGCAGGAGCAGCAACAGCGAGACCAGTTCGCCCGCCTCGATCATCACCATCATCATCATCATCATCATCATCTGCTGCTGCTGCTGCCACAGGCACCACCACCACTCCCACCACCGCCACCACCACTACCACTGCTGCTGAAGCCGCGAGTGACAGTGCCGGTAGCAGCAATGGCGCCAGTGCAGCGGGCAGCGGCAACTCGAGCCAGGAGAGCAGCGCTGCGCCAAGCCGAAGCAACTCCAATGCAACATCCATCCACCCTTCATCCATGTCGGCCGCCTCAAGCCAGGTCAGCGTCAACAACGGTGGCGCCGCGTCAGAGCTGTCGACCTCGTCGTCGTCCTCGTCGCTGTCGTCCGTCCTTGCTGCCGGTGCGGATGGCATTGCTCCGCTTCGGGTCGGCTACCAGCCTGCGCTCCTGTGCCGGTTCCCCGCTGAAGACCATGCAGACAGCCCGTTTCCGCTGTCGATTGAGCAGTTTTGCTTTCCATCTCGCGCCTTCTTGCACGAGATTGAGGCGCCGACCAGCAGCAGTCACCAGGCAGACCCGTCCGGGGCACGTCGCGGGTCCAATCTCTCCACGAGCAGCAATGCGTCGCGCGACAGCGGAATTGGAAGCACTGCGTCCGCGTCCATTTCGGCGTCCACCGCTGCGCTCGATAGTCACGCAAGCTCGGACGCCGATGCAACCATGCCGGGCATTTCGCTCGTTCACGTCGTGCCTCCGCCCAAATTTCACACGTTTGTTCTCACTGAGATTAGCGGGACGCGCCTGCACGGCTGCTGCTTGACCTTTTACGAGCAAGTAGATGACAAGACACTTGCCGTGCTACGCGAGCGAATGGCCGTCTGGGAGAAGGCGCAAGCGGCCAAGCGCGCCCGGACGTTGGCGGCAATGTCAGCCAAAATCAAACTGGAGGAAGGCATTGCCGCGCGCCTGGACGAAAAACAGCGCGATTTGGTTGCAATGCAGCGCTCACAGCCCGGCTCTGTTGTTGTTCAAGCCGAGATCGCCCAGATTGCGCAGCTCTTGGAGGATTCGCGTGAAAAGGTCCTCTTGTATCGTGATTTTCGGCAAAAGGCTGTGGGGATGACCACCCAGCCCCTTGTCGCATCTCGCGTGCTTGCTCCGAAAAGCATTTGCACAATTTCCCACTGGCCTTTGTATTCTGTGTTTGGCGATTATCTTAAGAAGGTGAGGTTTGCGAGCAGCGTTTCGGTGTTTGCTCTTTTTTTTTTTTTGCTTTTTTTCTCTCTTTTTGCTATAGCTTGTTTCTTGCTTGTCTTCTCTCGCTCATCACCATGTGCGCACAATAATCTCTGCTGAAACCGTAGATCTTTTGCATGCTCAAGCGCCCAGAAGGACTGGATGTGCCATTAGAACGGTACTTTGTGCACATGTGCTATGAAGTCCCATTGCCACCACCTGGCAAGATGGAGGTCAAGCTGTCTCTCGGAGATACAGACATTTTTGTGTCGCGTCCTGCAGTCAACGATTACTATCCGCTGATTGCCGACCTGCCAATCGAATTGCTCTTCAAGTCGCTCGACTTGCCGAACATTGTCAAACTTTTCGGATGCATGCTGCTCGAACGGAAGATTGTGTTTTATTCGGACAACCTTTCGCTTCTACACGCTTGTGTGGACACACTATCGCAGCTGTTGTATCCTTTCCACTGGCAACACGTCTACATTCCTGTGCTGCCGTTCGCCATGGTGTCTGTGCTAGAAGCGCCGATGCCGTTTGTGATTGGCCTGCCTGGGGCGTGAGTTTTTTTTTCTTTTTTGTTTCTTCCATCGCTTTGGCTGTGCTTTGGTCGTGCGCATTTGCTCATGCTCGCCCCTTTCGGCTTGTTTCTTTGTTGTTTGTTTTTTTGTTGTTGTTTTTTTTTTGCGTGTTTCTGCTCTTGTATCACAGACTCCGGCCGCTCCCGCTTCCCGCGGACGACATCATCAAAGTGGACTTGGACGCCAATACGGTCTCGACGAGCACAGGAAGCGGAGAGACCATGGGCTTTGACGACCAGGTTGCGCCTGCTGATCTCATCCCAGTACTCCCGCCTGTGCTCGAAAAGCTCCTCCTGCACAAACTCAAGCAGGCACACGCCAACTTGTTTGGACGGCTCGACGCAGAGCTGTTGAACGCAGACGCCACGCCGCGGACGGCCGACCTCGCCTTCCCCGATGGATTGGACAGCTATCGTCCTGCCAACGATCTTCCCAAAAACTCCATCATTCCGAAAGGTGACAAGCTTCGACGGAAACCCGAATTAGCTCGCGTTCGCACCCAACCAGGGCTGAATGTGGAAGGCATTCTTTCCAGTTCGGCCAGCACATCGCCTGCGTCAACATCTGCCTCGTCATCCACCTCTTCCACTCCTGTTAATAGCACAACACCACTGTCCGCACCGTCGAGCTTTGCCGCACTCGGCCAGCCTGCTAGTTCCGCTCCACTGGCAACTTCATCGGCCAACGCAAATGTTGATTCGACGCCGCAGGCTTCAGTCCGGGAAAACAAGTGGCGCCACACTCTGGCACCAACCTCTGGTAGCCTCTCGCCTTCCTTTGATGTGACCAAACAACCTCCAAGCAGACAGCCGCCTCCTCCGCCGAGTGCACCCGCCCGACAGTCTGCCGTGCCAACTTCCCCGTCGTCAGCCACCCTCGCAGACAACTCTGCTTCGCTGACATCGAGCTCGATCAGCAGTGGTGACGGCACTCCTGCCGATTCGGATGCCCGCCCACCCAAGCCTGCCAAGCCGCGCATGAGCCCAGCCGTTCGCCGACCGCCAGCAGTGGCGCCAACGGATGCATCGCCGGCGCCTGCTGCGCCCGAGCCACCAGCATCCTCGCCACCAGCATCATCGCCACTAGTCCAACCCCAATCGACGACGCCCCCGATGTCGGAGTGGCTTCACGGCAAGATTTCTGCCGTCGATGCTGAGAACATGCTCATCTCCACGGGCGTCAAAGGGAGCTTTTTGGTGCGCGAGAGCCAGACGAAAGCCGGAGCCTTCACCATCTCGCTGCGTCGCGTGGATGTCGTTGAGTCCGGTTCGCTCAACGCACAGAGCGTTTCTCACTTTCGCATTGAACCAGTCGGCGCACAGTTTTCGTGCGGTGGCCGGGTGTTTGATTCCATCACCGATATTGTCGCTCGGTACATGAAAGATCCCATCTCGCCAGGAGTGTGCCTGAGCACGCCAATGCCGCCCGCGCCGGCCGAACTCCCACCGCCTGTGAGCCCTCGAAACCTCTCCGGCAACCCTTCGTTCTCGCGAGCAAATCGTCACACGATGGTGTCCATGCCGCTTACAGTCCGCGAACGCCTTCGCGGCATTGGAGACGCGCCCGCGGCCACGCAAACACCTCCTGCCGCGCCGGCTTCTGCTGCTGTTCCGGCTTCTGCGGCGCCCATGCCGCCGCCGCCAGCCCGCCAAGCGTCTCTTCGTGGTGTTCGCCCGCAAACCATGTTTGTGGGCAGTGGGCCAGCGTCCACAACAACACCAGCTGCGGCGGCCGCCGCTGCTGCTGCTGCCCAGGCAAGCCCGACAAGCGCTGCATCAGACAGTGCAGTTTCGCCATCGTCCGCCTCTTCTACGTCTTCTACTTCTTCTTCCCTGTTTTACTTTTCTACCGACCAGTCTGCTCCAACTGCGGCGTTCTCGGAGAAACACGAGTACAACCCGGCGTCGAATGACGCCACATACATGCGCGATCACATCTTTGAACCCAAGAAATTCAACTCAAAGGTCAAGACCTGCGTGTACTGCAGCGGCAATGTAACGGGCATCAATGCTCGCCAGGCACTCGAGTGCGAGCGCTGCAGCATTGCCTGCCACAAAAAGTGCATGGCTTTTGTGACGTCCTCGTGCCGCATTGCATTTGTGCCCGCTGGCGTGCGCAAAGCCTTCCTGCGAATCATGTTGACGATTCTCAAAAACTACCGGCAATTCCTCAACACGCCAGAGCTTGATGACGACAACAGCACGGGCGAAGAGTGGTTTAACAAGGAAGCCTTCCTCGCAAGCCACGACAAGGAGCTGCGGCCGTTTGTGGCACAGGTTCTAGACACGCAAAGCTTTTCGCAATTTACGCTTGATCGCATGGAACGCCCGCCCAGCGATTTTGAAGTGCTGTTCTTTGACGAGTCGCTCAAAGAGCGGCAAAACCGAAAGTTCACCAAACTCACCAAAGAAGCAACTCCCTTCCTCTCGGACAACCGCTTCCGCGTGTCCGAAACCATTGCAGCACGGTCGCCTTCCCTGCCAGCGGGCTGTGCAAGCTCCTCGACCGTCTACTCGCGCGTCCCTGTCGAGCTCAACCCGGCACTCTTGTCGTACACGGTCGCAACACCCATCATCAACGATCGTGCGCTTGACAATCTCAAGGCGCACGCCACTTCCGTGACACGCCGCGTCAAGATGATGAAGCTGCAGAAAATGGTACGAGACTGACTGCGAGACGACAGATTCAAAGGTGGGGAGGCGGGGGCGGGGGGGGGAGGAGACAATTGCTCATTCGTGTGTGCGTGTGTGTGCGTGTGTGGCTTTGTAGAAACGCATGTACGAGGTGCTTGGTCGCTTCCAGAATACCGAGGCACAACTCGAAGCCGTTCAACAGAGGTTTGTTTTTTGTTTTTTACCGTGGTGATTGATTGCCGCAACAACCAGCGAGAGCGATTCTGATGGGCTTGTTCTGACGCCTTTTTTTTCGTTTTGATTTGCAACAGTCTGTTGTTTGGAACGTGCATCGACGAAGTCGAGCGCACTCTGGCCACCGTTGCCATGTCTGAGGCTGCCATGGCCACTGCGCCAGTTGGTGTCTTGCAAGAGTCACTCAGGCAGCTGCACAACGCACAAGCTCGCTTGGCAGATGCGGCGGATGTTTCCGATGCCGACAGGTACGAGCTTTTGCGCAATTGTGCTGGTCGTGGCTTTGTTTTTTGAGCCAAAGCATTGTTTGTTTTGTTCTTGTTGTTCTTGTTGTCCTTGTTGTTGTTATTTGTTTGTTCATTTGGTTTTGTTCCTTTCTTGCTTGCCTGCTTTTGATAGGTGGTACAAGGAGGCATGGGATTTGACCATGCACCAACTCGTGAGCTTGATTGTCACGTTTGAGAGCGCACTGGCCAAGCATAACGCGTGAAAAGCCTCCTCTGGTGTTGTTGATTTCTGGTTCGTTTTTTACTTGTTTTGTTGTTTGTTTGTTTGTCTGTTTGTTCCAAGTTGATTCATGATCTAGTGCTTTTTTTTTCAGTTCTTTTTCGTACCAACATGAGATTGTATTGTTAGCAATTGACAAAGGGTGGCAGTATGCGAAACGGCCCGTCGAATTGGCAATGCGCAGAAGTTCAGAGTGCGGCAGTCTCTTTCATCACCCACTCGTAGCCAAGCGAGTCGCCCGCCGATTTGAGGGCAGAGCCAACCTTCTCGCGAACCTCGGCGTGGTAGGCGTTGATCCACTCGACCTCTTCGGGAGTCAGCAGCTCCTTCACAATGAGCTTGGATTGAAGCGGAGCCTAGAAGTTGAAAGCAACAAACAAAACAAGCAAGTTATTAGACAACATACAAACCTATTGGCTCCCATTTCATAGACGAAATCATACCATGGTCAGTGTTTCAAAACGAAGGTAGCCGCGGTTGCCAAAGTTGAAACGCGCCGTGTGCGGAACAACTGCCATCACGTTCTCGATGCGAATGCCAAACGCGCCGTCCTCGTAATAGCCAGGCTCGTTGGTGACAACCATGCCAGGCTTGAGACCAACGGCGTCGGCAACTGAGACTGCGCTGATGCGGTGAGGGCCTTCGTGCACGTTCAAGAAGGAGCCAACGCCGTGCCCAGTTCCATGGCGGTAGTCCAGGCCAATGTCCCACAACGGACGACGGGCGATGACGTCGAGGTTTTGGCCTAGAGATGGAGCCGTGCAACCGCAATTGAGAAAGCCGAAGGCCAAACCAAATCAAAAACAATGACAACAAAACAAAACAAAAAAGGGGTCAAGCAAATGAACGATGCTGGGAGCAAACTCCATCGCGTTAGTAGTGGGACAAGATCAAATCGGAAAATCGTACCGGTCGCGCCGACAGGGAAAATGGCAAGAGACAGCTGGACATTGCCTTTGAGCACGCGCGTGTAGCATTCGCGTTGATGAGCAGAAGGCGTGCCAAAGTGCAGCGTGCGCGTCACGTCTGTTGTGCCGTCGCTACATCGTGCAAAGTGTCCATGCGTTGAAAGTCAGCGTCTCACGGAACAAGGCTCAAACGAAGGTGCCGAAAACAAACAAACAAAGGAAAGGGAAACGTACAGGTACTGCGCACCGGAGTCGCACAAATAGAGCTCGGCAAGAGACACGCTGCGACAGGTAGCAGCCTCTGGGTGGTAGTGAATGATGGCACCGTTTGGCCCAGAGGAGGAGATGGTGGGGAAGCTGAGCGAGAAAAAGTCCTTTTGCACACGTCGGAACCCTTCGAGCTTGTCAGCGGCCGTCACCTCGGTCAGGGATGTGTTGCCGCTGTTCAGCTGATTCTCGAGCCAGGCAAAGTAGCCGCACTGTACAAATTGCAAAAAAAAAAGAATGAGACAAAAAGAGCTCCATGCTGAAAAAAACAAAGCACAGCGTTTGTTACCAGAGCAGCGCCGTCGCGAATGTGGGCTTGGCGCATGCCTTCGAGCTCTGTCGCATTCTTGATTGCCTTCGCGAGTTCGACGGGAGAGTCCGCCTTCAGTTGCGAAGCCTGTGGAATGGCAAAATGCCAACAAAACAAAAATCAAAAAGTGAGTCTCAAAATTAAAACCCAAATGTGCGGTTGCGTTTTTGACACCATCTCTCACCCACCTTCTTCACCAAACTAGCAAGCGCCTGCGGACAGACGTTAGGAATCCACACGCGCTGGCCTCCGGCAGCAAACTCGGAAACCTTGGAGGCGATGGCGTCGTAAGGCAGCAGAGTCACACCTTGGGTCTGGAGGCGCTGCTTGGCAGCCGATTCAACCCGGCTTTCGTCGACAAACAAGAACGCGCCGTGCTCGACGTGCAAGATGGCATAGCTAAAGAACACTGGGTTGCACTCAATGTCAGAACCGCGCAGGTTGAAGAGCCAAGCGATCTCGTCCAGCGCGGAGAACACAATGGCAGCGGCGCGTTGCTCGGTCAGCTTGGCTTTGATTTCACCGACTTTGCTCTGAACGGTAGCCCCAGCGTACGCGGTTTCGTCGAGCGCAAACACGGGATTTTTCGGACGGGCAGGGCGGTCCTTCCAGACCATGTCGACAGGATTGGCAACCACCGACACGAGCTCCAAGCCCACAGTTTGGAGGTCTTTGCGCAGCTTGTTGTACTATTTTTGTTTTTGTTTTTTTTGCAAGTGGGAAAAAACAAGTCGAGGATGTGAGAACGGCAAACATTTTGAACATTCTTCCACGGGAAGCACATAGTCGTCAACCGAGTTGCAGCTCAGACAAAGAGTCGCAATGAAGAAAGAAGAGTGCACGTACTTTCAGCGTCGAGTGCAGGAAGGGATCACAGCCGACACGCGAGCCGGCAGGCAGCACCTTGGCCAAAAACTCGTGCTGCTTTTCAGAGTCCGGGAGGCCGAGCTTCTTGAGCGTCCAGTTTGCATCAAGCTGCTGGGCCGCTTGCAAAAAGTAGCGGCCATCAGTCCAGAGAGTAGCTTCGGCGCGTGTGACGATCGCAAACCCTGAGCGATTTGGTAAGACCAAAAACAACCAAACAGAAAGAAAAAAAAAAAAAAAAACAGTTGTACGTGAGCAATCGAGAACACCTCGACCAAAAAGTACCAAGATGACTCGCGTTTTTTTTTTGCCTTATCCATTCAACACAAAATGGCAAAAAAGGGCGGTGTGGGGGGGGGAGGGAAAGGGCAGTTACCTGAAGATCCAGTAAAGTTGGAGATGAATGCACGGCGGTTGTCGCAGTCAGCAATGTACTCGCTCTGAAAGCAAATAAAGAATGACACAAACATGGTGAGTATTCAAAAGCAATGCTCGCACACATGAACATGCAACGAGCCGAGACTCGTATAGTACCTGATGCGCATCCTCGGACGGAATCCAGAAGGCGTCAATCGGAGCCTGTCCCGCGCCGAGCACGGTGGGACTCGAAAACAGCGAGCGAAGGTCGGCAAGCAGCGGCGTCGTGTCCTTGGCGGAAGAAGTCATGGCAGCGGCGGCGGCGGCGGCAAAAGTTGTAAAAGTGGCAGAGGTCGAGGTGAAGGAGGGCAGAGGCTGGGAGTGGGACGCTGCGATGACTGGGCAGGCGTTCTTCACAGGGATGAGAGTGGATGAAGGGAAGCGAGCCGAGCAGGACGGGCGGGCGGCAGGCGCAGGGAGGAACGAGCTGGAGCGGTACGACGAGAGTAGCCGTGCAGGAGCAGCAGAAGACGAACAAGCGCGGAAGGCAAGCTCGAGCTGGCTCTGTGATGACGTGGGTTGGATGGCGGTGTTGTGCAGCAGCAGCAGCAGCAGCGACGGCGGCGGTGAGGAAGGGCGGCAGGAGAGAGTGAGCGACGACCAAGACGAGCGAGAGAGTGACGCGGTTTGGGCCAAACGCATCCACTGCTGAAAACAACGACTGGCAGGATGAGAAGAGAATGAATACGCAGGTGCAGCAGGCGTGCTCGAATAGTGAGAGATAAATGGCAAAAGAATAAGAGAAAAAAAACGCAGTATGTGGTGGATCATGTCTTTTTTTCCCTCCCTTTTGCTCACTTTTCTCGTGCTTTTTTGTACGTTTCAGCGATTGTGCTGGCAAAGTTATTAAAAACACACAGGGGGGGGGGGTCCTTGCAATCAACTCGTTCAATTTGGATCACAGGGGGGTGCAGCAGCACAACAAGACAGGAGCGCACGGCATCTCCAGAAAACCCAAAAACAAATCAAAAACTAGAAACGCAAAAATCGCGTTGCGACCAAGCCCCGCTTTAATTTGTTTGGCTCGACAGAGAAAGAGACGCGTACGCCCCAATCAACAGGTGGACAGGCACGCCCCTCCAATCACAAAAGCTTAGACGAGGGTGAAGGAAGACTGGGCCTGGGCAAAGACCATCGAGTGGGGGTGCTTGCTGCCGCACTCGCCGTTGCAGATGGCCATCTGGACAATGTACTGGCCGGGGAGCCACTCCTCGCACTCGTCCTGGGTGGGGTCGCAGTCGGGGTCGGGCTTGGCATCGACTTGCCAGCGCTTAACGTACTCGCCGGGGGCGGTGGCCTCAAGAAGGGACGAGTCGCCGAGCTGGAGACCGTCAACAGTCTGGACAACAAGGATAATCTCGCCAGTGCCGGTGCCGTTGATGGTGGACCAGTCAAGATCGAAGGTGAAGGTGGTGCCCTGGGGGCCCGAGACGGGGGAGGTGGTGAACGAGCGGATGGTGGCATCGCCGTTGTCGTTGATGGCGCAAGTGTTGAGGAGCTCGCAGTAGTAGATGGGGTCGAGGTCGGCCTTCTCGATGGCCTTGATGAATTCGGTGATGCCAACGTAGTCGCAGAGCAGGTCGCAGACGAGGCCCTCAGCGCGGCTGTGGGTGCGGTTGGTGAGCAGGCCGCAGACCTCGCCGCAGCTGCCAATAACGCCGACGTTCAAGACCTGAGCAAAGTCAACGTGATGATGATCATAACCGAGTCAGATTTCAATAATGCAGGCTTGATTTTCTGATTCTGCGCTTTGTCCATTTTGGTTAATTGGTGGTGATTCAAGTGTAAATGAAGGGATTCAATGCGGAGCTTTTTTTTTTTTTTTTTTTCAGCTTTTTGTTTTTCGTTTTGTTTGTTTGTTTCTTCTTCTGCTTCTTCTTCTTCTTCATTCAGCTTTGCTCTGCCTTCCCTGTTCAAAGAATCATTTTTCGCCGAGTTGTGTCCATCTGTTCGTTTTTTTCTGGGTGTCCTCGTGTTTGCAGAGTGTTCGAAATGGCAAAAAAAAAAAAAAAAATCAAATCCATCCCCAACAAAAAAAAAAAAAAAAAAAAAAGTCATAAAATGATAAAATAATCATAAAAAATCGAATGGAAGTCGACAAGTATGCATTCCGTCGACTTGTCGGAAAGCGAGATGTGCGCGACGCAGCATGTTCCAATGCATTGCAACAAACCGTCGCGCCCTTTCCACTCTGCACACAAAGGAAAGCAAAAGCAACCCGACATCGATGCAAAAGTGGCTGGGTTTTTGGTTTTTCTTTTGTTTTGTTTTGTTTTCTTGTTGTTTTGTTTGAATGGCGTGTTTTTGCGTTTGTTGTTGTTTGGCTTACAATGTTGATCAGTTCGTTCAGAGCATCGCCAGCAAACTCGACCTATTCCGAAACAACAGCAACAGCAGCAAAAAAAAAAACAGAAACAAAAAGTGAGCGAAAGTGAGCGCCTTTGACAAGCAGCAGCAAAGCAGCCAACGTGTGGCAGCCACAAAAAGAGAGCGAAAAAGTGTTAAAAATCATTTGTTGCAAAATAAAAAATAATAAATAAAAATAAAAAAGACGCGCTCTTTTGCTTTTGCTCTTTGGCAATCAACGATGTCACAGCGAAACAGACAGCGGCAAGGGAGGCAGCTTGGGGCCCAAGCACAACTGCAAGAAATACTGACAAGGAGCATGCGACCCACCACCGCCCGCTGCCGCTGCCCGCTGTGGGAGACAGACGAAGCCGACAAAAAAAAATGCGACAAAAAGAAAAAAGAAAAAAAGAAAAAATCAAAAAAGATCGATCGGAACGACTCGACAATGACGAAAAGGGAAAAGGGAAAAAGGCACTCGGCTTGAAGCAGACGTGCGGGGGGAATTGCAGAACACTGGCTTGCTAGAACATGAAAAAAAAGAGCGAGCGACGCGGCGCGGACAGAGAAGCGGAAAGACGCAGAGACGATGGCAAACGGGAAAAAAAAAAAAAAAAAAAAAAAAAAAAAACGTACGCAAACGGGGCAGAGGTTGGCATCGGGTGACTGGACCTTGCGGGTCAGCTTGTGGTTGGGGGCAGCAGAGGCGACGCCAAGCACGAGGGCGAGGACGGCAATGGCAAGGAACTGCGGCATGTCAGAGAGACAGCAAAATAAAGGAGAAAATCCGTGAGCAAAAAGCAAAAAAAAAAAAAAAAAAAAAATCATAAATTATAAAAAAAAAAAAAAAAAAAAAACTCACAGCCTTCATTCTGAAAAAAAAAAACCAGGAATGAGAATTGCTTGAAATGACAAACATGATCATGAATTAGTGTGTTGCATTGGAAATTATCTCGTGTGGTCAGCCAGCACCACACTGGTCTTGTGAAAATTGAGAGTGCGGCGGGCCGTCGCGAGCTAAACAGCATATTGCTCGTTTCGATCAGATTTCAACTTCCGCTAAAAGTTCAGATATCGATGGGGGGGTGTATTAAGGTGATGAACTAACAATGCGACAGTCTGCGCTTGCTTCTCAGTCAATAACAATAACATCGTTGAGGCTGCTGCTCGTGTGCCGCCGAAGCGCTTTCGGAGTCGCTGGACTGGGTGGAGGTAGGTAGGCAGTTACATGTCGAAACGATTGCGCCAGCCGGATCACAGTCAGTGCGCCGGGATGCTCAGCGCCCATCGCCCAGGTTTTCGAAAGGTGGAGCGGCAGCGGCGCTCGCTCGTCGGCGCACAGAAAATGGGCCAAGCTCTCGTTTTTCCCTTCCTTGTGAATTCCTTGCGGCGTAAGTAGGCTGCATGTCGGGGAGGCTACAAGCGCGCGAATGGCGGCGGATAGACAGGTCAGGTAAATCATACGCTCCTTCTCGAGGGCTAGCGAGTCGGACGGGTTGATGGACAGCGGCTTGATTTTGAGATAGAATCGAAGCAACTTGTCGAGTGAAATGGGCATCGAAAGCAGTGGGTTTAGTGCCATTTCCAAGCGAAACACCGGCCGAACCACAGCATCGACAATTTCCATTGCCAGTTGGACATTGCTAGCCTGTAGAGAGCAAGGAGGCAAAAAAAAGGCCAAGTGAAAATCCAATCCAAATTCATCCACAGGACATTCCGTGTCCCAAAAAAAAAAAAAAAAAAAAAAAGCAAACAAACAAACAAACCTCAATCATTTCCTTGAAGGCCACGGCACCAGGCTTACTGGCCATGGTTTTGGCAACACGTTCCAAGGTCTGTTTGAAGGTATTCTCGGAAACGACGCGCACCTTCCGACGAGTGAACATACCAACCGTGAAAATCGCAGCTGTAAGCACACAAGCCACGTAGTGTGCCACGAGGTGCCAAACAAAAAGCCACGTAGCTCACCTGCTGCAGCAGTTGCATGAGAAGTTGTGCGCAAGGCCGACATTGGCAACGGCAAACACCGAATATGGCTGCGTCAAATTCCTCAACCAGCGTTTGTCGTTCGGCTGGATTGCACTCTGTCAGACAGAGGTGCAGGAGCGATTTGTCTGCCAACATGAGCAAATTCACGAAAAACAAACCCAAAACGGATGAGCCGGCGTTTCAAGCAATACTGCACGAGTTGACTTGAACTTTTGGGCCCCATACCTTGTGGATTGGATCGTATCGAGGCATCCCGGTGTAGTGTGCTGACTACAAACTGTAGGAACAGCGCAGATCCAGGACACTTGCTTGAATGCTTTGGGTCGCTGGGATTCAATGACGGTGCAGCGTGATCGCTTTTCAGCCGTTGGAGCATTTTTGTCAGTACGGCCACGTGTGGAAAGAGTGCGCGGCGGACACCCTTGTTCTTTTCTTGGAATGACGGAGTGCGGTGTGGAGGGTCTCTGTGCTGCTCGGTTTGCCAAACCTGCTCGCATCCTCGGGGTGTCGTCAACTGCAGAGTCAGGCGAGATAGAGCCGAGAAAATGCGACATGATATGTCATCAAACATGGGCGGGATCTCAAAGAGCATCTCGATGAGTGTATAATAGGAGCTCCTAACATGACGGAGCGGGACAGGCAACACACAAAGTGAGAGCTGGGGGCCGGATGAGCAATTGTTCAACAACCAAAGCATACCATGGTAGAACGACTTGAAACTGAAGCAGCGTATCGACTGCATTCAAAAAGGTTCGAGCTGCAAGGAGCACAGTTACAGTGGATCGGTGTATGGCAACATGTGCCAAAATTTGCCAAGCGTCAGCGAATGACCAAACCAAACACGGCCAGAAGCCATCAGTTCAAACTCAGCAAGCAGATTTGCAAGAGGCTTACCACCAGATGGATCAACAGGCGCTTCCTTTTCCTTTTCCTTGGAATCCCACGATAAACCATCAGCAATGGACTCCAAAGTGGCGTAGAGATGGTGCTGTGTGTTCAGGTCAGTGGAAGACACGCTGTCGGCCTGCGCCACCACGTTGTTGTCAAATGGCGCATGACGCTGCTGGGCCTGCGGAAGGACCTCGTCAGCAAGCAGTAAGGGTGGGAACGGAATCCGGCTGGAAGAAGACTCGGAAAAAGAGTCGATGATTGTGATTGTAGTTTGTGTTTCGGTGACTGGCACTGTGGGCACGGACCGAAACGTTGGTGCCAGTATGCTCCTCACCTGGATGGGCGAGCGAGCGTGACTGAGTGTCGAGCCAAGCTTGACGGGTGATAGAAACACGGTGTCGTCGTCGCTGCTATCGATGCGATCTCGATGGCGGTAACGAGCAACGGGATCCTCCTCCTCCTCCTCGTCGTTGCCGACGTGCCTTGCGGAAGCCGTGATGGCGGAGGTGACGGATGAGAGCGAGCTCCAACCCGACGACGCGCTCAGTTGTGCGAGAGACGAGGTCTGCGAGTGTCGATTGCTACTGCTGATGCCACCACTACCACCGGCAGGTGCAGCACCAGCAGCGGTTGTGGCGCCAATCTCCAGCGTGGAGTGCGACTCGCGCTTGACGGTGCTCGTGGCAGCGTCTGAGAGCGCTTGGCGGGGACTGGCGATATTCCTGACGACGCTTGCCCTGGGCTCAAAGTACGACGTGATGGGCGGCGTGGACATCTTCTTGAGCTGCGGGCTGCCGTTGCGCGATGATCCCGACGATCGCGACAGCTCAGATGGAGGGAGTCTGGCTGGCTCTGAGCTTGACTGCCGCGACGGCCGCTGCTGCTGTTGCTGGTCTGCTTCACTGGGCATCCTGCATCTGGGGATAATGCAGGGTTCTCTGCAGACTTGTTCAGCAATATACAGTCGACCAGCGTCAAGGAGGCGCTCGGTAACAGGTGTGTGGGGATGGGAAAAATCGGGGACTGAGCGCTCGCTTGCTTTGCCGATCGTCTCAGAACTGACGCATGAGCACGAAATGGAAGACTGCCAAGACCCAAAGCCAAAAAATAATCACAATCAAACAAGAGCAACTCGGACAAGTGACGAAAGAAGAAGACTTGGAACGAGCTCTCTCAAAATCCACGCACAGCAAAACCCGGTCTGCACTGCTGCTGCTGCTGCTGCTGTGTTGTTTTGACAGTATCTGGTGTCTGCGTTTCAATGCAGCAACGATATATCAGTCCATTTGCTTTTCAACCATTTTTGAGCAACGCAGTCCAAAGTTTGCACTTTTTTGGAGCAACAATAGACGGACGAGCGGGGTAGACGTGCAACATGGCTGGGAGATTCACGCGCCGGCTGCAGAAGGAGCTGCTGGACTTGCAGGTTTGGGGGACCCTTGCTTCGTACCACTCTCGCAGTCACTCTCCTCCTTGTCGTTCTTGCTTGTTTGCTCTGGTGGAGTGGCAGCTGTGTGTTGCAGTGACGAAAGCGTCCATCATGGGGGGGGGGCGATTGGGTCATCATCCCGTCTCGCAATGCCAGTGACAACTGCTGCAGCTTCGTTTGGGAAACCTCAGCAGCCCCTCCGACGCTGACTTTTGGCTGTGACGCTGCTGCTGGTTGAACAGAGATCGCCGCCGACGGGCGTCAAGCTCGAGGACAACACGACCAGGCTTGATCAATGGCGCATTCATCTCACTGTATGCCACACAGCAATTTCGCTTTATGCTCACTTGATACTATGTGGCTTGCCAATGCGACGCTGACATAATGTGGCAATCCCGTTATTTTGCTTTTGGGTGCTTGTTGTCAACATCAAAATCGCATTCAGGGCGCTGACGGATCGCTGTATGCCGGAGAGCACTTTGTATTGCGCTTCAGGTTTGGCAACAACTACCCGATGGAGGCACCCGAGGTCGTCTTCGAAGGGCCCAACATTCCCATGCACGGACACATTTATTCCAACGGTCACATTTGCGTACGTGATTTTTGTTTTGCACAGCTTGTCAAGCTACACAGGTTTTTTGATCTTTTGCTCTAAACTGGAAATTGGATTGGCTGCTCACCTCTGTGTGCTTCTTGCTTGTTGCACTTTGGTAGCTGAATGTGCTCTACAACGAGTGGAGTCCGGCGCTTTCCGTACAATCCATCTGCCTGTCGCTCCTCTCAATGCTCTCGAGCAGCCCTGAAAAGTCTTGGCCACCAGACAACGATACCTACGTTCGTCGTGCCATCGCCTCCCCCAAGCAGACCTCGTGGGCATTCCATGACGACACTGTCTGAGACTATGGTGCTGTTTCTTGTTCTTTTCCTTTGCTGTTTGAGATTTTGAGATTTGTTCAGAATTCAATGTCGAACCAGAGAATTGCCTCAAGAGCTCGTTGTTCGCCCTACATACCCCCCCCCAAAAAAAAAAAAAAAAACCACTCTCTCTTCAACTCAGACACCCTGTTCAGTCCCCACTTTCCATCAATGGCGTCTCCAGACAGTAGTTGCGTTCGCGCCAATTCCTTGTTCAAACGTTTTCAATCCTCTCAATGTCCACTTGTTCCACAAACTATCGATCGTTCTGGTCTAACTTTTTGTTTCCACCCCCCCCCCCATTTTTGTTTGCAATGTCCGACTGCTTGCTTGTGAACAGAGGCTGACGGACTGTCGCTCGGTCCTGATTTCTTCGATGCTGGAGCCGCCATTGAGATTGCATCCTCGTCCGCAGTGCTCATCCCGACCTCCAAATCGCCGCCGCTCGCCGATTATCGGCACCATTCCCTAGACTATCTCACGCGATCATCCGACGAGCCATCGAGCTCTGCGGTTGCTGGAGCGGCTGCGTCGTCGTGGCAGCCTTCGCTGCGGTTTCACACCCCGCCCCTCGACCAGTCTGCCGACGTGGTGCTGCAACATGCCCATCCCATCGTGTATGGAAGCTTCCCGTCGGGTGGTGGTGATAGTGGCTCGGCTGGCGGTTGGGATGGCGATGGTGCCGAGATTGTCGCTCGTGCTGATTCGCTCAGATCATTCACAACGGCGCGTTTGTCAACCGGATCAAATGACGCAACATACACGTCAACAAGTCCATGGCACGAGAGCTTTTACGACGCCACACCAATCGCGACGACGTCTACTGCGAATATCGAGATTCTGGCTCACAGATTGTCGCTGGACGACGATGAGGCATTCGACCCCGATGTGCAGCCGCTCTTGTTTGACAGTTCCAAGAAGGATCATTTTCTTGAAGACGCGTCGCCATTGCCTCGAGCGACAAAAAGTGCTGTTCCAGCTGCTTCAGGGGCAGACGGCGGTGAAGGAGGGTCGCTTGCCGCTTCGCAAGTGCACGACATCAAGCAACTCGTGCCGCATCGAACGCGCGGCTTGGTCATCGCCGGCCTGCTGCTATTCGTCAGTGCAATAGAGTATGGTCTTGTCTTTCCCAGCTTGCTCAAGTATCTCCAATCGCTTGGAGAGGATCGTCAGTACTTTTTCGGCATTGTCTTGGCTTCCTTCAACATTGCACAAATGCTGTGCTCCCCATTTGTCGGGTGGTTGTCAGACCACACGTCCGTCAAAACCATCTTGGTAAGGCAGACGGCTGGATTGAGTTTTGATGACGATCGAAACGCCATCTCACGATTGGATTCGTGGTTTTGTTGTTTCGCTGACTTGACGAACAAATTGGTTTGCTTCGTTTGTTGTTGGTGTGCTTCAAAATGGACACTCGTAGATGGTCACGCTGGCCGTGAATGTGGTGGGAAACCTCGTGTACTTTGCAGCCCAAGGTGCTTGGATGGTCTTGCTGGGTCGCATCGTTGCAGGCATGGGCGCTTGCTCGGGTGTCGTCATGTCCTATGTGGTGCGTGTCACCGCAGAGAGCGAGCGTACCTCCACCATCACCAAGGTCATTGCTGCTCAGGAAGCGGGGCTGTTGATAGGCCCCTCGTTGGCCTTTATCATCCAATACTGCGATTTTGACATTGGCCCCTTCCCAGTCACGCCACTGACCTCGCCCGGCTTGCTCATGGTCATTGTACTGTGCGTGAGCATTTTGGTGGTCGCCATTTGGTTTGTCAATCCGCCAAGCGCGCACTACATCGAGTCCGTGTTGAACGGCCAGAGTGGCGACACCAAACCCGCTTCTTCGCCCGACCCCATGGCCCAATCGGCGCCCCCAAAAGATGTGTCGAGCTCCAGTCAGTCTGCTTTCAGTCAGCTGAAGGCTCGAGGCCATCTTAAAGACGCCCTGCGTGAGATTGCGCAACTCCACATCGCCACCATCTTTCTTGCCCAGTTTGTGCTCTTGTTCAACCAATCGACCCTCGAGACGATTGTCACGCTGCTGACCGACAAGTTTTATCACTGGGGCCAGACAAACAACTCGCTCATGTACATGGTCATTGCGGCAACGTTCATCCTCATCTACATTTTTATTCACGCCGTCAATCATCGCATCCAGGACCGCTATCTGATTGTGGTCGGTCTCATTCTCGAAACGGCAACCTTTGTGTTTGACATGATCATCTTGCCCAACGCAACAGACCTGCCAATGTACCAATTTGTGCTTGCCTGCGGGCTGTTCATTTGTGGTCTGCCGTTCTTTATGATTGCCGTGCCTGCCCTGTTCTCCAAGTTGACCAGCAAGCGAAGACAAGGGCTCTTGCAAGGCTTGCTGCAAGTTTGCACCAGTCTCGGCTGCATTTGCGGCCCTCTGTGGGGCGGGAGCTCGTTCAATCGGTTTGAGCTCATGTTTGGCGTCATGCTAGCCCCGATGAGCCTCCTGATTGTCATGTTTCTTTTGTCATTTCGCAAGCTGGCGCCGCCACCCTTATTGGTATCTGGTTCAAACGCTCTGTTCGAGCACGACGACGACGATGACGACGCGAGCACGACGCCTGACGAAAGGCGGCACCTTATTAATTAAGGCTGCAGTAAGGCCACTTGTTTATTGTTTGTCTTTGTTCAGTTTTATCGCTTGCTCGTTGATGTACTATATCATATATGGAATCCTGCAATCCTTGCTCATTTTAAAATCCAAAAGGGGGAACGTCACATCAAAAGATTGTTCGACCACAGTCAAAGAACACATGACAGGGGGGAGCGGCTGACATCATTCATTGAAAGTAGGTCAAATTCTCGCGGAACCGATCAAGCCATCGCGAGGCAGTTTCGATCGAGACAGCGCGCTCGTCAAAGGAAAGCGTCACGTTCATGAAATGCCCTGCACGCGGGGACCCGGCACTAGCCGTCGGGTCGGAATCCTGCTCGAAGGCAGGCCACTTGATGTCAGTGCGAGTTTGGCCCACAGCCAGAATGGCGCACTGCGGCGGATTGATGACAGCGGAGAAGCGATCAATGCCAAACATGCCCAAGTTAGAGATGGTGAACGAGCCGCCTTGGAACTCGTCGAGCTTTAGCTTGTTGATGCGGGCGCGCGATGAGAGGTCCTGTGTGGTGGGGCACGACGATTAGAAACTCGACGCTAGACTACAACAAAACAAAAATCAACGAAAAAAAACAAAAAAAAAAAAAAGAGGCCCAACTCACCCGAATACCAGCCGCCAATTCAGGAAGATCCAAATTGTCTGCACGCTTCACGATTGGTGTGATTAGTCCATTCTCGGTCGCGACAGCAAACGCGACGTCAACGCTGGCGAGTGGCGTGGCCGACTGCGACTTGGCGTCCCATTGAACGTTCATTGCTGGCACGGAGCGCAGAGCTCGAGCGGCAGCCAAGACCACGTAATCGTTGACCGAAATCTTGGTGGTGGCTGTGAGAGAGAGAACAAAAAAACGAGACGCATGTCAGTGCTAAAACTCTTCAAAGGTGTACCAGAAACAAACGCGGTCGACCAACATACGGTCGTCTTACCATCACGCTTTTTCAGCGCAGATCGCGCCTTGATGACGGATGACAAGTCGCAGTCGACCGAAAGATACGAGTGCGGAATGGTCGTCTTGGACTCGGACAGACGCGAAGCAATAACACGTCGAACTTGAGTCGTTGGCACATCAACCCAGCTGCGTGCCGATTGCGGCGAAGGAGATGCGGAAACAGGGCGACTCGAGCTTGCTGCAGCAGATCCAGATGAGGCTGATGCAGGTGAGCGGGCGGCGCCAGGGGAAGCCAAGTAGGCAAGAATGTCGCCTTTCGTGACACGACCCTTCGGGCCGGTGCCGCTCAGCTGGGCAACATCAAGATGGTGCTTGTGCACAAGTTGATACACCGAGGGATAGAGCACATTCGACGCAGGGCCTCGCGAGCCTGGTGCAACTGCAGCAGGTGCAGGCGCCTTCGCCGGGCCTGGAGTTACAGGTGCTGCGGCTGATGCTGCTGTTGGTGGGGCGGGCGACGCCTTCGGTGCAGCGGCGGCAGGGGTGGCGGGTGCCGGGGTATCTGCTGCGGGCACTTTGACGGTGGCAATGTCGACGCCTTCGTCAACAATCAAGGCGACAAGTGTGCCGACCGCCAGTGGGCCGGACGCCTTTGTGTGCAGAATCTTGGCTAGGACGCCGTCTTCGCTCGACTCGACATCGATGGTGGCCTTGTCGGTCTCGAGTTCGAACAGCACTTCGCCCGCAGCGACCTACAAGCAAAACAAGCAACAAGCAACGAGGGTTGAGATTCACCGCAAATATCACCAACAACAGAGATGTGTGTGTGTATGTGCAACAAAGCTGCCCAAAATGGATGATGTTGCTCTGCTGTGGAAGCAACGTATCAAGCATAAACCAACAAGCAGAGCGGCAAACGGCCGGAAGGACTGCTCCCCATCGCCTCACCTTGTCGCCCTCTTTCTTGGACCACTTGAGCACAGTGCCCTCAGTCATTGTGGGTGACAACGCAGGCAGCTTGACGCGCATGGGAGCCGGCGCACGCGAGGACGCAGCCATAGATGTAAACGCGCGACTGCTGCTGGCGTGATGCAGCTGCTGCAGGGGCTTCCCATGGACTGCGCAGACGGACGCGACACAGCACGAGTGTGCAGCGAGCGCGGATGGGGTGTATGTGCCACGACGGACGTGCTGCTGAGGCTGGGCGGTGGATGCGGACGCCCGGGTCGCCGAGTGCGCAGCAGCAGCAGCAGCAGAGAGCGTGCGTGTGGCGAATGGCAGCCGTGCTTGGACGGTGGTGAGCGTCGAGGTCGAGACCGCCGCCACCGCAGCAGCAGCAACGACAGCACCGCAATGATGGACGCGGGCGAGCAGGGCGCCGCCGACCGTGGCTTGGCGATGCGCGAGCATTGAGCGAGGGAACGGAGTGGGAGCGACGAGTGGAAGAGAGAAAGACTGACCCGCGACTGGATCGAGTGTTACGATATTGTCGATGAGGGATGATAATAATAATGATGATGATGATGATGGGCGGAAGGGGTGGCTGAGAATGGTCGTGGTGGATTGGTCTTCTGGTCTCTTTCATCCTCGATTTGACTCTCCACTCGTCTTTTTTTTTTTTTTTTTTTTTTTTTGGTTCTATTTCATTCCATTGTTGCTCTTTGGAACAGTTTCGATTGATTGATTGATTGATTGATTGATTGACGGGTGGTGACAAAAAATCAGCAGACTGAAGCGGATAGAAACAAAAAGCAATGGTGCGACGGTGGCCGTGGATTGCGGCCGACCTCGCAGCAGACGCATCGCAGGACGACCTCCATCAACACGATCAGCCAAAGCAGCAGGAAACAGAGCAAGTCGAAGCGCAGTATGAGCGCAATGCCAGGACGTTCGCTCGCCGGGTTGCGTCGCAGCAGCGCCAACGGTGGCTCTACTATGGCCGCCCGCTCGTCTTCCTCGGCCTCCTCCTCATGTTCTGCCTCCTCACGCCAGACGCGCGCCTGGCGACCACAGAGCCCGCATTCACACCCAGCAACGACGACGGCGGCGGCGTTGTGCTCCAGGGTCGCTCTGCAGCAGTGCACCAGCTGATGGACCTTCTGCAGCCAAACCGCAGCAGCAACAACAACAACAACAACAGCAACAACCAGAAGCGCAATGGTGCTGCTGCAGCGGATCAACGCGAACTCGGACTCGAACTCGGACTCGAACTCGACGTTGATGTCGGCGTTGGGCTCAAGAAGCAAGCCAGCAGGGACCCCAATCGTAAAACCACCACGACCGCTCATGAATCAGAATCTGAATCTGAATCTGAATCTGAACTTCAATCTCAATCTCAATCTGCCGCTCTGCACCGCAAACTGCTGAGCGACGATCTGGACTTTTACCCGTCGTCGGGCATCTCATACCAAGACCTCAAGAACGGCGGCGTCGTCTTGTACATTATCGGCGTGCTGTACATGTTCTTTGCGCAAGCGATTGTCTGCGACGAGTTTCTCGTCCCTTCGCTCGACCTGTTTGTCTCGACACTCAATATTCCAGACGACGTCGCGGGCGCCTCCATCCTCGCTGCTGGCCAAGGCGCTCCGGAGCTCTTCACCTCCATCATTGGCATTTTTATTGCTAAAAGCGATATTGGCTTTGGCACCGTGCTCGGGTCCTCAGCCTACAAGGCCGTCATGATTATCGGCATTGTTGCCTTCGCTACCCGCAAAATTCTTCGTGTCCGCCGATGGCCTGTCCTCCGCGATAGTATTTTTTGTAAGTCGTCGCTTCGATTTGTTCCTTGTGCAAAGGCTTGGGGAAAGGTTGGTGAAAAGCGGACAACAACCACCAAATACTCACCAATACTCACGCTCCTGCTCTTGCATATTGAAACGCAAAACAGACGCCGGCGCTCTCGCCCTGCTATTCATCTTCTTTCGCGACAAGCGTGTGCAGTGGTGGGAGGCAGTCGTGCTCGTGTCGAGCTTTATTGTCTACGTCCTTTTCATGGCCTTCAACCGAAATTTGGAACGCGCGTACCGTGCCATCATTCGTGCTCGCCAGCGTGCGATGCGTAAGCGCAACTCGCAGAGATTGACGGCGGAAGGTGCGGGAGGGGTGTCAGGCAGTGGCCGCTCGCCGCGAGCACGTCGCTCCAATGTCATGGAGAGCTCGGCGTCGACCAGCTCCCAAGCCGCCAGCCCTTCTGTACCGCCGCCGATTGCGCCAGAGCCCAGTCTGCTGACCGTGCCTGGGTCCGTAGCAGCAGCCCCTTTGTCGCCCTCGCAAAGCTCAACCACTGCCGTTGCCATCGAGGTCGTGCCCGACGACCCGGAAGAGGCCGACTACTCGGACGGCTCGGTTGCGTCGGATGCCAGTCTTGACTCGTTGGACGACTATGACGGCGAGGAGCAAAACAGTACCGAGTCCCTCAACGAGTTTGAAATGGACGACTATTCACAACAAGAGTCGCAGCTCAACCAAGCGGCGCTGCGCCAATTGGATGGGTCGACACCCGCGATTGACTCTTTCGTTGCGGCGGATGGCACGCTGTCACCTGGACTGGCGGTGAGCCGTAGCAACCTCAGCAGCAAAGCCGGGTCGATGGCGGGGAGCACACACAGCGTGAATGCGGTCGCTCCCAGTGCCAGCAACCAGCGGCGAAAGCGCAGAATGCCACGGCTGCGAGACCTGGGCGAGAGTCTACACTTGCTCGGAGGAGTTCGAGGCACGCACGACCCCAATTTCCGCGTGTCCGCCTTGCGCATTATGCTTCATGGTCTTCCGTCTCCCGTCCAGTACGTCCACGACAAGCTCACCCATCGCCACCACAGCCATGATAAGGAGCAACAACAACAGCAACACCAGTTGCAGTCGTCTCAGGCTGATGCAACGGGACCAGGTGCGGCAAATCCGCCTGAGGGCTCCGCTACCTCGACGTTGCCAAAGCGCAGCTCCACGCTGCCCATGCAACAATCCCCGCCCACCCCTCGTAGTGGCACACTGCCCGCATCGAGCAGCACATCTGCATCGCGCCAGGCTTCTGTGAAGCGTCGAACAAGTGGCCGCACGTCCACTGGAGCAGGCTACTTGCAAGCCGATCCCCAAGCCATCCCCGCCTTGGCGGACGACACGATCGCCATCACCACAGCCGCCAGTGCAGCTGAAGCGGAGAGTGTGCCTGTTCCACTCGAACTCGTCAAGGTGCGCGACGACTCTGGTCAGGTGGTGAAAGTGGTTTTGCCCAAGGCCGCTCGACCGCTGTACCTGCGCTTCCCCGAGACTTTCTTGGCCCGGATTGCCTTCGTCTTTGTCTTTCCCATCACGTTTCTACTCTGCTGGACGATTCCTGATTGTCGACTGCCTCGATTCAAACGCCTGTTTGTTGTCACCTTTTTCATCAGCATTCTTTGGATTGCTGGCTTTACCTACCTCGTGGTTTGGTGGACTACAGTCATCGGCAATGTCCTCGGCATTCCGTCTGCCGTCCTAGGCCTGACGTTCCTGGGAATCAGCTCAAACATGACCGACACGCTGTCTGCCATCATTGTTGCGCGACATGGGCTCGGCAACATGGCCTTGTCCTCCTGCATTGGCGGTAGTGTCTTCAACCTGCTTGTTGGCTTGCCGCTGCCGTGGCTCATTTGGACGCTCGTCAACGATGAAGATGTCACGTTGAAGGACGTTTCTCTGAATTTCACGCTCTTCATTCAGCTCGCAATGTTGGCTGGCGTGTTGTTAAGCCTGCTCCTGTTCCGATGGCAGCTCAGCAAACCACTCGGCGTCATGCTGGTGCTGCTCTATTCCGGATTCCTCGTCTTGAGCATTCTGCTCCAGTATAACAAGTTTTCTGCACCCTTTTAAGCCGATGGTCTGATTGCTTGTTGTTGTTGTTGTTGCTGTTGTTGTTCTTGTTGTTGTTGTTGCTGTTCTTGTTGTTGCTGTTGTTGTTGTTGTTGTTGCTGTCGCTGATTGCTTGTCTTGTGGTTGCTGCCCAATTTTTTTTTCTTGGCTGTAGCAAATCGACATTTACCCTCCATTCACTCAAAAAGCATCAGAGTCGTCGGGAACCTTTTCATTGCTTGGTCGAATACACAAACAACATACGCACACAACCGAAACTGCGCTCTTGGAAATGAGAATGCAGCCGCGGACACAGACACAAACACACAAACAACAAAAAAATAACCGGATTTCAAAAAAATACAGCAAAACGAAAGTAGGGGGAAGGGGAGGGGCACTTTGTTTACTGGCTGGGTGGGTTGCCGTCTTGAGCCAAGGATTTGTTGAGGGAGCTAAGATTGTCCTTGCCCACTTCGGTCAGCTTGGAGTTGAACAGTTGCATGTCTTCCGCCGAAGCACTGCTCGAGAAAGTCTGCAAATGATGAAGCAGCTTGGCTTCCAGCGGCGCATCGAGAGCATCGATTGAAATAACGCTGCAGAAAGCTGCCACAAGAATGGGGTAGTGCTGCACGGCAATGGGATTTTGCTGGTCAAGCAGATTGGCAATAAACCCGTACACGTCAGGGGCTTCGGTAATGTCGCTCTCAACAGGCAACAGGTTGAACCAAGCTGGCAGCCAGGTTGACTGATCAACATAACCCGCCTCGATAATCTTGCCCAGTGCAGAGACGACGTTATCAGTTGCAATCAAGTTGTCAGGAAGGCGCGCGTTGGGGCGTTGGGCCATCTGCAAGAGGAACGGGGGAGTGGCTGCACAAAATCAATGCACAACGGGGGGGGGACGTGAGCGCCAAAACCCATAGTGACATGGTGTGCGTGAGTGGTAGTGTGTGGTGGTGATGGGGAGGAGGAAGACGAATCTGGCTGTGTTTTCCAAAAAAAAAAAAAAAAAAAAAAAAAAAAAAAAAAAAAAAAAAAAAAAAAAAAAAAAAAGACAGACATGGAGACTTACCAGCAGCAAACTCTCGGAAGTCGGGGCCGCCAGTCTTGGCCATCAGACCGACACCGTACGCGCACGTTTGGAGCACATCGAAATTCTCGTCCTGGATACCGTTGAGCAAGGGCTCAAGGAAGTGCGTGGCGTAGCGCCACGCCACCGGGCCAAGGAACTCGAGCATGTCGTCGTAAACGCAGAGCGCCCATTTGCGCTCGATGGGCGAGTGATCGCGCCGGATCATCTCGATGAGCTTGGGGGCGATAGCCTCATAGAGAATCAGAGCGTTTTCACGCTGGTATTGGAAGAGCACATGGAAGGTTTCGGCAAACTGTCAATCGAGAAGGGAAAGCGAGAAGGGAAAGCGAGAAGGGAAAGCGAGAAGGGAAAGCAAGAAGGGAGAGCAAAGAAGGTAAGAATGCTGCATCCATGCTCGAACTCGACAATGCAACATCCAAATCAAAAACGTACGTTTTGCAGGACACCTTGCTCTTCGCGCTCCGTCTCGTTAATACGGTCTGCCATCTCTTCATCATAGAACTCATCCTGACGCTCGCCTGCAGTGACAATAATGCATCAACGGTCAACTCCCATGTCTATGCAAACCACCCGAAAATCGTCAAGCAACCCAACAAACATTCAAACGCTTAGCTTACGAGCACGATCAAGAACTCGCAAATGGTCATACGCCAGCTGCTTAATGAGGGCGTCCGCAAGCTTGCGATAAAGAACGTCGGGGAACGACACGTGCGCACCAGCCGACGACAGAGTCTGTGAAAGAAAACAAGTTACAAGGACGATGAGATACCGGCAAACCAAGAAAAGAATGCGAACGAAACAGAAGGGGGAAAAAAAAAAACATGACCGACTTGTACTCACCAAATGGAATGAGTCGAGGAATCCAGTGACCATCTGAACCATATCCTTGCTGTGAAGGGAGATGGCTTCAATAAGAGCGTCGTAGATCAGCGGGGCGACGACTGCCAGTTGCGTTTGAGCGGCGGCAGAGTTGGCATCCTGCAATTCGACGGCGGAAACAAGGCTGCGAATCAAGAACGGCATAATGCAGGCGGCTGCAAGACGCACACCGTCGTGGAAGTAAAAGCGCAGCAGGGGGAGCATGAGCGTAGCAATGTCGCTGACGCGCGGGGCGAAGAGCTCCTGGAGCTCGCGAGCAATGCAAATCAGCATTTCGCAAGCAGTGGCCTTGTCATCAAGCGTGGAGGTGCGGACGGAGACAATCTGCGAGTCCAAGCGCGCAGACTCCCAGCCAGGGCGGTTTTCAAAGTCGGCAGCTTTGGGATCGTCCTCCTCAAAGACCATCAGCTCGGGTTGGATGCTGGCGGCCGCAATCAATGCGGGCCAGATGGCGTCCAAGTAGACAATGAAATCTTTTCGGAGGACCTTGCAAATGCGCGTGGCTGCGGTCAAAACGTAAGGCAGCTGCGGGTCCTCAACCGAGAGCGGCTGGGCAACAAGAATGCTCATGACCTCGGCGGCATCTTGTTGGAAGATGTCCTTGCCGACAGCCAGACCAATGAGCGTGATGCACTCCATGACACGACCGCGGAGGCCAGCGGCTTCAGGGTCGTGGGTAAGGTCCAGCAGGACGGTGCGCAACAAGGGCATAAAGTTGTTATAGTAGGGCACGAACGACTCTTCCACGGCGTCGGCAATGATGCCAATGGTGGTAATGACCTGCTCGTGGATGAAACGATGAGGGGTGCTGAGCAGGTTGAGCAGGCGGGTGAGGATGGCGTCGAGATGCGGCCTGAGCACGTCGCCGAGGGTCGAGTCCATTTCCATGGCAGCCTCTGCGGGAATGTCGGTAAAGTTGACGAGCGCAGCGCTGCCGTGGCCTTGCAGACGCGGGAAGCTGGTCTCATCCAACAAGGGGAGGACGCCGTTCATAAAGAGCTGTGCGTATTGCTCTTGGATGATTGGCGCAAAGTCTGTAGCCATTTGACCGATCGCGTTGCAGGCGCCGAAGCGAACGCGCGGGTTGGGATCGACAAGGCTGTGCGAGACTTGCGTCAGGATCTCGGGCAGGTATTGCTTGAGAACGCCGTGCGCGCCCTCGCCAATGGCAGAAATTGCCATCAATGCACCAAGACGGTGGCGCCAGTCCTGCGACTGGAGCATCTGGGAAATGGGGGCGAGAACGGCGCTGATCAGCGTCTTGCCGCCGAGCGCAACAGCAATGCGGTCGAGCGCTTGCTCGCCAACAATGGCAGTCTCGTCCTCATCCTCCGCCACCTCAGAGTTGGACGCCGCCCAAGCCACAGCAGCCTGCTCGCTTTCGTCATACTCGACCATCATTTGGAGCAGGACGGGCACAACAACACCGGCAAAACCCTCAAAGCGACGGCACATGCCGGGGTGGCGCTCGGCAAACGTGACCAACAGCTCAACACACAGATGGCGAGTGCCGTCCTCCAGCTGCGCAGTGTTGCCCGCAGCAGCCACGAGTGTGTTGACAACCTCTGCAAAGCAGTTGCGGAAGCTGGTGGGGGAATGCTCGGCAAGCTCAATGAGGCATCCGATGACATCGCCAGCGGTAGCGTCGTCACCACTGGCCATGGCACGCGAAGTAACAGAGAGCATGAGCGGCAGAAGATCTGTAAAGCCGTTGCGCTGCTCGCGGTTCAGGAAGAGCATAAAGCCGACTGCAGCGCGCACCGCCATTTCCGCCGTCTCCAGGTCGTTCTCGGCGCGCATCTGATCGGCGAAAATACCGTGAACAACACCAATGTAGCGGGCGAGTTGCGAGCCGAAAACAGTCGGCGTCGCGTTGATGATGGCCAAGGCAGACGTGCGCCTGGTGGCATCCTCTGACTGGATGAGCGCGAAAAGAGTCGGCAACAATGCCGCCCACTGAACATCCTCCTCGTCCGAGTCTATCAATGGTACAACAAAAACAACAACAAAAAAACAAGGATGGGAGAGGGATATGGTGAGAATACAGGCCCCCGCAACCGACGACCGCAGTGAGCCATTCATTGTGTACCTTGCGCCATGTTGGCAATGTCGCACACGGCATCGACAATTCGTCGACGGACAGCGCGATCTGTCTCGGTCTGGAGGGCACTGAGGAAGGCAGCCATGACCTGCTCACGCAGCTCGTGCGCCGTGGTCATCCAGAGCGACTTTCGGTCATTGTCCGGACCGACGAGCGCAAAGGCTTTGCGACGGAAGAGCGCAATGGCCATTTGACGGACCTCGGAATGAGCGGACTGTGTCATGTACTGAGTGCAGATCGGGAAGAGCTGCTCGGGAATCAGCGCAATGCGCTCGAAATAGTCCTCCGACGCTTGTCGGGTCTGCAAGGAGCGAGAAAAAAAAAAAAACGAGGCCAACATCAAACAGTCGGTTAGTGACCGAGCAAAGCAAAAGGGGGCAAAGCTGAAGGCTCGGCTCGAAAAGATTGAGCAGGATGACGGTTGGTGGTGGGTGGTGGTGGATTGCGCTGGGGTGGACATTGTACTGCCTCCTGGTAGGACAGGGAAGGGAACCATGTGCAATGCCAAAAGTGCACGCGCGTAGACCGCACACAAAACTTCATCGCCGACACTGGCGACATTTGCTCTGAGTGTGTGTCTGGGACTGGTGTATTGCAATGGGCAACCGAAGGCCGGCCAACAAGCACCCGGCCGTTTGACATGCGGGAACGAAAGGAAAGAGGAAGAAAAAAAAAAAAAAAAAAAAAAGTCCACGCGGTGTGCATTTCGGCCACAGTTGCGCCTCTCTCGCGCTGGCTCTGCGACCATGCAAAGCCGAGGCACAGCCAAATGCTTCCAGATTGGTGCCACAATGATACGCTCGTGGGTTGCCCTGTAAAAGTGGGCCCCCAGACCCCGCTCCGACGGCAGTCAAGCGAAAGCTTTTTCGTCGTTGGCTTTTTTTTTTCATTTTTTGCTTTTTTTTTCTTTGATTTTGCTATTTGCCACTTTAATACTGCGGCATGCACAAGGTGAAGCACTCGATGTGGTCTCCAAACCACGTGAATACCAAACGTCCCTGACAAATCCCTTCGACTACGAATACGAGAAGGCGAACAAAGCGACCAGCCACGGCTGCAGGAACGCGTGAATTGCTGATCGCCTGCATTTTTCCCGCCAAAACCAAAAAAAAAAAAAAAAAAAAAAAAAAAAAAAAAAAAAAAACACCACATGCATTGAATGCATTGGCCTTTCTTTTCGCTCCTGTCGCAATGGCTGACGTCGAGAAGAAGCTCGAAACAGTCTGAAGACAGGTGCAAAGGCTGACTCGTGGACAAGCAGGGAGGCGGAATTCCGGAAAGTGGACTTACAGCGTTCTCAGGGCTGAGCAGGTTGTGAAGCAGCTGTTCCAAATCCATGTTGAACTTTTGAGAGTAGAAATAAAAAAATGTGAAATGATGGATGGCCGAAAGTGGAAGGACCAACAAGGTGAAAGTCTGAGATGTGAAGCGCATAGTCAAACTCTCGGGCGGAATGTATGGTTGTTTGTCTCACTCAAACAAAAGTTTCATTCAAACATCGTTCATTCACAATCTAGACAAACACAAGGAATAGCAAATGCAACGTAACAATGCTACAAACTAGCAAGAGAAATCTCTGTTTTCACACGCATGTCTCGGCCGAAGGCAATCGGGGCAGGTGCCATGACGGAGAAGCTGATGGAAGCTCGACGAAAGAGGTGGCCGCGTCTTGAGAAACGGGAGAAACGACGGGTGTTGATGGTGTTGCCGGCACTGGCGCTACGACGGGCGGGGACATTGTGCCATCGAGAAAGGGCTCAATGCATTTTTGGAGGACCCCGCGGAAGGCTGAGGCGGTTTCACCGCTGTGTAGCCGATCTGCAATTGCGCAGACAGCGACGAATACGGAATGCAGATATTCTCGCTGCTCCGAGTCCTTGGTCGTGTCAAAGAAGGCAGCTCCGCTGCTCGACGACTCGGAACCTTCAGAAACATGCAGAAGGCGACTGGCGAGGGCGGACATCTCGTCCTCGGAGAGGACAAGAAGCATTTTGGTCAACGAGTGCAGTGCCGGTCGGTCACGAACAAACCGCGCCAGGCAATGATTTTCGAGCCATGAGGATGCAGGCGTGAGAGACTGGCTCGATGGCGGTTGCTGTGGAGTCGCGGGCAGCCACGAGCTGGGAACAACCCGCGATGCGGTTGCTCGCAACGATTTGACCCAGTTCCCGGAGCGCGACTTTTCTGGTAACGGCGGCGGCGGCGCCACGTGTTCGTCTTGAATGGTCGGTGCAACTACCAGCGAAGATAGCACGTCATCCATGAACAAGTCTCCAGGCGCGTGTCGCAGAGCGCGGGCGACGGCGAGACGAGGAATGGCGTAAAGCACACCAGGGTCTAGCTCCTCGAGCTGCTCGATTGTGATGAGATTGCTTGCCAGACCATCAGCGATAGTTTCTTGCAGGAGCGCGGTCATTTCTTCCGCTTGCTCCATGTTGCGAGCGGACGGCAGGGCCGGCAGGACCAAGCGCATGTACGACAGCTCAAATTCCACCCAGGCCTTGTCGAAGCGTTCAAACGTAGACTGGATGGAGGCAGGATATGCGACGCGTGCGCTCGTTGCGTGTGCTCGTAGGCTCTGAGAATTGACAGTCAACAACAACCATAACAACAACAACAACAACAGCAACGACGAGTGAGCACCAACATCCAAAACGAAAGTGTAGCAATGAACACAAGTGTGCTCTCACCGTCCGTGCGTCGCCAAAAGACAAGCAGAGAGCCATGGCAGCAGGCTTGAGCGCCGACAACAGGACTGCAAGAGGGGGCAGCAATGCGAGTGAACAAGTGTGCGCAACCACGATCTTGGCACAAAGACAGCAACACCACGAAATTCATGCAGACTAGACTCACCACCACCCATGGAAATGGTCGCGCCTGCTACGAGCAGCTCGGCAATGACAACGAGCGTGCCGAGCATGCAGCTGTTGCCATTGGTCACAGATGACGGAAATTTCGCGCGATACGCACGGTCGTCAAGGCTGAGGCTCGGGTGCTTGCGGACCATATCGAGCGAGACCAGCTCCAGGATTTCAATGAGACGCTGCTTGCGCAATAGCAGATGGTGCACGAGGTGGTGGTGCAAAAGCGGGCTAAACTCGCACATGCGGATCAAGTGCACGCAGCGCACAAACTGGTCGTCCGCCTCGAGGAACTGGCCGAACAGCGTTGTTGGACTGCGGTAATTGGTGTGACATTTTCAGCACACAGGCAACACATACGCACAAAGCAGAGGACCACACGACGTGAGTGAAAGCCAAAACGCCAAACCGCAGAGCAACCCAAATCACAAAAATAAGCGTCGTCTGCCGACTGCAAAATTGAGATTGGGTTTTTTTCCTTCCCCTCATTTTTTTCTGTTTCGCTCCGCAAATTCGCTCAATGACTGTTGGAAGAGGTGGTCAAGCCTTACCGTGTCGGTGTCGGAGCAGCGTCAATGTGAGCTGGCCCTGTGCTCGAGTTGGTGGCAGGCAGGGAATGGGGCTCGGTCGGCAGGAATGGCGTGCTGAAGCCCAAAGAAGGTGTGTTGGTTTCTGACCGCACCGCGTCCGCCGCAAATTCAGCGGTGCGAACGCGGTGGCTGCCGCTGTCGGCGCCTTGCTCTGGCGGCTGTGATGGAGAAGTCACCACCGATGAGGATGACGGTGGCAGTGATGATGATGACGATGGCTGGGGCGCAGACGCATCAGACCCGCGTTCGGTGTTGCCGGAAACGGAATTGGGTCTGTTGCGTTGCGGTGTTTGTGACGATGTGCGCCGACCGAAAAGGCCGAGCGTCCCTCGCGCTCGTGACGGCTGCTGTTGTTCGCGTTCGTCTGATTGTGCAGCAGAGTCCGGTCGCTGCGCAATGCCGCGGACGGAACGTTTCAACCGGTTGAGCAGCGTCATCGTAAAAAAAAAACAAAAGTGAACGTTTCCCAGCTCCGTTGTTGTTTTTTTCAATGACGCGCTCGCTCTTGAAAAAAACAAAAAAAGACGACTGGTGCGATTCGATTGAGATGAGCGCATACTGTAGGATGATTGTTGCGCACAGCTGGAGCAAGTGATCGCTTGGCCGGCCAACCCAGAGGCCAAGGGAATTGAGTTGCGCTTCCATGCTACAGTATTACTCATTTTGTTGTTGTTGTTGTTGGAAATCTGATTTTCGAAGGCGTTCTTTAGCAAAGTAGCTTTTTCTTCTAATACAGTAGTCCAATTGCATGACTGTTGCGTCGCTCATCCGTCAAAGCACAGAGTTGGCAACAGTCAAACAAGTACAGAAACAAGTTGTGCTCAGAAGAATGAAAAACGGGACTCCTCGCGTCAGCTGGAAAACACAAACAGGACCGTATATCGACAGAAAAAATGCACACGAAAAGACAAAGCACAAACCAAAACTACTCAAAGAAAAACCAAAACGCCATCAAGAAAAAAAAAGTCAGAAATTTCAAAGCGGGATTCCGGCATCAAACGACGCGGCAGCTTGCAGCTCTTCACGCAACAGTCCACAGCATGATTGTGCAGTCGTTGCCACCAGTGGACACCAAAGACTTGCCATCGCGGGAGAACCGCACATTGGTGACATGGGCGCTGTGACGAGCACCATACTCTTTGGCAGGAGCCTGCGTTTTTCAGCACCAACCCCCAACGGAAGCAAAAGAAGGACAAAAGTTCAAGGTGAGCCAATGAGCAGCACATTCAAATCAACAAATTAAAACCAACTCACCATGATGTTACGGCCGGGTTCCAGAACCGGAATACGGAACAGGCGGACAAAGCCGTCGTCGCTGCCAGAAGCAAGAAGGGTGTTGTCGGGTGAGGCGGAAACCGCGTTCACATCCGTGCCGTCGCTGTCTGGGGGCCAGATGCCGGCAACGTCCCATCCCAGAACGCAGGTCTGCGAAGCCCAGGTCAGATCGCGCACATCGACAGAGGCGGTCACTTGCTTGCCGGTGAGTGCCTCCCAGAACAGCAGCTCGTAATCACCACTGGTGCTGCGCAAGAAACGGCCGTCCGCCGACCAGTCAATGTGAGTGATGAAGGAGGAGTGGCCTGTATCAGGGAAGATGAAAAGTAGTGACGGAAGTATGAGAAAAGTAACGATGGAGGTTGGAAGAGGAGAGACAAACAAGCAGAGATTTGAGGAACTCAAGTGAGCCAGTCTGCAACATGACAACATTGGCATACAAACAAAAAAAGACCAAAACGAAAAGCAAAACGAGACCGACTCCTTACCCTTGCAGATGGCCTTGCGCTCAATCGCACCCGCAGCAACGTGGTAAACATCAATAAAGTTGTCGTGAGAAGCAACAGCAAGAATGGAGGGAACGGTCGACGAGAAGCGAATGTCGGCGATCTCCTCTTTGCGGTCCTTGCGACCGCCAACCACCTCAAGCGTGTCGCCTTGGAGGACAACAAAGCGACCGTCGTTGAGACCAACAGCAATGAAGGTACCATCCGAGTTGTACGACACGGAACGGGCAGCGCCAGGCAGAGCGGTAGTCTGGAGCTGGGCGTGGGTCACAGCGTCAAAGATGGTGAGCTTCTTGTCGTCCGCGGCAGTGGCAAACTGGGTCTTGGAGGGATGGTGCGCAAGCGCCCAAACTTCGGCGGAATGAGCCGACGTGAGCACAACGCCGGCGCCCTGGACGGTGAGGCCGTCAGCCGCAAGCTGGAAGAGTTTGGCCGTGTGGTCGACGCCGCCAACAACGAGCCGGGACCCGAGCACGTCAATGGCACGCGCCTCGATGCCGATGGGGGACGATGCGCCAGCCGTGAGAGTGTCATTCTCAGCCAGCTGCCAGACTTGCGCGTTCTTGAGCTTGTCGGTGGAGATGAACGAGCCAGGGTGTCCGGGAACAGCGCGCAAGCCGAGGATTGAGTTGCCAGCCTCGCCGACATTGCCGCTGGAGGCCGAGGCGAGCACGGAGGCAGTCGCGACATTCCAGAGCAGAATCTCGCCCGTCTTGGCGGTGCCCGTGACGGCGCGCGAACCGGATTCGTTGTAGGCAACCGAGACGATGGTCTGCTGGTCGCCATGCTTGCCAAAGATGCCCTTCTTGCGAGCAAAAGGCTTGTCGTCGACAGCGCCCCAGAAGCTGACGTGGTGCGTGCCCACCGAGATCCAGTTGGTGGACGTGTTGGGAACGGCGCCAACAGCAACCACCTTGTCCTGGCCGCCAGGCGCAGTGTACACCTGCGCACGCGTGGCGGCATTCCACACAATGGCCGTATGCTCAGTGTCGTTGCCGATTGACAGAATGTGCGAACCGTCGGCCGAGAACGCAGCACAGGCGACCGACTGGTCGTGGCCGCCAATGTTCTTGCCACCAAGATGGCCAACGGCAGTGCCCGTGGTCAAGTCCCACAAAATCAAGTAAGCCTTCTCGCCCTTGCCCTTGGAGCAGACCTGGCCCGTCACGGCAAACTTGCGCGTGGCATCCACAGCGAGACACGTAATGTCGTCAGTGTGGCCGAGCAAGTGGCGCTGGCGGCCGGTTTCAACGTCCTGCAAGACCACGACAGCGGCAGTGTTCCAGATGGCGGTACGGCCTTCGTCCACCAGGAAGAGATTGTTGAACGTGTCGCGTCCACGGAAACCATGAACGTGCGAGAGCGTCAGACCGACCTCTGGGGCGGATGCCGGCTCTGTCGGCTTGACATAGCCCGTCGGAGGGTGGACGACAATGCGGCGACCTTGGATAAAGTAGTGGTGTGGCTCGGGTCCCGGGACGGCAGCTGCAGAAGAGGCAGCAGGAGCTTTCGCAGCCGATCCGTTCGTCAGCGGAACGCGACCGCGGGCAGCCGGGCTTCCCGGAGCAGCGGTGGCAGTGGCCGTGGTGCGACGAGCGCCTGCAGCGGGCGCAGTGGTAGTCGAGCTGGCAGCAGAACGGGCAGGGGACGCGGTTGCCGCCGACGCCGACAAGGATCGCGAAGGCGTTCCAGTCGTCGTAGCAGCCGCCGCCGCCGTCGCCGGGGTCCTGCGAGCAGCAGCAGCAGCTGGGGATGCACCACCGAGCGTTGAACGCTGCGCAGTGGTCGCTCCTGCAGCAGTGAGCTTGGCGACCGTCTGCGTCAAATCTGCGATCGCGGCTTGCTGGCTTTCGACCGTTTGAGCCAGGCGCGCGACTTCGGCTCGCAGCTCGGCCACTTCCTCAACAGTCGCCATGTTTTGTTTTGTTTGTTTGTTTTGTTTTGTTTGTGGTTTTTGTGATCAGTTGTTGTTGTGATTTTGTTGTGATTTTCAAGAGTCAAAAATCAAACAAAAGAAACAAACAAGCAAAAAAAAAAAAAAAAAATGGAGTGAAAAAATTCGCTGTCAAAATTTTAAAACATTCCGAAATTTTGATTTTGATTTTGATTTTTGATTTTGATTTTGATTTTTGACAAGCTGTGAAAACAAAACGAAAAGAAGAAACTCAGAAGAAAAAAAGTAACAAAAGTGAAGTGAACGGAAGATGAACGGAAAATGATTTGATCTTGCTGAAGTGAACTGAACTGAACCGAGCTGGATGATGGACGAACTGAACTGGCCTGGATTACGACGGGAAGGCTCGCCATGACATGCTGCTGGGCGAGTGTTGGGATGGAAATAAAAAGTGGAATCTGGAAATTATGTTGCTGCTGCTGCTGCTGGTTTGTGAGAGGGGGGGGGGGAAGGGATGACCGTCACTCCATTGAAATGGAAGTGAATTGAGATTGGATTTTGGAACGAAACTCCTTTCCATGCCGAGAGCAGCAACGCCTTCCACATGCACAGGACAATTTAAAAACAAAACGACAGACGCCGACCAGAATCCAACTTCTGAGAATCTCAGAATCTCAAATCTCAGAACATCAGTCCTTTCTTGCTTTTCGCAGATCACCGACCGATTCAACAACGCTCCGAAATGGCAAGCTCGGCCTTCCGCTCTTTCACCACACCAAGCGCTTGGCGCGGAATGTCGGCCTTGTCAAGAACGCACCCGACGCGCAGATACGCAACGACGACGACCGTCGCCACAGGTCGAGCAGACAACTCGGTCGGGTTTGGCGCCAGTCCAAAGTCGCCTGCCGAGTACGCTGCAGCGTGGCCGTCCGCCGCTGTTGCTGCCGTGTATGAAAAGCACGGTGCACCCGAGGACATGCTTCGGTGAGCGACGAGACACGCTGCAGACATCAGGCAGCAGACGCGCCACCAAGTCTCACACAACAAGCGCCGCGAGTGGATCAAACGCACTGAACTGACATGGATTCTGCAATTTGTTGGCCATTGCCATTTGCATAGTGTGGTGGACTTGCCGCTGGCGTCCCTATCGTCGCTGGGCGAGGACCAAGTTGCCGTCAAGATGCTTGCTGCGCCAATCAACCCGTCCGACATTAATCAGGTGCAGGGAACGTACGCGGTCAAGCCACCGCTGCCTGCAGTTGGCGGAAACGAAGGCGTCGGTATGGTTGTTGCCGTTGGGCCCAAAGCGCAATCACGCCTGCGGCCTGGTCAGTGGGTCATTCCTCGGTCATCTGGGCAGGGTAGGTGAATTTTGGAGTGTGTTTATCCCCTCATTGTGATTCACACCCGTACTGTTTGTTGTTGTTGTTGTTGTCGTTGCGGTAGCTTACCATCGTTCATACTTGAATGCCCTTATGTGGTAGGTACTTGGCGCTCGCACTGGATTGCCAAGGAGTCGCAGTTTCTCGTCATTCCGAACGATCTGGCCTTGTCACAAGCGGCCACCATCAGTGTCAACCCTTGCACGGCATGGCGCATGTTGCATGACTTTGTGCCGCTGCAAGCAGGCGACACGGTCATTCAGAATGGCGCAAACAGCGCGGTTGGACTCTGCGTCATTCAGTTGGCCCGCGCGCTCAAGCTGAACACGGTCAACGTGGTTCGAGACCGCGAAGACATTTCGGCGCTAGAGGGCGAGCTGGTGGCCCGCGGTGCCACTCACGTTGTGACGGACAAATTCCTCGGCTCGTTCAAAATGGCCGAGTTCTGGAAGCAACACTCCGCATCGCTTTGCCCGCCTCGCTTGGGCTTCAACATGGTTGGTGGGCCGAATGCTACAAATGTTATTCGGCAACTTGGGTACGGTAGAAGCAGATGGGACGTGGTGGTCGCTCTTGTTTTCATTTCTTGTGCTTGTTTGTTTGTTTGTTTGATGTTTGTTTGTTTGTTTGTTTGTTTGATGTTTGTGCCCGCACACTTTGTTGATCGCTTGCTCATGTCGATATTCATTTGTCGATTGGTGGTGTTGTTGTTCATGTCTCTTTGCGTAGAAACCGTGGCGTCTTGGTGACCTATGGAGGCATGTCGCGCGAACCAGTCGTGGCACCAACGGGGCCGTTTATTTTCAACGACTTGCAACTCCGCGGGTTCTGGATGACGCGATGGAATGACGAGCACGCTCCTGAAGAGCGCGAGCGGATGCTGCAGGATATTGCCGTGCACATTCGCAGCGGCACGTTGAGCACCAGCTGCCAAGGTCGCCCGTTGGCGGAATTTGCCGGAGCGCTGACTGCATCGAGGACGGCACTCCAAGCTGCGACATTCAAGCAGGTTCTAACCATGGTCTAATGGCGCCTGGGGGTCGTGCGATTGCGTGATTGGTTGTGTTTGTTTGGCGCAAGATTGTGGCCGTCAAATACGACCCAACAACAACAACAAAAACAGCTCCAGCAATACAGACTCTACTTGTTCCTGTTTCTAATTGCATTCATGCACTTTCGTCCAATCCCAGTCAGTCCAATAGTTGTTTGCTACAAATGTCAGCAACGCATCTGAAGCATGTGCTGGCTGTCAAACAGCTGTACCGGCAAATCCTCCAACTGCACCGACACATGCCACCCGCCATGCGCGTCATGGGCGACATGTATGTCCGCGACGAGTTCAAGCGGCACAAGGGCGCTCAAGCGAGCCAAGCGCAGGTCTTCATGGCCGAGTGGAAGGTCAGCAGCGAACACTGGCTCGAGGGAGGAGGAGGGTCGAACTCTGTCGCTCGGGCTTTGAGATCGGATGGTGCTGTACATCTATATAGTGATGCTGCAATGTGATAGAGGACTCACTGGGCTGGCTGGCGTCGCGCTTGCCTGTGTGTTGCAGGGGTACGCCAAGACGCTCCAAGCGCAGCTCGGTGTCGCAGACTCCCCAAGCTCAGGGTCTGGCGATGCAGCGACGCCGATCAGCAGTACAGGCAAGACCGATGAGCCCGCGCTGGGCACTCTGGGAGTCGCAATGGATCCAAAGCTGCTGGACGCGATGACGGACGAGCAGGTGGGCCAACTGCACGAGCTGTTTGTCGAAGCACGGCAATCCCCCGCAGCGTCGCCAGCATCATCTACATCCGCGACAGCCTCCAATACTAGTGCAAGTGAATCGACAAAAGCTGCTACAGCGGCAGCGAAAGCAAGCGTCGCCCCGCACATTATTGCAAGAGTCACTCGAAAACAGCCAGCATCGAACGCCAACAGCTCGCCACGATGACCTTGTGACGATGGGAGGAGGGGGAAATTGATGACCATGATGGGGACATTGATGTCTGAGAGTTGTCAAACGGCACAGATCGTGCGTGCGTTCATGTAATTTTCTCATGAGCGTTTTTCACCTTCCAAGTTGTATCGTGTCCAGCTCATGTCAACTCTTGTGGTCAATGAATGCTCATGCAAAGTGAGGTATTTATGTGTCAATTGCGTCTGTCTCGTGGACACAGCGTCAGCTTGGGACCCTCTGCCTTTGAAGTGTGTGACTCTGCGCACGTCACGCCGAATTTCGAGTGGAGCGGTTCTCTCATTCGTGTAGCTCGGTTGATTCTACTCCAACACAATGCCTTTTCCATCAGCTCCTGAATGAACACGCGGGACGATTTTGAAACAATCACATCACAGGTGACTCATGAGCGGCTTTTTTGTTTTTTTGGAAATTTCCCACAATCCACAGCCCCCACCGCTTCCTCTGCCAATTCTTGTTCCTCCCATCCCCTTCTTGTCAAGATGCAAAAATTTCCGCTCCATCAATGTCGTTTCCGTCGCTCTCGTTTCATCGCATCAAAGTGAGACAATTGCAGCCCAATCCCATCCACTCTTTTTTTTTTTTTTTTTTTCTTTTTTTTTTTTTCTCCTTTTCGTTTTTCCCCGTTTTTTTCTCCAGTCGATGGCAACACAGACACAGCGACCAGCGCCTGTTGGGCTCGGTAGCGGCGTCGGAACGCCCCAGTCGCTGGCAGCTTCACCAATGGCGACCACCCCTGGCACAATCACCCTGGGCGCAGCGACACTGAGCTACGGCAGCAGCAGCAACTCGAGCCCGTCAACGCCCTCGCCTGCAACCACCGCGTCGGCGGCGGACGCTGGACTTCCCCCGGCGGTCGACGTCAACGACGCCTCGGTGGTCGACCACGAGACCCGCGTCGAGAGCAAGCGCTTCACGGTGCGTCCTTCACTCTCGCCACGTCGCACAAACCAAACCATCAAAAAAAAAAAAAAAAACTTTCAAACCCTTTTTTTTTTCCGTCACGGTTTTTCCCCGCTTTTCATTTCCCCGACTCGCTCCTTTCGAGGGCCGCTGGTGAAGAACAGAGGGCTGTGTGTGTGCAGCAGCAATTTGACTATGAGACGCAGGTGTTGCTGTTGAGCCCACTGCGTTTGTTGGGGCTTCGCACAACATTGAAGGAAAACAAAAACATAGAAAAAAAAAAGCCAAAACCAAAACGAAACCGCGCCAGGAAAGATGCGGTTCGCGGTAGACACACCGCAAAAGGCTCGGACTGGGTGAGGCCCCGACGAGAGTCTGTTTGCGTATTGCGACGCATTGCGAGGTTGAGAGGGAACCGGGCTGCGTTGCCGTCGCCGTCATCCGTGCCAATTCGGAAACATACGCACAAACCAAAAAAAAAAAAAAAAAAAAAAAAACCTTCCGACCTTCCGACTTGCGCTTCAAGCGACATTCGAGCCCTCCCACTGCACAAAGCACACTGCATGAATCCACAAGCATATAGTCACTCTCGCACAGCCTTGGATTCGCCGCGCTCCCACTTTTGTGCGAAACAAAACTTGCTGCTGTTGTTGTTGGGGTGCGACAAGCAAACTGTGCAGAAACTCGATTTTTTTTTTCCTTTTTTTTTTTTTTTTTATTCGATACTTTGTTCGTTCTGCCTTTGTTCCTGTTGGAAGCTGGTCAGCAGGGAGCCAGGACAATATAAGAAAAAAAAATACAATTAAAACATTTTAAAAGAGAAAAAAAAAAAAAAAAAAGAGGGGGCCGTGTCCCTGCTCGTCGAGCCATGTTGTTGGGCAGGCTCGGTTGCCCTCGTTGGGTGTATTGGGCTGCAGGTGCAAAGTGGAAGGAGGGCGAGAGGAAGGCAAGAGCCAAAGGGACGCTGGCAACTGCATCTGCGGTTCAGATTTCAAAAAGGAGCGGCTTTTTTTTTTCTTTTTTTGCTTTTTTTTATTATTGTGGATCTTCTGATCAATGACCAGCGTGTGTCCCGTGCCGCTGTGTGTGTGTGCGATCTTCAAGCATGTGCTCATCTGCATTGTAGCGTGACTTGCAATGTTTGCTCAATCCCTCGTTCCTCTGTCCTTTGAACTTTTGTGTTGGACGATAGGTTTACAAGATGGTCATGAAGAGCGGATCCAAGACATGGACCATCTACCGGCGATATAACGAGTTTTACGCGCTGAACGAAAAGCTCAAAAAGTTCTACAACTTTGAGCACCTCAAGCTGCCGGGAAAGCGCCTGCTGGGCAACAACTTTGATCCCAGTAAAGCCAGCCAATTGTCGCGTTCGCCAACCGTCCGTTTGTCAGGTTGTGCGTTTGGGAGTTGCTCACTACCCGTGTGTCCTTCCTTTTGCTCTCCTTGCCAGATTTCATTCAGTCGCGACGCACTGCTCTCCATGAGTATGTGCGAAAGCTCATTGCACATCCAGAAATCGCACAGTCGTAAGCTCTGTTGCCATTCCCCTGCGTGCTGCTTGATGCCACGCGCGTCGTGCTCACATCGTCTTGCCCGTGCGTAGCGAGATTTTGAAAGAGTTCTTGACAGACAACTCGATTCCTCGTGCCAAACTCATTGATTCCACTGAGCCGTTGGACTCGGACACGAGCAAGAACTCTGGATCAGAAGTAAGAAGACAGAAGAAACAAACACGGGGGGCGCATCTCAGTTGCTGTCATCGCGAGTTGGCACTCATTATCCACCTCGCTTGCTTCTCTTTGCCATAGGCCGACAACCATGTCGACTTGGCTGGCACGGAAAACCGCGCCGCAGATGTCAATGACTTTTACCTGCTGAAGGTGATTGGCAAGGGCAGTTTCGGCAAAGTCTTGCTTGCCAAGCACAAAGAGACCAGCAAGGTCTATGCCATCAAGGTACGACTGGTTTCCTTGTTGTCTTTCTTTTTTTTTTGGGGGGGGGGGTTTGAGATTCCCCGAGCGATTGCTCAAGTTGCTGATGGTTTCTTTTCCTTGATCTTTCTTTCTTTCTTTCTTGTTCCTGTTTTTTTTTTCTTAACTTTCGCTGCAGGTGCTCTCCAAAAAGGCCATCAAGCAACGAAACGAAGTCAAGCACATCATGGCCGAGCGCAATGTGCTGCTCAAGAACATTGTTCATCCCTTCCTTGTCGGCCTGCACTACTCATTCCAAACTCCCGAGAAGCTATATTTCGTCCTCGACTATGTGAATGGTACGCGGCCGTCCTTGTTCTATTGTTTACAGCCAACTGTCTCGCCCTGCTGCGCTTGAATTTCTAACATTTGCAAACATTGGGAATGTTTCCACAGGCGGTGAACTGTTTTTCCACTTGCAACGCGAAAAGCGATTCCCTGAGGTGCGTGCGCGCTTCTACGCTGCAGAGATTGTTTCGGCCATTGAGTACTTGCACTCGCTGGACATTGTTTATCGGTGAGCATTGCTAGAGTCCCGTCTTGCTGTGTCCTCGTTCTTGCTGCTGCTGCTGCTGCTGACGCCCTGTTCTCCTGCATTCGGGCTTTTTCTTCCTTGTTGCAGCGATCTCAAGCCTGAAAACATCCTGCTCGACTCCAAGGGTCACGTCGTATTGACGGACTTTGGTCTGTGTAAGGAAGGCATTCAGCCTGGCGGCACCACTTCCACCTTCTGCGGTACGCCCGAATACCTTGCCCCCGAGGTCTTGCGAAAACAGCAATACGGTCGCCCGGTCGATTGGTGGTGTCTTGGTGCAGTTCTCTACGAGATGCTGGTCGGTCTGGTGAGTTTGTTTTCTTTTTGTTTGTTTTTTGTCAATATCGTGGCTCTAGCTGTTGCAATGCGATGAGGGTGCTGTTGTGGCTCATTCTGCTATGTGACCTGGTGCCCTTGCACAACCAACAACACAACCAACTCGTGCAACACCTGCAGCCGCCATTCTACTCGCGCGATTGCAACGAAATGTACAACCGCATTTTGCATGACAAGCTCCGTTTCCCGCCGCATGTGTCGGACAATGCGCGCTCGCTCATCGCCGGCCTGCTCGATCGCGACCCTGAGAAGCGATTGGGTTCGGGCCCCACCGGTGCTGAGGAAATCCGCACGCACTCGTTCTTTGCTGGCATTGACTGGGATGAGCTCTATCGCAAAGAGTACAAGGCTCCCTACAACCCTGGCGTGGTATGGCGGTCTCGTCTTGTTGTCGTTTGAGATCTGTTCGTGCAAAATGGTCGACTCACGATTTGTTTTTTTTTTTTTTTTTGTTTGTTTGTTTGTTTGTTTGTTTTCCTTTCTCCGCCGCCCCCCCCTTTTTCCAAATTGCAGTCTGGCAGCATGGACTTGAAGAACTTTGACCCGGAGTTTGTCAACGAACCGATTCCTGGATCCTTGCTCATTGCCTCCGATTTGAGCGTCGACGTTGAGGTGGACGATGCTTTTGCAGGCTTCACCTACACGGCGGAAGATCACTACCTCAACCAACCCCAAGACTAATCTTCTTCTTCCTCCTGCTCCCTTGTTTTCTTTTCCTTTTTTTCAGTCCTGTCCAGCATATACTCTATTATCGTGCTCGTTTTTTTATTCTCTTTGCTTTTTTTTTTCTTTTGTTGGTCTGTGTGTATCTGTGATGCCGCTCACCATCGCGTGTCGTCGGTTGGTGCTCTTGTTTACCATCCTTTCGTCCCCTGTGTTGATCGAAACGAGATGTTCTTTCACCGGTGAAAGCTCGTTTCGTGAAAAACACACCTTGGGTTTTGTTGCTGTGTTTGCATTTGTCTGAGTGTTTTTTTGGCTGTTTCTTGTTTTTTTACCCTTGAGTAAAAGTGACCTTTGTAATGCTTCCGCTTGCTTGTCGTTGTGTATTACTCGAGGGTTGACTGGTTTACTCTTTATTTTTCTTTGGGTGTTTGGCTGAATGAACCTTGAGCTACTTGGTACAAAACCTGCAATTGCGTTTCACGATGCGTCCAACTCGTCCTTCGCCCCGCGTTCCTTGATTTGTTCATTCATAAATGAAATGACATGCACTGGGTGATCGAGCCGAGCCAATGGAGGCTGAGAGTCTTGGATCGCCTGCTTTTTTTTTTTTTTTTTGGCGGGAAAACTGTTGCTTCCCGCGCTGCCATCTTTGCGTTCCCCCGATTCCCACCTCGCGCTGTGCTTGTCAGAAACGAATTGCTGCTGTTCTGACTTTGCTTTTGCTCTGCCTCGTGACTGTCCCTTGGTTGAACAGACTCGGCTGGCCAGGACTATCCCGAGGTGAGGATCAGCATTTCTCTATACCTCTGCGATGTGACGGAAAGGGCTGTGCCATGTTGGTCGCTGTTGCATCCAACAGCAACAATAGCAGCGGATGGTGTGGTGGGCTGAGCCGCTCGCAGTGCCGCAGCCGCTGCGATCCGAGCCGCCGCTTCTGGCCGCCACTTCAAAACGATTGTCGTTCCCACAGTGTCCTGTTCGTCATGTTGTGGTTATCAATGTTTTCAACCATGCACTGTTTTGGTGTTTCCACTGCCAATGCTAGGTGGTTGAACGCTACTTGGAAGACGGCTTTGCGCAAACCTGCGCTTTCAATCGATTTGGCACGCTGCTCGCTGCTGGGTGCAACGATGGTCGTGTTGTCGTTTGGGATTTTGATACCCACTCGGTTGCCCGTCACTTGACCGGTCATGTTCATCCCGTCAGCTCTGTCAGGTGAGGATTGACGGAGGAGCAAATTTTGCAAAAAATAATTTTGCTTTCGCAGCAAGTCGTGCAATTCTCTCCCCTCCCAGTACTTACTCCACCAAACTCTGTTTGGTTGCGACGTTAGCTGGACAAGAAACAGTCGATTTTTGCTCTCTGGGTCCTCGGATACCAACGTTATTCTATGGAATGTCGCCACCGCCGAGCGAATGAAAACCTTCCGATTCAATTCGGCAATCATGTCATGTCAGATGCACCCACGCAATTGGTACGTGTACCCGATCGTTGCTTTAAACATCGTGCAACCGTGCAGCAGAGTGTACGACCTGGTTTCTCTCTCGCCGTGTGCTTACCCAAACCAAAAATGAATGCTACTCGGACAACTGCTGCAGTGATTACTTTATCGCGTGTCCTATCGGCTCTGCGCCGGTGCTTGTAGAGATTGCAACCGACAAGCGCTTTGAGCTGCCATCAGATGTTGATCCGGAAACGGGCTTGGGCACCAACTTTCACACTTCCAGCGCATCCGCCTCGGCATCGGCAGGGCTCACTCCTGCCACCTTCGGACGCGGCGGCAAGCGGATATTTGTTGGCAATCCTAAAGGTCGAGTGTTGCTAATCGACACAACGACACGAGAGGTAAGCTGCTAAGCGAGTGCGCGATTTGGCCATTGTTGGTTTTGTGCAGCCTCGCTCATCAATCATGAATTGTCCCGCTTCTTTTTGCAGCTTCTCAAACATGTAGTAGTGGCCACAAGTGGAGGGTCTATCAAATCCATTCATTGCAACAAGAAACGAGAGTGTGTCCCTTTTGTGACTGCTGTTTTGTTTGTTTGTTTGTGTTTGTTTGTTTGTTTGTTTGTTTGTTTGTTTGTTTGTTTGTTTGTTGTTTTGTTTGTTTTCCTCGATCTCGCTCACTCCTCACTCATATGTGTCGCATCAGCTTCGTTCTTGTCAATGCCAGTGATCGAGTCAGGTGTTGCAAAAGTATCAAGAGACAGTCAATCGAGTGCAATGGAAAACATGCTGCTTCTCGAGCGATGCACAATTTGTCATTGCGGCTGCCCAGACGTCCGATCGTATTTTCATTTGGGAGCGGGATGCCACAGGACCTTGGATTAAAATCCTCGAAGGTCTCAAGGAACACAACCTGGATGTGGTGGTAAGTGAAGCGTTTTGCTTGCGGTTGATTGCTGTTGGCGTCCCCCTTTGCGTCCCCTTTGTGTTGTATTGATCAGCAAAACCCCCCCCCACCTCCGGCATCGATTTGCTCGACTGACCTGTCGTATGACTGGATGAACATGCTAGTGGCACCCAATGCGCCCCATCATTGTGTCGATTTCATTTTCAGGCACCATCTTCGTCTGGAACATCAAGCGCGTCGAGAACTGGAGTGCCTTTGCCCCAGACTTTGCAGAGCTCGAAGAGAATGTGGAATATGTCGAACGAGAGGACGAGTTTGATATTGTAAGTTGGCTTTTTTTGGTGGTTTGTTTGCTTCCTGTCCTTTCTCGCATTTCCAGATGATTCGCACCCTTGCTCACGCAATGTGATTCACGGAATGCTGCTTTGCTAGATTGACGAGGAGCAGGTCAAAAAGAAAAAGACTCTCGATGAAGACGAGCTCATTGATGTGGAAACTGTGAAAAAAACCGTTTGGAGCAGCGACGAGGACGAGTATGGCGAGGAAGAGGGCATCTTTTGCCTTTTGCCGCTTGTCACGACCACGGATGCGACGTTCTCACAAGCTGTAGCTGCAGCCAAGTCAGCGGTTGAGGAAGCCGAGCGCCAATCGGCGATCGAAAAGCGATCTGCAGACGAGCCCATTCAGGGCGACGCCAAACGTTCGCGCACTGAACCTGAAGAGTCCATTGCCAAAGCCGAGTCATAGTTGCTGCTCAGTTTTTCTTTTCTTTTGATCTGGCCCCCCCCCCCTTTTTTTGATTGGTTTTCTTTGGTTTTCTTTGGTTTGCTTTGTTTTGATTTTTGTGTTTGGCCGTGCAAGAAAGTTGGTCAAGCAAAACTATCATTCATACGGTACAACGTGACAGACACACTGAAAAACAGCATCTTTGAAACAAAAACAGAAGTAAAAGCCGAAAACCGAAAACGTAAAAACATGAACAATCACGACAGCAGCACAATAAGGGGAATAATCTTTTTTTTACTTTGAAGCTTGACCTGCAGTGGAAGAGTTGGAAGACAGTATCTTGTTTTGTGTGGTTGGGTTTGGATTGTTTAAGCGTGCGATTCAGCGTGGGGTTCCTTCGCCCCCGCCGCCGCCGCCGCCGCCTCCGCCTCCTGTGGTTGGGAAGGAGAAGCATCTGCAGAAGGCTCGGCCTGCGCGCCTTCTGGATTGGCCCCCTTCGCTCCCCATGGATAGTACGACCCGAGCACGTACGAAGCAATGCGATCGGCGCCGTTGACAATCTTTTTGACCGAGTCGGGTAGAACAGCAATGATGGGCGAGGTCGGCTGGTTGGGATCGGCCTCGCTTGCCTGCGGTGGTGGCCAGTTCATCTGCAACTTCTTTGGCGTGGTGCGGGCGGGGGCAGGCGATGCCGCCGGGGAGGTCTCGATGGCCACACCCAGACCAGGCGTCTCGAACGATCGCTTGAGCTTGCCAATCGAAATGGGGTTTGCCGAAACGACAGAGCCGGGCGTAGTAGCAGCGGTCGAGGCCTGCGAAGGCGACGCTGGAGGTTGTGCAGACGAAGGAGGCGTTTGGGGTGCCATTTGTGGAGCTGCCGCAGATTTCTGGGGCTCGGCAGTGTTCTTGCTGGCCACGACTACCTCCGCTTTGGCTGCTGCGGTCGCGGTCGCGGTCGCGGTCGGGACAGGTGTCACTTCTGGCTCTTCGCAGTCCTCATTCTCCTCGGCAAGGTTGGCCAAACTGCCCGAGACAGGACTGTGGGAGGTGAGGCCATGCGAGGGGACTGGAGAAACGGACGGGGACAGGACAGGGCTCAAGTTCAATGGCGAGCGGTTGACAGTCGGAGACAAGAACTTGGGTGCAGCTGCCGCTGCTGCTGCTGCTGGCGAGGAGTCAACCGGATCTTCGTCCTCGGCAGACTCGCCAATCATCTCCAGAGCATCAGCATTGCTGTCGAGAGCATTGGCATCTGCAGAATCGCCTGTCGGATGAGCATTCTCGGAGCCTTCAAAGTCAGTCCGCGCGTCTTCAAACGACTGCAGTTGAGCCGTTTCATCCTCGACGTCAGAGTAGGCACTCGACAGGCGGTTTGCACTGAGGAAGCCATCTTCGTTCTCTGAATCGTCGGAATCGGCAGCATCGTCCAGGCCAGACACGTTCAAACTCGAGTCCAAGTTCTGCGTCGGGCTACTGGAGACCTCCTCGTCCTCGCCCGATTCTTCGAGAATAACCGCAAATGCGGCCTCGGCAGCAGCTTCCGCGTTCGAGTCGCCTCCCATCTGCTCGTAGAGCTGGCTGGCACGCACAAGGCAGCGACGAAGGGCCGGGGTCGGAACACGAACCGTCTCGCTTTGGCTTTCGGGGGCGGGAGCGATCGCCGACATGACTCCGATCGAAAAGCTTTTGCGCAAGTAGACCAGACTGCCCATTTCACGAAGACGAGAGCGCTGACGGCGACGATCGGCAATCTCACTCTCCTCCTCTCGGCGCCACTCTGGGAAGAGCAAGTCAAAGTCCTCAATCATCAGTTGGATGAGCATGCACTCGCAGCGACTGAGCGACTGGGCCAACGCGGCAGAGCCGCCAAGTGTGTTGAGGGACAGGCTCGAGTCGCTCAGTGACGATGAAGAGGTGCCGAGTGCAGACAGGGACATGAGCGAACCAGACGACGGAATCGACGCGGGCGAATCGGCAGAAGGAGCCGTAGGGCTGGCGGCGGCAGCAGCAGCAGCAGCAGCGACGGCCGCGGCAGCGCTATTGATCGCATGGACGGTGGGCATCACTTCATCGAGGAGCTTGGCCAGCATGGGAGAGGCAGCATCGCGAGCGCGCAAAAAGTTGGGCGCCCACACAATGGCCAGATTCGAGGATGCCATGCTGGTCTTTTCATGGAAGCCGTTCATTAACGACAAGTGACGAAGCAAGTAGCGGAGCGTGGCCAAATGGGCCGGTGGCAGGCGCAACATGAGGTGTTGCAGGGCGGTGACACGCTGCAGCTGAGCTGGAATGCCAACGCACCGCAAAAAGCTCTCGTGCTGGGCGGTGGGAATCAGCGGTGTTGGGAGCTCGCGAAGATAGAGCTTGAGAAGGGAGGAGACACAGTGAATATCGCTCTGCGGGATGTCATCCAGGTTGACCTTGTCTTCGTTGGCGTCAAAGGCAAAGCGCAACTTTTGCACACGGCTCGCAGTGCCCGAAACACGGTAAATGCCCTTGACTTTTCCGAGACGCTCGATGGCATGGACACACTTTTGGATGACAATGGGGACGGTGGGCAGATACTGCAGCTGCGCGACGCCCTGCCACGAGTAGGCAGCAGGGGCGAGCTGGAGACGCGGGGACGACGTTCCTGCCGCTGTTGTCGGAGAGGATGCAATGGCAACGGAGGGGGACTTGTTGGCCGCGCCCTCCAACGCTGCTGGCTGGAAGGACTCTTGCAGCACCTCGTTCGCCAGCCGATGGACGTCCGGGTTTTCAAGATAGCGCTGAAGCAGCTCCGAGAGATCAGCCCCAAAGACGGCATCCTTAAAGATACCCGATCGTCGCAGATGGACAAGAGACGGCGGAGGGTAGGCCACATTCTGCTCCGAATGGCGGTCGTGGAAGAAGGACCGAAGGAAGGTGACAATTTTGAGCTTGCCGGATGGACGCGGTGAGCCCGACGCAGTTGGGAATGGAGGATAGGAGACACCGCCACCGAGGCTTCCACCGCTTGGACTGGAGGCCGTTGGGGACGACGCCTGCTCCATCAAGCTGCTGTCGAGAATGTTCGCACCAGACCAGGTGCCCGATCGGCGGTTTTGGGCCTTTTCAGAGACGGACAAGTGCTGGATGGAAGGCGACAGGGACGGCGGGCTGGCGGAGGAGGAGTTGGACATTGGCGATGGCGGGCGTGGGTCGGACGCGGAGGCCGGCGTAATCACCTGGACGCAGTCGCGAGGGAAGAATCCAACCATCTCACTCGCTCCCTTAAAGCCGCGCCACCAGGGTGACTCTTGCGTCGACGGCATGTCGACAATCGAAATGACTTCGCCGGCTTGCAGGGACAGCTCGTCCTCCTCCTGGCCTTCGTACGGGGCAATGACCATGCCAACCGCAACGATTCGCAGCTTGGGGAAGCGAGCGACGAGCATTTCGTTCGCATTGGCGTTGCTGGGAGCTTGAGGCTCGGGCGTGAGGCTGTCCGAAAACGTGACCTTTGGAACACCGGCCCCACCCGCGCCCGCACCAGCGCCAGTGCCCGCGCCGTCATCCGACTCGGACGAAACACTGCGCGCTGGAGTGGTGCGTGAGCGCTCGCGCTCCAGTTGCAGCCGGCGACGCTCACGGAGATTTTTGCGGTACAGCTGCAGCTTGGTCAGGTCGAGCACATTCGAGCCGCGAAGAAGGTTGAGCGACTGCAGGTGGCGAACGAGCGACGTCGGAATCAGCGTGCCCAGACCCCGCTTGGCCGGCTTGCCTCCTGGAGTGATGTCAAGCCAAGACAGCACAACGCTGCACGTCAGGCAGCCCGCCGCAATGGTCGCAAGCCGCTTCAAGTACGTCGCAAGCAAGGCGATGGTGGGTTCGACCACGAGTTGCACGGGAATGAGGGAGAGCGGCGTGCCTGCCGCAACTTGCACGGCCGCCTGACGACTCACAACGGCCGGAGCAATGTCCGACTCGATACATGCCAGCTGGCTGTACTTGCGGTTGAAAATGCAGCGATGAAGTTGCTCGTCGATGGCAGAAAAGTCTGCCCAGCTGCGCTGCAACGTCCACGACCGGCGGCCGCTCGTAACACGCACGTCGAAGGTGACTGCGTCGAGAACCTTCCGAACATGCGCTTCTGTAAAAGGCTTTGCTGCCACGGAAGAAGGTGCTGATGTTGCAGCCGAGGGGTCTGTCGAGGTCGTGGTGGTGGTGGTGGTGGTGGCGGTGGAAATGGTGGTGGAAATTGCGTCAGGTTGTGCAGTGAGCACGGCGGGCAGACTGGCAGCCACGGCATCAAAGGCAAACTGGTGGTTGATGATCTGCACTGAAAAGTTTGGCTTGAACTTGACAAAGTCGTAGTGGAAGTGACGCGCCTTGGACTCCTCCGCGCCTCCGCCTGCCGCACTGGCATTGAGTGAGCTGGATGAGGACGAGCGCGAGAAGGTGCCTGAGAGCCGTGCCTTAATGCTAATCCGGGAACCCGAGGTTGGAGCGTTGGTCGGGAAATCGGGCGAGTGCTCCCCACCCGCACCCGCCGCGATACCGTCCATGCGATCACGGTACGATACGGGAGCTGACGGTGCACCGACCGCGCCAGCAGTGGCGACACCCGACACGGCGGCGAGCGCAGCAGAGTGCTTGAGCTTCATTCCGCCACGAATGGCCGCAAGCAACTCTGACCTGGGACTGACTTTCTTGACGGTCGCCGAGCGCGCCATCAGCAGCGGCGAGGACAGGTCGTGGGTGGCATCGACGGGCAGTCTACGCAGCTTTTGCTGGGCGCGCTGGCCCTCGAGGTCGTGCATGAGCCCCGACGGCAGGCGCCGGAATGGCTGCTTGACTACATCTCCTGCTCCTCCCGCATTGCCAGCTGAGCCTGCCGGGTATGCCAGCGGCGACGTTGGGCGGACGATCGCATTGGCGCTTCCAGTCGGTCGCGGCGACATGAGAGCGCGTGCTGGCTGTGCGTTTGAGACGGACGGAGCCGCGCTTGTGACGATGGAAGCGGACTGAGACAGCGACGGTGGAGCGGCAGTAGCAGAAAGAGGAGACTGCTGGGGTTGCTGCTGCTGCTGCTGCGGCTGCGCTTCGTGGGCCACCTGAGACTGGGGTTGCTGCTGCTGCTGCTGCTGGGGTTGCTGCTGCTGCTGGGGTTGCTGCTGCTGGGCGGGCAAAGGCAAAGTCGCAGCTTGTGTTTGCGGTTGGAGAATGACCGCAGCAGTTGGAATGGCGCTCGAATTGGCAATACCATCGCTATCGCTGGCAGAGACGACCGGCGCCTCGCTCGATGCTGCAGCATGGGCTGCTGTGTCGGTGGCACCAGGCGGCTGCTGCTCTGGAGCGCTGCTCGCTGCCCCGCGGGCCTCACTGGCATCCATTCCAACAAGAAAAAAAAAAAAAAAAAAAAAAGGAATGCTTTCCTAATAAACAAACAAACAGAAAAAAAAAATGAAAAACAATAAATCACCAAAAGGAAAAATGGTAAAATGATTCAGGATTTTGAAACCAGCGCATTGAATGAATGAATGAATGAACGGATGAACGGATGAACGATGGAGCGGAGAGGAAGGGGAAAGAGGAAGGAGGTGGGGTAAGCGTCAAACAATCAACCTATGAGGCGGCTTCAAATTTGGCGAAATTGGATGCTGCGATTGGGCACGATTGGAGCATGCACTGATGACAGAGAAGTGGATGAGGTGCAGTCATGGAAAACAAAAAGCACACTGCCAAAGCGGGTCAGGTAACATTGGTTGATCTCTTTAGGGAACATCGGAAACTGGGATTTCAAGAACGACAAACCGGCACAACTTGCCAATGCACACGTCTCCTGCTCTGTGTGTCGCTGAATGATCATGGGGATCGTTCGAGTGGGTCGAGTTGAATGATTTTGGGGCCCTGTCATCCAGCGTCTGGTCCCGCAGGTGTTCGCGTGCAAAGAGTGATTCCTGCTTTTGGCTGAAATTTTGAGAAGTCAATCCTCGTCGACCAACGGATGTCGGTTTGTTCTGCGCCTTGCCGGACGGTTCCAATCGTTGCAACCAAATCAGTCATATCTGACAGAGATTACCGCACCTTGTTGCGCTCCTCGAGGAAAGAGCTCTTTGTGCATTGAAACACGAGAAGGACCACTTTTTATGGGCATTGAAACACACACCCCCCTCACCAAACCAACCCCAAAACCCTTCGGTCCCTATTCTTTTTTGTTTCGGTTTCTTCTAGTCCACATTTCTCAAACTACTTTGACCTTCGCAACGGATTCAAGCAGCGGGGTGAACAATGGACTTTGACCCCTTCTTTGGCGCGCCGTCCTTCACGTCGCCACCTGGTCCCGCCGCCGAGGACGCCAACTCGACCGCGACCCCTGCGCCGGCCGCGCCCACTTCCAAAGTAGCCGCCAGCACTGGCAGCAGCTGGTTTGGCAGCGTGCTGACCTCTGTTCTGCAATCGGTGCGTCTATGCTTCTTTTTTTCTTTCTTTTTTTTTGGTGCAACCTTCTTGGCCATGGCGCAAACCGGGCACAACCACCACCGCCACCATGCAAGCCTACGGACTCTAAAAGTCTTTTGCCGTGGTTTGCATTCGACGTCGAGTGCATGAATGCGACCACGCGCTGGACTGAGCGAGGCGAGGCGCCGACCAACGTGAACCGATGACGCGAGGTTTCGCTCAGTTCTCCCGGCTTTTTTTTTTTTTTTTTTTTTGGAACGACTTGACTTGGCTTGACTTGGCTTTGCTTTTATTTTGCCCGCCACCCATTCTGCTGCGAGGAGTGATTGTCGCAATGGTTGCAGTTGAAATTCTCCTCGTTGCCGGCGTGTTGCCTTGCACGACTCGTGCGTTTCGCTGACATTCTGTCGTGTTTGTTTGTTTGGTTTTTTTGCCTTTTGACCGTCCTAGTCCGAGCAACTCCTTGAAGCTACGAAGCGCGACCTGTCGGAATTTGTTCACGTCATTCAGCATGACACGCAGCAAGTGGTGGCGGACTCGGCGCAGCTCATTCACGGTCGAATGCAGGTACAGTGTGGAACGTGGTCGTGTTTCAACTTTCAACGTCAAAGCCTCTCTCTCGCTTTGACGTAATCTTGCTTTGGTCAAGAGGCTCACATTGAGCAATCGGCTTGGTGGGTGGATATTTGGTAGAAGTTGCAACAGGAAGAAGAACTCGCTCGCGCACAATCAGGCGAAGAAGGCAAGGACGCTGGCAAGTCGCTCACCTCCACGGTAAAACAGCACCACACCACGAATTGAAGTTGTTTTCGCATGTTTATGTTTGTTATCCTGAAAGAGAGGGTGTGATATGTCCAATGCCGCGTCCCTCGAGTCTGAAACGACCTTTGCTGCTCTCGACCTACGTTTGCTGAACAATTGTGCACGCTTGTCATTTCAGGTCTCTGGATTTTTTGGATCCATCACGGCGTCCATTGCCTCGGCTGCAGCTCCGGCTCCAGCGACGGCATTGGCGTCTGGCTCGTTGGGGAGCGCAGGAGCCGCCTCTGGGTCGTCTTTGACTCAAGGGGCGGCCATGCCTACCTCTCGTGCGGACGCGCTCTTGGTCGCGCTCCAAACCAATCCCGCCACGTATACGGCCGACATTCCGGCGAATCAGCGGCAGCGCTACGATGCCTGGGTGAGCACGGCGAACGTTGATGCAATGACGGAGCAAATTTCCCAACTGCTGGGCGACCATCCGGAAGTGCGGACGCTGCACACCAAGCTGGTCCCTTCGACCATTTCGTACACACTCTTCTGGCAACATTACTTTTTCCGAGTGCACTTGTTGCGTGAGGAAGAGCGCAACCGTGCCAAATTGAAAGAGCGTACGTGAATTGGTTGACTTGCCGGGCTGCTCGCTACTCGCTCTGCAACGACCGACTGACTTACTGACTTGATGATTGTTGTGATCATGTGACGCACATAGGAATGGAATCATCCGTGATTGAAGATGTTGATTGGGATGATGATGATGGTGAGCAACTACGACGAGAAGAGGAGGGGGTTTGTTTTTGTTTTGTTCTTTGTTTTGTTTGGTGTTTTTTTTTTGGAACGACACTGTCTTCACTTTGTCCTTTACTCATCCATCCTTCTCGTTTTGGCAGATCCCACGCCCACTCGACAAGACACACCTCCAAGCCAAACAGCCCCGCCGCTGAGCCAGGACAGTTCCACTTCGACCTTGCGCACTGTCTTGTCAGCCGTAGAGCAGCCCGCCCCTGCCCCGGCGGTTACAACGGCACGACAGCGGTCATCTGAGGCGCCCTCTGACGATGACGACGAAATCCACCAAATCTTGCAGACATCAAGGTCGCCTGTCGCTACACTCGCTCCAGAACCTGCGGCGCCACCAAAAGCGGCGCCACTGCAGCCCAGTCCATTCAGTGGATTGCCGGCACCATTTTCCTCCGAGCCTGCTTTGAACACACCCGCCAGTGCTGTGCTGAGCCATGCCTCTTCACGTTCTACGAGCACGACCTCGACGGAGAGCTTCGAGTTGGTCCTTCCTGGGAACAATAGCGGTATGGTAGTAACGACCAATGCGACCGGCACAACGACGCGAGTTTCGCATCCCCCAGCAGCTGTTGGCGGTGACGTGGAGGACGATGATTGGGAAACGTGGGAGTGATTTTTGTTTTTGTTTCCGTCTGTGCGTTGTATTTTGATATCGCGTTTATTTGTTATTTTTGCTGTTGGTGAGCTGCGATTATGTCTTGCTTGTTAGTATTAGCATTGCTCGTTTTTTTCAACACTTGTCAATTTTGTTGGCGTCCTAACCTAAACCAGCGCTTGCCAGAAAGGGCATTCGATCAATCACACAATACCATCTCTCCCATCGCATGCCTGGAGAAGGTCGTGCTGCAAGTTTACGACGCTCTTGCTGCACGTTGTGCCCACGAGACTGGCGTATCAACATCTCACCGGTGGGGGAGGTGTATTTCTCAAAAATTCACCAATTAAACATACGCTTCGTAAATCCGACATACAGAGCTTCAAACACCACATAAGTGGCAGTCTTGCTGGGTCGAACGTGGACTTCCCAACCCTCGCGGATTTGTCGGATGATGGGATGCCTTGCTGGCAAGATTGTCACAAGATCAGTCGAATCGACGAAAGAAGTCGGTGTCGCAACAAATTCGGATTGAATAGCACCTCGCTCATCCCGAACAATCATCTCGAAAACTTCATCGGTGTTGTAGGGATTTTGCTCCACGTCCCGGAACACGTGAATTGCCTTCACTCGGATCGAAGCTCCATTGACGCCGTGCGGCAGTTTGACTTTCAGAATATGGTCCGGGTCATCAGCACCAAACCACGCTCGTTTGGTGGAATGCACGTTTTGCCAGTAATAAGCCTCGTCCATGATGCGCTCGGCAATTTCCGCTGGTAGTACTGGCAGATCTACGCACTGATTCTCCACCTTTGATCCGCCGATTAGCAAGCGGAACACGAGCTGAAGGTCTTCGGCAGTCGATAATCGTGGAGGTAGAGAAAATGCAATTGGGCTTATCTGGTGGTTGGTGCTGCGAAACAAACACGGGCAGTTAGCAGTGTCTTCGCCAGCGGGTAGGACGTACATTGCATGAGCATGAATGGCTCTCATTGGCAAGGAATCCTTACTCAACCTCACAGGTGCGGTCGACTGTGCATGTCTCATCAATGGCTCGAGTACCAACGCTGCCGATGCAATTATATAGGAGCCTAACGCAATGCGAGTCAGGTCTAGTTGACCCTGGCTCAATGGCCTGTGCTACCAAAGTGCACAGCAACTTACTCGAGCTGAGTCAGGGTCGTGTTTACTTTGAGAGCCTCAGCCAACGCCTGCGCTCCAACATTGCCGATTTGATTTCCACCCAGACTGTCCGTCCTCCCCATGAATGAGCACTCTGCGACAAAGACTCACTCACATGCATCAGCTCAGAGTAAGATGACTTACGAGAGCGTAGTTATCGTCGTGTTCACGCTGAGCGCCTGTGCCAATGCCTGCGCTCCAGCATCCCCAATCTGATTGTTCTGCAATCTAATTCGCCCCCTCCATCAGTCGGCACTCTTGACATCCTCTGCTGGAATCGCCCACTCACAAGCATCAGCGCGTGTGAGATGACTAACCTGAGGTCCCTCATCTCCTTTTTCACTTTGAGTGTTTCGGCAATCGCCTGTGCTCCAGCATCCCCAATCGAATTCTGTTCCAGCCTGTCCGCCCCTCCGTCAGCCAGCACTTTCCTGCATCACCCCACACACATGTATTAGTCAAGACGAGATGACTTACAAGAGGACAGCCACGGTCGTGTTCACCTGGAGTGCCTCAGCAATCGTATGCGCTCCGGCATCGCCAATCTGATTCTCACCCAGACTGACCATCCCTCCCATCAGTGAGTCGCTCTGAACTGCCCTCGGCTGAAGTCACTTTCTCACATGCAACAGTCAAAGTGAGAGGCTTACTCGAGCCACGTCACCGTCGTGTTCAATTTGAGAGCCTCAGCAATCGCATGCGCGCCGGCATCGCCAATCTTCTGGTTGCGCAAACTGTCTCCTTTTCGTCAACACACACACACGGTCACACCTTCCAATAGTCTCAACTTTTCTTTTCTTACCGAAGCCATCGACTCGCGTTCATGACTTGATCATACAACTCGCGCTGCCTCGCAGTCAGCATGACTGGTGCTAAATAAATCTATCTGTCTGTCAACAAGTTTCAATCAATGATCGGGTTTCTACTCGCGCGCTCACCGCTACTGTCCCTTGCCGTCACTCCGATCATCTCTTAGACGCAAAGCGGCGCAGAGCTTCAGGCGGTAACCAAATGCACAAGAAGCGAAGAAGCAGACGCACTTCAAAAACTGAAAAGCCAGACTGAAACACAGCCGAACGAAATAGGAAGTGAATGAAATGAAACCAAGTGCATGGCAAGTTGGGATGACAATTTGGAACATAGAGGAACGAAACACACGATTTGAAACACAGCAACATTGGTGCATGCTTGTATTTCACCGCCGTGACCTGCCTGCACAGAATCTCTTCCACGCCCGAGTCTCGCAGAGCGTCGAGCAGTCGCGAGGTACTCGGAACCTTCATTTCCTCGGCGGTTGCCCACCTTCGTTTTTTTTAAGTTCCAGAGATCGCTCACGGGCATGTATTGCTATAGTGGTGCGCAAGGCGGGTTGGGCAGCACTCGGAGCTCCAGAACGCCAAAACCTTTTATTTTGAGATCGATAATAGGCGCGGCGCCTCGAACAACTTTAACGTTGGCCCATCCAGTCTCGGTTTTTTGAGTTGTTTTCCCTTCCATCAACTGGTCGAGGCATGGTTTTTTAATTAAAAAATCTCTACCCATAAGTTCAGTGGCGTCAGTGGTGGAATTGGAGGAAACCGCATGGGGTCGGCCACCACATGGCTGGGCGCCCTGTCGTGGACTGGTCGCCCGCGCCCGCCCGGCCGCGCGACTCTTGAGTGCACGGCAACCCCTGGTACATGCTGCTTCATTTCGGGTCCTTTTGGACATCGCGGTGGTGAGCAGGCTTACATCTTGGTCTGCCGTCTTACTTGGGCTGTTTACAGTTCCAAACTCTACAATGTCTCTTCGAGCGTGTGGAAGGCTTTACAGAGACAGGACTTGCTTTTATGGCAACGGACGTTGGCTTACGTTCTGCAAAATGCGGCATGTTACAATCCTACTTCGGATACTCAAACAGGGAGAGCGATTGATCGCGTCGTGTGGCCTTTGCTCGTTTCGGCGAGCTTTGTGTTGCGCCCGGTTGGTGCCGGATATTTCAGTTCGCTCTGCGTGCCTGTCTCTTCGGGGACAAGGGTGGCCACTCTGTGGCGTTGCAGTTGGGACAAACCATCCAGCATACAACACTTTGCCCTTTTTTTTATTCCTTTTTCTTTTTTTAAAGCTTTGCCTCTCGACTATGACATGACATGACAGTTTTCTCTTTGTTTTCAGGACATCGTTCGTGCTGCTGCACTCGAACTCGGCGACTGAACTCTGGTCTACGACCTTGGAAGGTAAAGAGTGCGGCTTTGTGGCATTCGTGAAAAATCAACAATTAATATTTTAACAAACGATCCTAAAGCAGCGAAAATGCGTACAAACAATCATGTACATGTATCGAATATTTGGCACCCTCAGCACAAGGGTGAACGCCGACAGGCGGTTGGGCCAGTCGACAGGGAATGAAACATCCATCAAAAATAGGGGGGGGGGTTTGTTTGTTTGTTTTTTTTTTTTTTTCGTGGCGGCTTACGCAACAGCATGGGCGACTATGAGCCTCACATAGCTCAAAGCGAATGACAAGGACCCCCGTAGTCCGTGCATGGTCATGGGATGCACATTAGGCAAGAAGTGTTGCTTGAACGCGGAAATGAGCTCCAGCCAGTCCATCTCGTCGGTCAGATGGCTTACAAACGACTCCATGGCACCGTCCATGGCGGCAGCGACAGAGCCAACAAAATCATCCATGTCGTCCAGGAGCTCGACCGTCGGACAGAATGGATTGTCCTCTGTTACGCCGGCAAAGCAGCCCCAGTCTTCTGACTCGAAATCATAGTCGTCGGGCACGATGACGTCCAAGATTAAGCATGCTAGTAGAATCTGTGTTGTTTCCAAATCATTGTCAGTTGCGAGAGTTGAACGACTTTCAGCGAACGAAATTTGTTAAAAGCGAAAAAGCGAAAAAGCAAAAAAGCAAAAGATCCAAACGTCAAAAAAAAAAAAAACGCAAATTCAATCGCACCTTGACTATCCGAGGCGAGAGTCTGTTGAGGATTGGGACGCGGGTGAAGAGCAAGGCGTAGAGCGAGCCGACTATTTGGCGCATGTCGCGGGTCTGCTCACGCATGGCTGTGACGAAGGGCGACGAGGAGGAGGAAGAGGAGGAGGAGGAGGAGGAGGAGGAGGAGGAGGACGGTGCGGCAGCAGAAGAGGAATCAGCCGTCGTGGGTTGGCGGTTATTTCGTCGTGGTTTGGCGCGAGACCGCGACTCCGCTGCTGGTGCTGCCGCATCCAACTGCGACGAGGAAGATGCGCGAGACGGATGCTGTGCGTGCCCTTGTTCGAGGTCGACTGGCTGGCATGATGAGCTGGTGTCCTCGTCGTCGTCGGCGCTGTCGGAGTTGTCGGCGTCATTCATTGCAATGGCCACATGCGACGACGCGGTTGCTTGCTCAGCCTCTGTTGCCAGCTCAGCCACCGCCGACTGCTGCCTCAGCTGCTGACGGCGTGACTCTTGTCGTGAGGCCGACGCTGGCTTGGGTTGCACAAAGGCCGCGGTCTCGCTGTCGTCCAGCCCTTCCAGCCCTTCCAGCGCTTCGAACGAATTCTGAGTTGGGATTCGCGGCACCACCCGAGCAAACGCTGGAGCGGGCATCTTCTGTTTTGAGCTTTTGGGGAAGAAAAAAAACAACAAAAAGAGAGACTGAGTGTTCAAGCCGCTCAATGCGTTGCTTGCCAGTTGTTTGATCCATGGATGGAGTGCATTGAATGTCTTTTGAACTTGTTCGTTCTGACTTGATGCTATCCAATTCGAATCATCTATCTCGCTCATTGCAGTAGTCCAACCCTTTTTGAAGTCACTCTTCACTTTTTTTTTTTTTTTTTTTTTTTTTTTGGTCCAACTCTCATCCATTCAGCGAGTGTCATCATGGCTGTCAAGTACTCGGTCCAAGCATCATCGCAAGACGCTGCGTTTCTCTCCGCGCTCGCTGCACATTGGAAACTGAGCGCAACCGCCGTCGCGTCCAAGGACGACGAGGTCAGACACCCTTCGACTTGTCGAGCTCCAGTCCTTGTGCTTGTGTCGGCCGATGGGTTGTAACGGACGGGGGGGGATGAGCATCAGAGAGATCCCTGGTTTCACTCTCACTCACTCACTTCGCTTCACTTCACTTCACTTCACTTCACTTCACTCCGTGTTTCAATGTGCAAATATTGCAGCCGTCCGTCAACGGAGCCATCGGACTCGCTGCTGTCGCCATTGCCCTGCTTGAGGCGTCGCCCGCCGCGCTCGCTGCCGGATGGCTCGGCGCCTCGGCCGCAGACCGTGCTACAGTCCTCAACTGGACGTTGTTTGCTGTCAATCAAGTGCGCGCCGCAGAGCAGAACGCTGCTCTTCGCACCGCCCTGTTTGTTGTGAGTTTTGTTGGTTTTGCGGCGAGGTTTCTCAGTTGCTGTGAAGTCTCACGTTTGTGCTGGCACGCAGGATCTCAATGCCGCGTTGCGCGAGCGAACTTACATTGCTACATCCAGCATTTCCCTTGCTGATGTCCTTCTGCACTTTACCTTGTGGCCGCTCGTGGTAAGCGATGCCAGACACTGTTGTTGTTGTTTGGTTCTTGCTCAGTTTTCTCACAAGACACCTCCTGTCGCCGTCGTAGAGCGCTCTGGACCACGTCGGCTATCGTCAAGTTCCCCATCTCACTCGTTGGTTTGACAACGTGCAACGTACGCTGAACGTGCGACCGATCCTGGCGCTGCAACTCAACCAGTTTTACATAGCTCAATCGCTGCCGGTTCTCCGCCTCCCTCGTGTCCAAGCTGTTGCACCGACCGCTACACCCACACCGGCTGCCGCTGCATCTTCATCACGGCAGGCCAAGTGAGTTTGCGGCAACGTGTTGTCTCGCGACCAAAAAAATAAAAAATAAAAGGGAAAACGTAACAAAAGAAAACCTTCTGAAATAAAATTACGCTATATTTACTGTAGCATTCAGTTGTTAACAGATCAGAATCAAAATATCAGAAAAATAACATACACCAACCGACGTCGAGGATATTGGGGGGGGGGGTTTGGAAGCACTCAGCTTTCATGCCGAGAACTCGTTCGAATCTCAATCGGGTGTTGTGGAAGGTGCCACAATGTGCCCCTTCCTCAAGCTCATACGCGCAAAGCACCTACATCCTCAATGTCATCGTCGTCGGGAGACACCTCAGCGGGGCTCGCCGGGAGCAGGGGGCTGCTATCACCTTCCTCGACCGCATCACGGCTCTTTCGGGCAGGACTTGCTTCGGGGACGGGTATCAAGTTGTACAACGCAAGACCAAAGACGACCAGGGCCAGCGAGACGAAATAGACCCAGCTGAGCTTGTACCCAAACAAAAAGAGACCAAATAGGAGCGTGTAAACATCGGCCGTCAAAAACGACAGGTTCATGAAGGTGGCCGACGACAAGACCAGCAAGGTTGGCACCAGCGAGTAGAGCGAGAATAAGCATGCCGAGAAGAGCAAAACCAGGAGTGCTGTTCATGAAACAATCACAACGACCACAAACAGCGACGAGTAAGCAATCATCATCAGCACCTTTCACAGATCAGAAAACAAAAGAGCGCGCGATGCGAGGCGATTGCGTACGAATTTGCCAAGCCGAGCCGACAGTAGAAAGCTCGTCGCGCTCAAAGATTGCCCTGTGTCATGGTGATCATCGTTGGAAACAAGCAACGTTTCGTGAGGGAGAAATCGTGTCAAGCCAGCTCACTTTCACACACCCCCCCCCGAAAAAACAGGGTGGACACGGAATCATTCAGCTATTTCAACGTACACTTGAACAGCACTAATGACGGTTCCAAAGAGACCCAGCATGGTCAGAAATTCGTAACGATTTTGCGTCTTGACGAGAAATTCTTGCGAAACATTCGACACTGCGTACAGCAAGGCGCCGCAGAGAGTGAGAATGTCACCCACGGTTGCGTTGCTAGCTGCAAGTGTCCAAAAAAACAACGGGAACACGCATGGACATGTGAGAAAACCTGCGCTTTTAGAGTAGTGCAGCAATCAAATCGAAAAGAAGAGTACAAAACCATACCACTCGACGTATCGTTGCCGCCAAGATCAGAAGCAAAAAGCCCTCCAATGCCCGCTAGGCAGATTGCGACTCCGAGGACATGCAGCGGCCGGAATCGAACACGAAGAAAGTACCATGACAAAGCCATGACGCACGGGATGGTGAAGCAATCCAGCAACTGAACACTTGTGATGGTCGTGTACTCGTATGCGCGAACAATGAGATAGTTTGCCTCAACGTCCACGAAGGCGAGTAGAACATAGCGCCACCAGCGCTGAGCCAGCGCCCTCTTGACCGCGACGGCGAAGGTTGGTGCGGTTTCAGCAGCGGTCGCGTCGGTGGCGCTCGCCGACCGAGCTTGTCGCCGGGTGTCGTATGCCCACATGGCACCGTAGACGACACAAAGCAAGAGGTAGTTGAGGAGGGACTGCGTGGTTGGGAAACTGACCCCGTAATCGCTGACGAGCAGCTGGCTCGAGACAGCCGTTCCGGTGAGCATCATGGCCAAGAACTGGCCCAGCAACAGCGGTCGCCATCCCTGAAGGACGCGCATACAGTAGTTCGAGCACAGCGCGCTTAGTCGGGCGGAACGAGATCGACCATGCGAGGGGGGCAGCTCTGATGTAACATGTGGTGAATGAACCGAGTTGGTGCTCCATGCGCGCCCGCTGGTTGCACGGTCGTCGGCAGGGGGAGGCGGTGTGCCCTTGTTGGATAAAAGCGACATGCGTGAGAGAGACCCGGGAGAGAGCGCGAGTAGAGATAACGGTTGGTTGGCCGTGTGATGGCTACGATCTGCGTGGATTGGCGGGAAGAATTTCGCTGGCTCGGTTGTGAGTGAATGACTTTTGACAAATCTGAAAAAATCAGAGACTGAAAGCTCCCACACAAAAAGAGAGCGAGGATGTGGAGAAATGTACAAGAGCGACGACGGGTGAAACAAACAGTTTGGTGGAACACCTCTCTACAGAAACAGCACCGCTCATTCCGACTTCGATGCCAATGACAAGAAACAAATTCAATGGTTCGTATTACAGCGAACAACGAGGAGAGCAACGACGTACGAGACAAATTACATGTGCAAACAGACAACCAAAGTACAACCAGGAAGGCTGGGAAGCAAAGAACGGGAAGGGAAGAGAGAGAGAAAAAAAAACAGCTCGCTGTTTTCGGAAAGTAGAAAATTGAAACTGACGCAGCGCTGCTGAGGGTTGCAGCGCAAACGGGGGGGGGGGAAGAGAAACACGAAATCAACACACATAAAACAAAACAAAAAAAAAAAGAACACCGCGCAACGTCGCCAATCGCTTTAGATCAGGAACTCCTTGTTGTTTCCAAGCGTTGAGAGGCTTGGCGAGGCCGAGGAGACTGGCGCGGCGGCCGTTGGCCGCTTAACTTCAGGAGCGGGCTCCATTGTGTCGTAGTTTGGCGGGGATTGGTAGGGTGGTGGCACACGCGCGCGCTCAGCGCCGGAAGGTGCAGCAGCAGTTGCCGAAGGACGGGCACTGGCAGCGGAAGCAGCCGGCGCTTCAGTCCGTGGCAGAGTGCTGGATGGGGGATAGACAACAGCCTTGACTGCCTTTTCGCCCAGGTAGGGCTCATCGGGACGGTAGGATCCACGACGGCCACGAGCGCGGTAAACAATACCCAAAATCACCAAGGCGACAAAGAGGACGACAAAGATCGGGACAAGAATGGCGACCAAGTGATCATCGTCGTCATCTGAGCTGGAAGCGCTGGAGCCTGCCGTGGCAGTGGAGGTTGAGGTGCCAGCGGGTGTGGCCGAGCTGGCGACGACATCGGACGACGGATTGACAACCTCGGTGCTGGCGGACGGAGCGACAGTCTCAGATGGGTTGGAGGTCTCGGAAGGGTTGGAGGTCTCCGAAGGGTTGGAGGTCTCGGAAGGGCTGGAGGTCTCGACGTCAGTGGAAGCAGGATTGTTAGTCGCCGTGACAGTCGCAGTGTTGAGCGGCTCGTCCGTAATCACGGAGGGGGGGGTGTTGGATGAGGCATCAACTGCAGTGTTGGTTCCAGTAACCACCTCAGTGGGAGTTGGGGTTGCGATGCTGACATCAGAGGGCGAGGCGAAGCCGAAGGCAATAATGGGGAAGCCCGTCTCGGAGGTGAGGCCCTCCAAGCCAAGCAAGTACATGGTCTGCCAGTAGCCCAACGCTTGGTTGAGGTCGTTGTCGCTGGTCACAAAGTGAACAATCGTGGAGCCAGAAATCAACTCCCAGATGAACAGATCGTCCATCGAGACCGAGAACAGACGAGCCAGCTGGGCAGCAAGGTTGACTTGATCGGTTGGCGTGAAATCGGCAAGCGGGTAGTCGGCGGTGATCGAGAGCAGATAGTTCGGGACCAATCCGTTGGGAACAACATCATAGAAGAAAGTGGTGGAGGCCACGTTTCCGTTGTCGTCAATCGCGAGCAAGCGAATCGCGCCCGAAAAAGCAGTCGAGTTGGCAGGAGCGAGACCGTCGAAAACACCCGAAGTAGGGTCGTAGGAGATCCATGTAGGCAAGTCCAGGAAAGGCGGGCTGAAAGCATAGACGATGAAGGCAAACGAGCTTGCAAAGGTGTACTGGGGAATATGGAAGTGGAACGGACGGCCAGCAACAATCGTCAGCGCAGGGACAGTGTTGTTCACCCACGGTCCCAGGCGTGCCCGAGAAGGTAGGCGTCGGAGTTCCAGTGAACGTAGCCGAGGAGACCTCGGGAGTGGCAGACGAAGCTTCAGGGGTGGCGGACGAAGCTTCAGGGGTGGCGGACGAAGCTTCAGGGGTGGCGGACGAAGCTTCAGGGGTGGCGGACGAAGCTTCAGGGGTGGCGGACGAAGCTTCAGGGGTGGCAGATGAGATGTCAGGGGTGGCAGATGAGACCTCGGGAGTGGCAGATGAGACCTCGGGAGTGGCAGATGAGACCTCGGGGGTAGCGGACGAAACCTCGGGCGTAGCGGAGGAGACCTCGGGAGTGGCAGACGAGGGTGTTGGCGTGGCGCTAGATTCCACAATGGGGCGGCTAGAGGAGACAATAGGGCGGCTGGAGGACTCGACGACGGGACGGCTCGAAGACTCGACAACAGGACGAGAAGAAGACTCGACAACGGGACGACTTGAAGACTCGACAACAGGGCGGCTTGAAGACTCGACAACAGGGCGGCTTGAAGACTCGACAACAGGGCGGCTTGAAGACTCGACCACGGGGCGCGAAGAAGATTCGACAACTGGGCGCGAAGAAGATTCGACAACTGGGCGGGTGGATGACTCAACCACAGGGCGGGTGGATGACTCAACCACAGGGCGGGTGGATGACTCAACCACAGGGCGGGTCGATGACTCGACGACAGGTCGAGATGACGATTCAACAACAGGGCGAGTGGACGATTCGACAACAGGGCGAGTGGACGATTCGACAACAGGACGAGTGGACGATGCCTCAGGGGTGGCAGACGAGACCTCGGGAGTAGCAGAAGACGGCTCGGGGGTAGCAGAAGACGGCTCGGGGGTAGCAGAAGAGACCTCGGGAGTCGCGGAGGAGACCTCAGGAGTGGCAGACGAGACCTCAGGAGTGGCAGACGAGACCTCGGGAGTGGCAGACGAGACCTCAGGAGTCGCGGAGGAGACCTCAGGAGTGGCAGACGAGACCTCAGGAGTGGCAGACGAAACCTCAGGAGTGGCAGACGAAACCTCAGGAGTAGCGGAGGAGACCTCGGAGTGGCAGAAGAGACCTCGGGAGTCGCGGAGGAGACCTCAGGAGTGGCAGACGAGACCTCAGGAGTGGCAGACGAGACCTCAGGAGTGGCAGACGAGACCTCAGGAGTGGCAGACGAGACCTCAGGAGTGGCAGACGAGACCTCAGGAGTGGCAGACGAAACCTCGGGAGTGGCAGACGAAACCTCGGGAGTCGCGGAGGAAGACGTTGCAGACGAGGCGTAGCTGACGAAGGAGTAGCAGACGAAGGAGTAGCCGACGAAGGAGTAGCCGACGAAGGGGTGACGGACGGAGTAGGAGGGCGTAGCCGACGAAGGGGTGACGGACGGAGTAGCCGACGAAGGGGTTGCCGACGAGGGCGTAGCCGACGAAGGAGTAGCCGACGAAGGAGTAGCCGACGAAGGAGTAGCCGACGAAGGGGTGACGGACGGAGTAGCCGACGAGGGCGTAGCCGACGAAGGGGTGACGGACGGAGTAGCCGACGAAGGGGTTGCCGACGAGGGCGTAGCCGACGAAGGAGTAGCCGACGAAGGAGTAGCCGAAGAAGGAGTAGCCGAAGAAGGGGTCACGGACGGAGTAGCCGACGAGGGGGTTGCAGACGAAGGAGTGACGGAGGGGGTTGCCGACGAGGGGGTTGCAGACGAAGGAGTGACGGAGGGGGTTGCCGACGAAGTTTGCTGGGGGCAGGGAATAACTCGGCACTCATTGTTGAGGGTCAGACTGCGAAGCGAAACACCGGAACGAATGGAGTCGCCGCACGCCCCGGTGTTGGTGCAATCATAACCGGCATTGGCAGTCATGCGCAGACGGTAAGCAGAGTACGCGACATCGTTGGTGACGCAGAAGGAGCGAGTTTCGTCCGTCTGCCAGTTGAACTCGGCACGGTAGTCCAAGATGGTCCAGGTGCCGCCCAAATAGCCCTCAAACGTCCAGACACCGGGCGATTGCTGGTTGCACTCGGAGCCAAAGCCGTCGCACGGCCTGGCGGTGTCCGATGAAACAACAGTAATCGAGTAGCTATTGACGAGAGTTGGTGTGTCACCGGCATACGTGTAGATGAGACTGATTGGGTCATCGGGTGTCGGAGTCAGATACGACACGAAGAAGGACTCGCCAGTGGCATCGTGGTTGAAGGCCTTCGAGGCATCGTTGTACATGGGATCGACTTCACCAGGGGCTTCAGCGTCAGTGGACCCCGTGCCTGGGTTGAGTGTGGTGTCGATGGATGTGCCCGGAACGCAGTCGGCAGAAGCCAGACGAGCCAATGCCAAAACCAGCAGCCCTGCAAGCACGAAGCGGCTTGGAGTGGCACGCGTGATAGTCGAACGCGCCATTGGTGTCAAGAACTGCCAAGGGCCCATCAAAAAACAAACACATATCATTCATCGATTGAGTGAGTACATGGCGAGCACGACAAGACACCCGCTCGAACAGCTCTCATTCATAGGGCACTTTTTCCATTGCGGTGGAACATGTGAGCTTGCGGTGAGAGCGATCGGCATGTTGAACAAACCCAGCCCAAAAACCACTGGTTTTTTTTTTTCTTATTATTATTATTATTAATATTTGAGGTCGCAGTTGTTTCCAAAAAGCACGCTGCATGGCGAAGCGATGGCCGACAGATCCCAGCGTGGAGAGCTACAAACCACACATTTGCATGGACAAAAGGGCCAGTGCCGCATTCGCACAACAAAGCGGACGAACGGCATCGATGCCCGAGCAATGCGATGCGTCACAAAGCAAGGGGCGTGAGAAGCGTTTTTTTTTTCTTTTTGGTTTTTTTTTTTTCAACTTTTTGTAGCTGGTTTTTTTTTTTTCATCTTTTTTTCTTTTTTTTTTTTTTTCAAAGCAGTTTGAATCCTTTTTATCCATTGTTGCCGCTGTACGAGTCTCGATGTACACGATCATTGACCAACAACCATTGATTGGCCGAGTCCACTGTGAGCAAGTCGTCAGAGTTTGCATCAAACTGCAAGTGGTCTGCGAATGACTCTTTGAAAGTGCTCTCAGGGGAGCAACGTTCCTTCATTGCAGCCTCTTTTTTTCCCTTTTTTTTTTTTTTGATAATCATATATCATTTTCCAGCTTCCCGCATGTCAGGCACTAAAGAGGAGCGTCGAATGCGTCATCGCGAGGGTCTGGTCTGCCGCGCCAAGTCCCTCGTGAATGATCTGGCGCAGCACCGTCCGCCAGTTCCCCCTCCATCCGCCCAGCGTGTGCTGCATTGTGCCTGCCTGTGAAGAATGGGGTCTGCCGAGAACAGGATTGTTAGGCTTTTTCCGCCATTTTTTTTTCCCTCCTTTTTTTTTTTTTTCAAAAACCACATTATTGTTCCCAAAGGGATACGCCTTAGCGATGCACCAGTGATCCGCGGTGGCGTTCGTCCTCGCCGGGCGCTTTGGGGCCACGCGCGTCTGCTGGCCATGGGGATGAAGCTGCAGGCTCTGCACGAGTACAACCGGCTCCGTGATCCACAGCAAGCAAACGGCTCTGGATTTGTTTTTTCTTTTCTTCTTCTTTTTTTTCTTTTTTTTTTTTTCTTCTTTTTTTTTCTTTTGTTTTTTTTTTTTTTTTTTCTCTGTTCTCTCACGCTGCCTCGCGTTTTTTGGTTCGATTTCACATCATGGTACATTGCTCGTGCTGCATCCCTCGTTCAACAGTTGAGGTTTCGGGGAGTCTTGTGCGACTGCGCTGGAATCCACAGTGGTAGACCAGGCGATGCAACTCCAAGCCCCTCTTCGAAGGAAGGAAGGTTGATCGGATTCTTTTAAAAAAAAAAAAAAAGCTTACCAGTTGAAAAAAAAATGGAACAAAGAAGGGGGAAAAAAAAAAAAAAAAGAAGGAAAAAAAAAAGCAAAGAATGCAGTTTACCCAGTTTGGGACGGCAAAGGAACGAGCCAAAGAGGCAAAGCAGTCCAGAACGACGACGTTCACCTCCACCACGCACACAACACTTCGAGACATGTGGGGTGGCAATGCAAGAGAACATGCTCAACAGCGAAAGCAAATAAAATAACAAACAAGCACGGTGGAGAGAAACGGGAGCCGGGGGTTGGGGTTTGGGTGTTTTGGTTTTGACTTTGCACCTCTGTTGACCCGCCAGAAACCATGAAGAGTCCGGAAAACTTGGTGCAAGGTGCTCTGGCATGGTGAAGCCATTAAGCACGAATTGCATTCCCTCCCGTGAGGCTCGGATTGGTGAGCAGTACGCGACTGCTCGAGTTTGGAGCGAACGAAATTGGGCAGCAAGCTTGCTGAAAAGGAACGAAGCGTGTTCGCCCCGTGAAGCGTCAAAGTTTCACAGTAGCAATGATAAAGCAGGCATTGTACTCGTACATGCCAAACCGGGCCAATCTGAGCCTCGCAGTCCACATTTGTTCCATTCAACAACGCAAAATGCCAAAGCCTGGAGATCCGCGCCTCGGTGAATTAATTCAGCAAGGTACATCGATGACGCTGTATTTTGATTGTTGTTGTCGAACTCGGCATGCGCTTGAGTGAACACGCCGAGACAAGCACAAAGCTGAACTGACTGATCGGCGTGATTTGACATGAATGACCGCCGCTGTTTCGGCTTGTCGTCGCTCGCTCGCTCGCTCGCTCCGTAGGCTCGGCTGGTCGTCTTGTACTCCTTGGGTTTCCGTTTGACGAAGGTGTTCGACGCAATGGCGGCCGTCTTGGTTCCAAGGACGGTCCAGACTCGGTTCGCAAGTACGCGAATCACGCACTGGTTAAGATGTGGCCTTCCAAGACTGCAGTCCCTCGTGAACACACTCACCCTGCGAATAACGTGTGAAATGAATGGCGTTGCAGGTACATCTCAGGCATGGGCACGCTCATCAACCCAGAGCTGAACGTGAACTTGAAGTAACTTGTCAAACAACTGCGCTTGGAAGGAAACCCCAAATTTTCACATCATGTCTCTCTCCTCACTCTGTTGAGTATGAACAACGCATTGTAGTACAATTTCCATTTCCGACGCCGGAAACATTCGAAGCGACATCAAGCTCGAGGACGCCCACCAATTGCTGTCTTCGAAAGTTGCCGAGTTGATTGGTGCAGGTACGGACGTGCGATTCACGCTGTTGCTGAGATACAGTGTTTGTTGTGAATGTGTTCTTCATTCTGGCTGTGTGTTGTACTCTCCTTGAACTCTACAGGCTCCATTCCGTTTGTGATTGGTGGTGGCAATGACCAGTCGTATGCCAACGCGCGAGGCCTTATTCTGCAACGCTCAAAGTCCATCGGCGTGGTCAACATTGATGCTCATTTCGATGTGCGCCCGCTGGAACACGGCACCGTTCACTCGGGCACCCCCTTCTATCAGCTGTTGCGCGACCCTGAGTTTATCAATGCGGCTGGCAAGTTTGTCGAGTTTGCAGCCCAAGGAAGCCAATGCAGTGCAGAGCACGCCGAGTTTATCCGGCAGCGTAATCATCGCATTATGTGGCTGAGCGAGGTCAAGGTAATAGTGCAATGCTGTGTGTTTGAGAAGTGACGCAGAGGGCCTTCTCTAGAGGAGGCCCAAAAAGCTGCACGGTAGTTTTCTCGGCTGACTTGTGTGCTGCCTCGTTCAATAGAGCGCCAAGAAGCAGGCGGGCATGCAGACAGTGTTCAAGAATCTGCTCGATTCCCTTGGCGATGATCTTTTTGTGTCCTTTGATCTGGATGCCGTTCGCGGAGCCGATGCGCCTGTAAGATTTCCACAAGAGGCTGGATCATGAATCATCCCTTTCCCACATTTGTACAAACCTCCATGGTGAATCCCGTAGGGAGTGAGCTGTTCGTCGTGCATTGGGCTGTCTGCACAAGATGCGCTGGACATCTGCTTTGTGGCTGGTCGACATCCAAATGTACGAAATGCCGCGCTTTTGCACGCGTGTGATCTTGGGTTTGTGGTTTCTCAGCTGTGGTCATGTTCCGCAGGTGCGCCTCTTTGATTTGTCCGAGTTCAACCCTGCGATCGAGGAATATCGCACCGGTCGATTAGTTGTGATGATGTTCTACCACTTTGCCCTCGGCCTTGCGCAACGCGAACTGGATCTCAAACAAGCATCGGCTTAGACCGGCTGTTGGTCCTCCACCTCCGCTTCTTGCTGCCCGCTTCTTTGCCCAAACGGGCAATCAACACCTTGCATTGCGTGCGGCGTTTGAAAAAAAAACAGAAGAAAAGAAATTCAAATGAAAACAGATCAACATTAACAACCAAAATCAAAAGACGAAATTGCCACACAATTCCACCAAAATCGATTGTGTGCACAGAAAAAGAAAAGGCATATTTGAGATGGCACAGCAAGGAGAAGCGCCACGAAAAAAAAAGGAATGAAGGGGTACAAAACTTAATGCTTGGGCAGACGATCTTTGGCAGTCGTGACATTGCGACCAAGATACTCCCTAAAGCAAGCAAGCAAGCACATGGAGAGGGGAGTGAGCAACTGCATCGACGAAACTGAGACACTGGATCTGGGCAAGCCAACGCGAGCGACTTACCAGTTGGTAACCATGAGCTTTTGAACGGCAAGCAAAGCTTCATAGCGAACGTTGTCGTCGCGGTGAGCCATCAAATGCATAACAGCGGTCTTGATGCCAAGAGACTCGAGAGTCCTAACAAAAAGAAAAGAAGTGCAACAATGTCAATCGAATGCACAATTCGGGAAGGGGGAAGTGGACACGAGAGAAATAAAAAAAAACCAGCCGGGTGCTTACTTCTTGCCACCATCCACGTAGCGGACATAGGAGCCGACATCGTGCGCAGCAACAGCAAGCACGGTCGGGTCGGTTGAGGATTGGAGAACGGTAGCAAGTAGCCTGCAAGTTGGATCGGTTGTTGAAGATCATGAGTCTTATGTTCAGAATTGCCTAATGCTGTAATCCTGGTGCTTACCGGAGCATTTCAAACTTGTTGTCGTTGAATCGAACAGCGTTCTCGAGCCAGAATCGCTCCGATCGGTGAACGGGGCTCCATTGCAGATTGCCGCTGCGCAATTCTCCAGCGTATTGGTCGAATGAACTGTCAAGCAGCAAAACGCGCACGAGCGGCAACGATGAGTACATGGCAATGACAAAAATGACACATTCGCCAAACAAGCCAACAAACAAACAAACAAACAAACAAAACAAACAAAACAAACAAACAAAACAAAAAAGCAAACAAAAAAGCAAAAAAGCAAAAATGCAAAAAAGTAAAAAAGCTGCCCTACCTGAGCTCGTTGACAGCCTTTTGCAGCTCGTCAAGCACGAATTTGATGTCTTCAACCATATCTTCGTCGGCGTACTGCTTGGTCTGAAGAAGGGTGACGGCCTCAAGCACCTTGGCGCCAATCATTTGAGCAGCGTTGTGCTTCGAGTCCTTGACCTTCTCCAACAAGTTCTACACGAGGGAACAAGGCGGTGACACTCAGAATTTAGTGCAAAAAAGTAGAAGAAAAAAAGTCACGGGAAGGAGGAAAGGAACAAAGCTCAAACAATACTCACTCGAAGAGTCGCCAAAATGATGCGAACAACCTTCTCTTTGGTTGTGCCCTTGAGAATCAAGGAAAGAGTGTTGACGACGGGGTGGATCGTGATGGTGTCAGCAATGCTGGGGGTGAAGGTCAGGAGCCAGAAGCAGAACACGACTTGGTACTGAATCTGGAAATTTGGCCGGCGGCGATCGATAACATCAATCAGCAGCTCGACGCCCTTCGTCTCAGAGTAGAAGGCGTTGCGGATTTGCTCCACGGACAGGATGGCCTGCAGAGCAGAGAGCACGACCGACAAGCTGCTCTCGTCAGCGCTCGTGAGCTCGTTGGAGAGCCAGGCAGCGTAGAAGGACACGCTCCTGGTCTGTAAGCATTTTTTGCCCAAATTCCAGTTGTCGATGAGCAAAACTGAGCAAAAGCCAAATACCAAAAGTCCTCTTCCTTCCACTCGACAAGAAAATACCAAACAAAAAATGCCAACGTACATCGAGGGGGCGGCCAGTCGACAGCAAAACAGAAAGGATCTTATTAGACGCATAGCGAGTGTATGCATCTGCCAAATAAAAAGCAAGGCCGCGCCAACGGTAAGTGCTCATCGAAACAATCCAAAAAAAAAATTAAAACAAAAAAAACCAGTAAGCGCGGGCAAACAAACCTCGCGAACGCAGGAGGCTCAGGAAGGGAGCGTATGGCAACACGCCGTCTGAGGCTGTGTTGCAGGCATGGAAGAGCTTGGCACGATCGCGGCTCTCGGAGAGCAGGTCGTCGACCAGCAGAATCAGGTATTGGACGGTCTGATCGGCGGTGATCTTGCCAAGCAGGTGCAGGAAGAGTGCTCCGTACTTTTGTCCTTGGGTAGCGAGCAGCTCGTTCTGCGACAGATGGGCAGTTAAAAGTGAGCAAGCAGGTGCGGTACGGGGAAGAAGCAAGAGTGCAAAAAGGCAGCCCAGCACAGAACTCGCGTGTCTCTGTAGTGTTGCTCATGGCTCGCTTAGTATTAACGTCGCAAGCTTCTTTGATTGTTGTTCTTGTTTCTCCTCCTCCCCTTTCTTCCCGGCATCCATGACCATGAAGAATTGAAAAAAAAAAAAAAAAAAAAAAGTCACTGGGGAAGAAAACGCAACCCAACACATGACTTTGAAGCGAACTCGAAAAAAAAAAAAAAAAAAAAAAAGAGGTGAGTTGAAGTTTTTTTTACCTGAGTGGCAGCGCCCTTGTTGTCATATCGGCGGATCATGTCGAGTTCCTCTTCAGTGATAAATCCAGCACTGCACAAATGGCACCGAAAGGCGCAAGGAACGTGAGCGTACATCACAACGAAAGGGAAATAATACAAGAGGGGGGAAAAATAAAAAAAAAGCAGGATCTCGCTCAAAAATCGAGTTTTGTCCTCCTTCCAACACGCTTCGTCTTCGATGCTGAATCTCAGAGAGCCGTGGGAGCCAGCAGCGAAGCATCCAGGAGGTGCACAGTGTCGTGGCGGTTGAGCAGCAGCCAGGCAGAAGCCCACAAACGCACGGATCTTCTTCTCCCAATAAATAAATAAAAAAGCACAAGACTCGAATCCAAAGGGGAAAAAAAAAAAAAAAAAAAAAAAAAAAATCCCCAATGCATCACCAGCAAAAGTCCATGTGCGCCTGCCTTGAATTTTTTTTTTTTTTTTTTTTTTTTGAACTCGACACCAGACTTTGCCAGTTTGCTGCTGCCTCGGCCGAAACGCAGGGGATGAAAGGGGAGCGAGCGTCATGCTCACCACACACACTAAAAGCACCAGCATTGCAGAAGGAGCGAAACAAAAGTGGGGGGGTTGGCTTACCGCTGGTGGCCGTCCCAAGCAATCTGTCGGCCGCGAACTTGGCGAGCAGCGTCTTCCAACCAGCTCAACGGCACGTCCATGGCAGTCATGATTGTGACGGGGGGAAAAATTGGAAAATAAAATGAAGAATGATTCGTATGAAAATTGGACATGAGTTGGATCAGGTCAAGCCAGGATCAAGGGCGAACGACACTGTTGGATTTGATGCTCAAACTATTTGCCGATGGTACGTTATTCGTATTGGGTTGACTTCAAAGAACAGACAGACTCCAAAGAACAGACAGACTCCATCCGAAAAGTGAATCCAGAAAAGTGATGGCATTACTCTGATGTCTCCATGGCGCTGGACTCGGATTGTGCAGCAGCAGCATCTTGGACAGCATCAGCTTCAGAAGAAGGTTGCTGCTCGTCGGTAGCGGAGCTGGAACTTTTCGATTTCGAGGACGAAGAGCTTGAGCGGTCATCGCTTCGGCGCTTTCGGTCGTCGTCCCTGCGGCTGCTGCTCGAGCGACTGTCCTTCGAGTCGCGGTCGCGGTCGCGGTCCTTGGAATCGCGGTCTTTCGAGTGCCGATCTTTGGAATCACGATCGCTTGAGTCGCGATCTTTTGAGTCGCGGCTCGAGTGGTGTCGTGAGGAAGACGATGACGACGAACTCTTGCGATGCCTGTCTCAATTGGCCAAAAAAAAAAAAGTGAGGCTAAACGAGCAGCAAAACCCAAACCAACAAAGAAAGCGGCAAGAGGACAACAAAGAAAGTGCATACCTGTCGTCGTGACGATCATCATGGCGGTGACTACTTGGGGAGGGAGATCGGCGGCTTGAAGAGGATCGATGGCTGCTGCTTCGAGACGACGAGTGGTGAGACGAGCGCCGCGATGGGGAGCGCGATCGCGAAGATCGAGACGAGCGTTTGCTTGGGGATCGCGACCGACGAGGTGAACGGGACCGACGAGGTGAACGGGATCGACGAGGTGAACGGGACCGACGAGGTGAACGGGATCGACGAGGTGAACGGGACCGCCGGCGCGAAGGCGAGCGCGAACCCGAACGAGATCGAGAGGTGGACCGTGGGCGGGACTTTGATCGCGATCCACGCTCTGGCGTTGGTGGTCGCTCGACGGCCATTGGATCTGAAGGGCAAGTAAAATATCACCGAGTGGCGAGAACGGCGCCAAATGAGTTTCAGAAAAGAAAATGGCAGGGCACGCGAGACATTGCCCAGCGTCACAGCAATCAATCATAGGGGACTCACCGCCTCGAGCTTTGGCCACTAATGCTGCTGGGACTTTGGTAATAACGCTCTTGGCAAATCCAACTCTGCGGAAACAAGAAGAAGAAACCAAACGAGAAAGTCAGTCCCAAGGGCTCACACTGGGATTGTACTGAAGAGGCCGACACCGATGCTTACTTGATGGGACGATCTAGCAGAATTTGAGAAGCAGCCATCAGAGAGGCATACGCGCCAAGAAGCTCTTTGAACTCAATAAAGGCGAATCGAGCTGGCTGGCCTTCAATCGTCACCAATTTTATGTAGGAGATCTCGCCAAAGTTGCTGAAAAAGTATCGAATATCCTCTTCTGTGGCCTGTGACAACAAAGGGAAGATGGCAGAATCCGGGCACCGTCAGGAAATAGAAACAATCGAAACGAGCAGGCAAGCATCGGCACACCACACAACATCACACCACACCACACAACATCACACCACACCAGGCCATCCATGAGCACGCGTCACATGTAGCTCGAATTGCTTTGATGAGGGCACTTACGTGGTTGGCAATGTTGCCGACATGCATCGTCCGCCGCATCTCTTCCATTTTGACAGCATCCAACCCGGCGGGGAGCGGGGGCAGGATTGGCAAGTTGGTTCCAGTGAGCAGACTGGCCTTGTGTTGTGGTGACAGGTAGGCTGGGATGACCCCGGTGGCGGAAGGGGCGTTGTTCCCGTTGGCAGCGGTCATGGACGCGGAAGGCTGGCGAGGGGCCGCTCCACCTGCTGTCGTCAACGGCGGCGCACCCGGCAGCGGGGCAGGCAGCAGCCCACTTGCAGGAGCAATGCCGGGCAGTAACGCGCGCGGTGGGCCTGGCATGAGCGGCTCGACGAGCACTGGCTGCGCGATCGCTGCGGACGCCGGCGTGACGAGCAGCGCGCGGTCCAGGAGCATGGTGTTGTTCAGCAGACACGCCACACGAGCATCGTCGACATTGTAATAGCGAACCAGGCACGAGCGGGCAGCCGCGCCGCCGACGAGGGACGGATCGCTCACTCCGCCGCGAAAACGCGAGATCGGACCAATGTTGGCAAACAGCTGCTGCAGCTGGGCCTCGGTGGCCGTAGGTGAAATGTTCAGGACTTGCACAACGCATGCCACAGCGGGTGGCGGCACGGGCAGCGCAGTCGCGGCCTCGCTAACTGCTGCTGCTGGAGGAGCAGTCGAAGGCGCAGCATCAGCAGCCAATGTCGCCTCAGCAACGTTGTCGTCGCTCGAAGCAGTGTCGATCGCCATCGGCTCAGCAACTGCCGCCATTGTCAGTCAGTGTTTGGTTTCGCTTGGTTGGCTTGTTTGTATTTGAGTTGTTGTGCTTGTTTTTGCAAGAGTTGTAAGTAAAAAAAAAAGTCAATGAACGAAACTGAATTGAATCCGGACTGAGCTGAAAGTGGAGGATGGGATGAAGGCTTTTGAGTTCGTTGCTGGACCTCGAATTCATCATCAACAGTGGACTAGAATAGAAGCAGAAGGAGTACATGACTGGGACCAGTATTGTACGTGTACTGCATCAAAGCAAACCGCTCAACACAGAACATCTCTTGGAGGAACATCACAGTTTTTGCCTTTGGCACGATAACGTCGCGGAGTGAGTGTACGATTCAACGAGAACAAGAGCCAAAGACACCTTGTCTCAATGTCTTCCTCCCACAAAAAAAAAAAACAAGAAAGCAAGTCAGTGTGACTGTCTCAGTCCAACTCTGAGATTGAACGAACGGTTCACCAATGTCGTCGTCGACGGGTATCGAGTCCAATGACGACGCTGTGCTGGTGTCTGGGCCCAATGCACCGACGGATACTCCGAGCATCAGTGTCAGTCCCAATGGCAGTGACAATGGCATTGGCATTGGCAGTGAGCCAGCAGAGGAGGCGCAAACCGAAGCCGAAGAACAGCTGTCCGCTCCCAGCCAGCCAACGGCACCCGCCAGCAATACCTCTGTCGCTGAATCACCATCTTCATCATCATCATCCTCTGCGGATACCGCCTTGGGCAGCCAGCCGATTGATCCGTTGACAAAATCCGCCGCAGAGCAGCAGCAGCAGCAGCAGCAGCAACTGGCGTCAGCTGCTCTGACTCAGCAGCACCAGCAGCAGCGCGCTCCGGCAGTCGACGCAGCTCCATTCGCAGATGCCTCGTGGGCACCATCCTCGCGCAGCACCACCGCGGCGGCCGTCTCGTCACCAACCAAGCTCGCCGAGGGCAAAAACCAGAGCGTTCGTGATGCTGCCGCCGCTGCCGCTCCTGGTTCCGCTGGTCCAGCCGCCGGTCCGCTCTCCGCATTGACGTCGCTGTCGGTCGACTTTGGCTCCTTGTTTAGCTTTGGAAGCAAGCTCAGCTCTGCGGCGCCGGCGGCAGCAGGAGCGGCCCCGACTGCGAGTGCTTCGTTGTCGACCAGCCCTGCGATTGTCGTTGCTCCCAGCTCGACAGCCGCATCGGGTCACACGCCACCTCTGCCGACAACGAGCACGGCAGGCACTCCTGCGTGGCCTAACACGGCTGCTGGAGGTGCGCCTGGCACGCAGAAGCCGGCCGTTTCCTCGATTCCGGCGTACCGACTGATTGAGCGACGTAATCTGTTCATTGTGCTGAAGTTCACCATCAAGCGGCTGATCGAGTCGACGGTTGGCTTTGGCAAGCCAGTCGACGAAACCCATGAACCTTTGCAGCAAATGTGCGCCGTCCTCGAGCATATTTTGCATCATGGGCTGAAAGGTGCCAAGCTTTGTTGTTGTTTTTTTTGTTTGCGTTTTGACAATCAGCCAAACGTCCTTGGCATGTGCACTCACGTCTCCATCCATCTGCCCCTCTTGAAAATCAAACAGTGAAACGCAGCTTGCTTGGCGACCGCCGCGATCCCTTCGGCTGCATTGAGGCATTGGAAAAAACCTTCCCTTTGTCGGCGACCGCAATCAACAACATTCGCGGAATGAGTTCGATCAAAACGCAAACTGGCAAAGTGCGAGCGTGGTTGCGACAGTCGCTCATGGAGAAGCGCCTTTCCGAGTATTTCCGTGCCATGATTGAAAATCGACCCGTGCTGTGGTAATGCAGAGTCGCTGCGCTGGCTGAGCGCACGATCGATAGGTTCTTTGTTGTGTTTTCTTACGTTCTGTTTTCGTTTGTTTGCTTGCTTTTTTCAAACACTTCAGGGAGTGGTATGACGACTATGCCTTGGTTTGCTCCGACGAGGCCAACGTTATCTGTGGCTTGTTGGTCAGCATTAACGTGATTGATTTTAACATTTTCTTCCGTGGCGAAGAACTTGATGCCTTGGTGAGTTTTCCATGAGCAGAGTGTTCTTGTTGTGAGCTTTTCGGGCTTTCCCCCATCATTCACTCTTCATCACCACAGCCTTCGGTGATTGACTATGGCCGCCACATGAAAGAAGCCAGCGCGGCGCTGCTTGAGCGAACACACGCTGGAAGTGATGCGAGTGGCCGAGGTCGATCTGCGAGTCGTACGAGCATTAGTAGCAATCGAACGTCAACAGTGGACTTGGAGGATGACGCGGACAATGGCCGAGTCCGGTCTCTGTCGACGCTCAGCGACCACCCGCCTGTCGTGGTGACTGGCAGCTCTGAACCGAGCTCTGCTTCGCAGTCGACGATTGCCCGGCTCTTGGACCAAAAGAACTTTCTCGAGGAGACGCTGCGCAATATGGAGCTAGGTCTTTCGGACACTTCCAGCAAGCTGCAGACTGCCCAGTCGGAACGTTCCGAATTGGCCGTTCAGCTCCAAGCGGCTGGCAAGGCGAATTTGGCGCTCAAGCAAGAGATGGAGCGCTTGCAAAAGGAGTTTGCTGCGGCAAGCGATTCTCACAAGCGACAGGACGATGTAAGGATTTGACCGTGACTTGGCGAAAAAGGTCTTTTGGTTTTCCTTTCGTTAGTAGAGCTTGGTGTTCTTTCCACTTACCATCACTTGCGCTCTCTCTTCTCGCTTGACGAAACCAGCATGCCAAAGCCGATATGACCCTCGAGCGTGAAACCTACCGAAAGACCAACGCCGACCTCGATTTGATGTACAATGCCATCAAGAAGCAGCTCGAGGCGGAAATTCGACAACGTCAAGCTGTGGACAAGGAGCTGCAGAATGAGGCTCAGCGCCGATCGGATGGAGAGCAGCAAATCGTCAACCTATTGGCGCAACTGCAGGATTCGCGAGACACGATTGATGCGTTGCGGCAGCAGCTGTCCGACGTGAAGGGCTTCAATCTTGAAATGTTGGAGACAGTCAAGAGCGCCAAGGAAGAAGTGTCGCTGCGAACCAGCGAGCTGGCTGTCATGGCTGAGAATGCGTGGTCGAAAACCCAGACCGCAGAGCGTCTGACTGCACAGCACGACGCGCTCGCAAATGAGCACCAACTTCTGACGCAAGAGTGCGCTCGAGTCTCTCAGCGTCTGGCCGAGGTGGAGGAGCATGTTGTGGCGGCCAACACCGATCTCACGATTGAAAAGCAGTGGCGTGAGGCCATGCAGACCGACTTGGAACGCGAAAAGTCGGCACGCGCAAAGGCAGAATCAACACTCGTAAAGACCCAGTCGCAAATGGCCGCGCTCGATGTCCAAGTCGCCGGACTGCTCGCGGAAAAGGCAGAATTGATGCGCAAACTGCAGGAGCAAGAATCCGCCTTGATCGATCTCGGCGGTGCGTTGAGCAAGTCTGCCGTCAAGATTGACAACTTGGCCCAGATTCAAGAGTCGATTCGCACGAAAACCTGGGACGAGGATAGCGAGGTCAAGAACTGCCGTCGCTGCAACAATGCCTTTTCCATGGCGCGTCGTCGGGTAAGGGAGCTTGGGGGGTGATCATAGTTTGGTTTTTTTTTTTTTTTTGGTTTTTTTTTTTTTTGGGGGGGGGGGTGTTCTTGTTACAATTTGCTTTTCCTTTTCCTCTGTCTTCTGTTCTAATGCATCTCTTGTCTGATTGTTCACTCGAATCTTGCTGACTCGTGGTTTTCCATTCACAGCATCATTGCCGTAATTGCGGAGGTATCTTTTGCCAAGATTGCTCAAACAGCAAGATTCCGCTGATGAACTCTGCCAAAGCCAAGCGCGTCTGCGACGAGTGCCATACTTTGCTTCTGCAGCAGTACACTGCCCGTTGAGTTTCGTTGTTGCGTGCATCCTGCGCTAGTGTGTAATAAACCAAGTGCGGGTTGATTTCCGTTTGTGTTTGTTTGCTGCGTTTCATCTCTTGCGAAACCCATTGTGGGGTCTATTCGATATTCAGGAGTAGCGAGAGCACCGTGACCTTGAAGTAATGAAAACAGTAAGGCGTAGAAAAATCAACGCACTAAAAGCTCTGAATGTAGAAACTTACCGAATTCGAGTCCGACCAGCCGACAGAAGGTGGACGGGTGATGTGTTGGTGATGATTTATTGCATTGTAGTATATTTGGATGCTGGTGGATAATTGTAATTGCACAGTTTGTAGAAATCATCTGTTGAGGTGACCTCGACAATCGTCACGACATTAGAGCGAATTTAGCCCATACCGAGTCGATTTATCCCCCTCAATGGCAACTAAAATCACGTAAAATATGATTGTTCTTACAATTTATATCGTGGTGGCGGGACACATCTGACGCAAAATGTTCACTTGCGATTCCAATCGGGCGCGATTTCAACGACCAAAGAAGACTTGTGTGCCATCCGGCCGTTCGCGGTTAGTAAGTAGCTCGATTTGGTGTAGAGGACTTGTTGATTGTATTCAATAATCATTGCTCAAATGCGCCCTGGTGACTCTGGAGCGTGATGCGCAATTATCGTTAGTGGTCTCTCAGGTATTACAATTGCAGGCACATTTCGCGGCTGACGTATTTTCGGGCTTTTTTGATTTTTTTCATGTTTTCCAAGCTTGCTCCCGCATTCCCAACAAACTCTCAAGAAAATACACCAGATAGACTTCATTTTGGACAAAGTGTCGATCCGGAGCAGCGCGGTAGGCAGACAGGGAGCGACGGAAGAGAAACTTTCGCATCTCGTCGCTTCATTCAACCCCTCATACTCATCCTCAAACCATCAAAGTCAGCTTATGCACGACTCGTACATACTCATTATTGTTGTGAGAAAAGACCCAACCCGCCTCCAACCGCCTGGCACCTTAAATTTTATTGTTTCGCAGGCAGCGACTCAAAGCTGCGTTTTACCTAAACCTCCCCCCCCTCGTTTTTTTGACAGATGCATGGCCCGCCAACGCTTCAAACTGCGTTCTCATACAAAATACAACTAGCGCTATTACAACGCAAGCATCTTGCTGTCGACGTCGATTGCTGGTCGGATAGGCGTGACGGGAGAGCCCGACCCGAATCCAAACAGTTTCGCCGCTAGAATTGGGTTGATCGCTGCGAAACGGATCCTCCAGTCGCCTTTGGTCGCCTTCCCCCTCCAACCGCGCTCTCGATGCAGAACGATAGTAACTTGTGTTGGTGCGCGTTCTAGGTGTTTGAAGTGGGAGTGTTGTGGTGCGAGTTCGCCGAGTGCACTGCGATTTTCTTGACCCGCCGTCTCATTTTTTTTTTGTATTAAGTTTATTGGGAGGAGAGAGTGGAAAAGCATCAAAATGCTCAAAAACCACGGAGAAAGGAGCGGGAGCATGGACATGGGTGTAAGGAGCTTGGAGACACAAAATTGGCAGAGAGCCATGTCTGGTCATATGACATAGCATTAGCGAGCCTGTATGCTCGTGCACTACAGGCCTTGGGAAATTTATATCCATTGGAGAAGGGCGGGAGGAGACAGGGAAGCGACGATGTCGGTTTGTGGTTAGTTCGGTTCTCCAGCGGTTTCAAAGTTGGTTCCGCGAACGGCTGACGCGCCGAGGCGCGTCTAGAAATGCCTGTGGGTCGCAACTAGCAACCTGAAATAGCCAAACCAACAACATGACATAGCGAGTGTGTCGCGGCGGGGAGGTGATCAGTGTGAAGCATAAAGCTTCGTCCGAAAGTCAATTCGAGTTGCGGTTCCAGTGATTCGCGAGGGTTCCATGAAGCGGACAAACGCGACTGCGTGTCCAGAAGGTGCTTGTGGGACGCGCAGCATGAACCAAGCTGAAACAGACAACAGCAAATGACTCGTCATCGAAATGACGCGGAGAGGAGGGGGAGAAATGTTGGTGAAGAGGGCTGGAAGGTATTACCAGGAGTCGTCCCAAATTGCAATGCAATTTTTCAACCAACAAAAGAAGACTGACCCCGTCTCATTCCGCGTCCCCAGAGATTGCACCGCCCAATTCTTGTTGTCCTATGAGACAGTTTGCAATTTTTCCTTTTTTTTTTTTGATCCAATTGGTCGTTGCTTGTGGGTGTGCCATCCCCAAATTGTGACACCTTGTTGCCTGGATATGTCTACTTTTGTTGTTTTGTGGGTTTTTAGATCTTTTGCAAAATGACTCATATCGTTGGGGCGTGTGGCTGTGTCAAAGCCACAAACAACAACAACAACAACAGCAATAGCAGGCCATCCTCACGAGCGTTTGATGCAGCGAATCTCTTCCCGTTGCTGGGGCGTCTTACAAGTCAGAAGTGCAAAGTGCGCAAATCGTCGTGATCAAAAGTGATTTTTTTTTTTTTTTTTTTTTTTTGCGAACAAATACAAAAAATAAATATACAACAATACTCAATAATAATAATCACAAAAAGTGCGAACAACGGCCTATTGGGCCGAGATCTCGAGGTGCCGTCCCGTGGTGGTTGCTCGAGTCTCGTCCATGGCACGCCGTGATGGGATGCACCGTGTTGTTGCATTTCTGGGGATCTGTTGGATGCATATACCCTGTTTCAACTCTTCTAAACTCGAATGGAATTGGCCTCAGTTCTTTTTTTTTTTTTTTTTTTCTGTTTCATTTTTTTTTTCATTTTTTTTTGGAAGCAATTCTGCTGCCAACCCGCGTCTCACAGTGCCGGTTCCTTGGCGGGCACTAAGCATGGTTGCATCGCCCGAGCGGACTGCGCCGCCGTCGTCGTCGTCGTCGCCGTCGCTGGACCAGCAGTCGCCGTCGCAGTTGGAGCAACAGCGGCAACCAGCCTCACCTGCGAAATCCTTCTCCCAGACAACAACCAGCAACCGATCCCCACCACCACCGCCACCGCAAAGTAGCAGCAACAGCATTCATCATAGTAGTAGTAGTATTAGTAGTAGCAGTAATATCAATAGCAGTCATAGTCATAGTCCAAGTAGCAGCAGCGCTGTCGTCGGACGTAGCAGCAGCAGCAGCAGTGGTGGTGAACCAGGCCCGTTGCTTCGATCTAACAGCGCAACCACCGCGCCTGCAATGCCCTCCGACGCCGCTTCCCCTTTGCTCTGGACGAGCTCGTCTGCGTCGTCCTTTTACACAGTACCACCATCACCACTGACGCTGGCAGGCACCGACCGCCCCAGCCTGAGCACGCAGGCAAGCAGCAGCACGCTCTGCAGCAACAGCAGCAGCGGGCTCTCGACGCCGACGAGCGTGGCGCCAATGTTCGCCGCTCCCGACGCGCCCGCCGTGATCGACCGGTCCCCCTCCTCGTCCACACAAGCAGAAGGGTCTAACGAAGCCGCCACGGGCCAGCCCGCAGCGACCAACGGCGCCGATCACGACGAAACCCATCCCAGCAGTGATCCGCCTCGTTCGAGCAAAGAAAGCGATTCTTTGTCTTTGTCTTTGTCTTTGTCGTCGTCTTCTTCCTCTCGGGTGGCAACTGCGTCTGTCTCTGCTTCCAGCAACGGCAACCACAACCACAGCCACAGTCACGACAGCCACAACACGAGCAGCGCAGCAGGCGTGTCGGGCGACCAGCAGCAAAAGCAGCATTCTACGGCCACACAAGATAATGAGCTGACAACCACCACTGCAACAACTGCGTTGACGACCAGCAGCACCACCACCACCAGCACCAGCACCAGCACCAACACCAGCATCAGCAACATCATCAGCACAACAGCGCCTGCCACTGGAGCAACGCCCATTCCGACAGCACTGCCAGCTCTGGCAGACGACAGCACAGGCGACAAAGCCAATAACCCCGTTGCTGCTGCTGAAGCCGGTTTCGCATTCGCGTTTGCCTCGCTGTCATCCGCGTCGTCCGGCCAGGACACCCTCGCTGAAATCATCGCCTCGACAGAGTCTCCGGAAACACCAAGAGTCATGGCGCACGGCGGCATGGAATCGTCTGGAGCCCGCTTTCCCGCATTTGCTCAAAACGGGCCAAGGCTTTCGGATACGCCGCCAATCTCGCCTGCGGTCGCGCGTGTCCTGAGCTCGCCCGAGTCGGTGCAGCAGCCAGCACTGGGCACTCCGAGCCAACCGGCCGCGGCTCAGACTGCCAACAACACCTCGAGCGCGTCGACGTTCGCTTCGTTGCCAATTTCGGGCTCGCCCTTGCACTCGTCCGCGCCAGGCTCGTCGTCTGGCTCTCCAGTCGCTTCGCCGTCATCCATGCGTCGCACTTTTGTGAAGCGCGCCTCGTCCTTGCTCCGACCGCTGTCGCAGCACCTCCCCATCTTTCTCGCAGACAAGAATGCGCCCGCGGGTGTCGGCGCTGGTCTTCCTCCGCCGCTCGTGCTTGTTCAAGATCCAGCCACCGCACCACACACAATCGTCACAACCTCTGCCAGTGCCTCCGCCAGTGCCTCCGCCACATCTGCGCCCAGCTCGCCTCCCACAGAGCATGGCCCAGTGCTGGGCAGTGAAGACGCTCCCCCTGTCTCATCCAACATCTCGAGCGCAAGCGCCATTAGCACCACCAACACAATCACTCCGGGCGCCGCTGCCACAAGCACCGCTGTCACGGCCGCCGCGCTGGGCGTTGCCAAACCAGCCCCGCTTGCGAATGCTCCAGTGCGAGGCGGTCGACGACTGAGGCGCCTCATGTCGGTCTCGTCCTTGGCGCAAATGATTCGCTCGTTGCGCATCCCATCGAGTCGCACGGCTTCCAGCTCATCTAGCCCGCACAGCAGCGTGCCTCAATCACCGTTACTTCCGCCAGCGACATCCCCGTT